TTGTAACAAAATGTCTGACATGTCAACAAGTAAAAGCAGAACTTCTATTGCCAGTTGGGTTGCTTCATCCAATAACAGTGCCAACATGGAAATGGGAGCAGATCATGATGGATTTTGTTACCAGATTACCTCAGACGCAGCGGAAGCATGATACAGTATGGGTAATTATAGACAGATTAACCAAGTCCGCACAAGTCTGCTCATTTCCTACCAGTTAAGACGGACTATTCTCTGGACAAGTTAGCAGAAATTTATCTTCGTGAGATAGTTCGACTACATGGAGTTCCATCATCCATTATCTCTGATCGTGATCCAAGGTTTACATCGAAGTTCTGGGGTAAACTGCAGGAGGCATTAGGAACGAAACTGCATTTCAGCACTGCATTTCATCCGCAAACAGATGGGCAATCAGAGAGAGTGATTCAAATCCTGGAAGACATGTTGAGATAATGTGTTCATGTGTTATTGAATTTGAAGGCAGTTGGGACAAATATGTATCTCTCATGGAGTTTGACTACAACAACAGCTATCAAGCGAGCATCAAGATGGCACCCTATGAAGCATTGTATGGTAGAAAATGCAGAACACCTGTATGTTGGACAGAACTTAGTGAGAAGAAGATTTTGGGTCCAGATTTGGTGAGAGACACAGAAGAGAAAGCAGAAATCATCAGAAGACGGCTGAAGGAAGAAGACGGCTGAAGGAAGCAAGTGATCGACAGAAATCCTATGCGGATTTAAAGAGAAAAGACATTGAGTATTCAGTTGGGGATAAAGTATTTTTGAAGGCTTCACCATGGAAGAAGATCCTAAGGTTTGGACAAAAGGGTAAGCTAAGCCCTAGGTTCATTGGTCCATACGAGATTGTTGAACGCGTAGGACCATTAGCCTATCGCCTAGCATTACCTCCAACTTTAGATCGATTCATAATGTCTTTCATGTATCAATGTTAAGGAGATACAGATCAGATCCCTCACATGTATTATCAGCGGAAGAGATTGATATTCAGCCAGATCTCACTTACAGGCCGGACTCACTTATGAAGAAAGAACCAGTTCAGATCACTAAGCCAAAAGAAACTAAAGAATTGCGGAACAAAGAAAATAGCATTATGAAAAAGGTTCTTGGAGGAATCATAAGACAGACAGAAGCAACTTGGGAAATCAGAAGAAACCTGCGACAACAAATCATATCCCATTTGTTACAAACAGGTAAAAAAACTTCGGAACGAGTTTTTATTTAGAGGGGAGAACTGTAAACATCCTCTTTGAGTTGAGTCGGGTTGAACCAAACCTGGTTGGGGTAGAAAATGGATGATAAGTGGGACTATTTGCATGGAAAGTTCTAGGAACTTGTTTGCCTCCAAACATACAGTGTGGGTATTAAGTTTGTCTTTGTACACTTGAGGTAACCAAATTAGAGAGTTTACACAGCCAAATCACCTTCTTCTAGAGTCTACCCGTTCCTATCTATCATTTTCACTGTTCCTATCATTTTCACTTTCCTATTTTCCTGTTTTTCATTTTCTTCTTACGTTTCCCTTCCATTTCCTTGCACTTTTCATGCAAGTTACGCAGTAAGTCCACTCCAAGTAAGTAGAATTCCTTGACGTTATATGTTATTCACTCTTTAATTGAGTTCTATTGGAGATGAGTTATGAGAATTCTTGTGTATAGGAGAAGAAAGTTCCAAAGCTGCAGAAAAGAGAAGCTAAAACAGAGGTCAAGCTTTTTGACATCAAGGTTTGATATCTCATGTTGTTTACTAGATTCTTTGCATGTAAATTGTGTGGTGTGTTGCTAGTGAGATGATATGGTGCTTGTTGTTGAGTGAGAAGATTGGATATGTTGTGAAAACAGGGGATGGAATGACTTTATGAAACAGAGCTTTGCTGGAAATTTCACCAGCAACTTCATCTTGATTTTGACCCCAGAAAATGATGGAATTAGGAATTGTCATAGAAGAGTTATTTGTTTCTCTATGTGTTAGCTTTACATGGGCTTTTGAATCATTCAATTTGAAGTTGTATATTGGAAAGAGTTTATGGCCAAAAGAACACAGACTGCAGACAGAATCACGTCGCGCGCTCGGGCGCATACACTGGAAAGCAAGTCGCAGCTCGCAATCATTAAGGCACAGGCGATTTCCTATTGTCGCGCTCAGCGACATTGAGTCAGGGTAGCCCCTCTGACTCTGACGTCAAATTGCACAACTCGCGCCCCCCCCTCGCGACTTTTCAACATAACGCGGTCGCGACTTGGTGCTGTGACCCCCTCTTTTTGGCCTTGTCAATTGCTATGGTAATCAACAATTATTTGCTCAACTGCCAATGCCATCCAATCATTTTAACAACAAAAATGCAACATATAGAACATGGATTAAACAACATATAAGCATTAAATTGGTGTGAAATCAAATAATAGGATGAATATGAAAGTTGTAAAACATTTAATGTGCCTATTGTGTTACACTTGTTGATATGCTAATATGAACTCAATTGAGGTTGGGTAGAAACCATGTAGAATAGGGCTATGTCGCGAACATAGAATAGCAGATCTGGCCCAATACAGTTGGAACTTCCGGCTACAACGGCCGTTGAAGTGGACATATATTACCGTGCGGTGCAAAATCCGGTTAGGTGGCACCAAAACGGACATTAATTGCATAGCGAATCCCGGTCGGGGCCTATAGCAATACAATTTCACCCAGTTTCCTACAGTTTATCCTTATCCAACTTTCGGTTTCACTATAAACCTATGGAGCCATTCCAGATATCTTGACATAACATTCATGAATTATACAGATTATAACAGTATAAAAAGATAATCAGATATCATGAAAGTATCATAATGTGTGAGCTTATATGTGCCATAGTGTTTCCATGGTTCTTTCATATAATATGTATGTGTTAATTGTTTCCTTTATTGTTGAGATAATCCACCGAGGCATGTAATTGGCTCAGCGAGTTTACCTGTTTAAAAGACTCGCAGGTTTGAGACTGGTCCATAGAGAAGTCCGCAGTACAACTGCTGCACTGATATATCCCAGAGCAAATTCTGTTCATCTGGAGAAAGACTCGGTCTTTCAGGGTAGAAAACTCATTTTTTTTTTCTTTTTATGGCATGTACAGGGCAACCACAGTTGGGCCCAATTTCATTTTGTAACTTGTATCATGTTTTGTAAATTAAATTATTTTTGGAACAGTACCAGCATGTTTATTAATATTCAATATACAGTATTTTTTCAGCATTAGCATGTCAGACCATACAGTCATCCAGTTTTGTAACATCTCGACTCGGTTCATTCGGGTTAACGGGTGGACCGGGAAGGGGTGTTACATAATCACTACATAGTCTTTATTGTTTGATGAAATATAATGATAAGAACTTCGATTTTTATAATTTTACATGATTTAGTCTCTCTATAATAATTAATATTAATTTAACAGAAAATTAACGATTGGACCTTATAATATAATAGAATTACAATGCTAAGTATAAATACTGTAATTTTAAAAATAGAAATTCTTACTAATATATATGACAAAAAATTTAGATAAGACGTAGTAATTGCCCCTTTGGTCATACATTGCACACATCTCGGGTCTAAATGATGGGTGGGCTACGGTTTCGGAGGTCCCACACTCCCACCTGCCCATGCAGCAATGTTTCCTATTGTCCCTGTTTTTGGGCCTGCTTTCGGTGCAGCCTGCTTTCAGTTACGCCCACAGTTTCCGGTTGCGATTATTGGATATTTCAGTTTTATTTAGGATGGAAGCAACATCATCTACCTAAATTGCACCGAATTATATTTTTCAAGTTATTTTCAGTTTTGACCTTAAATGAATATTCTGGTATCAAAATGTTGACATCATTCTCAATAATTCATTCCCATAATGCCAAAAAAGACTATGGAACCGGACCTACAATAATAGAATGAGATGGTCCTATATGCCCAAACCGCCTTTGGGTTGGGGACAGGTGTAACTGCGTGCAAGCACCACAATATTCTTCATGATGTGATTTGATAATGTACATTGTTTTATTTCAATTTTTTTCCTTAATTCAGTTTATGACTCTTATAATAATTCAATTTTTTATTTTCATGCGTAATTATTTAATAATTAATTTTGAGTCACATATAATTTTACAAATTCTTTTGGCTTTTTTACATAAATAAATTAAAAAGTAACGTACGTTTGAATTTAGCAGATAATATCTGTAAGATTAGATGTAATTACATACTCTAAAACGAAATTAATTTTATATTAAGAATATATAAATACTCATGAAAAATAAAAATAAAAATATTTAATTTTATTGTGTTTCTTCAGTGAATTGCTCCATCTTATTTTTATTTTTCATTATATCAAAATGAAGTTAATTTCCTAACGCTTTAGTCTCTATCTCTTCAGGATTTTTCTATTTTTTAAGGAATAAAAACAAATATATAGTTAACATTTCTCTAAACTCTTCCATTTTCTCACTCAATGGGGAGCCCATTGACTCTTGAACTCTATAACATGAATATGGTGGGATCAAATAAGCTTTTAATTTTGTGCAATTTGCAAAATTTGGTAAATCCTCATGGGACCCTATTTTATTGGCATACAATGTGATTAGTTTATGAATAAAGTTTCAAGTTTGGAAAAATTGACCAAACCCATGTTACAAATAATGCCTCAATCACAAGGAATTGTCAATTAGTCAAAAATGGCGTTATTTGCTGTTAATTTCTCTCAATCTACCACTGCCAGTTCGTATAAATATAATGCCTTTGATGGGACCGAAAAGTTTCCTTTTCCGTCGGGTGAAAACGTTTTCCCGTTGGTGGATCCATTAAAACCACTTATTGGGCTTGTGATTGGGACCAATTCTGCTATCTATTGGGCTTGTAGACCATATACTGGGCCAGAGTGTTCACTTGTCTGCTCGCCGATGCAACAAAGACCACCAAACGTCTCTGTACACACACACACTTGACACCACCCTGCCAATTTGCGCGAGACTGTTATAGTGGCTCAATTGCAATTGTATTGAATTCACAATGACATTTTTGTACTCATAAAATTTGAGAATTGCCTCCAGTTGCTACAATTCGAGTCCGAGAAGCGAAGCCCTAGGTCACCAACGTCCGGCTGTGAGCTCTCCGAGAAGGGGAAGAGAGAGAAAGGGAGAGGGCATTTGGGTTATTTGTCAGCTGAAGAAGAAGGAGGAAGAGAATGGACGAAGACCAAGTAGTGAAATTTGTCGAGACGTATCTGAAGAAGAAAGGATTTAAACAAGCTGAGCTAGCTTTCCATGATGAAGTACAACATAGCTCTAATGCCAATTCCCTCGACATTCACACCGATCCTGATCTATCCGCTCTGCTCCTTTCGCTCTCCCAGTAACTGTCTCCCTCTCTCTCAACTTCATTTCATTTGTTCAACTCTTTACCAGTGTGTGTTTTGTTTTTTGGCTTATTTGCTTTGGGGATTTTCCTAGTGTTCTTGTTAAAGGTCCGAAACCCCAAAAAACTTTTTGGAGAGGTAACACGCAATCCTAATATTAATGCAAACGCCGAGAGAGAGAGAGAGAGAGAGAGAGAGAGAGAGAGAATATTGCTGGTTCGTGGCAGCGCTCAAAAAATTTTATGATTCAAACTATATGGTTAGGAAGAATGTGAACAGATGAAAGCATTTTTAAGATGTTAAACGTTGTTCGCTGTGTTCCTGATTGGCTGAACTTTTACAAGGCTAACATTTAATGAGTTAATAATGTAAAAATGGAGCCAATTGTTGAACATGCATGTCATTTTGCCCAACACGGTAGAAATGCTGAATTAGGAGATCAAATGTGGATTCTGTTGGGCTACGTATACAAGTTTATTAATGATGTAATTCTGCTCTTCAATGAATGCTATTGCCTTTTCCCTCCTCAGACCAGGGGATACACCAGCAAAGTACCATGATGAATATGGTAAACTAAGAGCATGGACACATAGTTCGCTTGATTTGTACAAGGTACCTAGTTGTTGAGTTATTATTTGTTTGGCGGATGCACCATTTTGTTGTCGTTACATGAGATTGTTTGCCTTTGAAATACAGCCTGAGTTGCTTCGTGTGCTCTATCCAGTATTTGTACATTGTTATATGGATCTGGTTGCAAAAGGGCATATCCAAGAGGGTAATTTATTCAGCTTCTAGTTTTTCATATTTTGCCTTGAATTATCCTTGAAGTGGCAATTGGTGCAACAATTTTTTCAATATTTAGCTTATGCTACTTGGTTATCTTTCCAGCTAGAACTTTTTTCAACAGCTTTCGTGAGGACCATGAGACAATGCATTCACGGGACCTTCAAAAGCTGGAAGGAGCTCTTTCTCCCTCTCATTTGGAGGTTTAAAACACTCTAAGCTGCTATAATTATTATGCCTAGATAAGTTCCAATTCAGTCAAAAAATCTCATGATATTTTTCCTTAGGAGATGGAATTTGCTCATACTCTTAGGCAAAGCAAAGTCAACATAAAGATATGTCAGGTAATATATCTTGGTTTCTCTTTAGCTATTTTTGTCACATCGAATTAGGGTATGAGTTGTTGACCAATGTATCTAAAATGCTTGTTTTTTCTATATGATTCTTCTTTGGTCGTATTGATATTTGGTGGAAACATCAAAGCGGATTCAGAACATTGTATGCATATACGACATGCATGCTTTCTATGTGAAGTCATCATTAGATGCAGAATGCCAAAAGCAATCTGGGGATTCTCCTTAATGATGTTTGTATATTATGGGATTTCTGGTTTTCTGATTTGATTGACAATCATGATAAATCATGTGCTTTTAATTCTGTTCTTTAATAATGAGAAAAGAATTGAGATAAATGTCAGTATTGTCTTACTTTGTTGCTCTTTGAAATGTGAAGACATGGTTGCCCTTTTTTTTTTTTTTTTTTTTTTTTTTTTATTTTTTTTTTAATGTATGAATCATTGCATTAGATTGGTTCCATGCCTTTTTTTTTTTTTTTTTTTTTAAATTATGAATCATTGCATTAGATTGTTCCAGGTGAAATTAGTAGTTACTGATTACTATGTTAATATAATAGAAGTATATCCATCAATTCATGCAAATTGCTAAAAGCTGCCTGTCAATCAACATTTCCAGTACTCCAATGAGCTCCTGATGCAGTATCTACGCAATACAAAATCTACTACAATGCTTGGGGTTGTCAATGAGCATATTAACTTCCTAGGTACATATGCTTAATGCCCATTTAGTTGCACATAAATCATTATTCAAGGTGGAATTTGCTAAGCTAATATACAATGCGTGTTATCATGTGTTGGCAGTTTCTCCTGGACAGCCCAGCTCAGTTTCAGATGACGCTGAGGTTGTAACACTAATTGGAAGCAGCCAGGATGCAGCAAATCAGATAAATAAGAAAGAAATACATTGGGGGGTGAGTAGACCTAGATGTTGAGGTGTTTATTCCTTTAACAGAACTTGTAATTCATGTCTTCCTATAAATTTGTTACAAGGGATTCAAAGTGGTACAGATTTGATATCATATATTGCATTACTGAGACATCTCTTAATACTAATAAGAGAGTTGTGTATTATAGCTGCAGCTTATCTTCTTTTCTTTTCTTGCTGCCAAAAAAGCTGTTGGTTTAACCTTTAATCATTTATTTGTTCTAGCTGCTTGAAGATTCTTTAGAGGAACGCTTAGAGAAGGCAGGGGGTTTGCTCTCAGATTCTGAAAAGACAGAAGGAGAAGCAAAAGAGGGGGACATGGATGACGCCAAGGTTCATACTTATGCTAATAAATTGTGGATTAACAATATAGCTTCTAAAGATACTTGAATTCTAATTCAACTTTCATATAGATGCAATTTTCATTGCATTAAGCGTTTATCTTGTTCACTTCTTTGGTGTTGTATGTGTTTGTTGTTCAGAAAAGATCTATAGAAGGCGGAAAGCAAGGTGCTTCTGTCAAAAAGTTGAAAAAGGACAAAGCTGCTAGTGCAACTGCAAAAGTTGCACGTCATGAGCCAAATATTGCATCTAGTGCACCACGAGTCAAACCAGAGCTTCCTTTGCCCGTAATGTATTTTCTAACATCCTATTTTACTAAGCATACAATATTTGTCTATCAGCATATTTATGGTTTACTTTTCTTTTGGTGTTGAATACAATGAAAAGAAGCCATAAACTACTAGTGGAAGGGGAATATATATTTTGCCTTGATGAAATACATTAGATAGGAAATGCTATCCCATGATATGTAGTATGCTATATGTAAAGTGGCAAGTTCAAAGATCTGAAGCTTTTCTTAACTTACTGGAATTAGAACAGAACATTAGCAAATGTTTGCTTCTGTATGAAGCCCAAGTGGTGGTTCCCTTGATCTGTAACTCTTGTGATTCAACTAGGGATTATTTGAATGGTGAATTTCAGCAGGCATCATGCTCGACTCTTTGAAGTCATTCGTGTTTGTTTTCTTTTTTCTTGCTTGCTTGACAGCTTTGCCTTGTCAATCATATGGTATGACATGGATATTTTCAGACGTTTTGGTGCATGCTTTATATTGCACATTATCCAAAATCTGAATTTTGTCATGCTTCATTCTATAAATGCATATTTTTGCAACATTTCCTGCATCAATGCTTTTCCAAGGTTCTCTGGTTCAGGGTTAACAATTAGGTGAAACTCATTATGTTAAAGTAGCGCTGCAGTTTACTAATTAGTATCTCTCTGGTTTCTTCAGTCCAACAGAGGTGGAACAGTCCATTCTTGAAGACTTGAGGAACCGTGTACAATTGAGCAGTGCCGCATTGCCATCTGTTAGCTTTTATACTTTTATCAATACACATAATAGGTAATTATTGCTTGATGATCATTGTTTTTATCTGGTTTGTTCATGTTCCCACTGCTCATTCTTCTTTCTGGGACTTCCTCCAGTTTGAATTGTTCTTCAATATCCCAGGATGGATCTTTAGTTGCTGGTGGATTTTCAGACTCTTCACTAAAGGTTTTTCTTTATTACATAGCTTAGCGGATATCATACTGGCCATTCTGATGACTAACTTTGAGATGTGCTTCACAGGTTTGGGATATGGCCAAACTCGGGCAACAAGCTAGCAATTGTAAGTTGATATGAGCAGGAGATGATTTCTTTTATAATTTGTTATTTTGTCCTTGACACACACTGTTGTAAGTAGAAGCATGCAACATTGGTGTAATATACCTGCATGCTGGTGCCACATATACCTGCATTTAGGGAATGGCAGCATTATTTGGTACATGCCTATGCTTAACAGAAGTTTGTACATGTTTTCTGATATGGCTGTATATGTTTGAACATGCATATATGTTAATCTCTGTCATATAATTGTACAGATATTTTAGGAGGAGATTTGGTATTAAACAGTCCCATTGTCAGCTGTTTTGCAGGGTGAAAATGATATTGCTCCTAGCGAACATGTCCTAGGACCAAATGGTGTCAAAAGATCCTACACCTTATTTCAGGGTCATTCAGGCCCTGTTTATTCTGCCACTTTCAGCCTGCTTGGTGACTTTATACTGTCCTCTTCAGCAGACACTACAAGTATGTTATCCTACTTGTATAATTATGTGCATGCTCGCATGCATATACATTTTATTATTATCTTGTTATATAATCTCTTCAAAAAAAAAAAAAAAAAAAATTATTAAGCTCTTCAAAAAAAAAAAAAAAAAAAAATTAACCATTTCTCTGCTGCCAGTTAGATGATGGGAGCACAAAACTAAATGCAAATTCGTAGTTTGCTACAAGGGTCATAATTATCCTGTATGAAAAAAAAAAAAAAAAAAAAATTACATTTCTCTGCTGCAGTTAGATTATGGAGCACAAAACTAAATGCAAATCTAGTTTGCTACAAGGGTCATAATTATCCTGTATGGGATGTTCAGGTATGCATTTCATATTTATTTTTATTTTATTGTTTAGTATGCTTCTTGTATTTGGTACTTGGAGTTGAGAGTATAATCAGAGAGCAAGGTCATGCTTCTCATACATTATACTTCATCTACTCGTGCAGTTCAGTCCTGTAGGACATTATTTTGCCAGTGCTTCACATGATCGAACAGCAAGGATTTGGTCCATGGATAGAATACAGCCTTTAAGAATAATGGCAGGTCACTTGTCTGATGTTGATGTGAGTAATCATCTCTCTCTCTCTCTCTCTCTCTCTGCCTGTCATTTTCCTATGAGATTTTTCATCCTCAGATACCTAAACCTCAGAAAAATATAGTCGTCCTTTTTAACAGCAATTAAGCATGTAACAGTTGAGACATGGTAGGGGGCCACAGGGATGGGTCTGCTTATTTGACTTATGCATAGAAAAAATGAACTTGACAGTAGTATGTAGAATAGGTCTTTTTTCTACTTAGATTGGCATATATTATGTTTTCAAAAATATTAGTGGCCTAGTTTAATAGCTAGCTGCAGCACATGATGCTTCTGTTGATTACCATCACTTCTCTGTTGTATTACTTCGCATTCGCCTAGAACCTGATTTCTCCCCCGTCTCTTGCTATGTTGCATTTGCTAACATTTGAATTGTCATAGGTGGCCATGTTTCGCAACATGGAAACAACATAAAAAATGACTTGCTAATAAAATGTATGATATATGAAGTTGGAAAATCTTCATTACTTTCACATGTTTTCTAGTCTGTAAAACCATTGACATGTGGTTGGATGATTTATTTCAGTGTGTACAATGGCATGCCAACTGCAATTACATCGCTACAGGCTCCAGTGACAAAACAGTTAGATTGTGGGATGTACAGAGTGGGGAGTGTGTACGAATTTTCATTGGTCATAGGAGTATGATTTTATCTCTGGCGATGTCACCTGATGGCAGGTATATGGCATCTGCTGATGAAGATGGCACAATTATGATGTGGGACCTTTCAACTGGCCGCTGTGTATCACCTTTGATGGGCCATAATTCATGTGTATGGACGCTAGCTTTCAGGTGCATATCCTTTCTTACTCATGGATTTTTTGGAAAACTTGGGTTTATGTCAACAAGTAATTTCTAATAATTTTCCTCTTCTCTCAGTTGTGAAGGCTCACTGCTTGCATCTGGTTCTGCTGATTGTACTGTGAAATTGTGGGATGTAACCTCAAGCACGAAGGTACCAAGGGCTGAAGACAGGTGAATTCCCCCCTATGAAAGCATCTCACTAAATGTTTGTTTTATCCTGAACTTTTAATTTTTAATGGTTGGATATTTTACTGAATAAGTTACATTTGATCAGCAAAAGTGGAACTGCAAACAGATTAAGATCACTGAAAACTCTGCCAACAAAAATGACGCCAGTCTATACATTAAGGGTAACTGTCGGACGTGCTTGAATTTTTCACTTGCTGTCCTCCATTGTTCTGATATGCTTGACTGGTAGCCTATAATGTTTGCATCCATTTTGGTGGCAGTTTTCTCGGAGGAATCTTCTGTTTGCTGCTGGAGTACTTTCAAAAAGTGTGTAAATTGCCAGCGTTATTGAAGCAATTATTTGCCTGAAGATCTCCATCAACTAAAAAGGTTGTGCAAATGAGTGTAGAACTAGAATAAGCTAATATAACATTTTTGTTCAATGTACTAATCTAATAATGGCCCATTAAACACCTTAATTTCGTTTTAGTTCGTAATATGCTCTGTGCTATGTAATGTAAAAATAGACTCGCAACAATCTGTAAAGCTAGGCTTCAAATCGAGGCCACTAAGCTGTACTTTAAGAGGCTTAAAATCTGATTAAACTGTCATTCTTTTCTTTTTAAATGAGCTGCTTAAATGAAATACCATTATAAATTGGAAGGAAATGCTCATGTACAGTGTTCGGCGGGTCCCTTTGAGAGAGTCGTTCAACTTGTATACGATTGGTTGATCCGTACAAATCAAGACGGTGGGAATCCGACAGATTACCAAAGATGGAAAAAAAGTCCTGGTAATAGGAGGCGACGGTAAATAATAAAAAATTACTACAATGCAAAAAAAAATAACTAACAAACAGTACATTTACAAAAATAAATGTATAATTATTATTGTCATAAGTAATAGTAACAATAACTTCATTACAACGACAAAAGGAAAGGCAGTGAAAAACATCGCGGGGCCAAGATGCTTTAGAGTTAGCAGTTAGTACAAGGTAAAAAAAGAAAAAAAAAGTCTTTGTACTTTACGCAAATAATGATTAACGGTATCCACTGCCACTGGTTGTAAACTTTCCAACACACAATTTAGAGCCGCCTCATTATTTTATCTTCTCCTTCTTTCCCGCCATAGCACTTATTTACCGTCTTCCTTCTTGTTCCCGCATCCAACTGCAAACTTTTCTTCATTTTTCTCAGGTTTTTCAATTTTAAAACAGAAAATTAAGCTTCGAGAACCGACTGCCGTCACCTTTTGCACCAAAACAAGCTGATTTTGTCCCAAGCACGAAGCAAACAGTTCTGCAAAGTTAATTGCATGTCAAAAATCTACTGTTACAGGTACTTTGCTGCTTTATATACTTTTTGCTTCTGCCAGTATCTTTCGCTTGCAAAATTTTCTATTCTATCGTAACTATCTGTTATATTACAATGTAATTCCTTTGTTCCAGCTTTTTTTTTTCTTGTTCTTTTTCTTTTTTTTTTTAGGTTTCACAGGATGTTTCTATGAACCCTAGACAACTTTCTGAATTTACAAGAGAACTTCACAACAACTTATAATCTAACCAACCATAAATTAATTTCACATCCTTCTAGCATATTCATAAATCTTTTGATCATAAATAATTTACAAACCAAGAAAACCACCACCTGTTTTTGACATATGATATAAATGAGAAACTCATCGATCACAAGATGTTTAGCCTTCTGAAATCAAAATTACAGACTTGGTGCTTTTGGAATTTGTTTTGCTGACGAGGCCTTCTGAATTCTCCTGGGCCTAATTTCTTCAATTGTTTTTGCTGCGTCCCTACCAAGTTAACTATTAGGTGTTACAGAGATTCCTAGAAAGTTGCAATTCTCCAATTCTAAGATTATACTCTTCCTTAATTTTCAATTAGGAAAAGAACTGTTCTAGTGTAAAATATTAATGTATTGCACAGAAACTGTACCTGAAAATGGTGATATCAGAACCCCACTCCCGACTGAATAGTGGTAACGCCTATTTCATCACTGTCACAATACATTGCAGAAATCTTAGATCATACTTATGCTAGAATTGATTGTCTCTAGGATATAGGCTTTCATCTATTTCCAAGATCAAAATAATCAATAAAACATCATCATAAACAAGTGAGTCGGAACTAAGTCAAAACGTTAGTCTCTCAGCGGATCATATATATAGCAATACAAGATGCAAACCCTTATCTTAATGACCTCAGAACTCAGAAAACTTTTAAGGAATTGCTCCAGACATTGTACACCACATATAATTGATCAATTGATCAATTTCGTCTAAGGCCGGCCTGCATACCTCGAGCAGTTCCTTAACGACACAAGGGAACCCTTATTTTTTACTCTGGCTCGTAAAAAATGAAATATAAAGGTCAGGCATCTCTTCTTCATCCTTCCAAAAAAAACCTCCCCCAGCCAAATAGAGAAGGAGAAGAAAAACAAAAATAATAATAAAAAAAAACATAAAATTCTGTTCAGTGAAACATGGTACCAGTTCCTAATTTTAGAGGAAGTAATCATCCCCTTAGCATAAGAAACATCAACAAAGTTGTAAATGACTTGAATTAACAAAGATGGTAAAATATACAGATGGTTACATGTCCTAGTGAAGAAGATAAATGAAATCTAAAGACTATGTTAAGCAATAAAGATTGTTGCACAGAGCTGCTGTTGTTAGATTCTATGATACTTCTTGATTTGGATCATGCAAGTTCAAGTCCATCCTCCACTCTGGAGAATTGGTCCTATTAGTTGATTTGAATCGGTTGAATTAATCATCTAATTCTATCTGATCTATCAATTCTTTCTTGTAAGGTAAACCATCAATCAATTAGGTTAAAAACAAAAAAGAAAAATACAAGCATTTTTCTTTCAATTAGCATGACACCCTGTAAACCCTTCCCAGATAATCTGACTAAGGTTAAAATAATAAAAAAAAAGGACTTTTCATAGTCCTAAACCCCACCAAATAAGTCCTGCATGCACCTTCGTCTCCTATCCCATCCCAAGTTTATGAATTCTCTCTACTTCCTTAGACCAAGGAAGGATTGCCACAGATATTTTCCCTCCTCCCAATAATTCTTTCCTTCTTTGTTCAAATATTAAAACCCACATTTCTTGCTTGAAAGGCAAGCGTTTTTTCAACACTGGCAAGGCAACATGATCCTTACATTTAGCCAAAAAATGTTATATTTTAATTTGTTTTACAATCATATTTATTACTTTCATTGATTTTGAGATTGTATACTGAATGAACTGATTAGATTCCATCCTCAATTCACAACAATATTTGAACTATGGTTGAAAGTCTATAGACGATTGTCAAGGACAAAAAAAAAGACCAAATTAATAAAGTAGAGATCATAACAATCATGTCCTTTCACCTCAATCTATATATATCTAGTTAGTCAATTTTCATTAAAAGTTCATTTGAACCCATTCGATAAGCTTAATGAGTCAAGCTCAAACTCATTTAATATACTAGCTAATCCCGAGCTCGATCTTGGTCTTGTAAAACAAATCAAACTCGGTTTTTCAACAAAGCTTGGCTTGGCTCAGATCCACTTGTGTGCAACCCTAAAAAAGACCAATATTGTCCATTTCCCACAATTCATTCCACTAAATATTTGTGTTAAGAATTAGTTGTAATTAGGAGTTAGATTCCTAATTAGTTTATGATTTGTATTCCTAAATAGCTAGGTAGCGTAGGAATTCCTTATATATAGACCTATGTAATCGATTAATGATGCCATTTTTGTGTGTCACTAGAATATTTGTTGTTAAAGGATATAGTGTGTAAGTTAAGAGAGTTAGGATTACGCTAATTAGATTTTATGATTTGTATTCGCTAAGATTAGCTAGGATGCGTAAAGGAAATTCCTTAAATAGTAGGTAGAGCTAGTGGTATCGATTATAGAAGTGAGATCATAGAAGCAGAAGAAATACAATTACATATAATTCTCAAACATAGTCTAGTAGCCTATCGCGTTTCACACCAAATAAAAAAAGGAATTTTCCCGGAAACTTCCGTTGAATGAGAAGCACTTCTACGCAAAGTTCACAGGGAGTCTTATCTGTCTATATCCTGGCTATGGTTTCACAGTGCTGGGCAGTGTCAAATGAGTCTTTTTCTCACACTTCCGGTTGCTCTCTCGATGATTGGCTTGAAGGAGAGACGGTCTTTTATCCGGTTTACTGGTCGACGTTTATGGATTGAAAGAGAAGCTCGTGCAACACGAAATAGTTGACAATCGGTCAATTAGCTTAGGCTGAGATTCAGATAGGTTTGTGTTTGGCGTAGGTGATTAGCTAGTTGACAAAGGAACGAAGGAGCTGTGTTGGGTAGTCCTTAGCTATTGCTGTTGTTGCTATTGTAATATGTTGCTGAGGAACATTGTTATCCACAGCTTTGCTTGTGACAAAATGTTAGATGTTTTAGGGTAATTTTTGTGATGTTTCTAGTGATGGATCTTATTGCGAGACATTATCGGGTGTAATTAAGTTACAATGCAATAGGGAGATGAGCAGGTTTGCGCTGAGTTTAAATGTCGATGCGTTTGTAGCTATTTATGTACCTTATCTACGTAATGATATGGTCGGGAGGAGCGAAGGTTGCAAGACATGACCAGTTGAGAGTGTGATTAGGTAGTTATAGGTCAGTTCAGACGTAGGTGTGCTGACCACGTTTGACACATTATTTACACTATTGCTTTAGTGGTTTTGAATATCTACGCTACTAGATAAGGACTTGGCCGTCATTTGAGGCAAGGTTGAGGTTATTAGTGGGGCGGATAGGCTATAGGACCAGACCAGATACGTGATGTAGTTTTGGCTATGACACGTGGGTTCGAGGTGAGATTTAGTAGATTTTGACATTAAGTGAGTGGGTTAGTCGGGTGATGATTGAGTGATAGCTGGCACATCTGTCAGAGCTATGATGGTTATGGGGATTCGATATATGATGACTTGATAATATGAGAGTAGGGACGGGTCTCAGGTATGATTTGAGTGATGAGGTATTGGTGGATCTTATTGCTGATAGGAGAGTAGATGATCATGTATGTATATAACATAGTATGTAGCAGATTTAATATAATGCTATTCTGATGTCAAAATTGGAGCGGAGAAGTGAGTTTTTAAGGGAGATAGGTGTGATAGAATACGATGAGTTGAAGAGATGTGTTACTAAATATATAGATTTCTGGGATTTTGTATCTAATAGCTAGGTAGAAGCGTTAGGAATTTGACTCAATATATAGAATTAATGTGTAATCGATCTGATGATATACATAAATAGCTAGGTAGCGTAGGAATTCCTTATATATAGACCTATGTAATCGATTGATGATATACAAGAAATACAATTACAATATAATCTCTCAACAATTTGTATCGCAAACTTCATAGATCTGAATGCTTAAATACTAACCCTAAGAATAAGAATTCTATCCTTATTATTCCAATCTTATTAAGGCCTTACCACAACATCCTCCACCCCTACAAAAAGCCACAACTCTAATCTCAAACCCCACTCCTAGCCTAGAGAAAATGTATACCCAAACATAATTTCTCTCTTCATTATTCTTACTTGTGTAGTTTTGTGTCAAAAGATGATTTACAAAAACGTGGGGTTTTAAAAACTAAATTCGACTTCAAAGAAAAACTAGAAGTAGTCCACCAAACTCTACTTACTCTCGTAACCTCATTTTCTGAAAGCTACATTTGAATTTGAAATTCACTGGGATGAAATAATATATCAGGCAAATCATTTTATAATTAGCATTTTATACGATTATATTCTTCTATGCAAAGCATCAAGTAGTCTCTACATGTCTTCACAGTGTTTTTTGGATTAATGGAATGTGAAATCCATCATTTGGTCGAAAAATAGATTCCATGGATTTTTGAAAGGGTATTTTCAGAATAAAATTAAATAGTTTAAATTTCGTCTTTAATATGAAAAAAATGCCAAAATTGAGAAATCACCCCTCCTCCAAAATGGTGGAATTGAGGCCATAATAAAAATTTTCAATTCCATGGATTGTGATTTTTTTTTTTTTTTTTTTACATAAATTAGTTCATTTCATGTGGATTGGTGATTTTTTTTTTTTTGTTTATTGTTAACCAGTGACACAGAATTGGCAAAACGCAGTAGAAATTGGTTTTTTCGATATCCAGACGACTCGAGAATGTTGGTATAATCCTTTTTTTTTTTTTTTTTTTAACCAGACAAAAGAATTGGCAAACCCATGAATTGTTTCATATTCCAACACTCAGATTGTATCAATCCAAGCTATCTTTTAAATGAATTAAGCCATGAATTCTTCAACCATGTCAAAATTTCAATAGAAAATTTGTACAAGGCACATCATTATAGCTACACACAAAAAAAGTATACACGATAGAAAGGAATCGCAAGAAAGACAACATAATCTTCTAGAAATATTTTTATCACAAATCTAAAATTATTGTAAGAGGTATTATTTTTGGCTTTTCCATTTGTTCTTTAAATAATAGCTCAAGGGACTATATATTATATAGACAATGTAGTAACTAAAGAAAGTAGCCATGTGATAAATGAATAGGTTGAAAGACACATAACACTGGATAAACAAGAATTCAAGAATGGAAAACAAACAAATTGACTCAGGCTAGATATCATGACATTGATTTCATTTTCTACCTTCTAAACTTTTATCTATCCCTAAAGTTTTATAGATGTTTCCATAATTATTGGTTTTGTTTAATTCTTATTTCCAATTATTTTCCTATTAGCCACACAAAAAGCTACCTAAAGTTCTTGTTTGCAGTACACTGTTCGCATAACACCTCGCCAAACTATTTGTGTATCTATACTAATGCCCTAGTCTGCACCGAGTGATTTAGGCATTTTGGCTTGCTCTTGCTAACAATTGATTATTAAATCACAAAAATTTACTGTGACATTATGCACTGGTTAACAAGCCAATGCGTCACCCAAAGCAGTAGAACTGTATGGTGTAAACAAATTGTAGTAACAGTAACTAACAGAACATGAGAGAATAATAGGATTATATCTTCTCTAACAAAAACTAGTGTATAAGTGAGATTTAAGTGCTTGAACAACTAGAAATTGAAAATTTGTACCTCGCCCCTTGACAAGCAACCTGTTGATGTGAACCCCATGCACTTTCTAAATCATTCCGCATGAGAATCCCGTCTGGATATCAAAACTACAATGAAATTGTAGCAAGCAGTAGGTTCTCCCTCTACATAAAATAAATGTTATAATGCAAGAAACAATATATTAAATATAATCTTGCCAATTGCCTCTAATAAGTCTATAAAATTTCATAATATTCAGGGCAATAGGATGCTAAAGAAATTAACTTGTGATTATGATCAAAGCAATAAACTTGCTACAATTACCTATGATATAGAGGAGTATAATCAAAATAAAATACCCAAAATATAGAGAAATGTGTCTTGAACTTCCTACCCAAAATATGAGCTCGCTAGGACGAACTCATCGTTGTCACAATCTAAGTTAATGCAAAACAAACAAAAATTTTGCTTTTTGAAGTAGCTTGTGAGACCTGCCCGATTTGATTCTCTTCTGAGAGACCTTTTGCCCCATGACAAATGAGTTGACCTTTCCTTAAGGCATCCATCACTACCTGCAAAAGCTCAAAATATACAAAAGCAAAATAGAATATATGTGCAGAAAATATCCCAAATGTGGAAAGAAGAATCATTACTGTACAAACTCTAGCATTCTCCGCACCCTTCACAGGCATCCAAAACATCGAATCATAGAATACATAAAAAGAGAAAGAACTAGATAGTGTCTTGAAACAAGAAATCAAAAGCAGAAAATCAAGAAATCAAAAGCTTTTTCAGAACCCACTTGAATGCGAGTGAAAGTGAAAAGGAAAAACAACAACGAACAAGTAACCCTATACTAGGGTAGAATAGGGTTTTGAAGCAATAAAAAGGAGAATCCATTTTTATGCTGAATGTTTGAAGACAGTCGATTCAGGTGAAAAAAAAGTCAAATCAGAAACAAGGCAAATCTTGGGCGTGTAGTACATAATCCTACGCGCAGAATTTCAGAAAAAAAAAAAAAAGAAAAAAAAAAAAATCAGGAAATAAAAAAAAAAAGGAAAGAAAAAAAGAAACAAGAAAGCAAACGGGAGAATGTGTGAAAGAAGATTGAATACATGATAAAGACAAGAAGCCAAAATGAAGGGAGGTTTACAAGTAAAGAGTGACACGGCTTATTTTGATAACGTGCAACTCTCATGTATTACAAAAAAAAAAAAAAAAAAAAAAAAAAAAAACAAACAAAGAACGCAAACGGAAAGATTGATAAATGATAAGAACAAGAAGCCAAAAATGAAGGGAGGTTTACAAGTAGGACCACGCTATAACTTTGATAACGTGAAACCTCTCATGCTATTACATTGTTTTGCCGCTAAATCTCACTGTAATCACGCCTATAATCACCATCAAAAGCCACGCTTTTCAAGCTAAATATATATAAAATATAATTTAATTTAACGGTTAAATCTAATAATCAAATACATATATCTAACCCTTTTTTATATTAATGGTGGCACCATTATTTCCCATTACCATCTTGCGGACCCGAAAAAAAATCGATGGAAAAAAGAAAAAACTGGAACTAAAACAGGCCAGAATCAATTGACCGGAGAGAGATCAAATTCCGGCGCTGGAAACTGACAGAAAGAGAAGTGAGCACGCAAAAGCAACGGTATAGATTTATACAAATGCCTCTGTGTGCTCACTCTCTTCTGTCAATTTCTGTGTCCCAGAAGATCAGAAGAGAAAGAAAAATAAAAAAAAATTTTAAGATAAGAAAACAAATTTTATGCCCAGAAATGGAAAAAACTAAAAGAAGCATAAGGAATACAAAAGAGCGGAGTCAGATCTGAGAATACCCAGTGAGAGACATTTAAGGAAAGTTACTACGTTTCCTGTTCCTTTTTCTGTAAGAAAGAAACGCTTTAATGACGACTTTAGGGTTTTTATTGCGACCAAGTAGCTCAGTATAGCCACCAGAAAGTCACGAACGGCCTACTCTCCTTCTTTGCAAACACACCCTATCTCTATATCTATTTGTTTCGCTTGTCTCTCTCTCTTTCATGCAAGACGTACAGGTGTCGGTGACATGTACCAAGTGTCCTCTTTTTCTGAACAAATCTAACAGTAAATATGAACGGACGATAATGGCTCCAAAAACTATTTCTCCTTTTCTCCATGTCTCTATCCATATAAAAAAAAGAAAAGAAAAAAAGATATATATTCTATACTTAAGAAAGTAAAACCAAAATGGTTTTTCCGTCATGAATTAGCATGTGATCGGTTCTTCAAACGAACAGAATAGAACGGAACGGAGGGGTCGTTTTCTGGAAAGACGGGTTTCAAGTGGAGAGGAAGAGAAGAGAGAAGAGAACAAGTGTACTCCGTATAAATCTGATTGGGTGGCAGGAGATTATTTGAGAGTAGTTGTCGCTTTCATGCGCCTGTCATCTCTGGCCGTCCATTTTTACTCCTTTTTCCCTGCCGTTGGATAGTGGTGATGGTGGGGAATTTCGTCTGCAAGTGGTCTCTCTCTTGGAATTCGGGCCTGGGGTTTTGTCTTCTAACTATGCCCGTTCTCTTCTTCCATTTCTCGGGTCGATCTACGATGCACTTCTAAGACAGACATTTGCTGTTTGTAAAATTAATTTACGTAGGAGTTTACCGGAAAAATATTCATGGGAAGTCACACACAATCACTACCTAAGTTTGGTGTTCTAGAAGACGGGGAGATGGAGATATTCTCGTGTGTTATCTCATGTCATTTAAAAGGATAGGCTATCCTCTCGCTCTGTCGTTTAAAATGTTTTTTCGAACCAACTCTTATTTTTTTAATTTTAGTATTTGATGAGAAATATTTATAATTAACTTATTGGTATTTATACTTTTGGTAAAATTAAGTGTATTTAATTGAAATTACTCAATTGATTTCCTTTATTTATTTTTCTAGATGATCAACTATGTCTTGTGTTTATAAATATTTCTCATCAAATATACATTATTGTGCCTTATATTTTGTGTTTTGTTCAAACATCAGCGAACCACGTGATTCTATTATTACAGGAGCGTCTGTTTCAATATTTTTAATATCTTATTTTTAAGAAGTTATGCCCTCCCTTTTTTCGTATGAAGCATGATTCTAATAATATAAGCTGACGACGCTCTTCATTTTCGAAAAAAAGGAAAAAAAAAATCCCCTTTTCTGTAAATTTTCACCTGAGTCAACATTGTTGCATTAGCTAGCCACCAATCAGTTTGGTAGCTTGCTTATGATTTATGAACATAAACATGAAAATTATAAATTTGAAACTCTATTAAATGATTTTTCATTTGCACTAAACATGAAAATTTATTAACAAAAATCAAGTTTTTAAAATTTTATGAAATCCCTTCTTTCAAAATAAATAAAAACCATAAGAAAAGTCTTAAAATAATTAAACAAACCTTTTTTTGTTCTTTGAAGCCTGAATTTATATTTCAAATACATAGAATATACATGTTTATAATGATTGTATAAGCTCCTGAGCTATCTACTTCATTGAAGATGAATGATGAATGAAATTAATAATCAATTAAGAAATTAAAGAAAATTAATGATATATCAATATTCTCCGATTGGTTATGTATATATAAAATACAGTTGAAAGGGTGTTGAGAGTAGAGAAAAGAGGAAATTGCAGAGAAGAGAGAAACTGAAGCTGGACTACCTTTAAACCTATTTTGTAGGTGCATGTATTTAGTTTCTCTCAGTCTAGTGGGCGAGGCGGGGCGGGGCGGGGCCCCTCCGTACTCTACTCTAATCTAAATCTTTTCTTGTCTCTTCTCTTATATTTCATTTCATCACCAACTCACAATCTTCTTCTTCTTTTCTTTTTCCCTTTCTAAATTAAACTAATTATATGCGAGTTTAAGAGATTAGTTGCATATTAGTGTTAATATTATTATTTACAATTAATTGCTTGATTCTATATATAAAATAATAAAAGAAAAAAAAATTATAAAGGTTAGTGTCAGAACTGAGAATATAAAGAATGCAAATAATGTTTGTTTAAGTTGTAGATCCTGAAACTAAATAATGGTAATGCTAATGATAGAGAAATGCATGCAATATTAAAAATAGGGAAAGAGTGAATTGATTTATAGGGAGCAGAGACCACGCCATTAAAGCCCTAATGACCCACACATCAAACTTCTTTCATCTCATTTAAATACTTGAAATTTTGAAACTTTAGGTTAGAGATATGGTTTTGGACCACTCATTAATTTTTCTAAGCTTAACCCAGACTGTATATTAATTCAAGCAGCTCATGCTCATGCTCATACACCAACTCTCACTTATACACAGTAAACGACGACCCTTTCTTCTTTTAACAAATTTAATGAGTTAAAATAACATTGCAGTGTTATATAAAAATTAAAAAAATGATTTATATTAAAACAAAACAATTAATTTAAAACTGCTTATATATATATATATATATGATGGTCATAATCATGGTTTGACTAGGAAGTAGGAAATACAAAACGACATCGCAACCCATGTGCCAAGTGTCAGTTTCATCCAAGTTGCATGTTGTGGTGGCCCATTCTTTTCCAAAATCTCTTTAATTTCTTCGATTTTACATTATTTATTTACTTCCATCAGACAGTTTTTATGTACATAAACTATGTTAAAATTTCATATAAAACACATTTATATATTATATAGAACATCGCAGCTTTAATTATAATACTGTTAGAAAGCACAATTCGATATGCCATTTTTTAGGTCTCAAGCATCAACTTGCATTATTTATTACCTAAATCTAAATAATTTAATGTTGAAAATAAGTTCTTTAACTCCAATCCGTAAATTTTGCTTTCCTTATGCGAGTATTTCTCAAGAAGTTCAATTTATCATAAAAGAACAAAAAAAAAAAAAAAAAAAAGTCCGTAATTTTGTTTTTCCTTATGCGGATATTTCTACAGAGAAAAGAGTTCAATTTATGATAAAAGGAACAAAAAAAAAATAAAAAAAAAAAAAAAAAAAAAAAAAAAAAAAAGTATTATACATTTCTAGACAAGTTGCATTTTTTTTTAATTTATTTATCCTTATCAAATAGACCAAATTTAAACTTTAAGATTTATTTTGTTATTATTTTATTCATTTTTATAAAATGATAAAAATATTAAATATTTCATTTAGCTTATTTTATTTTTAAAAATAATTTATAAACATAAAAATATTAGATGATATAATTAATTTAAGTTCAGAAATTACAGAGGTTGATTCTACTACCTTTCGAGGGGAAGGGAAAAATATTAGGCGTGGGCGTACTACTGGTCCTAGAGACTGATTTGTTTGGGAAAATAAATTAGGGAAAAATATGACAGAAAATTTGAAAAAAAAATATATATTTTTTTTTTCTTTGCGAGGAAAATTATTTTCCTTTATTAATATATTTTATAAATACAATATTTCAACATTTATATTCAATAGCGATAGAAATGATAAGATTGTCTATTAACGATGATGACAATGTTGACACTCGATAAGAACAGATGACATCATCCCCATCTTCTTTAAGGTTGCATGCTTTAGGATTTTTTGTAAAAAAATAATTTATAATATTACCACTAAACTCAATCAATTAAGGAATCCAACTATGTCATGGAATCCTAATCAATAATTTAAAGATAATTATTACTAGAAGAGGAGCCTTATGTAATAAGACACCTAGTTAATGATTATATTCGTTAAAACTCTACTAACAATAACCTGTAATCCGACGATTTGTCAAACGGGCTCGGTCCTGTAAGAATGAGAAGAATATAACTTTAATTTATATTAAATCTACTTATTAAAAGAATTTAAAAATCTTTACGCTATACAGCTCAAACGAGATTAATAACACCTAATTTTTCCAAAAAAAGAAAGGATAAGATCAGGCAAAAAGAAACAACAACTTGTAAAACTCAAGCTAGCAATTGGACATGAAAGTTTGTGGTGGTGAAAATGAAGAAGTGGTGCATGAGAGAATGGATAAGATCCTTCTGTTCCATTTTCACCGTGACCATGGAATATAAAACACAGAAACGTACACGTGTGCTCTGCTTTCTCTTAAAGGGGGAAGTCTACAGTTTACCATCAAAAAGGGCATCATTTAAGTTTTGAACAGACAATAAATTTTGTCTCTATAGCTAGTTGGTGCCAATTACTGCTTACTTACAGGTACTCACTAAATGCCGCCATATCCATTTTGTAGCTCCACAGAGAACAAACAGTAAACCCTACTTAAAAAACAAAAAAGGAAGGTCACAGACTCACAGTTTAAGCTTTGACCAAATAATAGAAATGCATACTAATTTGAGTTTGAACGACAAACCAACAAAACGCACTAATAAAAATTACCCATTAGAGGTTGGATGTTGGAATTGCATGTGGGGATTGGGGCCACGTCCCATTTCAATATATACAGTCACTGACGTTAGAGCTACCATATATATCATGGCTAAAATGAAATGTTATAATGTTGGACAGAGCACAATCATTAACGTAGCAAGTGGACATGACACACACGACACAAGTTGACGCACTGCTAAAACAGGAGAAACAATTAACAAATATTGCTGCTCCCACTTTGATATATTTATATTCATATATGTATATATAATTGGAATGGAGGTCAATTTTTCTACTAGAAATATGTGGAGGAAACGAAAGGAGGTTTTCAAAAGTCAAACCCAATAACATAAAATTCAACGAAAACAGACAAGCAATTTGTTAGAATTTTACTTTGTTGGATTCTGTTGCCTCTTCATAAACATAATCATAGATATTTTTTCTTGTGTTAAGTGGTGATGCAGACGCAGACGCAGACGCAGACGCAGACGCAGACTATTCACTATCTATCTCTCTGGGCAGTTCCAAATAATTCTAGAACTTTATCCCTTTTATTTTATGTACGGGTTTCAAAGGACAATGCTTGAGTTTAGTACTTAAAACAACTAATATTTAATCATAATTAAAACAAAACGTCGTCTTATCTTTCTGTCTCACTCTCTAAACCTTTTATATATAATAATAAAGAAAAATAAAAATATTAAAGACGGTTAAGAAATCCTAATATGCAAACAAAACAGGGTGATTTACTGGGACTCTACTAGGCCCAAAGTTCTTCAATGGGCCGCTTTTGTATCATATCTTAGACCGTTTCAATTGCCACCTCGTTTGGTTTGGTTTGGAAATCTTTTGGGTATTCATTTTCCAGAACCAGCTTGGCATATCATCAAGTTCCCTAAACCACAAACCACAGTAACCGAACCCACCACCCATCGAGTTCCTTAAGATCATAATTTCGCAGTATAGATGATGCAATTGGAAGAAATTTTTTTTTTTTTTTTTTCGAAAAAAAAAAAAGAAAAAGAAAAACAGAAGGAAAAGAAATTGCAATTGGTAGAGAATTTCAGTAGAAGACATTGCTGACAGCAAGACTCTGAATTTGTGACATTATCTATAAAAAGAACTATTTAACAAAGCTAACCCAATGTACTCTACTGTCGCTCTCGAATGACATAAATATAAGCCAAAACTAACCCTACAACCACTGTAAACTAAGACTAGAACTGTTTAATATAGCCACAAACCTACCAATTATGTCAAATGATGACACCAAATACACAAGCAATGGCTTACTGTGTCGATGGAGCATTCATATATCATCAAAAAGCTGCAACAGAAGGCACTGGAGGTTCTGGGGGTCCATAATCCATAGAAAGCAATCTAGTTAAGATAGACCTGACAAGTATAATTTAAACTCTTCGGCGTTTTTTTCCACTCTTCACCTCACTTCCCTGTCCTTTAGACTTCCTCTTGATACTTTCTTGCAGTTTACCGGAATCTGTTGACTCCTCCTTTTCCTCAGTTTCTTTCACCTTTAAAAAACCTGATTTCAACTTTCCAGTGCCATTAACACTAGATTTGCCCCCACTCTTTGGAGATTTACCCTTGGCATTAGAGGTAGCCTTTGGGGTATCTTGCTTGGATTTGCCAGTCTTCACGGTTTCTTGCTTTGACTTGGAAGAGGTTTTGGGGGTTCTCATGCCATCCTCTTTCGACTTGCCAGTTTTGGATGCACTCTCATCATTTTTCGATTTGCTCGATGTTTTTGGAGTAACATCAACAATTTTACTTCCACTTCTACTGCTGTTATCCTTAGTTTTGCCTACACTATCGTCCTCTGCTTTCTTAGCAGCTTTTGACTCGTCCACTGATTTACCATCTGTTTTACTAACTTCCTTTGATTTTCGTCCAGATTTTGTTGCTGCATTTTTAGATTTGCTGGAGGAAGCTCCTCCCCCCCTACCAATTGAATATACACAACTATCAAAAACCCAAATTTAACAACAATAACAAGAGTTCAGGAAAAAAAAACAGAAAAAAAAAAAAAATCACCTCAATGGAGAAGCGTCAACCTTCCCTTGCTTACTAGATTGATCAGAGTTTGTTTTCACTTTTTTCTTTAGGGGCCTGGTCAGAATCGTCAGTCAAGTAGTGTGGTAAATACACTTTCAAATCAAACAAAAATCACGAAGCCAGATAAGCACTCAAATACTCATCCTTGAAGGCAATGGTCAAGTGTGATGCCATTGGATACAATCCCCAAATTTAGCATGTTTTCCAAGACAAAGAGGACCATGTAGTGGGGCAAAAGAAAATTCCAAATTCAAAAGACAATGTAATTATGATAAAAAACTGATATAAACAAATACACATACATTTCTGAAGGAACTTCCAGACTTTGTCGATCAGCTGCTTCTCCCTGTCAACAAGATCTGTCAGCAAAAAATCTTGAAAATCCAGTAATGCAACAGTTAGGTAGGCACTCACCTCGTCTTGCGCAGAGTCATCTTTAATAACTTGCCATTTCTCTTTTTTGAGAGTTAATGTTTCTACATCCCCATCATCGTAGGTAACCTACATAAATGAATATTTATAACATTCTGCTGTAACTTTAATCTGTGTGCTCGTCATGCAGGCATACACAAATGAAAATATAACATAATGATGTTTATATATGCATATATAAGCGCACACATGTATCTAACTATAATGGAATATGCATATGCATGTCGCATGAAACAAAATTAGTGAGATGAAATGATCCAAATAAAGAAGGGAAGAAAATAAGAGCATTTAAGAATAATGGAAATCAGGCATCCGATATTGAGGTCTTCACCTTATGCTTCTTTCTAACAGGATCATAACCACTGATTTCACCTTCATAAAATCTGCAAAATCATATAATGTACATAAGAAAATTAACATCCCTTCCTTTTATTTCACGGGGATAGAAATAGTTAAAAGCCAACAACAACAACAAGAAGAAATTGTCACAAATATAACTTTCACAGAGTAGTGCAGAAAAAGTTTGGTGAGATCCAACCGTTATAGGCCTTTGGTCCATACCTCAAGCTAACCTTTGGGTAAACACGGATAGTAAGAAATTGGTGTAACATAGGTCACCAAATTAGAAAGCTTCAGGGCTTGCTTATTTGTGAGACAGCCATGAATGCAGAGGCTGTCCCAAACATCATCAGCAAAGGCTTCAGCTACATTGTGTGAACAGTATATACAAACAAGAAAATTTGCTTAAAAGTTTTTTATCACTAATTAAAATTACACTATTTAACCTCCATATATTAAGATAAAAATTAGATCAATCAAGCCAGGGAAGAGAGAGTATTAGTTCAAGTAGAATGAAAAGTTAACTTCCACATGCTACACTTGTTTACTTTGACTCTACTTAGCCATGTAATTACAGATACATTCACATAACACATTCAACCCAAGTTCGAACGTTAACTCTAACAATGGCACATGGAAAGAGAAATTGTAATCAACGAAAAAAAGGGAAAACTTACTGGCGATCTTTTGGCCACCAAACTTTCACCCTTAAACCAACCAGAGCAGCATTAGAGTCATCGTTATCAGATCCCTGACACAGCAATTGTGATTAATTTAGAAAGCTGCTTGAAAAATTCAAGAGCCTTTTAAGCCAACCCAACCAGTAATACTAGCAAAGATGCGTCCTCAAAAGACTTAAGAATTCAAGAAAATTTTATCCACATTGCAACAAAAGAATATAACATAGTGGAAAATTTTCTAAAGAGCAGAAATAGGCCATAGCATCAGCACAGATGAATCTCCATTCCATAGAAATTATACTCCTCATAATAAGTGTGCAACAAAAATCTCACAAAAAATATCTACCAAAAGGATATGCATGATTTGGGTTTTATGCATGCGTACCTTTTCATTGCTCGAGCCACGCTTCCTCTTCTTGTCGGTCTTGGGGGTGTCCTCCAACTGATGCTCATCTTTTGTTGATTTTGTTGCTGACTTCGGTGAGAAGACCTTTTCCTAAAACAAATCATACAGACAACTAATTTATATTGTTTCATTCAGCAAACGAAATTTGCATACAGCAGCAGTCGACAGAACTCAAAGTCATAATTGAAGGCCCTAAGAGAAAAAGAAATTACCTTATCATCAGCTTTAGTTGAATTTTTTGACATACTTTTATCTGAAATGGATTTTCCACGACTGCGCTGTTTCTTATCCTCAGATTGATTTAAAGAAGATCCATCACCATTGTTACCACTCGTAGCTACCTTCTTAGATGACTGCTTCAGTGGTTTCGCCTCTGATTCACTTGTTGTTCCAGTTTCCTTCTTAGTCGCATCTGTTGTCAGTGGTGCCTTTTCCTCATTGGAAATCTTAGCAGGTGCCTTTCTTGCTGATCGTTTATTTGGCTTTGCTTCAGAATCACTAGTTCCTTCAGATGTCTTTTTTGGAACATCATCAGCAGATGGTTCAGAATCTTTTATCAACGTCTCTTTCTTCTTCGTTCGCCCAGAATTCTTGGAAAGATTTTCATCAGGAATGCTCCCACTAGCAGATGGAGAAGCAACATTCATTGATTCACCCTCCTGTGCCTTGGGAGAGGGAGGCTGACTACTAACTGCCTCTTTTTTATTTTCAGAAGACACAGTTGCCTCAACGGATGGTTCCTCCTGAGGACAGCTAGGAACATCCTTGCTATGAGTTTGATCATCTGGCAGTTTATGCGCTTCCTTATCAGCACCACTCTGAGAACTCTCAGAAGCTTCTGTCAACTTTGTAGATGAATTAACTTTCTTCCCTTTCTTCTTGGTAGCCTGTTCTGGTCCGGTTTCCTCATTAACTATCTTCTCAGAGTCCAGAACATCTGTGTTTGCATTGCTTGACATGTCAATACTTTTTGAATGGTCAACTTGATTGCCATCCTCCTGCTTCTTTAAAGAACAGGAATCTGCCAGAGAGTCATCTTCTCCAGTCTGTGCAACACCATTGCTTACAACTGACTTGGGAGATTTATCATTTGTACGATCAGCTTGTTTAGAAGAACCTGCATCTGTTGCTATTGCTTTATCAGCATCATCTGATGATGCTCCAGCTGGCTTGGTCTCTTCAACCTGCAGCAAGTCAACAAAGCAACGTCACAAGAACCATACAATAATTGAATTCAGAACAAAGGATGGACGCACAAGCTGGCTGCATAAGTACAAAACTAGATCACTCGTCGCAGAAGCAAAAAAATTTCAAAAATGACTTGAGCATATACAAAATCATACACTACATGAAACCAAATTCCAAATTCTACAATGTAGAATCACCAATCATTTAAAAAGAAGCGCTACTGCAAACCTTCATCTATTATACCTAATGAATGACAACCTTGGTCAAAGCTACAAGTGCAAACTCTCTGAAATAGGATGCACATAAAATATAGAAAAGATGGCAAAAAAAAAAAAAAACTCAAAATCACCTAGTGCCTGTTTAACAGTAACCTAAATTAAACTAGAATAGCAAGAGTAATGAAAATATTGACTCAATAGAAATTTAAAACTACTTGTTTTGCATGTATAGATCATCAAATATAGGTTAAAATGCAAAAATCCAGTTTAAACCTATGAAGATGGTGAAAATAATAAGAATATAGAAAATGGGTACTCTTCACCTAACACATTTTCTTTTTCTTTTTCTTTTTCAAAGGACGAAAAAGCACATCAAACCTGAAACTGCAATGATAATGATCAGGCCATGAGACATCATTGAACAAAAAATTTGTTAAATCAAATTGCAAAGGGAAAATGTTCAAGCGTCTCCATCAATTCAGAAAACAGAAAATTATACAAATTTGACATATTAGGTAACGCGCAATGCATTCTCCAATAACTAAAATCACGATTATATGATACATGCAATATTATCTTTAGAAGGATCAGAAGCTTACTTTATTTTCATCAGCAGCATGTGCATCACTTTGCTCGACAGTACCAGATATCTCTTGGCATATGGAAGCAACAATGTCACTGTATTCATCTAAGGAAGCACCCAAAGAATTCACAGCCTGTTGCAAGTAAGGTTTAACCTTAGCAGCACAACTTTCAAGTACTCTCTCTCCCAACCTACGAGCAACAGGTAGAACTTCCTGAAAAACAGGAAAAACTGTCAGCATATTTTAGCAAATCCAAGAAAATTTAAAAGTACAAAGATGGCAGAAAAACATAGGAATAGTGTTGACCTCGTTGCCCCTTTTCACACTAGCTAAAAGGGGAGAAAGAAGTTCTGGAGAGATATCTTCACTTTCTTCTAAAACAAGGGTCATAATGGTTTCCATAGCTGTAATGACATTCTCTGGGTGATAATCCCTGGGAAAAAAATGAACTCTTAGTATATAAGGCATTATCAACCCACAATGTTCTTAACAGTCACTGAAACCAAGTAGCATAACCTCACAAGAAAGTGGAAATATACTTGTGAAAACCATCTTGTAAAGGAATAGGGTTATCAACTTTGATTAAGAAGTTTTTTCTTTAAGCAGGTAATTTTTTTGTTGCCTCAAGTGAGCCAGTGTGACACCATGGTGCAATGGGTGTCTACCTTCCTGGTAGTGCAATCACAGCACCATGTCAAGCAAAAATTCAAACAAAACATTATTATAATATAATGCATTCCTAGAAGTTAGCTTTAAGTTCATACTTCGTAGAATTTAACTAAGAGTCAAAATGCTCCATCCACCTTACCAGAACTTGAATACAGATAATGGAAAAGCAGTCATTTCAATATATATGAACTTGGCCCTTAATCCGATCCAAAGGCAAGAGGAATAATCACCAAACATTAAGAAAACCAGCCTATACTGACCATTGATTTGAGACTCGGACAATTGAAGGCAAAAAGAAATCAAATGCAGTTGTCATTATGAAAACAATAATCACCTCTGGATAAAATTCAGTTTCTAAGGAACAAAACAACTGCTACTGCAAAGGTGGATGACAAAACAGCAGCAAGCTTTCATTAGATAATAGTTCAAACATACCTTACAGCATTGAGGAAATGCTGGAACATCTCAATTATCAAGGCATCGCATTCAAGATCCAGCATCACCACACATGACCTAACCTTTGCAACAGTTTCAAGAACTGCAGTCCTTTTACCATATGACGGACTAGACCTATCAGCTAGATTTTCAAAGCATGATACAATCAGCTGAAAAACATCCTGCATACACATAAAATGAAATATAAAAATAAGAGGGGAAGAAACAAGGAAAAGTTGGCTCAAAACTGCTATAACACTTGGCCCTTATATCTGTACACATTTAAAGATGTCAAATATGAAAAAAACTCCCAAGTACCTTCATCTGCTCATCATCATAAGGCGCATCTGGTGCAGTTATTCTGGTTATTTCACTAATGCAAGAGGCAACTGCAACTCTCACATCAACATTCAAATGCTTAAATAGTTGATCTGCAACCAACGCTTTCAGTGATGGGGCAAGAGCATCTTGCATCGCTCTTGAAGGGGACTGCTCCACTCTTGACAGACAGTTTTCTACTTGCTACAGCCACCCAGGACAATAAAAAGCACACGATTAAGCAAAAGGCACTCAACACTTCACAGAAATATAATTAGACAAACAAACATGCATGGCTAATCCTACTATTCATTAACAGTAATTTCAGCACAACAATAAGGAACCTTGTGATACTTAAATCTAAATCACAATCACACCAACCCATCCACCCTATACACAGCCATTTCTTTGGTTTCTGCTAATGATAATACTTCAAGCATTAAAGGACGTGCAAACAAAGTGGCATCATTCGCAAAACGTCACCAAATTCTATCATGGGATCAAAGAATCAAAAAGGCTTTACCTTCAGTTATCTAGTAACTGAATACATACGCACATATGTCCATAACAAACAACTACACACTATTTTCTGCCGACGTCATAAAAGATTTTTGTTGAAGCGGGAAAGAGATATTCTCCCAAAAGAAACCAAAGAGAGGTATCTCTCATATTCTTGAGATAAAACTTATCTGAAGGATACTGCTTTGAAAGCGTACAATAGGAACAAAGCCTAAACATTCTAAATCATGAGACTTATAAGGATACAAATATGGAGCGACATTCATCATATATGTAATATGTAACAAAACTGAACAAAAATAAAAAAGGCCATACTGAAAAAATATTTCATAGCAGATTAAATGAAGTTGACACCATAGGATCTTCACAGTATTTTGAAAGAGAAAAGATGAAAGAAAAGAAAAGGAAAAACTCCACCTTTTTCCTAACGTTGTTATATTAATTGTCAAATCGAAATTCAATTTGAGAATCAGAATCCTTCTTTTTACGATTGACAATCGAATCATAAGATTCAGCAATAACTTTTCAAAATAAATTAAAAATAACATATGCACATTTATGGATATATTTTCCATTAATTTTACCAAAAGATACTGAAACTTCGATTGCAAATAATGAATTTATATAAATTTCAATTCTAAATCATATATTAAACACAAAATGAAAGAAAACCTAATGACTTGTGTAGTTTGCATGTTCAAACTGTCAAACTATTAAGTCAAAAATTTAAAACATAAACAACGTAAAACTATCAAGCTATTAAATTTCCTTATCCATATCCATATATTCATTATCATTTCCAAATTGAAGCCGCTCATCATCTTCGTCTTCTGATATAACCATATCCTCTTGTTTTCCTTCTTCTACATTGACTTTTCCTTTTTTTTTTTTTTTTTTTTTTAAACACAAAATTGAAAGAAAAACCTAATGACCTTGTGTAGTTTGCATGTTCAAAACTGTCAAACTATTAAGTCAAAAATTTTAAAACATTAAAACAACGTAAAACTATCAAGCTATAAATTTCCTTATCCATATCCATATATTCATTTCATTTTCCAAATTGAAGCCGGCTCATCATCTTCGTCTTCTGATATAACCATATTCCACTCTTGTTTTCCTTCTTCTACAATGACTTTTTCCTTTTTTTTGTTTTTTTTTTTTTGTATGAGAATCATTGGGGAATGAGAATCGACTCGAATCGCATGAATTGTAAGGCTCATGCTTTCAATCCAATTCACCCTTTTTTTTTTTTTTTTTTTTGTATGAGAATCATTGGACATGAGAATCGACTCGAATCGCATGAATTGTAAGGCTCATGCTCAATTCCAATTCACCCATGAAATTTGTATAGTTTGGCATGAGAATTGAATGAAACCGTACGAATTGAATCGCGAAACGTAAGATTCTAAAAACATTGGTTATATATGGAAGGGGAAATAAGCACATACCTACAGAAGGATAGACGAATAAATTATATGTATGTTCGAGAAACTTGGGGCTATATGCGGAAGGCCGAAAAAAAAAGATCTCTTGTTTTAGAAGGCAACAAATTAACAAAAACCCTATTTAATACAACAATTCTCTCTACCAAACGTCTTGGCAGACCAACCGCAAAGGGTGTTACCAATGTCGTCAGTCTTAGTGCATCAATTTCCATACTTGATATTGAAAGAAGTCCTAGATATTGAAGACATAGTTGTCAAATCGAGATTTGATTTGAGAATCGAAATCTTTATTTTTAGAATCAAAAATCAAATCATAAGATTCGGTACAACTTTTCAATCAATTAAAAATAATGCATATGCATTTATGGATATATTTCTTATTAATTTTATCAAAAAACACTAAAATCAATTGCAAATTATGTTTTTATATAAATTCCAATTTCAGATCGAGTACTAAATACAAAATGAAAGTGATCCTAATGACTTATGTAGTTTCCAAATTCAAAACTACTAAGTTGATATTTTAAAACAAAAACAAACCAAAACTACAAAAACCTTCAAATTTCCAACCCAAGTTCAAATTCCATCATCATTTCAAAATTCAAGCCCTTCATCATATTCTCAACATCTTCATCTCTATATTGTCAAATTCTCTTGCTCTTCTTCCTCTACATTGATTTTTCTACTTGTTTTGCTAGGAATAAAAATCGTTGACCACGAGAATCAACTCAAGAATCGTATGATTCAACTCGCAAATCGTAAGATTCATGCTCAATTCCAATTCACTCATAAGATGTATCATTTGGCATGAAAATCAACTCAAATTGCAAGATTGAAACCATGAATAGTAAGATTCTAACATTGACTAATGAGCACCCTCATTTTCGAATTGGCGAAAGTTTCTTGTTTCAATATTATCCTATTAATAACGAATGACAATAGAGCATTGTTTACATTTGCTTCAGTTAGCGAATAAAAGGAATAACTTTTAATATATAATTATGCAAGATCTCCAAAACTCTCTATTTCTCATTGCAGATATGGACTTGTTTTTAATGCAAAATCTAAGTTATTGCTTCAAAAAAAAAAAAAAACGTGCGGAATACCATATTCGAAAACGCACGCCAGATACCGTATTTGAAAATGCGCGCCAAATACCGTGTTTAAGGTTGCGCGCCAAATACCGTGTTTAAGGTTGCGCGCCAAATACCGCATTTAAAATTACGCGCGAAAACAAGTCCATATGAATGCTATATGATACAAGATTTGATTGCCCTTCTTCACTTCCATTAAAATCAAAATAAACAACTAGTTTTGGATGCTCCTTTTCTTTTCTCATTACTTTGCATAAATGCATTATCCCATGAGGAGTGAAGTCCTAAATTGCAACAATGCACAATAAAAACTTCCTCCAATGCACAATAAATTATGCCATGCATTTACTCCTTTACTCCTTTTCTCCCTGATACGAGCCTCTGTTAGTATTCTGTACGTGTAACTATAGCATAGCTAACACCAAGAGTGCCAAACGCACAGAATGTCAGCGAAAAAAGAACATAAACAAAGGCAGATCACGAAATTCAATTTTAAACGATAATCTTCGAGCATCTAGATAGTAAAAGCAGCAAGAATAAACAGACTCAATGGACAAATAAATCACCAATTACATGTAAAAAGGAAACAGATGCAGAGACAAACACATATAACCAGGTGTTGTAAAAAGAAGAGCAGAAAAATTCAAAAAACGGTAAAATAAGGGCTTACATCGAGAAGAGCAATAAGCTCATCGACCGCAGGAGGAGGGTCAACAAGCCTATTGCCAGCTTCCAGAAGTTGTTGCTCGAGCTCTCTATCCGTCGACGCCATTGCTTATGTCGTCTCTCTCTCTGCCTATAAAAATAAAATAACTTAATATATCTACAGATCCTTCGAAATCTCACAGTCTTGCTTCAATCTCACACCATTGAAACCGCAGAAACCAACCTGAAAAGCACGAATCAAAGATGTAAAAAAAGGAAAAAAAAATGGATAAGAGATTTGGGGATTTTAGAGAGAGTGTGTGAGTTAGGGTTTTTAATTAGAGAGAGGGGGAGGAGAGTTTCGAGTGAGTTTTCTTTTCTTTTCTTTTCGATGTAATTTTTGAATTGAAGAGAAATAAAAAAAAAAAAAACCTCAAATAGGAGTAAACAATTATTTATAAATGGAAATTGATTTTTTACTTTTTCCAGGTTATTTATTTTGTACGCTTTAAAGGAGAATCCAGCGAAGCCTTGGCTCGGATTCCGCCGCGGTCGTGAATTCGGGTTTAATTATGAGGGTTCAAATCCGCCTTTGGATTTTCATTTTTCAGGCTTCGCCGGGGGGACCACCTGGGCTTTTTTTCCTCGGACCGCGTCCTTTTCAATTCTCTGCTCTTCTTTTTCCGGAATTATTTTTTCCAATTTGAAAATATCATAAAAAAATTTAAAAAAAAAAATACATTTTGCCAGATAAAAAAATGAAATATCTTTTTTTCAGATGAACCAAATAAAATAATTAACCTGTGATGTGTAATTTTTTATTTTCAACTTGGGCAGTAGGGGGATACTTACACCCTCTACCCGCCTTATGTTTCATATTAATAACCACAAATAATAATAGGTAGTACGAGCTCCTTGACAAATTTTCATGTAACTTTTAGTATTTAACGATATTGTTTGAGAGTGCAATATTTGCATTAGTATTTAGAGTTTAAAGAAATAAATTATCAAATGTTACTCCATTTAACATTTGATGAAACGTTAATTAAATAGTTGACAGCTAATAACTATTATAATAATTAATTTTTGCTGAACAAACCTCTATTCAACAATAATTTAATCCATCTATTTATTTGCTATAAGGTTCGCCCTAATTTTGCTACAAAGTTCGCAATATGCACGTAGAATGCATGGACAGAATGAGAAAAAAAAAATCATTTCAAATTATACTTTTGTGAGTATTCAACACAATAACTCATGTCATTGCCTCGAGGCATGATCGAAGAGATTATGAAATCCACAAATTTATTACGATAATAAAAATACTACGGACATAAATATCCAATCAATTATTCATACATCATAATTTTTATAGAGCCACAACTCTAACCGACGAACTATAACTTTAATCAGTTGAGGCTCAAAATTATCAAAACACTCATCGAGAAACTACTCATTTGCATCGGCATGAGATATCTTTCCGGCAACATTGAGATAAGCTGTTGAGTTACTTTTTAGTAATTAAAACATAAATATAAATAATATGTACACGTACATTAAAATTCCGAATCAAATAATATTTACATAATACAATTCTCTAATAATTTATTTTAATAAGGCCACCAAACTCTTTAACAATCTAAACGAACTAAATAAACTTTTAATCTTCAGGTTGAGGGCTCAAAATTATTTCAGATATTACACTTCTATTCTCGTGACTTATACATCAAACTAACTCAATCCAACAATACTGGCATGGTGATAAAGTTAAATCTTCTGCAAGGAACACATAACATTGTGAGATTATTGGCTGTTGAGTTACTTTTAATGAACCCATTTAACCATAATCTAATATTAAAGAATCTACAATATAAAAAAATAATAGGGTATATATATTAATAATACCTTATTTATGTTGGTTTTAATTACTATAAATCGGTAAAGACTCATTTTTGAAGGGCCGAGTGTATATAATAAATGAACAAAAAAATTATTTAAATTATTTGTTTTGCTTCTCAATAAGAAAATTGATCCTGTTAGTATATTTGAAGTCCCCAACATTGAGACTCGAAAAGTATGTTTAAAACCATTTTCTAATACTAGAATTATCAATAATTATAGAATTTCTTTTAATTTGAAATAAATCCACTGTTTAATGTGCTTTTCCAAAGATTATTCTCATCATCAATATCTGCATCATGTTTCCACCATATGTCGGTGGCGCCAAGAGGTGATTTTTTTTTTTTTGTTTGGATGAGTGGAAACCCAATGACGTAATAAGCCCGTTTGATGTAATATAAATAATAAAGAAAAAAATAGATTATGATTTGCATTTGACTAGATCCTATTTTTTTTTTTTTTTTGGAAGGAAATGCAAGGTGATTTAATTAAGAAAATAGATGATCATGTGTTAATAAAAACAAGGGCCCGGCAAATAGTTCCGTTAATTGAAAGTTAGGCCATATCGTTTGGTTCAGGTCAGTTTAATATTTCTCTTAGCAAATATATTTTCTGTTAATAGCACATGAACCAAAAGGAAAGCAATCGAATCAATTGAATCAAACCAATTTGATTTGATTTTTTATAAATTTTAGTTCGATTCAATTCATTTAAATTTTTGAATAAAATTTCGCATTTCATCTATGTAAAAAAAAAAAAAAAAAAGGTTCATTTGTATTTATCCACTAAATAAATACTTATAAACCATTATTTTCTTCCTAATCTTATATGCCCGAAATTGGCATCTAATCTATTGATTTGGAAAGTGATTTGGAGGCCTTAACTATATATATTTTTTTTTTCCAAAACAGTTTTTATTTTCTTTTATTTTTCTCTAGAAATATAAATTTAAAGTTAGTTATTTATTATTTTTGATGCCATCCAATTCTCACCTTTGCAAATTTCATTTTAGTAATGGCGGTTATTGATAGAGCAAATGCTATTTTATTACTCATAAAATATCAGTCCTAATTAACTAATTTATATATATAAACATACCGGTTTAATTAACGGAGTTAAAAGTATGAAATTCTTGAATCAACATTCCGATTTATGAAATTATCAGAATCGAATAGAACCATTCGATTTGAGACCAGTTATTACTAATTTGAAAACACGTGTATTGGTGAGTGATAGTTGGCATGTATTCGTAACGTTTTCTCGGGAAACCTTAAATCATTATTAAAATGGGAATAAATATGATACTGCCAAAAATATGATGCAAGCAAAGTCAGAGGCTGTTGTTTTTTTTTTGTTTTTTTTTAAGAATGAGGCCAGTCAAAGTTCATCATTGCATCATTGGTAGCATTATTTTAAAAAATCATAACCGCTATTCTTTTATTGATAATTTCAACATATTCAAACAATACATACGTGTTATTTTTATTTTTTTAGTATATATATACAAGATAATTCGTTTGCTGTAATATTGTGGATTTTTTTGGAAACAATCAGAAATTGCTATAAATTAAAAAAACTACATTTTCAGAACGTTTTTGAATTGATTTATTTCTATATATAATCAATAAATCTTTAATTTATTTCTATATATAATTAATAAATATGAATACGTGCTTCAATCTTTCTAACAACTCATAAGGAGATAATTGACTAAAAAAATTGAAAATTATATTTTGGAATCCGAAATTGCTGAAAAAAAAAAAAAAAGACATGTCATTTTAAATTATCAACATGTGTCCGAAAAGTGTGATTGTAATCGAGCTTTTAAAATGTCCACGCGATATAGAACATACAACACATTATTATAGTAACTCATTACACTATCAGTCTATTTTACAACATGAAACCATTATAGACCTCTTTGTACTCTTTCTTACAAAAACTAAATGACCACTGAAAGCTCGAGTGGAAAGATTCAGTGCGGTGTAACTTATTTTTAGGCCTAAGGGCCAAATCGAACCCTAGTGTAAAAAGGGTTATTTATATATACTTATGTAAGTTAATAAGCATAATCTTATATATTTACAACAGTATCAACCCATGGTGTAAGAAGGGGTAGGCAAGTTGATCACAGTACTCTTGACCTTTGTCATCATATTAATGCTATTAGTTATTCCTTGGGAGCCAATTCCACTGTCTTTCAGGCCCTGCAAAAAAGCAATGGACATGGATATTATTTTTCACTCAGTAATCAAATATAATCAATTCAATATTTCCAAATTGTGGCTTGGAAGAGATAAATATAAACTGTAGTTTCCAATTGTGCAATTTTCTTTTCTCAACATGAGCTCCAGGCAATGGAAGAACTAGGGGATGGCCAGCGGTTGCAGCTGCGCCCCAATTTTTTTTAAAAAAAATTTACCTTATAAAATGTAGAAAATTTCACTTTTTACCTCGATTTGATTTTTTTTTTTTTTTTTTATATCACCCCTCTAAATTTTGGAAAAAAATTTTCATCCTCTCTTACTATTTTTTCTGGTTCCGCCGCTTGCTCCGGGAGATTATACCATAGGATTACAATGTTCCCAAAGAATCCTATTCTGGTCACTCATTGCTTTGCAAGATTAGTAATAATGTAAATGCCAACACTGCAGTTGGCAGATCCTCTTGCACCCAAAAGAAAATTGATTTACACCCTCTGCTTGAAAAAATTTTTTTACCATCCTTACTATATCTAAACGGGAATGGGCAAAATTTTTCCATCTATATTTTTTGAACATGGAAAGAAAATTCACCTGGAATGGAAAATGATCGGGTCCACGAGCCGGTGCCGCATTGATTTGCACTGTTCCTGTCTCCATGGCATCACTTATCAAAATTGCTTTATTTATATCTTTTGTAAAGACGCATCCCTGCAACAATGAAATGGCTTAGTTTCTTTTAAGGGAAAAAGCTATGCATATTTCAATGACAAAAGGCAAAATGAAATACATCACTAGAAATCTTTATCCTGAGTTATTAATTTCAAAATGGCCTAAATGAATAAAAAAAATGAACTGCCACTGAAATTAAAGACATTACAACAATGTTCAAGATTTGGACCAGCAAAGCTATACCTGAAGGCCGAAATTGCTAGCATTACAGTGGTGGATTCCTTCTTCTACACAGTTTATTCTGATAACTGGTAAAACTGGACCAAAAGGCTCCTCCCATGCTATCCTCATATCAGGTCGAACATTATCCAACAACAATGGCCATATAAGGTTGCCCTCTCTTTTGTACTCTTGGCAGAATGTCGCTCCTTTGTGCTTGGCATCCATTACCAGCCCTTCAATAAAGTTCGCAGAGGATTCTGTAACGACTGGAGTAATATCACAATCATCTTCAGGTGGTCCAACAGTCAGTTTTACAACTTTGGCTTTAACTTTCTCGACAAGAACATCAGCTACCGAATCCATGACTAGAACAACCTTAACAGCTGTGCACCTTTGACCACTGATACAGTGTATAACTATTAGGATGCATCAAAGGCAAAGCAAGAACAATAATTTTGGCGGGTAATATCTTAATTTAAGACTTTTTTTGCTAATGGAGATGATTCCGAATCTCGCAATAACAGAAGAATTGCAGAAACAGTTACAGAGTACTTGATAAAAGATCCTTTCTTTCACCTGTATGAGAAGCCTCCTTTAACAATATTTGCAGCAACTAAATCCAAATCAGCATCTTCTAAAATGATACAAGCATCCTTGCCACCCAATTCCATCTGAAGAGGGATCATGCCTGCTTTTTTTGAGATGGCTATTCCAGTGTCTCCACCTGTGAAGCTGACAAATTGTGTCCATTAGTTAGGAATATTGTTTTATTGAGAAAAAATGGATAGTACTATTTTCAACTTTAGAAGTGCTTCTTTACATGGTTTATGATATGCACCAATAGCATCACAATCTACTGATGTAGCAAGCTCGAGCCAGAATCAAACAAATCATGCAATGAGGACATATTAAGAATCAGGAAAGACACCAAGTTGTTACCTTATGCAGTTGACACCAGGATGCATAGTGAGGAAATCACCAATTTCGGAACCCTTTCCTGTAACACAGCTAATAAGGCCCTTGGGAAAACCAGCCAAGTGAAAGCAATGGATCATGTGAAGTGCGGCTACGGCACCCTGCAGGAAACATGGGGATAAATCTTATAAAGTAATTTGACTCACAAAACTGTTTAGTGAACATCCTTTAAGGCTTCTTGGGTGGATTGTGGAATACAAAATAACTAGTATAAATCTACAGTTTATATTACATGCAAATGAGCAATGGAATATTTCAATCCATACCTGGGTTGGAGGCTTAAGCACAAGGGAGTTTCCAGCAATTAATGCAGGAGCAATTTTTGAAACAGCGAGATTGACAGGATAGTTGAAGGGTGGGATAGCTAAAACAACTCCTAGTGGAATCTGCATGCAGTAACCAGTCCAAGTAACACAGTGGAAAATTAAAAATGACATAATGACATAAAAGCAATCACATAAATCGACAACATGAACCTCTTTAGAGAAATATAAACGTGCACAATCAAGTAAAAATGTCAAAGACAAAATGGAACCAGATTTTCTTGCTCAGTTAAGAAGTTTTCATCTGAACATGTTTTTGCCTTTAGCTGTATATTTTTCATGCTATATCCTCAAAAATTTGTAACTTAATCTTTCAGAATTCAATAGTTTATAAGATTAGTTAACACCCCATCACATTCCCTATCATATTGTGACTGACTGCCAATCCCACATCACATGCCCAAACAAGATAGTTCCCAAATCTCCACCACAAAACAAGAAACAAGAAAAACAAAGAAGCGAAACTACCTTTGAAGTAAGACAGTATTTGGTTCTTTCATTCCCAGGAAAACTATCGGACACCAAAAATTTGCCTTCTCCAAGAATCCTAACCCCTTCTTCAGCGCAATACGACACCAAATCCCCAGACCTCACCACCTATCAAAAGCAACTATTAAGTATAGCATTTGATAAATAATTAAAGTATGTATCGAGGCATTGCCTAACAATAAGAGTACGTCTAAAAATATGCAAAAAATGAAAAAAAAAAAGAAGCAAGAGGTAAAACTCCAAAATTCTTAATAAACAAAAAATAATATTTTTCAGAGAGTGTTTGTCCTGCATACTTCAGTCACTGCATCCTTAGCCGGTTTTGCGATCTCTTTCACAAGGCACTCTGCAATGGGAGCTTTGTGCTCTTTCAAAATTGCTGCTGCTTTGTGAAGCAATTCTGCCCTTTTCCATAGAGGAATCTTTGCCCATGATTTCTGAGCTATTTTTGCTGTTTCTATGATCTTGTTCACCTCTTCTTGAGAACAGGCTACAATAATTTAGTTCAATCAAAAAAAGAAGACACGAGTCAACGAAATCACCCATCACTACTGTCATTAAAGCAAATTAATAAACTTGTGCCAAAAGAATAATCTACCAAAACTAAGATCATCTGCAGTCAAATTCTAAACAGTTCACCAAAAATTATGTAAAAAGGAAGTACCTTGGACCTTAAAGTGGGTCTTTCTAGTAGTGGGATTAATGATAGGCACTGATTTTCCAGAGGAAGACTTTCTCCATTCACCATCCGAATAGAATTTATAAACACCATCTCCATCAACTATCTCTGCAAAAACTCCACTTCCAGCCATTTCTTGCAAGCAAGTAGAGCAGTTTGATAATTTCTTGACTAAATACCAGTTCTTTATATAAGAATGGAAGGGACTAGTTGTAGATAATAATAAAAGTGAAGGCTTGGACCAGTGTAAAACCTGGCTTGTCAACTACATCCGTCGCAGCTCGTTACTTTACTGTGGGAGGAGGCTGAAAATGTGCCACATGGTTTGGAATCAAAGTGTTAGACAGTTATTATTAAATGAGTCAACGAGGGTGTTAAGACCATGGGTTAAAGTCCGTGATGCTATAGTATAACCATGTAGCCCAATTTTAAACTATACACTAAGGCCCAAATGGCTATTGGGCCTACATGATACTTTCCGTAAATAAATCTAATAATTTTCTATAACAAAAATTTTCAAAGTTAAATTAATAAAATTATAATTTTATCAATAGGGAATTGATCTGAGTGGAAAGTAGCCTTCTCTGGGCAGAGCATTCCATAGAAAAAAAAAAATTAAAACCTAAAATTTATAGAGTATTGAAAAAATCTTGAAATAGTTCCATTATGAAATAATATTTAATATCATTAATTATGAAACAATTAAAAATTTATTTTTTAAATATTGATGATTTTATTAATTTATTTAATCATTTTAAACAAGAAACTAAATAATATAGCATTAATATATTAATTCCCACTCTATTAATGTGTATATAATAAAAAAATAAATATATATTTTTTAAAAATTATCATATGATGCAAGTGTTTTGTTTTCAGCTTTTGGATTTATTTTATTTTATAGACAAATATTATATAGATGTGAAATTTTAATTATATTTATTTATAATTACAAGGGCCAAATTTGCAAGAAAAAATATTTTTCTAAAAAAAAATCATGTATTAAAATTTTAGTAAAAAAATCATTTTTGTAAATTGAAAAATATGAGGTTTATTATGAAAAAAAGGATTTTGGAAAACAATTTGTCTTAATTAAATTAAAAAATGAGAAATTGGTAGATATTATCATATTAATAATAAAATTTTTTCAGTTTTGTATAATTTTTTTTTAAATTGATTCTTCCACAAGGAAGTTCCTTATTTAATTATTTTCTTGTGTGATTAAATTTCCGCCATTGACTTCACCTTCTGAGTCAAGAGCAAGTCTGATCAAATGGAAAATATCCACGTCATCAAAATTCCAGCTGTAGACCTCTCATTGGCTATAACCATGTCACCCAACGTGTCGCAGGTTCAAACATCTCCGTCTCTTCTCTCTCTAAAAAACTCAGTTTCCTCTGATCTGTGTCTCGAACCAAAAAACAGTTGCACAGATCGCATACAAATGAAAAATAAATAAAATAGATAATTTCTCTCTCACTGAAAAACCCTAATTCGAAATTTGAAACAAAATTTTCTTTCAAGCTCATTCATTCTGATAAATTCACCTAATCGTGGCTCCCTCAGCTCCACAAGCCCCTTCTCGAAGGAAACCCTTTTCTTCTTCTGCATCACCATCACAATCGCAATCCACTTTGCCTCCAAGAGTAACTCCAACAAGATTCGTCTATAGAGAACCCATACCTTTCTGGCAGCAGAATTGGTTTATTGGATTGCTTTTCGCGATGGCTCTCGCCTTTTTTGGTCTCTCTATATTCCTGTTCCTCAATCTTGATCTTAACCAGGGCTCCTTTTCCTCTGCGTCCGCTGCCTCATCCGCTGCCTCCGCCTCTGAAGACCTTCAGGTTCCTTTATTGTTTCTATATAATTAGCTCTTTTTATTGTTATTTTTCGTTTTTGTTTTTAACTGATTTTTGCGGAAAGCTTCGGTTTCTGATGGAGAAAGGAAATAGGGCAATTATTCGGGCATTGCCAGGTCTGGTTTTTATTGTTTTTATTGTAATTAAAGGAAGAGAGGACAAACAAAGTGATGAGTTATGAATTATTATGTATAAAACTGCTTTGCTTAACATTAAATCCTTTTAATGTTAGATTTTCATCATCATGTGGGGCTGGGACTTGGAAATGGATAAGGGTGAAAATAATCATTTTCAAATTTCTTAACTCTAAAAGCAGCAGAAGAAATGTGAATTCCATTCTCAAAGTCCTGTGCTTTCTTTTTGTTTAGATAACTTATGGAACAGTTCTGAAGCTGATGCACGAGAGGACAAAATTTCGGCTTCATTCCCATGATGTGCCGTATGGCTCTGGGAGTGGGCAGCAATCTGTTACAGGGTTTCCTAATGTCGATGATTCCAATAGCTATTGGGTAACGTTCTTCGCTGTCCCGTTCTCTTTATATATCAGTTAAATATTTTCCCTATTCCCACCCGGAAATAGGAAACAACATTTTAGCGCGAGTTAGCTTCAATTGTTTAATATATTTTGATTATAGATTGAAATGGCATTCCCTTTTATAGATTGTTAGGCCTCAGATAGGCACGAACGCCAAACAAGGTGATACAATCAAAACGGGAACAATCATCCGCTTGCAACACATGAGGACTAGGAAATGGCTGCACAGCCATTTGCATGCATCCCCAATTTCGGGCAACCTTGAGGTTAGTATGAGTTTCCAACTTTCTGCCCTTATCTCCCCCACACAATCTGTCAATTATAAAATGTATCTCTTATGTGTAAGGTTATGGAACAAACATTAATTGGCCAGGTGTATGTCTAATTGAAAGCTCTTGTAAGATATGGATATATGCTCAGATGACCTAGGAGAGAAGATTTGATTATTACTCATGATGCAAACTTTTGTTTTTTATAAATGAGTTTTCTGGATGTCATAATTCAATATGATCGTTCATATTAAGAAAGGATTTTAATTGTTATTGATCTAATTGATGTTAGAGATTTGTTGAGTTTCCTGGCATTGCTCTTTTGAGAGTTTGCATTTGTGGTGCAACTGTCCTTTCAAATGAAGCATATCCTTGACTTGAAATACTTGTGTATTTTACATCGAGAAACCTGTGGCGAAATGTAAAATGAATTTGTAAGCAATGTAGTTGTTTTATTTATGGAACAATGCAGTACATTATGCGATAAACTCTTACATCAGCAATCAAATATTGAATTTTGTGGGCTTTTGACACAGTTTGTTAACACAAACCTCGCACTTCTCTTGATGTAGGTTAGCTGCTTTGGAGGAGAGTCTGAATCCGATACAGGGGATTACTGGAGGTCAGACAAAAATTAAAGATCCTTTATATTATTCTTAATTATATGTCTTCATCTTCTTCTGTGTGCAATTCATGTAGGGTTCTTTTCTTTTTCAGGCTTCTGATTGAAGGTAGTGGGAAGACATGGAAGCAAGATCAAAGGATTCGGCTACAACATGTTGACACCGGTGGCTACCTGCACAGTCATGACAAGAAATACCAGCGGATAGCTGGGGGGCAGCAAGAGGTGAGCAAGAACATTGCTCTACTGTTGTATGAATTTTGAAACTTTACTAGATATTTAGTAAAGTATAAACTGGTTTTGGAGCCAATTAAGATAGCTCCTTTTTTTTTCCCTGGCATAAGTCTGGATTATGCATGTTTAATTTACTTTGCTGATTTAAAGTACTACTATAGCTAACTAGGGGTGGCTAGATTTACCTTGCATAAGGTAATATTTAACCATGCAGCTCCTTATAAGATGAGCAATATTTTGCCGTGAAAACTGTTAGCTTCTGTTAGAAGCATCATGCTGCTGCTGCTTATTGCAGCCTTATACATAGCTGATATATGAGCTATACAGGTCTGTGGTGTCCGTGAAAAGCGTGCTGATAATGTATGGCTGGCTGCAGAAGGCGTGTATCTCCCTGTTACAGAGAGCAAGTAGAAGATACTTTATAGAGGGCTTTACTATGTAAAAACAGGTGCATGGGTTTTGATGGGGTGGTTGATGCCTGTTAGTATAGTAGTGGTACATGTTTTATTGATCAAGGAAAATGTTTCAAAGACCGGAAATGCAATAGTGCTAACGGTTGTTTCTTATCTAGTACCACACAGCTTGTTATTTGTTCCTTGATAAATGCATAACTGACTCATTTACCTCTATGTTAGCGAGGTCGAATGTAGTACTCAATTATGTACCAATTATTGTTTTTTATATATTAATGTTGTTGAATAACATTTGATCCTCCTTAAATTTCATTCAAATAGAACTTTCTGAGATGCAAAAACTCAATAAATTGTTGAATACAAAACAAATTGAGCTATCTTGAACTTATGAAATTAGCTATTAATAGTCTGTTCAAGTTGGACAATGCAAACAGATCAACTCTTAACTCCTAAATTAGTATTCTGGGCATTTAATTCATAATTTTCCATCCTCTTTTTATTAGGATTGTACAATCTTATCAAGATCGAGTAAGACAAATGCTCTCGGATTTTTTTGTTTTTTGGATTTGCAAATTCATGTAGGTTCTTCATATGATAGACAAGAACAGGTAAATCACATTAATATTAATGATGAAACTTCACATTCAAAATAGAACCTTTGTTCTTTAAAAAGCTTTAGGGTGTATTCAATTGTAGAAAACCGGAATACTTTTTTTTTTTTTTATTTAAAAAACTAGAAAACAGTTTTCAAATTTTAATTATGATTTGGAAAACAGTTTTAAGTTGTTTGTAAAAGTTTTTCTTTATAACAAAAGACATGTTTTTTAACTGTTTTTCATTCTTAAAAAATGACATTTTCATAATTAAAATTATAATATCTGTAAATAAATTTTTCTATAAAATATTTTCATTTGAAAAAATAAAAATCTATATTATGCTTTAATAAATAATTAATTTTATTATTACAAATACATTATATTCATTATTTTTAAAAAATTACAAAATGATAGAAAACGATATTATTATTATAAATAATCAATAATAAAAATTAAAAAACTTTTACATAAAAAATTTATAAATTTATTTTATATTATGAAAATTATGAATAAAGCTTGTGAAGCTAAATTAAAATATAATTTTTTATTGTTATCAAATGAACGTATTTTCCATTTCTTGTATTTTAGTTTTTATTTTCTAAGAAACTATTTTCTGCAATTACACGAACCCTTACATGCATTATCCAAGCTATTCTAATGTTGTCAATATTAAACGACTTGTCGTTTCTTCATAAACTTTTATTTTGTGTAGTCGACCCAACGGAGTATAGAGGTTCCCTCGATTTATACGGACGACAAATGACTTCAAAATAAACGGGTGAGAAACGACAGCGACATCTTTGAACGTTACGTGAGTGACCGGCAAATCATAAAATATTAAATTTTCCAGATTGCTTATTAATTATTTAGTTTTATCGGCAAGGGAACGAACGACACGATGTTCGATCATTTCTAGCTAGCTGCTGCATTCTAGCTGCTTTTTTTAATCAAAAGCATAGTACTTCTGCTCCCCGAAAGGTTCTCTTCTTGGTTCTTCAGCTGAAATTCTTCTTTATTCTGCAAGCAAATATCTTTCGGCGTAATTTGGAAACTGTATTATCAGTTTATCTCTTAGCATCCAAATCGCAAAAGCTCAAAGGTTTATCTTCAAAGGTTGGTTTCATATTGCCTTGAATGTGTTCGATGAAATTCCGCAATAAGATTGTATTTGAACATACACCGGCTACTTACATTTTAATATTTTCTATATCATTTGTCAAAGTGAATAAGAGAGGGTTTCTTCTTTTTGGTTATTGTTATTGCTTATTACCAAGAAAATCTGTTAGATTTTGTTTTATTCTTAGGTGGTTTTACTGTTCAATTTTCACAATTATTGTTTCTTGCACTTTGTTTTTTCTTTACTTAAGTTTCTTTCTTGTTGCTTACAGGTTTTGGTACTTAATTAAACGTTGGGCTTCTACTATTGAAGAGTTTCAAAAGCAATCATGGACGGTCTGTCAAAGCTACTGCCCCTCTTTTTATTTTTTCCTACTTTTTTATTATGATATGTAATTTGTGCATGAAAACCAGAAATTCTGAGCAAAATTTTTTAGCTATAGAATAGCCCTTTTTTTGGGAAGAGATAGTGTGTGATTTCCTTGGGCATGATTAGACTATGCAAACTTTCTAATGCAATGACGCATAATTGTTACCTAAGGGTTTCTCTCTTTCCATTTTTCAAATTTACTTCTACCTGCAAAGTGTGGCCTAAGCTCATGCCTTTATTTCACTCCTTTTGCTTATTAAATTAGTAAGTATAAGACTTATAACTGAAGTATTTTTACAAACCTATTGATGCTAATTATGGTCTTCAGTCGATTCACAACCAACTATGGAGGAAACTATATTGGTTGGAGATGATTTGATGATGGGGCCACCATCTCCTCTTATCCCACCGGAAATTGCCTCTCACGTGCTTGAAGGTGTTGATCTATGTGATGGAATTTTAAGGAACTTATTTTTGTGTAAGTTTTCATTTGCATTGGATGGCATTAACTTTTACTTTGGCAAATTTCTATTTATTAATGGTAAATGGTATAGTCATTTTACAAAGTGTTAACATTAGGGAAATTATGTACATGTCCCTTATCAGTTAGGCATGTACATAAGATGATAAGAAGTAATCAAATTATTCATACCATGTACTATTGGGGGATAGAAACTTCAAAATACAGCTATAATCTTCATGGGCTGAACCTCTGACTTTCATCATAGGTCAGGTCATGTAATAAAATTAATCAATTCCTCTTGTATGCCTTAGGTTTGCAAATCAATGATATTGAACCTTTCTGTCAAGATGAGCTTGTTTTATATCGACAATGTGCTGAAAAGAGGGTGAGATGGATATTCTTTTCTGCTTGTCTATTGTTTTTACTCAATGTTATCGTCTTTAAATGGAGATTTTGCAGGTTGACTCAATGATATAATATAAAGTTCTTTTTTACTTTGTTTCTTTTTGGTGAAAACCTGTGTTGCAGGATAAGGAAATTAGGCAAAGGCTTCAAGATAGTGAACACAAATTGGGTTTGTCAATGCCTTTAGATGAAGCAAAGGAAAGAGCTTCCCAGCTTGAATCAGAAGTTACATCACTGGAGAGGTATTTTTCATTACAATAGTTAATCGAAATATGTTGATCAGTGAATAGTTGCTTTAGGAAGCTTCTACTAATAAGGGCACTAATATGTCAATTGTAAACACTTGCTCAACATTTATATTCTCAGTGCTCTTATCTTATTCTCTACCCTAGCTTCATGTTCAGCTATGTGAAAGGATAAGGCATTTCTTGTTATCCAGGGAGAAGTACCTTCACTAGCCACCTTTTTTTTTCCTAATTATAGCAGATAGGAAATAGAAAGACATAAATCAACACTATTTCTCACTGGCAGTAGATAACCAGACAGTATACATGTTATTTAATTATTTATAATCATTTACACTCATTTGGACATCACTCATAGCACTTGTGTCCTTACTTTTTACTTCTGTAGGCGGTTGATTCTTGCTAGTGGAATTGAAGGCATTGAAGGATTTCGCCAGAGATGGAGTTTGCATGGTCGTCTTTCAGATACTAAGTAATTTCTATGCATATCCTCCTGCTTCATGAAACAGTTATTAATGTTTAACTTAAAAAAATTCAGTTTTTGTCTTGTACGTCTTCAAATTTATGAGTAAAAGAATGTGTTCTTGTGGTTTCCTTTTCCAAGCTGCATTGTAAACATAAAGCCATAGAAGCTTAAGCCTCAAAGAGCTGTCTGATCTTTTCTATTTCAGTGTTGGACTGCAAATAGCTAAACGTATCATATTTGAACAATAATCTAATTTTCTCTAATCTATTAACTAGGCGTCGGTTATTTTGTGCAGGAAAAGGTTGGAGTCCTTAAAGCAGGGCTTAGAGAACAGAAAGAAGGATTTGATCAAGGATGAGCCAGCTCCAAGTTCAACTACCAAAAGATGGTTCTTCTGGTGAGGGTTTGTGCTGCAAATCTGCAACATATAGTATCATCTTTTCTATAAAATCCCTTCGTTGTGATAATATAGTATTAATGAACTGAATATGGTCGAGAAGGGTGAGATTTGAAGTGAATTTTACAACTCACAAGACATTTTCCCCGCACCAGAGACCAGCATTAAGTCATGAATATGGTATTAAAAGTTACGCTGGAGACTTTATGCCTATGCATAAAAGCAGCTGTGTGAATAACCATGCATTAGGTTAGGTTTATTTTAGTTCCATTGTTCCTTCTTGAGTTGATTAATGTACACTAAGGAGTCGGTTAGCTGCATTGCAGAAGCTGGAGCAGCTTTTGCTTGTCATATCACGGCAAACACTTTTGCAACAGATTGTTCATATCAGTGCAAATCTGTGAAAATTGCTATTAGCAATGACTGGAAAAACTGAACAGCTATTTCCTTTGGGATCTTCATCCCCCTTTAGAGCTTGTGAGCATATTGAAATATTATTCTGAGATGTAGTCATAAAATCATAACTTATTTTAGTACGAAGATGGTAATTGTTGGTAAAAAGCTTTGATATTTAACTTTTCAAATGTTTATTTATTTTTAATTTATTTCTCAATATTTATTTTTTTATAATGTAATATTCAGTGTGTCCTTAACTTAAAATTAATAGAAAAATCATATTAATTTTTTACGTTTGCATTGCATCTGTACGTAGAAGACCAAAATAAAGTACCGGCAAGAAAGGTTTGAAAATTAAAAGGGGGGACTGGAGACGCAGTTAACCACTTAAACCCAGCAAGTCAAAGTACATGCACTTATCATTTTGTGCGAGGAAATTTCAATCTGAATTTATTTTTTAACTTTTGTTTACAAAAGGAAAGAGGAACAAAGCCTCTACAAGCAATATCCAGAGTATGAAATTCCATAAACATCATGGAATATCCAAACCTCTAAACCGATGGAAATATGAATTTATTTTCTAGTTGTATATGCATTTAGCGTTAGAGTGCGTAGTTGTGTGGTATTAGGCCATTTCTATTAAAATTAAAAATGCTAAATCGTGTTTTATTGTTTATAAATATTTGTATATTTTTCTCAACCAAGAAAAATCTTTATAGGTGTATATAATTAAGTGAAAGTAAATAGAGATGGAAAAAGAGACAAATTTTTGGCTAAAATTGTGAAAAATTCATGCAAAGATTAATTGTTTTAAGTTTATAAGCATCAGAAAAAAAGAAAAGAAAAGAAAAGAAAAGAAAAGAAAAGAAAAGAAAGGTATTGGATATTTGCCTCCATTTTTAGATGGGGATTTTAAACTCAAAAATCAAAATGTTGTATAGCTCTAGCCTTTCGTCTGATTGTACTTCATTGGCCCAATTTAATGGTGATTTTCCTGCATTTATTACATGGGAGCGAAATATATGGAGCAGAAGAGCCCATTTTGATTTTGTATGGTCCCCTTACATTACAGCAAAATTAGTGTTAGATGTTGGAAGCAACGGTCAAGTGAAGTATCAGATTATGTTGAAATTTCATTATCGTTGTTAATTGAATTACAGGGTCAGAGTTATTGCTTGTCGGTGGCAGACAGGGGTCGTTGACGATGGTGTGATGCTTTCCTTGCCTAGTAACCGGCAAGCACCCACAGGCCATACACATGGACACCAGTGTTTTAAAAAGGTCAGCTTAGTCTCTCTCTCCTCTCGTCAATATTCGCACTGGATGGGCCCTATCAAATCCAACGGTTAGATCATCGAATCGAACTGACAAATCACGTGCACCATACACAAGAATTATAGTAGGACCCGTTTAGGTATCATTAAGTAAGGGACAATTATAATTACGTTTTTACTCTCTATTTATATATAACTCATCCACACCTCCTCTCCCACAACGACTGGACATGCAATGGCAATTTTTACCCATTTCTTGCCTCCCACGCTCGCCATCGACTCTACTGCAGCCCATTCTCCAGCGTTTAGAGTCGCGCGCTGCTTGAGCCACCGCTCGCTGGTATTTAGGCCATTTCCATATAAAACTTACACAAAATATGCCACTTCACAGCATCCGTGCCCCGAACCCGCACCCTCAGCCCCCCACACCCTATTCGCCATGTTCTTTCACTTTGTTTATATAAAGTATTTTGTATATTTTTCTCACCAAAGACACAAATCTTTTTTAGGTCGCTCACCCCCCTACTAAATATCAACGCCGCTGAACCAGTAAACCATAGACCGATGGCGCAACCAACCGCGAGCAACAATTATTCTACCGGCCTAAAATTGTTGAAAAATTACATGCAAAAGATTGAATTCTGATTTTACAGTTTATAGCGATCACGAAAACAAAGCAAAACGACAAAAAGCCATCAAAGAAACACAGCAGAAGAAACCGAAAAGCAAACCCCAAACCCGGCTCATGCGACTCACTTTCGCCCTCTCCTCTCTCTCATCCGCATGGCGGATTTCATAACACTCAACACCAATCCACAAATGTTGTACTAGCTCTAGACCTTTCGTCTGATCACTGTACTTCCATTCTGGCCCAATTTAATGGTATTCCTGCAAATTATATCTACCCATTGCGACGCGACGCACATCATTCCTGGAGGACACGAAGAGACCCATTTTCGAATTCTTCTATCGTCACCCCGCCTGCCCCTGGCTCCCCTTTCACCCTACAGCCACCAACCTCCGCTGTATTGAGACTGATGGACCAGCACACAGGTCAAGTGACAGTATCAGCAATTATGTTTGAAATTTTCACTCTACTCCGTTGTTTACTTGAATTCACAAGGGGTGTCAGAGTTATTCCCTGCCTTCGGTCGCGTGGCTAGACAGGTGGTCGTTCGACCGAATGGTGCGCTCCCGAACTGCTTTTCCTTGCCCACCCCTTAGTAACCCGGCAAGCACACCAACAAGCGCACATGTACACATGGACCACCCACGCCCCTCTCGTATTTAAACAGAGGTTCAGCCCTTCCAACGCTCTCTCAATCTCCTCCCTCGTCCAATCATTCGTCACTCGAGAAGGGCCTATCAACATCCAAAACCGGTTTAAGAATCATCGAATCGAACTGGACAAAAATCCCACCGGTATAATCCGCATTTTTTTCTTCTTTCTGTTTTTGGGGCGCCACGGGGGGGGGCCCCCCCCAACCACTCCACAAGAAATTTAGTCGGACCCCGTTTTATATCATTAAGTAAGCGAGACAAAATTAATACATACGATCTTTTACTCTCCTACTTTCATTATATATCAACTATAATACCACTATATATATATAAATAGAAGGCTTCTTTATGGATAGAACACGTCCCAAATGGTATGCGGCAGAAATATGTGGACTTCTACATAGAGATGACTCGAAGCTCTTCATTCCCCACAACGCCTTTCTGCCAAAATAGTAAAAAAAATTCACGACAATAGGACCAACATTTCGGAATTTGACAATCGCTCTTACTCTTATTTTTTCTTTCTCCACATTTAGATCGTCCTTCCCTTTTTCCTTCATTGCGTGGGCCCCTTTTCGGGCATCGCCGCGACACCAATAAGGCACCCCCCCGGGCTCCGACAATTCGCCGAGCATGTTACAATTTTTTTCTTGGCACCGAACCTAATTAAGCCCCTCATAGCTTGCCGAACGAGAGGGGGCAGATATTCAACTTTATATGACTCTTTTTTTTTTTATTTTGGTCTTTATTATGGGTCTTTCTCATCATCAAATTTTCTTTTTCCTCTATATATAAATAGAAGGCTTTATGGATAGAACACTCAATGTATGGGAGAAATATGTGGACTTTTACATAGAGATGACTCGAAAGCTTTCATTCCCACGCCTTCTGCAAAATGTAAAAAAATCAAATAGACCACATTGGATTGACAATTTTACTCTTATTTTTTCTTCTCCAATTATGATCGTCTTCCTTTTCCTTCATTTGTGGTTTGGGGCATGGCATGGGGGCATTGTTACAATTTTTTCTGGCACGACCTAATTAAGCCCTCATAGCTTGGAAGGGAGGGGCAGATTCAATTTATATGATTTTTTTTTTTTTTTGGTTTATTTATGGGTCTTCTCATAATATTTTTTGTTCCTTTTATTGAATTTTGTATAGCTGATAATATCAAAAGTTACTCCAGTTGCGATTGAATGAGATAATAATAGATTAATAGTAATGCTCAGACCTCTTACGGAAAGTCTGGAAGTCACTCATTTAAAGAGACGAGGTTCATTTAAATCAAATAATTAGTTATTGGTAAGACAGAATATAAAAACCTGTTATTTGCTAGAATGCTAGCAGCTCCATAATAAGATAAGATATAAAGGGAAAAAAAAAACTTTATCATGCAAGTTGCACTGTTTTGAAATTTAATAAAATCCACATTGTCCTCACTTACTCGCATAATCATTTTTTTTTTCTAATAACATGTATCACACAGGATTATGAATTAGCAAAATAATAGTTAATAAATTACCATACAGACTCCATATTATAGATCAAATTATTAAATCTTATGTGATAGTCATCGGTATAATATAATGACCATTTTCCCAATACGACACATTATTTATCAACTAGTACGCCACCCGTGTTCACATGAAATTTTTTCTCCATCTTTAGCGCAATCAAAGAAAGCAAGTCATAAAATATTTAACCTTTTCCTTTCTTTTTCGATTTTTATTCACGAGCTGGGCAAAGTCGTCATTTTTACCCAATACTGGCCACTGGAAAGTGAAGACAACAACTAGACCCACCGGGCAACCCCTCGTTACTATCCTAGTACAATCAATTATTACTTCCTTCTCTTTTTTCTCCTGTGTGCAGAATCAAAGATGAAAAAGTGGCCTTCAAAAGTTTCAATTTTCAACAAAATAAAAGAGCAGATAGGCGACAATTTTCTTATCTTCATCGATCTACATCGCAAGAAATCATCAATTGATTGGTATAAATTGGTATAAAAAGTGGCAGGCGGAAGTAAAGCCACCGGTCGAAAACAGTAATAAATGGGAGATTAGAACTGGAATTTACCTGCAAACCTGCCACCATAACTCCCAATAATCATCTATGTATCTTCCGTCACCCGCTCCAGCAGCTTGCGCTAGTATTCAATGAAAAGCATCACTTGCTATTAACCCTGTTAGATGAAGAGCTAAAACAGCTGTATAACAAGTCATAACCTAGTAACAACCTATGGGGCTTATAGCCTTAAACTTCAACCAGCAAGGGATAAGACAGTTTTACCAGAATCGAAAATATAAAACTGCTACAATTTAACATTAAAGGTATCGCAGTGCTCAAAATAATTTAGCTGCAGCACCTACTTTTTATGACCTTCTCTACAGCAGTGGAGTTCCCATCAAATATGTTTAAAATTTACCTTCTAATCTTCCCATATAACCTACAACAATTATTAATGCAGTTAATTAGTGCATGCAAGAGAAGCAAATGAAATAAAATAATTCAGGTTCTGTCCTCTAGTTTCCTTGATTGATGCTGAAACAGCTGGCATTAACTCTTCCTTATGTTCAAGTAGGAACCACACCTGAACTAGATAAACCAAAGCAATAATGCACATTTAATATATAATATTAGATGTGTAGCATACATCTAAAAAATTTTGGTAGCAAATAGCGTCTTAACTTCACTTTGATTTCCAGTATTGAACTAAGAGAGTTTCAGGTTACTGAACTGAATAAGCAGAAGTCATTTAGTAAGAGAATTATATTACAACAGAATATTTACATCATGACAGTGCCAAAAGAAGCTAGAGAACAGAGCAAGAGATAACAGTGAAATGATGAGGCTTAACAAGATTACAAAATGACCGTACCCAACAGCGTACCATCACTTATAATATATATAACTCGTTGGGAGAAAAGGTGCATACATTTTTATAAGCAAGACAACTCAGCCTAGATTCTTCTTTCCTCTTCCTTCACCTGTAAAATGGATAATAAAAGGGGAAAAAACTGATTAGCAAACCAGGTTAGCGCACTCTTTAATATTAAACATAAAGTCATAAACAAAAATTTCGAACTAGTGAAATTAATAGATTGTTTAAGTGAATTGCCCATGTTCCTCCTATAAACATGGAAATGAATACAATATAACTATGTAAAATCCAAAGATTCCGCATGAAACCTGCAGACTCAGAATAGAAAACTAACATGTTGAAAGATTCCCCGGATGAAAATAGGCAGTGAATGGTCCTATTTTTATACGGAAGAAAGTAACTGACACCCCATTTCATAAACTGATGGGTATGGTAGGAATATAAAATACTAATGGGTTAAAAATGACCATTTGCTTATGGGAATACAGAATACTCTATTGCTATTCAACGCAAATGAGAAAAGATCAGCCCTCGGATTTTTCTAAATTTGCAGAGCACACCACTGACAAGGAAGCATCCAAGGGAAAGTTTTCATCATTTTAAATAAATTATCAATTTTGATACTGTCACCCTGCAACCTTTCTTTGCATGGATCCAGATTCAAAACCCGAACAAATACCACCAAAATTATGTAACAAGCTGAAGCACAAATCAGACTAACAATGAATATATTTACTACTATGATTCTGAAATTATACAAAATTTAACACATGATGGCTACTTCATATGCTAACACTGATACAACAAAGACTTTAAAAGGGTAACTGGAGCAAACGTTAAGAAGACTAACTTCAAGATGCAATCCCTTTTATCTCCACGCCTGTCTGGCTACATCCAATCTCCTCAAAATGGTAAACTCTTGGAGGTTGAGCTTGATGTGAGGGACTTAAAATGCTCTGACGGAACAAAGTCTTGTGGTAAATTGGCCCTCTTGACAATTCTCCTCATATTGCTCTGCAAACTCTGTTGTACTAATTGTTTCACTGCTTTCTTTTCCTCACTCATCATATCTTCTGTCTCCTCCAAAGACTCCTTTGCAATCCCATTAGGATTTGCAGAAGATGATGAACCATAAATAGGAGCAGAAACTGTTGCGCCCAAATTCCCACCATAGTTCTCTGAGACTTGCTTTCCCTTATCTACTCTTAAAAATTCCAGAATCCTTGAAGCTCTTTTCTGTGCTAATGTGCTACCCAAAAGCGTTAACTCAAGCAATGATGATACAATTCCTGCTTCGATCATGGCCTGCCGATCCCCATATGCCTTATGTGCCATCACCATCAATATGTAAGATGCTTTCTCTTGGCATCCGGGTGAGTCGGTCCAATTCAAAATATCTATCAAAATTGGGAAAGAATCTGGCACAATGCTAATGCCCTTTCTACCTTCAGGGGTTGACACTACATTGCTCAAAATCGAAAGAATTCTTTCACTTATTTCCATGTCCCCTAGTGTACTCATGAGAAATGGAATCAAATTTGTTTCTACAATAAATGAAACATTAGATGAGTGTATTGAAAGATTGTAAAGAGCTCTAAGAGCATCTTGTTTTGCTTGAGTGCTACTTTTATGGTCCGAATTCTTGAGGGCATTTACCAAGAAGGGGATTGCACCTGAAGAACCTATAATGGGTTTATTCGAGTCTAATGCGCTCAAACCAAGAAAATTGGCCACTATTGCTTCGGACACAGATGTGTTTGGAGGATTTGGGGATTCTATGATCTTCAACATTTTGTGAACAGCCCCTGCTTTAACAATCGCAGCTTTGTTCCTGCAAACAGGTTACAAAAAGGATTCGTTAGTTAATGTCATTTTCAATAACAGAATCGCATTTAAGAGAAACATAAAATTATATCACCAAAAGAAATTTAAGTGGATTAACCAAAGCAGAGTAGCAGACTAAACGCAAATGGAACTGTTTCAAGAAAATAGTACAGAGAAACATGGAAAGTGATTTGTCAAAGCAGAAAAATAGGTAAAAATTGAAAAGCAAATGTTGCTACTGAGTAGTGATAACACAGAAACAGGAGACAACAAATGCGAAAAACTAACGCCACGTTCTCCTTCTAAAAGCTAACCAGTACGCTTAACTCAATTATTCATGATTGAAGGAAACAGCACCTTCCACATTACACTCGAATACAAACAACACAGAAAAAGACTTCTCCTCTGATCACATTATTACCTACAGCTAAGCAAAAGATAATCACAAATTAAGAACCACTAACCAAAAGTTATTAGCGTTTAAAACTGATAATAAAATCACTAATAACGAAACAAAAATTTACCGCTATAAGGAAAAATGAAAAAGTGACGAGAAAACTCACGCATCATTGCCGATCCCTAGATTAAGCAAGGCATAGAGAGAAGCGATCTGCGATTCAATGTCTTCCTCATCAAGCATTCCAACTAATGGAGGGATGGCTCCTAACATAGAAAGAGTGACTCTCGCTCCGGAATCTTCCTTGGCCAGCAATCTTACACGAGAAGCAGCTTCTTTCCTCTTCGTTTCGCTCTCGAGCTGCAATTCCTTCACCGCTCGTTTCAGCTCCTCAAACGCCTCGACTTTTTTCCTCGTCTCTATTTCAGTCTCCGCCTCTGCAATACTCAACAGATCCGATAACTTCTCCGACTTTCCGTTTCTCGGTTTTCCTGCCTTTTTCTCACTCACATTGTGGTTATTATTCAAAGCCAGCTTCGTCGTCTCACATGTAGTGGTGGCGGTGGATGTAGTTGTGGTTATCGTGGAGGCGCTTGATGTTGTAGTGGAGGAAAAGTTGTCCTCATGATGGCGATAACGGGAGCTTCCACCACAGCTAACAGCGTCAAAGATTTTACGGCGGAATGCAGCACCAGAGAAGGCAGTCCATAGTCGGAAATGACTACCAGCTGAGGCATTGGTGGAGGGAGAGTGCTCAAGGATTAGGGATCCAATGTTATTCCGAGCCATTTTGCAACCAAATTTTGTCAGAGAGCTACATTGCCGAGCAAAAACCGAGAGAGACGCCAAGTTCTATAGAGCGTGCGTTACTCTGTTTCTTGATTTGTTGCTTTTATATGTGACTCCAAGCACTCACTTGGTCACCGCTCTACCTCTACAAAGAAATATAGAAAATGCTAAAGACAGAGAGAGATCACAGAGTATTCTATAATTTTAGTTTTCTGTTAATATATAAAGTGATCAGAGTTATTCAGAGATGCTCAGCGAAATTTGAGAGAGAAACAGAGCGTATATCATGTACTAGTAATGTGTGTCTGTGACTTTAGACACTATCATTTAAGGCCCTGTTTGGATGCATTCTTGGTAACCATTTCGAACGAAGCCAATCTCAACTTACTGCCCATTTTGTCCTCAAATGAAAGAAAATACTATAATATGACAAAAAAAGAGTTTCTTAGTCCAGGCGTCCATCTGTTTGTAAAGTAATTTGTAGGAAAATATTTTTTATATTTTTTCATTATTTGGAGTTTTCAGAAAAATAAGTCAACGAAAATATTTTTCTGATTAAAAGAAAACAACTTCGCATTCTCGAGAGAGTAAAACATTTTCACCTTATAAATTCATATTTTTTTAATTTATTAATTATCATAGTTACTACTACCAGTCATCATTTACCACCGATCACCACCACCGGCGGCTTTTATAATTTATATTTTTTTTTTTGCATTCTTCTGTCTTGTAAGTACCATTTTGTAGGAAAATATTTTTTTATATTTTTTCTATTTATTTTGGAGTTTTTCAGAAACAATAAGTCAACGAAAATAATTTTTCCTGATTAAAGAAAGACATCACTTCGCCATCTGCCCTTCCTCGAGGAAGAGGTAAAAACATTCTGCACTCTCTATAATTACATATTTTTTTAATTTATTAATTATCATAGTTACTCACTCACCATTAGTAATACTCTTCGCAACCACCGAAATCAGCCCACCACCGGCGGCTTTTTATATTTATATTATTTTTCTTGTTTTTCGTATTCTATTTCATATTTATAATAACATTTTTTAAATTATTTAAAATTGTACTTATATTATTAATATTTTTTTATGGCAGTTATCCTGAGATTACAATATTCTTCTAAATAGGTTTTTAATTGATTTTTTCCAACTATCTTACAACAATCCCAAAATAATGGAAAATACACACTATATAGAAATAAATATCTTTTTAACAAAAATATATTTTCATAAAATATTTTATTTCAGCAAGTTATCATTTATATTATTATTAATATTTTTTATGGCATTATGAGATAAATACTTTAATATTTTTAATTGATTTTCAATATTACAACCAAATAATGGAAAATAAGATATTTAGAAAATATCTTTCAAAAAATATATTTTCCATAAAAATATTTTTCAGCAAGTTATTTTTTAGAAACAAATGGAACCTACGTTACTATTTCCCTTCATTTCTTTCTTAAACAATATAATTAGCCATTAATAAATCAAAAAATATGCTTAGAGCATTTTTATTTTTTTAAGGAAATTTTTTGCCCACATATATAATTAGATTAATAGAAAAAAAAGGGAAATAATTGAGAAAATTGTGGATATTTTTGAAAGTCCAGATGGACCCTCCAAATGGAAAAAAAAAATGCACACATGGCTTCTTTGTAGTAAAGCTAAAAAAGAAAAGAGGTTTTACCAAACAAGCCAGTATATAAAATTAGAAATAAAATAATACGAGTGTGGCCAAAGCTTGTTAAAGAAGCCATTAAGCCATGGACCATTTTACTTTGGCATCATAGGGAAATGTGTTAATGTGTACTACAGTGTATTGCATAGTACGCACCTCTCGTTACCGTCTTTTCATCCGTGCCATCCAGCTAATGTGTCAATCAAAAGAAACTTCGTGTGGGGCCCGATAACAGATATACTGGGCCCACTCGATTCTGATTGGATGGAGTATGGTAATACAGTAGAGGTGAGAAGTATGTTAACGGACTAACCGATGGTGTTTTGAGGTGTTGCGTGTCAATAGTCATACATGTGCATGCTTCGCTGACTTCAATGAAGATGGACGGATGCCCAAAAATGCACCGCCTCACTTTTTTTTTTCCCACATTTGCCCTTCATTTCTCGTAAGATTACTCTTCTTCCTCAGAATTTCAAGTTTGCTGCAAATGCTTAGTACCCAAAAAGGTAATGGGAATTTTGCAAGACAGTGATTGGAAGAATAAAATTTGGGTGCCTGTATAGAAGAACTATAATTTTTTAGAAAATTTCAATTTCTGAATAATATGGATCCATTCTGTCACTCTTACTTTCCTAGAAAAATGTTATTATTATCCAAACATTATAATTCAACATTTATAAAATTATTTTTCTGGAAACCTACCTTTTAATAGAAAATTTTAATTTCAATAACCAAATTTCGAATACAACTTATGAGATTTTTACCTATAAGAATAGAAAGTTTAAATTGATTTCGTCTGTATAAATGAATAAGAATACGACGGGGAAAAATGTAAAATCATTAGTGTCTAAAATAAGAAATCTTCCTTGTATGTCATGATTTGGCTTTAGGATTTTTTTTCTCTTGCAAAGGAAAATTTTGCTAATAAGAGATGAACTTGCTGGGAAAGATTTTGCTTGGTGAATTCAATATGGGCAAATCCATTGTTTCATTTTGCTACCATTTAGGTCTCTATTTGGTTAATTGCATATTATTAAATCATTTGTATGTCTTTGCTTTTGCTACCAAACAAGTCACACATTTCAAGGAATATGTTAATGAGTCCCCACCATAACTTTTTTAGTCTCATCAACCACCAAAATAAACACAAATAAATTTTTTAGCTATCTTCTCGGTGGCTTAATTCATAGCTCAATAAGATGTAAAAAAATTTATAATTTAAATATAAAATTAATATCAATTTTTTAAAAATAATGCAAATTTAATTTATTACAAGACTATATTTTTTTTCTATTAATTTAGTCAATTATCTCTTTTCTAATTTAATTTGGAAAAATCTTTTTTTTTAGACATTATGTAATTGATGAAATTTTCTACTTTAATCCCAAAAGTATAATTATAAACTAGAAAAGAAAAAAAAAAGATAATATTACGCTCCGCAGTTTGAAGGAATTAAACCTTTTGATTATAAAATAATAATAGAGAAAAAGACAGTATTAATTATACAAAAATACCTATCAAATTATTGTTGATAAGAAAAAAGAAAATGCTTGACAGGAAATGGTTCCTTCTCATCATTGCTATTGAGTAATCCATCCATTTGAAAAGGACGGGTTTAATGTTGTGGGGTTTTTAATTAATTATTTCTCATCAGTGGTGATGAATTTTCTTTATGAATTTTCTAATCCTTCTTGGCTCCCAAGCAGGGGTGGCCACGGTTCTGGAACCGGAGCCGAACAAAAAATTTTCGGTTTCGGTTTGAAACCGAATGGTTTCAATTCTGATTCCGGTATGGTGTCAAAACCGATAGTTCCGATCGGTTTTCCGGCAAATCGCATAATTTTAAATTTTAAATTTTGAAGACCGGTTTTCAAAATTTAATAAATTTGTGAAAGTTATTTTCTCTCCGGCACAAATACCGCCATTATTTTAAATTTTTAGAATTTGAGAACCGCGTTATAAAAATATTAACTCATCAATTTTGTTGAAAGTTATATTTGTACAAATAAAAACTACCACCTAAAAAATTAAAAAAATGATTTCATAAAATCTTTTTTTTTAAATTTCTTAACTTAATTATTTTTTAAAAAAACTCTTCACTGAATTTATTCTTTTTGTTTTAAAGTTGTGGAAAATAATTAAAAAAAAAAAAGGTGTGTTGAATATCTTATATATATACTTTAAAAAAAAATATATAAAACTTGCCTACGTATCCTCCCCTTGACGCCGGATCTTAGAGACTTTCAGCAATAAATTTTAAATAAAAAAATAAAAATCTGACCAGTTTCTAGCACCGCGTAACGCTAGAGATCGCCGCAGGCCGGTCTCTCGATTCAACAACACCGAAGTTTTCAGAAAACTGGTCGAACCCGCTCAACACCTCGGTTCTAAATCATGCGAAGAACCACTGATGGTTCTCCAATCCAGTCGAACAGGGCTACCGACAACCCGATATTTGTGGGAAAAAAAAAAAAAAAAAAAAACTGACAGTTTCTAACGGCTAGAATCGCCGGTTCGAACAACCGCCAGTTTGAACTGGTTCGAACCGCGGTTCTAACATGCCGAAGAACCAGAGGTTCCAATCCGGTTCCGACCGATTTTGTGGAACCGCCGGTTTGCGGTTCCACAAATCTGGAACTGAAATCGAACCGGAAATCTTCAGTTCGGACCGGTTCTGGTTACGGTTCGGGTTTCCGAAACCGTAATATGGCCGCCCTTACTCCCAAGTGGCAAATCCTAATATCAATAATCTTCTTATACTTGTGTTTTACTACTTAAACCACTATTTATGAATTCAGCGTCTCTAATTTCTCGTATTATATACAGACCCTTTATTTATTTACGTCATTATGTTAAAATAAAGAAATAGAATTATCTTATTTTCATTATATTTATGTATTTTTGAGGGTTTAATAAAGAAAAGAAAAATATTGTTGTCTAGTATTTTCTCTACAGATGTGCGGTATGGCAATATATATTAATTTTTCTGTATTTCTGTCATGCCAGACCAAACGGTCTTCCACCATGTTCCTCCTACTTCTAGGTCGTCTAAAGGCAATTAAAAATGTTTTAGTAAACTAATTAAACAATAATCATGTTTAGTAGATGCTAATTAAATAATCAGCAACACTTATCAATTGGAAGCGGGCATCTCAACTAGTCCCTCTCACTATAAATAAATAATTACAAGAATTCAATACTTAAAAATACTTCTCTTAATAAATGAAAGCTAAACTTTTTTTAAAAAAAATATTATTCATACCAACTTCATTCTCTCACATGATTTGAGGCCCCAAAAAAAAAAAAGGTTTGAAGATTATACTTAAACTTTCGGATTAGAGAAAAAGGGTAAGCAAAGCAAGTAATTGGTGAGCCAAAGTCCCATACTACTTGGAAATGAACTAGTTGTTTGAACTTTTATTATTTTGGGCAGCAACAAGAAATATACAAAAGCTAAATAGAGTAACTAACCTAATGAATGCTTGAACCTAATATGGAAATTTTAAAGGCAAGGATGATATTTTTTGTCACTCTCATGATAATGTTGTGTGTTGGTTAATAATTATAATTACACCTATGCATTGAAGAAGGATGTAATGGGTTAGATATAGGTCACCCAGTGTTGATTATTGTTTCTATGCTTAGCTTTTATAAAGCAAATGTGATTTTCTCTAGGTTTCTATATAATACAAATCATATGGACTTTCTTATGGGAGGAATCCATGCATTAGTTAGAAAATCACTTTAGCCCACTCCCTAGCATCCAAACGGGCTTATATAGAAAGAGAAGGGCCGCTCAATTGGTTGGCTCTTAACTTTGATGAATTATTAGAACCCTTTTTTTTTTTTTTTTTTTTTTTTTTTTTTATAGAACCCCCTTTTTTTTTTTTTTTTTTCTTTTTTTGGCTTTTATGGCGGTACTAGGAAATACTTTAATCATTGATTACAATACTTTCTTTGCTTTTATGTCAAGAACGTTGAACGAAGAAGATTGCTGAGAATGAAAATTTTTTACCACATCTTCATCAAAAAGGAAAAAAGGAAAAAAAAAGTCAATCATGTAATCTGGATTAGTTCTGATAAGACACGGGAAATGCAACTCTTTTTTTTTTTTTTTTTTTTTTTTTTTTTTTGGCTTTTTATGGTACTAGGAAAATACTTAATCATTGATTACAATAATTTCTTGCTTTTATGTCAAGAACGTTTGAACGAAGAAGATTGCTGAGAATGAAAATTTTACCACCTCATCAAAAAGGAAAAAGAAAAAAAAGTCAATCATGTAATCTGATTAGTTCTGTAAGACACGGGAAATGAAATGTTTGAGTTCAAGAGAATAGAGCTATTATACTGTCTAACATACAATGTTATTCCGGTCCGTATGGTCTCTCGTCTAGAAAAAAGAAAATCGAAGTTTATCATTTGCTATTATAGTAGAAAGAGAGAGCTTAACCAACTAAACATGGGAATTTGAAGGACCGATTTGTTTCATCTGTCTCTTTACAAAAAGTGAATGAAAAAAAAAAAAAGGAAAACGAATGGCTTAAAGCAAAAACTTTGCCATAGCTTCCTAACTTAAGGCTGCCAATCAGTACGATTGCTTTCGTATCCTGATAGATCATGTCAGGAGCTGCCCGATATTGGATAGACAAAAGCACAACCTCATGATTGTTAAGGAACTATGATATTCACAAAAGCCAAAGAAACGTTTCTATTGAACATACCTGCAATTAGTCATTGACAACCATGGCTTCCGCTGGGGAGCTGGAATCTAATTTCCTGACTTGCAACCTGTTTGGAGGAGATGCATCTGAGGAGGCACCGGCATCGACTACAATTGAATCTTCTTCCTTGAACTCTCCCCTCAAGACTCCCATTGCAATTTCATTTTCAACCAACTGTTGTATCACCCGCTTAACTGGCCTTGCTCCGAAGTTCGGGTCAAAGCCCAATGTCGCTAAAAGATCAATGGCTTCCTTGGTGTAATGAAGATCGATTTTCTTTTGTTTGAGTCTCTCCTTCACCCGGTTCATCTAGCAATGGAAAATCACCCGTCAAATTCGAAATGTAGAAGTATTTTAAGGCTTAAAGGAATACATTTATTAAAATTTTGAAGGGCTCAACATATCTCATAACCTTTTCATGTCAGAACTTGCATCAGAGACAATACGTAATAGATTTAATTATCTCTTTGTAGAAGAATGAGAAGAAACTAATCAAGCTTAGGCAATAATAAGATGATCATAAAACACAGCTGTTTCTCCCTAACAGCCACAGACCACAACAAATAGTGGGGACATCAGAAAAGAATCAGAAGAAAACTATTTAAATCCAAAGTTCAAATTATGTGCATATCTCTATTGCGAAGGAACCCACAAGAAGAATCCAGTTGTGGGATTCAATTATTCTCATGATAGATTAATTAATATGTTCAAGTACTCTCAGTGCAGGCCTGGGCAATAAAACATGTAACTAACTGAAACAATAAAATATAAATATTCCAAGGGAAGTCTATTACCTGTATCTCAACGATTTTACTAATTTCTCTGGAGTCCAATGGCTGGAAAACAATATATTCATCAATCCGATTCATGAATTCTGGGCGGAAAGTTTGTCTAGCCAACTCAACAACTTGCCGTTTCATGATATCATATATAGTTTCCTTGCTGTCTTGTGTATTACGGAGAGTTTCAAGTATAAGATGGGAACCAATGTTTGAAGTCATAATCACAACACAGTTGGTAAAACTAACAGTCCTCCCTTGAGAATCAGTTATCCTTCCATCATCCAACAATTGTAATAAAATATTGAAGACATCATGATGTGCCTTTTCAATTTCATCAAACAGTACCACAGAATATGGTCTTCGACGAACTACTTCAGTGAGCTGCCCTCCTTCTTCATATCCAACATAACCTGGTGGAGCCCCAACCAAGCGCGATACAGCATGTTTTTCCATATACTCACTCATATCTATTCTAACCATAGCATTTTCTGTGTTAAAGAGGTAGCCAGCTAAAGCCTTTGCAAGTTCAGTTTTGCCAACGCCAGTAGGGCCCATAAACATGAAGCTAGCTATTGGTCGATTTGGGTCTGACAATCCTGCCCTTGAACGCCGGATTGCATCAGCCACTGATTTTACAGCCATATCTTGACCAACTACCCTCTTGTGGAGCACCTGTTCAAGGAAGACTAGCTTCTCTCTCTCAGATTGCTGAAGGTTTGATATAGGTATGCCAGTCCATTTGCTTACAATCTCAGCAATATCAAGGTCAGTGACCTCTTCTCGAAGCATAGATTTTCCAGACTTTCGGAAGTCAGCAAGATTTTTCTCAGCCTCTTCTAACTGGCGTTGAAGGGACATAAGAGTTCCATATTTCAGCTCAGCAGCACGATTCAGGTCATACTCGCGCTCAGCAGCTTCCATCTCTAGGTTGACTCTATCAATCTACAAGCATTTATATTAACACCAGTTGAGCAAACATTACAGACAACAATAAGAGGATTAACTACCATCAAAACACCACTGATAAAGGACAAATCACCTCTTCTTTGATTGATCTTATTCGAGTCATCAGAACCTTCTCACTTTCCCACTGTTCGTTTAGTTCTTTTTGCTTCTGTTTAAGCTCACTCAAATCATTTTCAAGCTTGCTTAACCTCTCTTTGGATGCTTTATCAGTGTCATTCTTTAGTGATAATTTCTCCATCTCCAGCTTTAAAACAGCCCTGTCAATCTCATCCAATTCCGTGGGCTTAGAAGTGATCTCCATTTTCAGCTTTGCAGCAGCTTCGTCCACAAGATCAATGGCTGCAAAGAAAGGGCTAATTAGAAACATGAAATCAGCAGTAAGAGGGGCAAAAATTCAGTTCACAAAAGCTATCTGTAGAACAAGAATATGTCTACTCACTACAAACTAGAACTTTTGGGTTTGTTCATTTCAACTGACTATAACATCCAAGTTATTGCAGAAATAAGAGTTTGTGATGGTAAATTCAAGTCCTGAGAGCAGCAACCTCGCTTCATGCTAAAAGAATAAAGGGATGACTGCCTCCAAAATTTCTTTCACAAGTTAATAATCCAGTGATAACTGAATATTTACTTCTATATATAGACAAGAGCCTCAAAAGCACAAATCTCATACTGTCTATCATGTAAAATACTGAAAATCAAAGTTTTGTTTTCCTTTTCACCTTTGTCAGGCAAAAATCGTTCCGTGATGTATCTGTCCGCAAGAATTGCTGCCGAAACAAGGGCACTGTCTGATATTTTAACACCATGATGCAGCTCATACCGCTCACGCAGACCACGAAGAATGGATATTGTGTCTTCAACAGATGGTTGATCACAAAAGACTTGTTGAAATCTGCGCTCAAGTGCTGGGTCCTTCTCAATATATTTCCTATATTCATTCAATGTAGTTGCTCCTATGCATCGGAGCTCACCTCGCCCTAGCATTGGTTTCAACAAGTTCCCAGCATCCATTGCTCCACTTGTAGCCCCTAATCATCAAGAAGCCCTCCGTGTCAAGAAGGATTGAATTTCATAATCACCATAACATGGCATAACAGCACAAACCATATTGAGATGTATCTTTGAACATGTCTAAGTGTAGCAACATATAAATTATCAATAATGAAATGCACCCATCCATCCGACCATATGCTTTTGACCAAATGCTACAAACACTACATGGAAAGTGTCTGTTTCAGGCTTAGGAAGCAATTATTAGTCAGTAATGAAAAACAGCAAGCAGAAATTGGGCACAACCTGCACCAACAACAGTATGGATCTCGTCAATAAATAAAATGATTTGCCCATTTGAGGCAGTAACTTCCTTCAGCACGGCTTTTAACCTTTCCTCAAAATCCCCACGATACTTGGCTCCAGCAACCAATGAACCCATGTCTAAGGAGATTAACTGTAGATACCAGGATAAAATATAAATGTTATATGCAAAACGAAATGCATTAGAAATCCAAATTTAACTCTTAGTTCCACAACAGAAAACCAGAGTTTGAATACAAAACATGTCAGCTCTCACACTCAAGATCAAAGGCCAATTAGAAATCCAATTGATCCAATATAGAACCAGAAGCTACGCAAAGCAATTTACCTAATAAATCATGTCATACCATATCCAACAATTCCTTTTTCAACAAGTACAAAACTGAGAACAAGTGCAAAATAATAAATTACATTACGACCAACCTTCCGGTTCAACAGTGGTTCTGGCACATCACCACGTACTATCCTCTGGGCTAGTCTACAAAATAATACAATATCATCATTAAAAATAATAAGACAAGGAAACCAGAAAATTAGAGATAAATATTGAAAATCTTCACATATGCGGAACTAAATCAACAATGAGAGATGTCCCCAAAAGCCAGACGCATTTGCTAAAGGTAAATTAATTAATAGTGTACCAAGTGCCACCATCAAATTATAAATAAACCTTCCAGATGGCCAAGTGAACATATGTAGACTTGGAATTCATAAAGATAGATTATAGATTCTGTTCTCTGCAAGTAAGCTCAATTGGATTGGGGTTGTTTTACAAGGAAACTCGATTTCTTCAGTGCATGGAAGTAACAAACAATACCCGCATCAAACACACTCTAGGTGCTATTATTATTTTCAAAATATATTATTACGTAAATACAGTTGTTTATAGGTTAGGGTTCAATCCTTTTAGCCTCTCTAATTCTCTGCATATTTAATACTAATAATATATTAGATACAGTTGTTTTTACTCGAATGAGAAGTATACTTGGGAACGCAAATCTGGGTTGTGTCCTTCTGTAGAAATGTGTAAAAGCATATTTCTAGCATAAAGTGAGTAAGAGGTTTTGTTTTCTTTGAATTTTCCTTGTCCTTTTCTTTTCAAACTTCCCTAGATCATTTTTCATTTTACATTTCTTTTGCTGATGGTGTGGATAAGGTCCAGAAGAATCTAAAAGTTTAAAAGCTCCTATGCAAGAGTTATGGACAATTCTGCATAGTGTTCACCAATACAAGGAAAAAGGAAAAAAGAAAAGAAAAGAACGCTCCAAAAACAGAATGCACTTGTAAAAGGCCAGGACTGAGTTTTAAACTGAAATGTAAACATACCCTTCAGCAATGGCAGTCTTTCCCACACCAGGCTCACCAATAATAACCGGATTATTTTTTGTTCTCCGAGATAATATCTGGATACACCGCCGAATTTCATCATCTCGACCAATAACAGGATCAAGTTTGCCACGCCTAGCAAGCTCAGTCAAGTCATTCCCATATTTTTCCAGTGCCTCATATTTCCCTTCAGGATCTGTGTATATTGAGAGAGAAAAAAAATAAGATCACAACAGATTGGAAAAAGACATTCTCAAAACACCAGACGTTCCAATTGTAGCATAAAATACAAATCCATGTCTTTACAACTTCTACAATATGTGCTGCTTGTTATTGATGCAATTAATCTTTTTGTGCATCCAATGTTGCTAATTATAGAACAACCCATTGTTTTAAGCAGAAAAGGAAAATTAAACTCATACTTTGATCAATCACTCTCTGACTTCCGCGAAGAGCTTGGATGGCATCCCTCAAATCCTTCTCTGTGATGTTGAGGTTCTTCAGTAACTGCTGCCCAAACCTCTTATCCAAATGGAATGCTAAAACAAAATGCTCTACTGACACAAAATCATCTCCCATTTCCTTCTTATGGTTTCGAGCATTGTCCAACAAGACACTTAGATATGGACCCATTATAGGACCGCTGGTGTCACCCACCACCTGCAACAAGAATAGAGATGCTCATATGTTTTTATATTATATATGTCAACGCTTCCAGCATGTAATACAGAAATGTGTAATGGAATTATAGCAAGCACCTTTGGTTGTTGGGAAATAAAGTTATCTGTAGCCTGCAAAACTGATGTGTTGTCCACCCCAGCCTTTGTGAATATTCTCCTAGCTAATCCATCCTTTTGCTCCAAAAGGGCTTTCATCAAATGCTCAGTTTCCACTACTTGCTGTTTGCTAACTCGTGCCGCATCAACAGCACCAACAATACCTTCCCATGCCATCTCAGTGAATTCTGATGGATTAGCCTAACAGGACAAAATAAATCAGCAAGAAACAAAAGAAGCAGAAAGCACCATTCTAATCCATAAGGGAGGGCAAGTCCTATATGCAGCTAACCAAGAGTAAGTGATGCGCAGAAAAACTAAAATGACTGTAACTAGTAGACTCTTCAGCCAAAACTATTTCACCATAAACAAATAAAGAGAACCTAACCTACAATGGTATCCATCAAATTTTCAATTTTGAATTTTGACAATATATTCAAGAAATTAAAAATAAATTAATTAATTAATTAAACAAAAATACAATACAAAAGTACCATATGCACCAAATTCAAGTTGAACTGGCTAGATTATAATTTAAATTTAGATATCCATTAGACCTCCAATCCAACATCAGAGGATTAAAGCTTTTAAAGGAAATTAAAAAAATAAGAAGATGAAGAAAAAATTATAATAAAAACTCCATTAGCCTTCTAATTGTTAAATACGGATATCACACTAAAGAAGAAGAAAAAAAAAACCGGGAAACGACACATAATCAGCTCAAAAGAAAACAAAAATTAAACCCATAACACCGTCTACATAGAGCTGCATGTAATTTTAACATACGATCGTTTCTTAAATAAGAAGTGACCTGTGAAGAGCTGGTGGCAGCGGCGAAATGACAAGGGGAAGAGTGAAAGCAGCGCGTGAAGGTGACAGTGGATAAGTTGGCCAAAACAACATTGTCGTTGGCTGAAACTCTATTAAAAAGTGCAGCATTGACGGAATTGCCAAACAGAGAAGCAGAAGCAGAGATGGCACGAGCACGTGAGATTGCGAAAGGAGATTGATAGAGCGAAAGTCTGGATGATTTTATGGCTGCAAAAGCAGACTTTGTCAGTCTTCTTGAGGCCATCGTTTTTTAGATGAAAGCTTTTTGCCGAAGAGCAGAAATTTCAAATTTGATGCTACTCGGTTATTTTCCTTTTTCCATTTTTGCAAAGAGAAAGCGAGAAGGAAATAGAATGGGGGAGTGATGCTGTGTTGTTTAAACTTGAGGACGAGGCAAGAAGAAGGTTGTAGAATGGTGTGGGTCGTGTGTGAGTTTCCCTTAAAAACACGGCGTCGTTTCAAATTGTCTTGGGTTCTTACGAACAGTGTGGCTAACCCACGATGTCCCATATATGGGCTATGGCCCAATAACTAAATGAGCAAAAGAAATTTGAGAGAAAAATAAATTATGCTCTCACTGTGTTGTTCAAAGCTTGAGGACGAGGCAAGGAGAAGGTTGTAGAATGGTGTGGGTCGTGACTCCTGTGTGAGTTTCCCTTAAAAACACGGCGTCGTTTCAAATTGTCTTGGGTTCTTACGAACAGTGTGGCTAACCCACGATGTCCCATATATGGGCTATGGCCCAATAACTAAATGAGCAAAAGAAATTTGAGAGAAAAATAAATTATGCTCTCACTGTGTTGTTCAAAGCTTGAGGACGAGGCAAGGAGAAGGTTGTAGAATGGTGTGGGTCGTGACTCCTGTGTGAGTTTCCCTTAAAAACACGGCGTCGTTTCAAATTGTCTTGGGTTCTTACGAACAGTGTGGCTAACCCACGATGTCCCATATATGGGCTATGGCCCAATAACTAAATGAGCAAAAGAAATTTGAGAGAAAAATAAATTATGCTCTCACTGTGTTGTTCAAAGCTTGAGGACGAGGCAAGGAGAAGGTTGTAGAATGGTGTGGGTCGTGACTCCTGTGTGAGTTTCCCTTAAAAACACGCTTAAAAACACGGCGTCGTTTCAAATTGTCATCGGTTCTTGCGAACAATGTGGCTAACCCGCGATGTCCCATATATGGGACATGACCCAATAACTAAGAAATTTGAGAGAAAAATAAATTATAGTCTCGTTCACGAAATCAGGACCTCACACTTACTGCACGGACGCTCTGACCAACTGAACTATGAAAACTTATTAACCATATATTTCAACAACTGAACTATAAAAATAATATTTGTCATATATATATTTATATATAATCTCTACCTTAATATGATAATATTGTGATTTTTTAGTCCATAATCTGTACTCCCTGTAGCTTTGAATGGTCATTGGTCATCGGACTCATTGGTCAATGCACTTGTCTAGAATGACACGGCATATAGATTCAATACGTGGCAACTGGCCACTTGTGTGCTTGTTTTCGTTACCTAATCCTTTGATAGCAAATAATTGAATTTCACAACTATGATAAATTATATAGGTGATGGACAAATTTTACACAGAGGTTCATTAAAATTGTATAACTTTAAATTATTATTTTTGGTTATTAAACTTTATTTTAGTGAAAATTCCCTCACTACATCTTAGTAGTAGAGGCAGCCCATCATTTTTAAATTCTCTACACATTCACACAAAACTTATATCTTTTCTATATGAATTATCAATAATGCTTTGGTTAAAGTAGTAATCAAGACTCAACGTGTTCGGTTTTTATAAAATGCACTTACTAATAAATTTAAAAATTTTTTATTTTATAAGGTCATAAAGAGATTACACCTCCTAATTCTATCTTTCAAAAATAAAAATCTCCGCTTGAGGTCAACGAGTCTCCCAACAGACAACAAGACATGCTTAGAAAACAAGTTACTGATTTCAATTATTTGCTAACACCTGGAGTTTTGGAGGTTTGTTGAAGATTAAAACAATGTAGCTGCTATAGTCAGTAACATTATTTTTAACTAATTAACTTATGTCGCCGTCAATAACAATTCAACCATATATTGACTTTTCAAACCTTAATTAGTTTGACCCAATGCATTACAATTGTTTATTGATGTTGTATAATCATCGTTTTTCATTTGATATGTCTTTAAATTTTATATTTAGACTCAGTTTAGTGATGTCATATCATTCATATTTATATTTTTTAAATAGTAATTAAAAAATTGAAAATTATTATTCAAAAGTTGTACTGACTACATATCGAATCAATATTTAATATGTAAAAATAATCAAAAATAATAATTATTTTTAATAAGAGAATATGTAAACTTATTATAAAAAGTGAGGTTTAGAATACTATAAAATCAATTTTAAAATTCAAGAGGTCACAATTTTTTTTGTTAATCAAAGTTCAAGAATTAAATTAAGTATTCAGCTATATATATATAAATTTCATAACTTAACCTTTTGACATTTAAAATTTACAAAAATAAATATTTGATTTTTATATGGAGTAAATTCGATAATAATAATAATATAATTACTGTATGATTGTCTATGGATAAAATGCTTAATAAAATAAAATGCTAAGGGTAATTAATTATTTCATTACTTAAGTTTGATCATAATTCAAGATTCAAATATTATAAAAAAAAAAAAAATTAAAGATTCAAATAATAAAATATTATACACATCAAGGCATAACTTAATGGTAAGTGCATATATAACCTGACAATAAATTTAGGTCCGAATTCCTTTCTCCAATATTAAAAAAAATTATAGCGTCATACCTTTGAATAATACTTTTTAAATCAACCGACGAAATAGTTTAATAGTATTAAATCTCATGCACTAACTAATGTATTTATTATTTACTAAATAAAAGAAAAAAATCATAGGTAATTATGATGAAACTAGAAAGATTAAAAAATTATTTATCCTAACATTAATTAAGGTTAAGACTTAAGAAGGGGATAAAATACAATAAATACATTAGGTTTAATTCGCTTGAAAGCTAAAACAACAAACGCCGTCGCTATGGTCCTTCTGGAAACACCACGTAAACGCCCTCGTTTTTGACCCGTTCCCTAGCGACATCACTTTCCCTTTTTATTGCACTGTCCTTTCAGTTGTTTACGAAGACATCAAGAGTAAAGGGCTCGAGCCTCTGCCTCTGCCTCTCTCCCCCTCCCTATTCTCTCTGGCCATCCTTCGTTGACCTACAATTATTTTTTCAACAAGACATAATTTACTGATACTCAGTTCAAGATCTATTCACTACAAGCCTTGATTTCTCAAATCCAAGGTTAGATCTCCTCTATTTTGCGTTTCTCAGTTTAGCTTTTTTGGGGCAGTTTGATTGTTCTGTTGTCACTACGGTTATAACATAGGTTTGCTTCCTGGGTTCGTTTTGATGCAGATCTATACCAAATAAGAAACGACGCCACGTGGGACATCGAGCTCACAACTGGACTAGTTCAGGTTTTGGGTGATTATGCTTATTTTTTTCAGATCTGGGGTTTATAGTATTAGCTACTCTGTTGCTTTTTGAATTCGTTTGTTGGAAATGTCAATTATACCTAAGAATGACGACTCCATTCAAATCCGAGAGGTGTGGAATGACAATCTCGAGGAAGAATTTGCTTTGATTCGTGAAATTGTTGATCAATTCAATTATGTAGCTATGGATACTGAGTTCCCGGGCGTGGTTCTGCGTCCGGTGGGAAATTTTAAGAACATAAATGACTATAACTATCAGACTTTGAAAGATAACGTTGATATGTTGAAATTGATCCAATTGGGTCTCACTTTCTCTGACGAGAATGGGAATTTGCCCACTTGTGGAACCGATAAGTTTTGCATTTGGCAATTCAATTTTCGTGAGTTCAATATCAGCGAGGACATATTTGCTAGTGACTCTATTGAGCTGTTGCGCCAATGTGGGATTGATTTTAAGAAGAATAATGAAAAGGGTATTGATGTTAATCGATTTGGTGAGCTTCTGATGTCATCTGGGGTTGTTTTGAATGATAGCGTGTATTGGGTTACATTTCATAGCGGGTATGATTTTGGGTACTTGCTTAAGCTTTTGACTTGCAGGAGTTTGCCTGATACACAAGCAGGATTTTTTGACTTGATCAATATGTACTTTCCTGTGGTGTATGATATCAAGCATTTGATGAAGTTTTGCAATAGCCTTCATGGGGGGTTGAACAAGCTTGCAGAGCTATTGGAGGTGGAAAGAGTTGGTGTATGCCATCAAGCGGGCTCCGATAGTTTGCTCACTTCCTGCACATTTAGGAAGCTGAGGGATAACTTTTTCAACGGTTCTGCAGAGAAGTACGCAGGAGTTTTATATGGTCTCGGTGTTGAGAATGGACAAAATACTAATTGAAAAGAAATAATTGGCAAAAGATGATGAATATTTGTAGACTACCTGAGTGTGAGATTTTCAATTCTCTTGTATACTTTGGCAAAAAAGATTGTTGTTCTAGTGGTGACTTCTTTCATTTTCTTATTTGTGACTGAAACCTGAACTGGTTTTTAGTTTGGTGTCCTTGTACATTATTGCAGTTAGTTTATCAATAATAATTTTAGTTCTTGAAAACTTATTCTGCTTAACATTTATGTATCATCTAGATACTTTTATTATCCACTTTCGATGGATATACTTACTCGTTTGTCTTATTTCATGGATATCTTTTGTTCTCTACATTTTTTCTCTCTCCCTCTCTCACATTCAGTGTTTATCCATTTTGAGTGAGATTTTAGTCTATAATTATTCTATGCTTGTACTGGACTAAGAGTCCTGATATTGGCTGGTGCTCATGTTCCTATATGTTGAACTGCTTAATTTTGTGAATAGAAGGATGCGGTTTGTGAAACTCTATTACAAGATCACAGTGACTTGTGAAATAACTAGCTGTGTGTGTGTGTGTTTTTTTGGGGGGCAGCTGTATTTCAATCTGTTGAGAAAAAGTGAGGTGCAATAAAGTGTACAAGTTATTGTCTCATGATAATGCATCTTCCACTGGTCAATTTAGTTATTTTATCAGCGGCCTGTCTTCAAGAGTATGTGAAATGGAACAAGAGCAGAGTGCCTCCTTACTGGAAAATGTGTACTCAGATAAGGTATGTAAAAATAATCAATCAGTCAATTTCTGATTATTTTTGTGGCACTAATGTATGTTGATCGTCTTTGACGATTTCAGATGAATAGGTTAATCTCTGCCTAGAATACAAAGCCTGCAGGTGCATGCTGATAATATGAATATGTTTACTTTGGCCTCTATATTGCAGTAGCTTATGATATTTAATTTATTGCACAATTTATTTTCTTTCCAGTGTTTGATCCTTGAAGAACAGGGCTATGAAGAGGTCCACAATCCGAAATGATAACTTGTGTCTCTTGGGTTATTGGATAATTGTGTTGTTCTCTGTCAATGTAATAGTTCTAATATTAATTGAGTCTCTCAGGGATTGATTTAAAGAAGCAAAACTTTAACAACTAAAATTTCCTGAAATGTGGTTGAATAACTGTTCATGAATCAAGGAGCATCTTAGATCTTCATTTGTAGCTTCCTTACTGGATGCTGATAGCTGATGTATCTATAGTGATTTCTGCATTTGACACTTGCCACCTAGTTCTTATCTCTCGTTTGATTTGTTGGTCCATTTATCTGCTGTGGTTTCAGAGTACTTGAAGTAAGATGAAGTTTTAATAAATTTGTGATTGAAAGACAGTATATGCTTTATTAAATTTGATGGCAAATTTCAACCTCAACCGACTCAGAAATTCCATCCATTTCTCAGTTACAACCGCTCAGTAAGAGCAAACTTGTTATTTTTCATTCCTTATATCCGTAAAATGCATGTTGGCTTAAAGTGCTAGCTTTGGCATGATAATGTTTTTGCTGTGGACCCATTGTGACTGGCTGGTATTGCTCCTTGTTTGCAGTTTTCTTTATGTTGATTGATGTCAATCTGGCTGGTCAAACATCTGCATATTTTTTCACGGCTAATCGACTCGTTTCACATCCAGGTTTTCAATTTGTTGCTACTTGCTATGGAATATTTGTCATAATAAAATGCATGTGATTTCTGGCTGATTAGAATTGCTAGTATCACTACTGCAATGCCTATGATATGCATATGTAAGTCGAAGCATAGTTAAACAGAGTCTGGAGCCAGCTATAATGGGCAACTTGCAGCACCCGTTGAAGGAACTCGAATAGCCAATAATAATAAATGCATGAAAAATTAAATTAATAGGCTCTTGATGTAAAAGATGTATAGAAACGTTGAGATGAACTTGTAACTTTGTGATGCCAAGAGAGTTAGAAATTTTATCAGATAGATGTATTAAAGAAGATTCTTTGGATGAAAGAATATTTGCAGAATGGTACTTACAGGCTATAGAGCGTCGTGTGTTTTTGTCCTGAATTGAAAATGGTCCTGTGTTTTTGTCCTGAATGGTAAAAGTTGGTAGAACCTCGAGAGGAATAATAATTAAGGAAAGTAACAAGTTCAAATCCAATAGGAGACCCTCCACCGGCCCACCGCGATAACTTTTTGGTTGTGGGATGCACGTTGTTGTTAATAGAAAAATAAGATAACAGGTGCTTCAACATCAAAACGTGCATAAAAACTGTTTGAAAATTTCAAAATCGAACCACTTTTAAGTTATTTTTATTATTTATGACAGACGATAACTAGTTTAAGTTTCGAGGTAATAAATATTGTCAAAGAAATTACCTTTAACTGTTTCGACCTTCAAATTTGTATTCATAGGACAACCTGCTGCCGTACAAACAATAAAATAAATTCATTGCAATATTAAGCATGTTTCAGCCCAATTATTGCGTGTAACCAATAAATAATTAATTTTCTGATAATGATTTTTTAAAAAGGATATCAAGCTTTTATTTATTTTCAAAAAAAAAAAAAAAAATACAAGCTTTTATTTTTTAATTAACTAAACATAACAAAATTTTAAAATATTGCTTCTCTCGTTCTTCTGTCTGCGTGGATGTCTTTTGTAAGCAAAACCGCGTCCCTTCCTCAGCCTGTCAAAATGTTTTGGACGAAAATGCCATTTCCGTAACTCGTTCCAATTTTCTTTCTCATTCCTTCCTAACTAGAAAATAGAGGAAGTTTTCAGGATCACCGTGACTCGTTTCTCCCATCGAGTCAACTCATTCTCTCTTCTATTTGTTTTTTTCTTTTTTGCAGACAACGCACCTCAGATAAGGGCATTTGTTCTCAACATCAGTTAAATCTCTTCTTCTTTTATATCGGATTCAGGTAACAATTTGAATACTACCATTTATGATCCGATCCGAATCGGATCTCATTTCCTTCATGTCCCATAACAAGCGTCTTGTTCTCGTGTTAGTGTGTCTCTTCAATTCCTTGTTTTACTTTTGCCATGCGGATCCGGGTCAATCCTGTTCAAACTCGAGTTCCTATGTCGGATTTGAATCTGAATTCACCATGGTCCAACATCAGCTCCGTGGAGTTGTGACCATAATTGATGATTGCTCCTTTAGGGTTTCTCAATTCGATATGCTCCCTGGGGCCGATGTGCACTGGTGGGGTGCGGTCTCCCCCAATTTTGTTAACTTGACGAACGGTTTTATCGTCTCCGATCATAAGCTTAACCAGACCTACAAGAACGCCTCTTTTATCGTTCGTTTGAGAAAAAACGTCACCTGGGATCGGATCCAAGCCCTCTCTGTCTGGGACCTGCCAACAGCGTCTGATTTCGGTCACATTATTCTCACCAATGAGTCCATGTCGGACCCCGCCTTAACCCCCGGCCTGGCTCCCTCGCCGTCTGTTAATGATACTACTCTCGACAAACGAAAAAGTTGGAATGTTACAGCGCCAACGATGTTTGATAATTGCAAGGTGTTGTCTAACAGTTTTAGGATTAGATGGAGTTTGAATGTGAAAAATGGCTCCATTGATATAGGATTAGAGGCCGCCACTGGGATCCAGAATTACATGGCATTTGGGTGGGCCAGACCGGATTCTAACTCGGAGCTAATGCAGGGTGCTGACGTGGCGGTGACTGGGTTCACAGAGGAGAGAAAGCCCTTTGCTGATGATTTTTTCATTACAACATACAGGGAATGTACCATAGACAAGGATGGTTCTGCCTTCGGGGTTTGCCCAGATACCATATATGAAGGATCGGACCCAGTTGAATTGGTGAACAACACACAGTTGATTTATGGGCATAGAAGGGATGGGGTGTCGTTTATTAGGTATAGAAGGCCTTTGGTTTCAGTTGACAAAAAATATGATTTGCCAGTGAATGAAACAGCCAATATGACAGTGATTTGGGCAATAGGGTTAATGAGGCCGCCTGACAGTCTTAGGCCTTATTATCTCCCTCAGAATCATGGAGAGCCAGAAAAAGTGAGGTATGGTCATCTGGTGCTTAATGTATCTGAACCGGTGAATGATTGCTTAGGGCCCTTGGACGCGGAGGACAAGGAGGATCAGGATTTGATTATTGCTGATGCAAATGTGCCTCTTACTATTACCTCTGCTCCTGCAATGCATTATCCTAATCCACCAAATCCTTCAAAGGTTTTGTACATCAATAAGAAGGAGGCTCCAGTTTTGAGAGTTGAAAGAGGGGTGCCTGTAAAGTTTTCAGTTCAAGCTGGACATGATGTTGCATTGTACATTACTTCAGATTTGATGGGTGGGAATGCAACGTTGAGGAATGCAACAGAGACTATTTATGCTGGAGGGCCTGAAGCCGAGGGTGTTGTGGCTAGCCCTATGGAATTGGTTTGGGAACCGGATAGGAATACTCCAGATCAAGTGTACTATCAATCGTTGTATCAACAAAAGATGGGCTGGAGAGTTGAGGTGGTTGATGGGGGTTTATCTGATATGTATAATAACAGTGTTGTTTTGGACGATCAGCAAGTGACGTTCTTTTGGACGTTGTCGGAAGATTCTATATCTATAGCAGCTCGAGGCGAGAAAAAAAGCGGTTATATTGCGATAGGATTTGGTAGTGGAATGGTGAATAGCTATGCTTATGTTGGCTGGGTTGATGAGAGTAGCAAGGGACATGTAAACACATATTGGATTGACGGAAAGGATGCCTCAAATGTTCATCCAACCAATGAGAGTTTGACTAATGTAAGGTGCAAATCAGAAAATGGCATCATAACCTTAGAGTTTATTCGCCCCTTGAAACCATCATGTAGCCAGAATGATAGGCCGGAGTGCAAAAATATTATAGATCCCACGAGTCCTCTTAAGGTCATATGGGCAATGGGTACTAAATGGTCTGATGGACATCTAAGCGAAAGAAATATGCATTCTGTGACTAGTCATAGGCCTGTCCGGGTGTTACTTTTGCGGGGTTTTGGAGAGGCTGAGCAAGATTTACAACCTGTATTAGCTGTTCATGGGTTCATGATGTTTCTTGCTTGGGGGATTTTGCTTCCTGGTGGAATTTTGGCAGCTAGATACTTGAAGCATGTGAAGGGGGATGGTTGGTACCGAATTCATGTTTACTTGCAGTACTCGGGCTTAGCAATTATCCTACTTGGCTTTCTTTTTGCAGTGGCTGAGCTTCAGGGATTCTATGTCAGGTCGTTTCACGTTAAGTTTGGACTTACTGCTATATTTTTGGCTTGTGTACAACCAGTAAATGCTTGCATGCGGCCCCAAAAACCTGTTAATGGGGAGGAGGTATCCTCAAGGAGGCTTATTTGGGAGTATTTTCACACTATTGTTGGCAGATGTGCCATCGTTGCAGGAGTTGTGGCACTTTTCAGTGGAATGGAGCATTTGAAAGATAGATATGGAAGCGAAGATGTTCATGGATATAATTGGGCATTAATTGTTTGGTTCTTGGTTGGTTTATTAATTGTCATGTATCTGGAATATCGGGAAAGACAGCAAAGGAGGGACAGATTTGGCAGAAGAAGTTGGAGTACCCCTGATGAAGATGATTCTGTTGATCTCTTAAGTCCAAGCATGGCTGCACAAAAACATTCACAACAATCTGGAAGAATGGAAGTTCAATTAGAGCCTTTAAGTAGATAGATATTTTCGATAAATTAATTTTGATATAAGCTCACCCCACTTCACCAGTTTTGAAAATTTTCTTACTCATACAGGGGATAGCATTAGCAGGCTTGTTTATGCGCTTGAAAGTTCTTTTTTCTGGCTTAAGTGGGCCTTCTCACTCATGATAGTTTCCCCTTCACCCACTCAATGCAAAGAGTAATTACCATTAAAAATTGTATTTTGTATACCGGATACTTCTTTTAACATAGTAGAAGATTATATCAGTTTCATCACATCTCGTCTTTATACTGGACTTTTGAAGGCCTTTAAGGTTTTGTAGTCTTTATATTATAATGTGCAGCTGGATTATTATGTAGGCTCTTGTGGTGATTAATGTTAGATTGTACTTGAATATTCTAATCGTTGGTCTTAAAAACATGTGGTTGCTTATGGGATTTGCCTTTCCTAATACGTGAATTGGCCTTACCATATACATTTAGAAGAGTTCTGAATGGTCACAAATTCACCTTTTATCCATTTCTGCGTGATTGAAAATTCCCACCTTTGTTTTTCATTGATTTAACTATCATATTCTGAAGTTTAAGGGATTGGTGTAGCCTCCACTTTCTTCGTCTTCGAATAATTAATGTTGCCCTTCTTTTTCTTGCAGGTTTTCCACCATGATTTTTGAATTCTTGGCATTGTTGTATTGCATTTTTTTCATTATAGTAGCTCTTCGGTTTATTTTTTGCATTTGCCCTACCATTTACCTTGGTTTATTTATACAGATTTCAAGTTATAACCATTGGTCGGTGTTTTCTTTTTTTGTAGGTATCATTAGCTGCCTATTTGAGTTTAAGGCCTAATATTTCTCTCTATTGGGCCTCATTGTCATTAGCTTGGTTAATCATTTGAGCCCAAGCCCATAAACCGGATCTATGTAAATTTAATTCCTCAATTTATTCAATTTTAAGCTAGATAATTAAGTTGTTGCGAGTTGCGACCTAAACATAATTATCTTATTTTGTCTACTGCCTCTATTTATACGCAAAAAAGGAAAGAAAAAACCTTTTATCGCACAAAATGACCGTCTATGGCAATTAAGATCTAGTTGGGATATAAAATATATTATATATTATTTGTAATTTCCTTATTTACGACTCTCTTGTTTTTGTACACGAATCATCCAACGTATACCTAACACTTACCAAATTGAAATGATAATTGAAATCTCAGCTATTAAAACTCTAATCTTTAACTTTGATATAAAATTTATTACTTTCTCTTTCTATGTGAAAGCAATCACGAATTAAATGTTAGTAGTCACAATTAATCACCTCATCGTAACAAATTTCTTTAATTGGCTTATTCTTCGTAATTTTCATTTTTTATTATCACAAGTTCTGATATTTTGGTAGTAAGTGATGCTGAAAAGGAACAAGATCTGACTTAAAATTACTTGGAGAGTAATTGATATTAGTCCACGATCTTTAAATATTAGTGAGGATATAGCTATGAACATAATAGAATAGAGATAATTAATTCATATAGTAAACTTCGGTTAGTTGTTGCTTATATTATGGTTTGTATTGCTATTAATTTGATCACAACGGATATTAAAAACAAAATATTTGCATACCCGGGTTTTGGTTGTTTTGTATCATCGGAAGTTTAATAACTAATAACTACTACATTACTAACTCGGCGTATCTTAATATTTAACATTTCAATTGTTATTGTCTGTAACTAATATTATAATAACAACTAAATCTAAATCTCAAATTAATTGAAGTTGGCTATATGAATCATTTGTCTTTATTCTATTATATTCATAGCTAAATTCGTATTAATGTCCAAAGATAGAAGATTATTTATAATTACTTTTATCCGTGTAATTTCAAATCAACCTTTTATTCGTTTAACACTCTCCACAATCAATGTATCATACTTATAAACGAATGCATCTAAAGATCTATGTAAAGCATTACCAAACGATCTCAAACATTCTTATCTCACTTTGACTTATACTACTAACATTTAGTTAAATATCATAAACGAGCCCCATATCTGTTGTTTAAAATCGTATATTTAATTTACAATAATTAAGTTTATTTGGTTAGTTTTGGAAATTTGTGATAAAACATTTTTATTTGCACAAACAATGGAAGTTTAAATTGCATATATGGAAGTAATGTCATACCATGATTTATAACCATATCAACAAGGAAAACCTTTTTTGTAATAGATAAATTATGAAGGTATAGTAATTTCTTATTTATTAAAATATGAACTAATATTTTATTACATAAATAAAAACCGTTACTCGACAAATGTCATATATAGTAACTTAAATAAAAGTAGTTGATCGATTACTGAATTGGCGCCATGTTATATAGTAATTCAAATAAAAATAGCTATTAAATTATTAAATTGGCGCCATAAATTCACATTGCAAATGCAAATTTAAAATGTTGAAAAAGCGCGCTGAATTCATAGTTTAAAATCATATTTTTTACATTTACAATAAGTTACTTGTTTCTTTGTGGAATTTGTGATTACATCTTTTTATTTGCACAAACAATGAAGTTTAAATTGCTATATGGAAGCAATGTCACACCATGGTTTATAACCATATCAACAAGGAAAACCTTTTTTTGAATAGATAAATTATGAAGGTATATAATTTCTTATTTGTTTAAATATGAACTGATATTTCGTTATATAAATACAAACCGTTACTCAACAAATGTCATAAATAGTAACTTAAATAAAAGTAGTTGATAGATTATTGAATTGGCGCCATGTTATATAGTAATTCAAATAGAAGTAACTATTAAATTATTAAATTGGCGCCATAAACTCACACCGCAATGCATGTTTAAAATATTGAAAAGAACGATAATTTAAAATCATATTTTTTACATTTGCAATAAGTTATTTTGCTTATTTGTGGAATTTGTGATGAAATTTTTTTATTTGAAGTAATAAAAAGTTGCATGTATGGAACCAATGTCACACCAATTTTTAAACCATATCAATAAGGAACTCCTCATTCAACATGTAATCAATATATGATTACTTTGCAATTTGTAAAAATACGAATCAACATATTAAGAACATTAAATATGACTTAAAATTTTCCATTAACGTATTAGATATGCTTTAAAAATCTCTGTTCTGTTAACAGAAATTACTATTGATAAGTGTCAGATAACGATTGAAAATTAGTTATTTGACGGTTAAATTCGTGCCATACAAATGTCAGATAACATAAAAAATGGCGCGATATTTTGTAGTTTAAATTGTATATTTACATTTACATTAAGTTGTAATTTAAATATTCTTAGTTGCACAAGTAATGAAATTGCATGGTTAAGCTTTTCTTATTTTTCATATATCTACATCGTCCATAATTAAATTGATCAACAACTTATGTTAGCTACATTTTAACACATTTCACAAAGTGACTTGTATATCAAGGGAAACGTGAAATTAAAATTACAAAATATAAAACTAGATAGTTCCAATTAACATTTTAAGTTAGCAACACGATAGTTCTTCTTTGAGTTTTTTATGGTCAAAATTCGAATATGAGACATTTCACTCGCCATATTATTAAGGAGACTAATTATATCACACATAATTAACATAAATTTAATTAACGCTTTCACAACCTTAATAATTTTATTAATTTTTTATTAATTCTAAAAAGACCATAATACCATCCTAAAACAACCTAATTCTCCTATCTACTTCAGGGCATTTCTATAATTTTCTTATAATCATAATCTCCTAATTTTTGCCCAAATAAACCTCAAGAACGACTTTATATAAACAGTAGTTTCAGTTAAATTAAATAAAAAGAAAAACGAAATAGAAGGGAGAAAAAAAAAAAAAAAAAAAAAAAAAATAAAAAAAGAAAACGGAATAGAAGGGAGAAAAAAAAAAAAAAAAATAAAACCAAAATACGTCTCTAACGACATTGTGCTGGACCTTGATCCTGACGAATAATAACGCGACAGTTTGAGACCGCCTACTAATTTCTCTTTGTTTTCTGGTCATAGGCCACCTTATATAAGTTCCGTGAAGCTCGACAATTTCCGTTTCGGGTTCCTAGCAGAATACCATCTCGACGAAAGTGCGGGGATACTCCAGATCTCGGTCTATCCCTCTTCCAATCCAGCGTACCACTCGACTCTCTGGGTCGTATTTTATAAGCTGGTAGCGGCCAACGTTAACTGACAATAATTCTTCATAAAACCCATGTTTCATCGCGCGTCCAGCACGCTTCGCAGCCACGACGTTCGTTAATTTCCACACAGGAGCAAATTGAAACTGACCGTCACTCTCGCATAGGTTAGTCTCAATTTATCCCTCCACTTTTTACCCAGATAAATCCGTCTGGAAATGGTGTACTTACTTTTGCCCGATTTTTCTACGAATTAATCCGAGAAAATGTTTTTTTTTTTTTTTTTTTTTTTTCTTTGTTGGTAGTTTCTTTAGCATGAAATGGGTGGCATTTGCTAACTAAAAATTTCAACACGAGTTTTAGCTTCTCATTTCTATACCCCTTCTCCCTCCTATTTACTGAGCTTGTGTGTTACCATCAAACTCTTTATCTCTGCAGCATGCCGGCTATTGTATTTACCTCGGATCCCTCAGACCTTAGAAGTTAAATGTTAGAGCTGACCGTTTCGAGCTTCTCTTTTCTTGCGCGTTGGCGTGTTCCTTTTTTCAAAGTTATGGAATTGATACCCACATAAAGTGTCCCGGAGACAGAATGATCTGGAACAATTTTTTTTTTTTTTTTTTTTTTTTTCTTTGTGGTAGTTTCTTTTAGCATGAATTGGTGGATTTTGCTACTAAAAATTTCACACGAGTTTCTTCTCATTCTCTCCTTCTCTCCTTTTACTGCTTTCTCTCGTGCCGCTTTTTACTGGTTCAGTTGAAGTTGTAGCTCTTTCGAGCTTCTCTTTTTCTTCTTCTTTCTTTTTCAAAATTTGGATGATAAAAAGTGCGGACAGATTGATCTGGAACATTTTAGCTCTGGATTGCTTTAGTATCAGGAAACGCTGAATGCACCATTGTCTACTTAAGAATCAGTGTGTTTTTGTGTGGTGTCAGCTTTGCATTGCTTTGGTTTTCTGGTTATGGTCGTATCGCTAATTGTGATTTAATGAAATACTCTCTCAATTATTTCGTTAATCGAAAGATATTTATATGTACAAAACACAAGAATACTATTAACACTAATTACCTACTAAACAACTAAACAATACAATTATAATACTCTTAACAGGTCGTTTTTTGAAATGGAGAGTAGAACTGGAGTTTAGTGCAGTTCAATTCTAATATAATGCAGGATGCGAGTAATGTGAACTTAGCTAGTAAAGGGAGACAAAATTTATATTACTAGTTTCTTGATATTGCTTTTTTCTTTTTCCCTTGAATATCGAGCATTTTTTGGTTAGGTAATCTGTCATTTAAGTTTTGATATAAAATTTACTATGTAGGCTTCTCCAGTTGTTTATACTTAAATATCGATCAGATTATATGCCTTGTTGTTTGGCAGCTGGTAAGATACTCTCTTTACTTCTTGTTCTCTAGCGAGAGTAGGATGTGGCTTTGTACATCAGGATCCCTAGACCATTCTTATTCGAATCTTACCATTCACGGTTCGAATCTTATGATTCGATTCAATTTTTATGCTAAATGATTCGAATCTTATTGGTAAATCGGAATTGATCATGAATCTTACAATTCATGCGATTCGAATCATAAAATTCGAGTCGATTTTCATGTTCAACAATTCTCTTGCCCAACAGAACAAGTGGAAAAATTCAATGTAGAGAAAGCAGAGCAAGGAGATGTAGTTATATTAGAAGATGAAGATGATGAACGGCTTGAATTTGGAAATGATAATGAATAAATATGGTTTGGGTGGGAAATTCTAGTGGCTTGATAGTTTTACTTTGTTTTTATTTTAAAATTTAACTTCTTAGTTTGATATTTTGAACTCGACAACTACACAAGTCATTAGGTCTCTTTCATTTTGTGTTTAGTAAATGATTTAGAATTGAAAGTTATACTGAATCTTACGATTTGATTTTCGATTCTAGATTCTAAAAATAAAATTTTGATTCTCGATTTAACAACTATGCCTAGAGCATGTTAATTTTAATCCAGAGACTTAAATTGGTCCCTATAATTATGAAATACTGTGCGTTACTAGCTTATAGAATGCAAAGTAATAAGATTAATGTAAAAAATTTGCCTGTATATATTGAAGATTAAGAAAACTCATAGTGCTTCAGTAATTGACTTTGTTCTCGCAGATCATATTTGATAATATGTTGTCAAAATAAGAAAAAAAAAATATAGTGATCAGATGATGATATATAAGATGAGCATCATGGTTAGTTGTTGGCATAATAAGTGATTGTTCCCAATTTCTCATGGTTTATTAATTCAAGTTCTTTTATTTTTAATTATCTTTAATGATTCAAACTATCTAGGTCCTTTTCTTCTGTTGTCAGCATTCTACAGATTGTCGCTAATTAATGTGATCTAAACATAGAACATTTTATCTGTTTTGCAGAATATGAGTAGCTTGGTAGAGAGGCTTCGTGTTAGATCGGAGCGAAAACCAGTTTATAATTTAGATGAATCAGATGATGATGAACTTATATCAGGAAAACCTGGGAAATCTCAGGAACCAATTGAAAAAATAGTCAGGCCTGATGCGGTTTGTTTCTTATTCATCATTTACTTCTTACTCTCCCAATCTTGTTATTTATTAGAATTTTTCATACCATGCCTTGTTGTGTTTATCACTCTTTTTTTTTATTTTGATTTTGGTCTTATTTTTTATTTTTTGATGATGGATTGTAATCAGTAATCACAAAGATTAGTGTTGCTCACTGGTTGAATATAATAATTGAGGTTAATGTTGAGATCATAAAATGATGTTGCATTTTTTATTGCAAAGAATAATGTTGCACTATATAGATATAGTTTCATTGAGGTTAACTATTGAGCTTACTGTAGCTTTTTGCTTCTATAATGTATAATGGGCTGGAGTTAGACTTCCTTGACCTTGATCAGTGTGGGATAGAATAATGGAGGTTCAACACTCATCAGTAGCCTTTCCTGTTGTGAAAGTCTACTAGGATGGGATCCTTACTAGACAAAGTGTATTGTCTGCTTTAGTCCTGTTAGGCCCTGTGGTTTGTTGGGCACCCAATGCCCAATATGTTCATAAGATGAATGTGGCAGAGATGCTGAGGTTAAGATGGATGTGTGGTTAGACAAGGATGAATAAAATTAGGAATGACCACATTTGAAAAAGGTACAAGTAGCAGAAATCGGGGATAAAATGAGAGAAGAAAATTTATGTGTTATGTAGATCTCCAGGTGCCCTAGTTTGTAAGTGTGATATTTTGGTGGTAGATGATGCTAAATAGAAAAGAGATAGACCTAGAACCAATGGACCTCATTTATACTCTGTTCACTTAATAGCAAGAATAAGCAAAGCGTGGAATAGAGAAGAAAATAATTTTGATAAAAATTTTGAAAGTTTTTAAAATCATTTGCTTTATTGTGTAATAAACAAGCATATGACAAACAATAATAAAAAGGCCTTAAACCTAGACTAGTTGGGGGTTGGATATATGAATCTCTTCTCCATTTTGTTTTGTTCATAACTAGATCCTCATTAATCTCAAGAAACAATAGATCTGTTGTGACCATGTACTGACAGAATGGAGCTTGCGGTTTATCTTAAAATAGATTTAAACACTAAGCTATTTTGTTGCTTCGGTTCTCTGGTGATGAGTTTGATGTCTGGTCTGAAATGTTTTCCTTGTCTTAGAACTCGCAAAGTTTTCCTAGTGAACAATGATGTGGCACTAAATTTGTCCTCTCATTATTACTGTTCTTAATTTTATAAATTTTATATACTATGTTATTCTTATTTTCTTGTTTTTTTTTTTTCTTTTCTCTCATTTCCTCCTCTTCTTTTTTTCAGAAAGATGACTGCTGTCAATCTTGTGGAGAAAGTGGGGATCTTCTGAGCTGTGAAACTTGTAATTATGCTTACCATCCCAAGTGTCTGCTTCCACCATTAAAGGCTACTCCTCCTAGCAACTGGAGATGCCCTGAATGTGTATGATTCCTTGAAACTTGGATAAGAATGGTCACTCCTATTGAACTGATATTATGTTGTTGTTGTTATGCTATGATGGTTGACAACTGTTGTATCTGCAGGTTAGTCCTCTAAATGATATTGATAAGATATTGGACTGTGAAATGCGACCCACTGTAGCTGGTGATAATGATGTCTCTAAGTTAGGCTCAAAGCAAATTTTTGTGAAACAGTATCTTGTGAAGTGGAAGGGTTTATCTTATCTGCACTGCACTTGGTAATTACAATCTCTATCAACTTTTGTCATATGATTATTGGTTCTCCCAACAATATCTTGTACTAGACAGGCTGCTGTGGAAAACCATTTCTAAGAGTTTGAAGCTGTCCTATGTGCTAACTTGTCAAATATCATGCAGTTTCTAACAAATGAAACTGACTTTTGCATTGATTAATTTTTGGATTGTTGGACACTATTTTATGTCTATAGTTATTTGATAATGATGATTCACTTGCTAGAACTTTTTTCTTTCTCCCCTTCCCCCTTCTCATAGGGTCCCTGAGAAAGAGTTCCTAAAAGCATTCAAGTCAAATCCTCGTCTCAGGACTAAAGTCAACAATTTCCACCGCCAAATGGCATCAAACAATAGCTCTGAAGATGACTTTGTTGCTATAAGGCCTGAATGGACTACTGTTGACCGGATTCTTGCTTGCAGGTTTAGCCATCTGAAACTTCTATTGTATGATGTGTTTATGTGTAAATGCATATAAATGGAAAGAAACTTATGCCATCAACACCAAATAGTTTAGAATTGTGACTTAGTTAAGTTTACATATATTTATGCATAGTCTTTTCGATAATTCCATATCTATATATACCAGTGTTTTTCTTGTCTATTATGATGCTTTTTTGTGCATTCATGATTTCAATTAATTTGCGGAGATTCAAGTGAAAACTTTGATTTTATGTCCCCCTATCTAGGCAAAAATTTATTCTGGAGTCTGTAAATTAATTGAGCTGAAGTTGACTTTTGCTAAGCCAAAACCAGGCGGATTATGTCATTTGGTTGTATCTTAAAGGTTGCAGTCATTTAGTTGATTTCTTAGCATGCAAGGGTAATGGTATTTGTCTGAGAATTTTTTCTCTCACAAAGCATGGTCCATATATTTCAAGCATCGATGCTTTTCATATCTATGATTAGGTTACATGGTGTAGGTTGCTTTCCTTTTACATCTATTAATCAAGCAGAATACTGGGACTTTTGAAGGTATAGGCACGTTTGGATGGCTATCTTATTCTATATATTCTTCTCATCGTTCTGTTCTGGGAGTTTCTGCATTTTATTGTGAGTTCAGTTTCATCCTGTAAGGAAGGACGATAGTCTTTTAATTTTAGAAGGTGTTTTTCTCGGATACTTTTGTGTATCAGCACTTCAAGCTATCTCTATTTAATGAAAAATGGCAGAAAGTTGTCTTTGTGAAAGTCCGAAGTTCTGTTGATATTAATGAATTTTCTGTTTGGTTCTTTATGATGTTATGACATAATGTATATTATTTTTCAACAATTTTACTGCTTTCACAAGAGTTCCGAATGTTAATATTCCTGTTAAATGCTGCAGGGGAGAGGATGATGAGAAGGAATATCTTGTGAAATATAAAGAACTTCCTTACGATGAATGTTATTGGGAATTTGAATCAGATATATCAGCATTTCAGCCTGAAATTGAAAGATTTAATAGAATTCAGTCTAGATCTCGCAAACTGGGCAAGCAGAAGAACAACCTTCGAGATGCTACTGATTCCAAGAAGAAAGCAAAAGAATTTCAACAGTATGAACATAGTCCTGAATTTCTAACTGGAGGTATATTATTCTATATTCTCTGTTGTAACCTGGCATCTCTTGCAATTTGGCATTATTGTGTAATCGTGGTTTGTTGCATCGGTTTTGATTATCATGGACCTCTGAGTACCTTTGTTGTTATCTCACTTGAAGGCTCCTTGCATCCGTATCAACTAGAAGGCCTGAACTTCCTACGTTTTTCATGGTCCAAACAAACGCATGTAATACTTGCTGATGAGATGGGCCTTGGTGAGAATTGTTTTGTTTTGATTTCTTTTTAATCTGTCAGCAGAGCTTGTGTTTGCATGTTGATATTTACGTTTTAATCCTTGCATTTGTCAATGGAGTTATTTGTTCTCTATTTATTTTTGATTTCAGGAAAAACTATTCAAAGTATTGCATTTTTAGCATCTCTTTTTGAAGAAAACATCTCACCATTTTTGGTAGTAGCTCCACTTTCAACCTTGCGAAACTGGGAACGTGAATTTGCAACATGGGCACCTCAAATGAATGTTGTATGTAATGAGATTTTTGATTGATCTTCGTCATTGTTCTGTAAAAATTACTCTTGAGTGCTATTTCCTGTTCTGTAGGTTATGTATGTTGGCTCTGCACAAGCACGTGGCATTATAAGGGAGTACGAATTTTATCATCCCAAGAATCACAAGAAGATCAAGAAAAAGAAATCTGGTCTAATAGTTGGTGAAAGCAAACAGGATAGGATAAAATTTGATGTGCTCTTAACTTCTTATGAGATGATTAACTTGGATACAGCATCATTGAAACCAATAAAGTGGGAGTGCATGGTAATATTTGCAGCTTAACGTGTACTTTGCTAGTTTCCAGCTTATGTTTACTGCCTAACACTTACATCTGCATGTAGATTGTCGATGAAGGTCATCGTCTCAAGAATAAGGACTCAAAATTGTTTCTTTCATTGAAGCAGTATTCTAGTAATCATCGTGTACTTTTGACTGGAACTCCTCTTCAGGTTTGTAATCAGATACTGATATGCTGTCAAATTACTGAGATTTAAGGTTGTCTAAGTGCTGGATGATAAATGGGGAACATTATAAGTACCAATTATTATAATCAAGTTGTAAAATAAACATGTTATGTTGCAAATACATGTTAAAACCATGCTTTCAAATTCCTAATTTTTGTCAGTTATATTTTTGGCACTTCTAGTGACATCATGATTAGTCCCCTAGGCTTCAAAATGAATGAAGAGTAAGGTTATTATATACTGTGCCGTAATTTTAAAGCTTCAAAAATCAAAACATTGAAGCTTAGGCTTGGAGCGTCAGATGTCTTTGAAAGTGTTACTATAATTTGTGAGAAGTGAGATTTATGTCTTTGAAAATGCTATCTATAATTTGTGAGAAGTAACAGAGTTTTTAGATCCTCTTGATGACTTTGGCAAGACTTAGTTGTCGACACCACTACACAGTGCATATTCTTTGACTTCACCAACAATCAAAAGGATTTGTCAATAATTCCTATCTCTAATCTTCTTCTCTGTACCGAGTCCATTCATCAACAAATACAAATTAAGTGCATGCTTTCGGATAAGCAGTTTTTTGCTTAGAAACTCTTGGGGTAATCTTGTAGGTTGCTGAGGTTGAGTGCTCTTCTGATGAAGATATGATGTTTTTCTTTGTGCTTCTATACTTTCGTTTTATTTGTTCTCAGATAAAATTTGATCCTGATTTTATATGCTTTTGTGAAGGAAGCTATAAAATTATGTCATTGAATTGATGTGATTAAAATATTATTCAAGAGGATGAATGGGGAGTAAAGAGGTGTATTCTGTTTAATAATCAAAGACAGCACATGTAACACTGTAGAATGCACACATTAGTTTCTTTCCTTTTTCTTCTGTGTTGTTTTTCTTCTCTTCTTATTTGCCTGAGGTTTGGGTACAGGTCTTTCTTTTTGTAACCTTTAGGTCATCTGATTATTTGATGTTTTCAATGCTAATGTTTCACACAAGTTTATAACCATTTGATTTGCTTTTGTTTGTGGTGTAATTAGTTAAATCACTTTAGATTTCTGTAGGTTAGTCATTTAATTATATTGTTTATGTCAAATTGTGAACTTATATGCATTTGTTTGACACTTCCTCAGAACAATCTGGATGAACTTTTCATGCTCATGCACTTCCTTGATGCTGGAAAGGTTAGTATTCATGGCAGCTTTATTAAAGTATCTAATTAGAGGAAGATATCTGATTGTAGCAAATTAGTAAGTTGAAAGGGTTGTTGCTTTGTCTTTGATGTTTAAATGCTTGCAGTTTGCTAGTTTGGAGGAGTTCCAGGAAGAGTTCAAGGATATAAATCAAGAAGAGCAAATTTCGAGACTTCATAAAATGTTGGCTCCCCATCTCCTAAGAAGTAAAATTCTTAAACTTTCTAGCTTATACAGTCATGCTTTATTGGATTGGTTGGATTGCCCAAGCTACTGAGATATAGTTTATTTTTTGTGCATTTACTTACATTGCTGCTTGAAACAACTTCATCTTTTACTTGCATTACATTACTGAGATTTTTTTTTTCTTGTCATCCAATCTATGTTCTTTTTATGTTATTTTGGTAAACTTTACCAAGCTCTGCTTTTTAGTTGAACATTTTTTTTTTTTTGGATGTAAATTTGGACCTTTCTATTTTTACTTTAGAGAGAGAAGAAGTGCCAAATCCTACTTTAGCATTTCCTCTTTATCTTTTCCTATTTAGTATTTCTGTCTTGGGGTTTATTATTTACTTATACTGGTATATTATTTGATGTATTTGGTTTCTGGATGATTGCTTCTCTCCACCCACCTGGCATGGGAAAATAAAAACATACACTCAAGAAAGAATAATCATGTTCGTTGTAAAAAAGAGGCTTTTCCTATTGGTGGAATAATTTCAGATTGAATATTTTCAACTTCAGGCAGGTTGTAACTACATTTTGGGAAAAAGATAGTTTGTCGCCTTAAAGCGGAGACATGATATCTACTTTAAAGTTCAACCACTTCTTTCTCTCACAAGGCTTCTTATTAAAGTGATATGTTATTAACTAATTTCAATATCGTTCTTGTTTTTAGCCTTATTTAGAATAATTATTTGTCTTGTGGGATTGCTTGTCGTGATTGTACTGAAATAAGTTGTTGAATTGATGTTTGACATTTTATTTTATTAAATCATAGTATGTCATTAAACATGGTTGGTAATTCCTGATGCTTCTTTAGGGGTTAAGAAGGATGTTATGACAGAGCTGCCTCCAAAAAAGGAGCTTATTCTACGTGTTGAATTGAGTAGCAAGCAAAAAGAATATTACAAAGCCATTTTGACCCGAAACTATCAAATATTAACTCGCCGTGGTGGTGCACAGGTGCGTTTTCTTATATCAGTAAAATTAAGCCTTTTTTTTTTAGCACCCTAACCTAACATTGGTTTTAATTTTCCTGGACCAGATTTCTCTTATCAATGTGGTTATGGAATTGCGCAAGCTTTGCTGTCATCCTTATATGTTAGAAGGAGTTGAACCAGATATAGAAGACAGCAATGAATCTTACAAGTATTTGGTTTTATTTTCCAAATTTACATTAGTGTGGTGTGTGTGCGCGTGGGTGAGGGGGTACTTACACGTATGCATTGACTTTATGCAGTATGATAAGATATGTTCTTTTAGCTTTTACAATTATGTCTTGTTTTTATATTGGGGAGCATGGGCTATTTACTCAATAGGATCAAGGAATCTCTCTATTCTGGTGGCTTATGTTTAATAAATATCCTTCACAATATGTTTGGTTGGGAGTAAATGTGGGTGGAAAGAAAAGAGAGGAGGGGTGGGTTGCAAAGGACAGTCAGAGTTGTGTGCTTTTGTTTGACTGAGGTAAAGTATGTAGAAGGATGGAAGAGTCCATCTTCATTCTGTCAGCTGGGACCCACCAAATTACTCAACGAACTTGGGCATATTGCTTGGGGAAGCTGTCATTTTTTAATTGATTTTCCAATTCTCCTTCTTAAGTAGCATCAAAGGCATATAAGAGCTGTATTTTTAGTCCACAGGAAAAGAAATCGATTCTATCATTTCCTATCTTAACCAGGCAGGATGAAGGAAAGATGTATTTCCATCCTTTGCCTTTTCATTCCTTCACTGTTGCCAATTTTTTTCCTCATTTTCTTTTCCTCAAACATGGTGATAGGGTGGGCTAAAAATTACTGTGAAATGATTCATTCTGTTCAGTGTTTCTATGTTTACATTTTACTACCTACTTGAAATATAACTCTTGGAATCTTCATTAAGACAACTGTAGAAAAAAAAAAAATATTGCGAAGGTCTTTAACTGTGCCAAAATTACACTTCTATTTTTTGTTCATTTGTTTGTGCTTCTTTGACAGACAGCTTGTGGAATCTTCTGGGAAGCTCCAACTGTTAGACAAAATGATGGTGAAGCTTAAAGAGCAGGGGCATAGAGTTCTCATTTATTCACAATTTCAGCATATGCTAGACTTGCTGGAAGATTACTGCACTTATAAGGTATAAGGATATTGCTGTTTAGTTACATCCTTCAATGTTAACCTGTCATTTATCTACTGCTTGATATATCTCCAAGTGCATTAATATGATTTCACATGGGTATATGTATGCAATTTTCTGTTAGAGATGGCAATATGAACGAATAGATGGAAAGGTTGGGGGTGCAGAGAGACAAGTTCGAATAGATCGATTTAATTCCAAAAATTCATCAAGATTTTGTTTTCTGCTTTCTACTAGAGCAGGGGGATTGGGAATAAACCTTGCAACTGCTGATACAGTTATAATATATGACAGGTGAGATGTTCATTCTGACATTTTTTGAGTTCTTTCATTATTCCTTTCTGAATTGATAATGAGAAAACATGTTTTGAGAAATTTAGCTGGAATAGAATAATTGCTTGGTTGAAGGGTAGTGTAACTGGAATAAAAACATTAAAAAAAAAATTGTAGGATAATCTATACATCAGAGGGCATTTCAATTAATTCGATGTGGAGGTATATCACTAATTGAGTGAAAAAATAGGGTCGTGTGACATGAGTAATTAGATCCTATTTCAGTTAGATGCATAAGGAATGGTTTCATTTAATACCAGGTTATCTAAATTTTAAATTCCCGTTTGTGGTAACAAAATGGAACAATTGGACTGAGGGTTCTCCATAGAGTGGATGCTACTGTGTTGATTTGTATTTTCAGCATCAACATGGTTTGATCCTGAAGGAGCTCTTTTAACTTCTTAGTAAAGTTGTAATAGAAGTGCTTACATAGTTGTCTTAATAGCCAAGGTATGTGTTCTGCAATGGAAAGCATAATATTGCCTGGACTCAGGTGCATGTAATCATGTTCCAACAATGACTTCAATGGTTCTTGGATTTTCTCATGCATATTGGAGTCTCCTAGCCACAATTTCACAAAATTAAGAAAAATAGAAGATTTAAATTATTTTAAAGTTTCATATTTCTTACGTTAATCTTGGGTCTCCTTATTATATCAGTTTTTTCAGGGTTTTGTGATGCCTGTATGTGATGTAATAATTACAATTATTTTCTCCAATTGTGCTAAGGTCTCTGATGGCCATATACACAATATACTTCTCGGATGCCGATTAAGTTTTTACCTCGAGTATGTTCTACTGGTTTGTTGTGATTTTACTCTCAAGTGCTGAACATATTGTTCTTGGCTTCTTTAGTGATTGGAACCCTCATGCTGATCTTCAAGCAATGGCTAGGGCTCATCGACTTGGCCAAACCAACAAGGTTAAAAATTATTCTTTGATGATAGCACAGATGTTTGCTATTTTTGGTTTTAATATGAGATATTGTTTGTATTTTGCAGGTAATGATTTATAGGCTCGTCACTCGAGGAACTATTGAGGAGCGGATGATGCAAATGACTAAGAAGAAAATGGTTTTAGAACATCTTGTTGTTGGCAGGTTGAAGGCACAAAATATTAACCAGGTAAACAATCTCCTTCCAAAGATCAATGTAAAAAAGTTTAGGATTAAGCCATTGGAAATTATTCGAAGCCACCTCAAACTAGCCATATAGTACACTTATTTTTCTTGGATATAGTGACCAGAATGACAGTTCTCATGTTTATTATGTAATGCATCTTCTTTGATGTATTTTGAAGTTGTATGTTTCTTTGTCTTTTATTCTAAGTTATAAATGTGGAGATCATAGTATGAAAAAGCTACATTATTTAAAAACAATATTTAATGACCAATACCTCTCCTGATAACACAAAGAATTACTGAAAGATTCAAATTTTATTGTAGGAAGAGTTAGATGACATCATCAGATATGGTTCAAAGGAGCTATTTGCTGATGAGAATGATGAAGCAGGAAAATCACGCCAAATTCATTACGATGACACTGCTATAGACCGGTAATCACTTTTAACTGCAAATATTTTATGGTTAATAAGATTAAACCTTGGCTCAATGGTTTAATTTGTTTTGTTCCCTCGATAGATTACTTGACCGTGAACAAGTTGGAGATGAAGAGGCTTCATTGGATGATGAAGAGGAAGATGGATTTTTGAAGGCCTTTAAGGTTTAGTTGTCTTGAATTACTATGTAGGCTCTTTTGGTGATTTATTTTATATTATACTTGAATATTCAACTCGTGGGTATTATCTGTATGATATTCATTGGTAACATCATCAGAAGAAAAATGTTGTGGTTGCCTATGGGGTTTGCCTTTCCTCATATGTGGATTGGCCTTAGCATCCATTCAGAAGAGTTCTACATGGTTGCAGATTCACATCTTTTGTCCAATTCTGCATGATTGGAAATCTCCACCTTTGTTTTTTCATTGATTTTAGCTGTCATATTCTGAAGCTTAAGAGATTGGACTATCCTCCACAATCCCTATTATAGGTCTCTGTAGAAGTCCCAAATATGAAGACATATCTTAGGAACAGTTGTGTTTGGGTATGATAAATTCTGTTTCTCCATCTTATTACATGCATCTTCCTAAATATTTTATTGTTCCTTGGTTTTTCATGTCTTTTCTTTTAATGGTTTGTGTTCTTTCAGTTTTTCATTTATTCTTGCAAGTTGTTCAGCCACAATTGTTTTACCCTTGCATGGTTGTTTTGCAACATTTTATAGCATTATTTTTAGAATTTGCTATGTTGGTTTCTTTCTTCGTCTTCGAGTAATTAAAGTTGCCATTCGTATCCTTATGGGTTTCCCACATGATTTTGAATTCTTGGCGTGGTTGTGTTGCATTCTTTTATTGTAGCTGTTATTTGGTTTATGTTTTTGTCTTTGGCATCCCATTTACCTAGGTTTATTTATCTATATTCCAATTATAACCGTTGGTCAGTGTTCTCTTCTTTTACAATGTTATAAGTATCATTAGCTGCCTATGAGTTTAAGGCCTATTCTCTATTTGTTCAATTTTGAGCTAGATCAGTAGACTTATTGTCACATAAGCATATTTATCTTATGTTTTCTAATGCCTTCAACAACTCTTCTGTTTTTTATTCGGTGTAAAAGTCCAATACAGCACCTATAGTGGCTACTTCTGGGGATTAGTTGGATTCATTGCCTGGTGTATCTGAAGCAGGGATTGCATTTTTATTTTTGTGCTTTTGCCCCAGCAAAAAAGGGAAGAAAGAAACCTTTTTGCGCAAAATGACCGTCTATGGCAACTAAGACTTAGTCAAACATTGGGATATGAAATATAGTATATTATTTGTGATTCCGTTATTTACAACTTATTTTTCGTTGTCCATTAATCATCCAGCGTAGACCTGACATTTAACAACTATCTTGCTGAATAAACACTTGCCAAATTGAAATGATAATGAAATCTTAGCCATTAAGACTTCAATCTTAACTTTCATATAAATTTATGACCAATTGCTTTCTCTTTCTCTGCGAAAGAAATCACGAATTAACCATTAGTAAGCATTCTCTCTCGCTCTGAAATTTTCTCTTTTTTTTCTTGAAGTTCTAATTAGTCGTCATACTGGTTATTCTCATACTTTTGACTCCATTCAGTTTTTAGTGCACTTGCAACTATCTGCTATCTGCATCACGTGACGAATCAAGAGAAATAATTTAAGCACAATAATATTGAACATTAATTGTCTCATCAGAATAAAGTCTGAGCCACATGGAAAATTCTTGATTTAATGAATTTCTTTAATGGGTTTAGTCTTGTGAAGTTTCATGTTTATTTCCCAAAATTTCTTCCCTTTTTATGTATCTGTTGGAAATTAGATACAGGGCTCTACTGGGATGAAGTAAGCTTTTGGTCCTTTTGATTACTTGCTGAAGGGCTGAAATTGGCATTAGATTCTAAATCGATTGTCAAATTGGTTGTATATGTGGTTTTGATGCCAAGTTAAAGGATCTAGTGCTAGTGGGTGATAACTGAAGTTGGAGTAAGTGAATAGAATGATTGACTTTGTGGTGAGAAGTTATTATTTCCATCAGGAGGCAATAAAAAATTTTCCTTGAATATTGAGCGGCAATAAAAATTTTTTTGTTGTAGAAAGTACTTGTTTTTATCATTTTATTTGTATTTATTTTCTATTAATCATTTTATTCGTATTTATTGTTAGAACTTGATTTCAGTTTCTCAGAGAAAAAATGTAATATGTATCTTAGGTTGCAAATTTTGAGTACATTGACGAAGCAGAGGCTGCAGCAGAGGCAGAAGCTCAAAAAGCGGCAGCGGAAGCAAAAGCCGCAATGAATAATTCTGATAGAACAAATTACTGGGAAGAGTTGTTAAAAGATAGTTATGAAGTGCATAAGGTTGAGGAGTTTAATGCATTGGGCAAGGGGAAAAGAAGCCGTAAACAGGTCCCATTTTGGATACATTGTCATATTTTATAGTAATGCACAGTTGTCATATTTTATATTATGTAATTTTATAGTAATGCACAGTTGTCATATTTTATATTATTATCTAGGATTTTAATTACATGGGATGGGAGAGGAAATAATACTTTTCTTTTGCTGCGTGTGTTTTTTAGGAGATGAGTGTTGTAGAGATGTTAGGCTATTCAATGTTATTCATCCTCGTTGTGCTTTATGCTTTCCATTTATAATTTTTGTTATTCTAGGTTTAAAATGTTTAGCTCATGGGCTTCCACATCACATTAAATTGAAATTATTGGATGTTAGAATGGGATTAACCAGTGCACTTGCAATTCGTTCAGATGGTGTCGGTTGAGGAAGATGATCTTGCTGGTTTGGAAGATGTAAGCTCTGAAGGCGAGGATGACAACTATGAAGCTGAGTTGACTGATAGTGAAACAGCTTCTTCCGGAACTCAGCCTGGGAGAAAGCCATACAGAAGGAGATCTCGTGGTACCTTTTCACTGTTATATATTCTTGTAGTGTTTTAGTAGCAAGAGTGTGATCATGGTGCTGATTTCTGAAACAACATTTTGCAGTGGATAATATGGAACCAATTCCTTTGATGGAAGGTGAGGGAAGAGCATTCAGGGTATTGGGATTCAATCAAAATCAGAGGGCTGCATTTGTACAAATTTTGATGAGGTTAGATCATTTATGTTTCTGGTCCTACGGTATTACATTTGTGCCTCTGTCAGTATGTCTACATGTATTTTCCGATGCATCAACTTTTGGTCTATTTTTTTTTTTATTGGTTTTTACAGAATCTGTAACTGTTTTGCTGAAATTTGTAGGTCTTGTGTGCATAGTGTTTGGAGTTATTATTTTTCCTACATCTGTTCTAGAGTTCTTATGCAAGAATGTGTTGCAGGTTTGGGGTAGGGGAATATGACTGGAAGGAGTTTGCACCCCGCATGAAACAGAAGACATATGAAGAAATAAGAGAGTATTGTACATTACCTTTTTTTTTTTTTTTTTTTGTCATTACCGTTTTTTTTTTTTTTTTGCTCCTTTTTTTTTTTTTTTTGCTGAATCTGTGTTATAGATTATGGCCATTTCACATGTTTTTTTCCCAACCATACATCACTCTAAGAATAAAAAATTTGAGAACCTTACCCTGAAGTGAAATAAACAAAGAAAGGGAAAAGACTGTTGGTTAAATTTACAAAAGCTAAATGACCGCAATAGACCTAACATTGTAAGATAAGTGAAAAGGCTGTGGAGTATGCAAAATCTTATCTTAAGCCTGTACATAGCAAATGGAATAACTTTCCACATTCTGCATCTATCTCTACAATAAGAATCTATTCAAGTGTTAGCCTCAATTTCTGCATCCTCTGAATCGGCCCAAGTGATGACAATAATAGCATAAACTAAAACGCAAGTTCTTATTCATGCACAGTGAAGAGCACTTTTGCTAGACTGTATTGAAACTGGATGAAATGAACTTCTAGTTTTATGTTGTGTTTTCCTTCCGTTATGGTATTACTAGATATGCAATGAATGGTTCATAGATATTCCTTCTTTGAATTAAAACAATCTGGGCATTTCCTTTTTTTTTTTTTTTAATAAAAAGTCTTCCATTGATGATTTCATTTTATTCTCATTTTTGCTGGGGTCATGTAATTGCTATTGTTTTTATTAGGAACATATTGAAGCATAGTTTTTGACATTGCACCTCTAGTCTTCTCATTCATTGAAAAGCATTGTCGTTACCATTCATCAGTCTATCAGTGTGATTCTTTTTGCAAAGTTAATATTGTATTAATTAGTTTACTGTTTGTTTTCATGCTGCATCCTGTATCTACTTGATCCACTGATCTTTGGCATCCTTTCCTCCTTGAATTCAGTTATGGGGTTCTTTTCTTGTCTCACATAGTCGAAGACATTACTGACTCACCAAATTTTGCAGGTGATTGATCCTCACATTACAGTTATAATTTTTTTTTTTTTTCTTATGCTGGGAGAGAGTTGTTCCTTTATTTGATGTACTGCCAGTATGTTGTTACCAACTTTATATTTGGTTGTAGATGGTGTTCCTAAAGAAGGGCTCAGAATACAAGATGTGCTTGTTAGGATTGCTGTCCTGCTTCTGATCAGGGATAAGGTGAGCATTCAAATGGAATGCTCTTAAGAGTTTTTTTTTTTTTTTTTTTTTTTTTTTTTTTTTTTTTTTTTTTTTTTTTTCCATTTTCCTGATGTATTGTCGGGTGACCTAGTCCTGTCTGCATAATTATTGGTCTGTTTGAGGGAAGGAATAGTATCTTGGCCACTGTTTGGGATGTGGTGTTGTTATTTAGAAGAGGAGGGGATTAGAGGATTGCCTCTAACCTGTTAAAAATATTTATCTTCTTATCTGGAAGTTTGAGAGGGGTTGGTTTATGATATTTGTTGCTTTATTTACCTGAAATTTTGTAGTTGTCTTCATTTATTTATTGTCTGACCTTAAAAACAAGTTTATCTGCATTTCCATGCCCTATCTTTCAAACCAAATGAGGGGAGAGAATCAATTCTCGCTTTACCTTCTAATCTGACCTAAAGAGGAGAATGCTTTCTTCCTTCCCCCCTGTCTATTTACTCCACTTTTCTTATTCTTTCTAAAACCCTTAAATGAGCATTTGATGTTTAGAGCATGCTAATTTTTGATGAACAACCGTGTCAAGGACAAGTTAGGGATGATTCCTCCATGTTATAATTCTTTCTTATCAATCTTATTTGACATGTGATGCCGGGATGTTCTTATGCATGTGCTAAGGTCAATGGTCGTGATGCCCTCCCTACTATATTTTAATTAGTTAATTAAAAAATGATAGTAATACAAGCTAACTCTAATTTCGTTAAATAAATGACTTAAAATGGAAGATGATCCTAATGCACATAGAATTCTGTAATATCATTCAAGTAAGATCTATTTTGCATTTAATAGATACTTGGGTTTTTATCATCAAGTATGTTTGTGATGTCTTTGGAATGATAGGTAAAGTTTGCATCAGAGAAGCCAGGCACTTCCCTTTTCACAGATGACATCGTATTGCGGTATCCGGGACTGAAGAGTGGAAAATTTTGGAAAGAAGAACACGATTTGCTGTTACTTCGTGCGGTATTGAAGTATGTTTCCCTTGGTTCTTTATGCTGTGTACTTAATTCTTGTTCTTATTATTTATTTTTGTGTGTTTAACGATGCCTTTATAACATGGCCTTTGAGTTGGTTTGGTGGCTATTACTTATGGAACCGATAAACTGAACCAATCTAGTTAGGTTTTTCAGTTAATCGGTTCAAATTTGGCTTATGATGTAAGATAACTTTGGTTTCGGTTTTTGCTTTAGTTATAGAAAATAAGTTAACTTTGTCCAGAACTGAACCGAACCGACCGGTTCAGTTGGTTCCTGTTCAGTTTAAAAAGGTACTTTGGTTTTTGGTTTTTCGCTTGGCTGACCAATTGCACCCTGTAGCAGACTTGGGTAAATCACATAAAGGATATAAGTCCAAGAGTTGGAACTTGGTAGAGAGGAAAAACTTGAGACATCATCAGTATCACAAAAGGTCAAGCTGATTCGGGTGGTGTTTCAAGTGTACGAATTGAAGTTTCATAATATTTCTGTTGATTGAAATGAGATTTTGCAGATTATAAACTTGTTGTTGACAATGAATTGGTACAGTAATTGGAGTGCTTTCCATGCATGAAAGTAGGATATATAGGTTTTGCAGGAACTTATTGATTGGTAAAAGAACAGAGGTCTTACGCTGGATCTAGTTTGGCCTTTCTTTTGTGTGTATGAATGGAAGTGCATCTGCTGCGTGTCTTGTGTCGATTGTTTAACCCGAAATGCATATTTTTGGTTTTCTTAATTGATATATTCTATATTACTTTAGTTTTCTTAATATTATTATTTCAAACTCAAGGCATGGATATGGAAGATGGCAAGCTATTGTTGATGACAAAGACTTGAGGATTCAGGAGCTCATTTGCCAAGAGTTGAATCTTCCTTTTATAAATCTACCTGTCCCAGGACAAGCTGGTTCTCAAGCCCAAAATGGTGTCAACACAGTTACCACAGAAGCTCCTAGCACGCAGGTGCAAGGAAATGGTGGGGGCAATGTTTTAGCCGCTGATGTTGCACAGGGGACTAATGATGTTCCTAACCAACAACAGTTATATCAAGATTCTTCTATATTATATCATTTTAGAGATATGCAGAGACGGCAGGTTGAATTCATTAAGAAGAGAGTGCTTCTTTTGGAGAAAGGGCTAAATGCGGAGTACCAGAAAGAATACTTTGCGGTGAGTAGCTATCCTTTTCAAGTACTTTGTATTTTCCATTATATAATATGTGTGTAATATTAAATTTTGATTAGATATTATTAGATGACATGTTTACTATGTACTGACATAGTTCCTTTTCTCCTTTGCGTATGATGTCAGGATGACTCGAACGCAAATGAGATTACAAATGAAGAGCCTGAAATTGACATAAAAGCTGCTGATGGCTCGGGTTTAACTTCTGTAGAGATCAATGCACAATTGATTGATCAGTTGCCTCAAATTGAACCAATTAGTAAGTTCATCAATACTGGTGATTAGGTCAATCTATCTTTACCTGGGTAGAGATGTTCTATAAATGCCTGTTTATCTTTACCTGGGTAGAGATGTTCTATAAATGCCTGTTTTTTGGTGACTTCAGTCATGTCCCTTGGTCAAGAGAAATTTAGTTGATTTCTAGTATTCTCTCTGTGCAGCATCAGAAGAAATTTCAGTGGCTGCTTGTGATAATAATCCAGATAGATTGGAATTGCCAAAGCTTTATAACAAGGTAAAAATATTGTTCATACGTACGGGTTCATTATATATAAGGAATGGCTTTGGGATGGGACAATGAAATAAAATAAAATAATTGAAGATGACAGGGAAAGGAGAAAGCCATATCAGAATGTAAGCATTTAATGCTACGTTTGTAATTTCTTGTCAGATGTGCAATGTGTTGGAGCAAAATGTCAATGAATTAATTCAGACATCCCTAACCAATGAACCAGCGAGTCTCAAGTTGAGGCAGGACCTTCTTCCTTTGGAGACCATTTGTCAGGAGATAAATCAAATTATGTCTGCTGAGCAACAGAAGGCGCCTGCTTCTGAAGAGCATGTACTGGATTCAAATCAAACACCACAGGACAATCTACTACCAGAATCACGTTCACCTTCCGTTGAGCAGAATAATGACAAGCCCTCTGATTTGGACGATACTGAGATGACAGATGTAATGACAGAGTCGAAATTGGAAAAAGAAGGCAGCGTGTTGATAGACCAGGAGCTGATTAAAGAGCAGAAGAAATCTCCATCTGATATTCCAGCTTCTGCAGATGCATCCCTGTCTCCAACGGAATCTACAGGAATGCGCAATGCTGACGTTGATATGGAAGATGTTAAAAATGATGCTGTCGGTTCACCAGAGTTGGGAGAAACGGATATTGATACTGACACCAAAACTGAAGCCATACCAATTGGAAATAAGGATGAAAATGAGGTAGCAGATAAATCGAACTCAGGGGTCATTGTTTTAGATGATTGATACATGCAAGATAACAATCTCATTATATGTTTTATGATTCCTTTTCTGTGACATTTTTAAAGGGTTTAGCAAAAAAAGGACTTATATCAATTTCCATATTTGCAAATTTGTCTTCCTTTGCAAACTGCATGAGAATCTATTGTTTGCTTTTTCAGAATTTGCAGGGTATGAAATTTCATGCTGTGTGACGGGTATTTCTGGTAAAGCTATCTTTAGGGTTTGTACCGTATCTTATGATGCACAAGGCAAGGACTGATGGTAGGTTTATCATAAAATTCCTCATATGATCTTTGACCCAGCAATGTATTTTTGTTTTTGGATGAGAATTTCACCCAGCTACGTTAGAAGTCGAGTCTCTAGGCATTGTGTTTACGTTTGGTAAGCCGATAATCATATACCTTGTGAACGCAGCCTCGTTTTTTTTTTTTTTTAGCCTCGTTTTTTTTTTTTTTTTGAAACTGTCGTACTTTAGTAAAAAGCTAAAAATGCAACGGCATCTTTAGGGTTCAGTTGAGTTTCTTTTCATCCCTTTGGTAGAGATGGGAAAAGAATAAGCCAAGGACCATCCAAACTTGAATCCATTTTCAAAATCTATTAGTTGTTATCTACCTTAGCAACCGAAAGCCTACTTGTGGACCCTCTGGCCTTTGCTTGTCCATTTTTTGGCTAATAAATGAGACTAGCATATGGGAACAGAAACGTAGATTGAAAATTAACCCACCTCAGAAGATAATATAATATATAGTTCTGGAATAGGATGCCAAAACAAGTACCTCAAGTATAGTCATAGCATGATATATCAAATCAAGTATATCTTCAACGGTAAGATTAGTAATTAAAAGCATTATATATAATAAATAAATGCACAACTGACAATCTTAGAATTAACAATGCGTTTGGATATCTAAAGAGGCAAATTAAATACAGGAAGAAAACACATTTAGATTACGGTAGAAGTGTCCATATACATCACTACAAAGAAATACCCATCAAATTATTATTATTTTTTTTTTTTAAAAAGCATGAAAGTTAAGGTGCTCACACTTTTTTTTTTTTCTTTTTTTAAAAAGGAATACATTATATTCCTTGTGATAATGACTAACAGTAGGTATGGATATAGAGAGAAGCAGGCTAATTAAGTAAGCTAAAAAATGATGGGCAAAAAGGGTGGACGAGAAAGAGAGAAAAAGAAGAAAGAGAGAGCTGGAAATAAGGGGAAATGCTGGGAAAGTAGAGGCAATAAAAGACAAAGTCTGAGCTTCAAATGCACGCATGCTTTGGCTACTCGCTCGCACCAACTTCCTTCCTTACTCCTGAGTCTTGAGTTGAGACATGCCAACCTGTTTTCTTTCCGACTCCTTTATTTCTTTCTCCAATCTACTCTACTTTTTTCTTTACACTAATCTTATACTATCAGATTTTTGAAGCATTAATGGTTCTTTTCCTTTTCTTGTCTTTTTTCCCCGGATATAAGGGGGAAAAATATACCAAAATATAGAAAAATTCACAAATGTCATGAATAATAAGTAAAGAACTAATATCCTGACGGGCTTCTTCCAACATATGGATACTATTTCTTTTCTGTTTCTTTTCTTTTTTTTTTGCTTTTTCAAGCCCCTAGAATTAATTTTGCTGGGAGATTTTGAAAAGGCAGTTAAATTCAATTTATGTGAGAGAATTAAAGAGAGAAAAAGAATTGAATGGAAATTGCGAAAATGTGAAAAATAATGAAGATAATATTATTTAATAAGGCAATGCTGTTGCTCTTATTTAGACCTCATTAATAATTACTAGTAGGAGTTTGAAGTTGACAACAAAAGAACAATTCCAACTTATATCAATTATCAAATCGTGGATGTATTTATTATTATGCTATGCCTTGACATTCTTTAAAGATTATTTTCATCAGTATTAACGTGACATCCCGACTCGGTAAAACAATCCTAAGAGGGAGGATAGAGCGAAACTCCTGACTAGCTTCTAGGATGACAGGCTAGCTAGGGTAGTGGAATGCGAGACAGAGGAATGAATCGAATCATATATTGAAAAGAGGGAAACTAATCATTAGATGCGCCTTTTGGTGGAATGGCTGGAGAGTTGGATTTGGTGGAATGGCTGGAGAGTTGGAAGAATTCCAGGGTTAAGCGTGCTCGCTTAACGGAAATCCTAGGATGGGTGACTTCTTGAGAAGTTTCTCATACTCACCAGAGGAATTGTCCGCTTTGGATCAAGCCAAGATCTGCACGAACTGTATAAAAATAAAAAAAATATATCGAGATTGAGTTTATTCTGATTATTTATTTATAATAAAAAAATATAATTTGAAATTTAGTTTATTCAGGTTGATGTATAAATTATTAAAAAAAAAAAAAATTAACATGTAATAAATAAAATTCTTTTAACATGTAATGCGCATAAATATCAATATTTTTCTATGTAGAAAAAAAAAAGATTTATTCAATTTTCCCTTATTATGATCTAAACACCACAATTATTATACAAGAAATAAAGAGACCAAATCTCAAACTTTAGTGATAAACTAGCTAATAACCAATCATTGCATGCGAAATCTATTTGTCATAGAAACTAAATTTGTATTATAAAAAATATAAATATAGGTAGCCAAGCTTTGTACAAAAATGAAGTCGAAAAATCAACGTCACATAATTGAGGACAAAAATATGAATGGCTGACCGGAAACCCTGGACTTGCAGATTACATGTTCTTCAAGGCCCCATAAGCACAGACATGTAGGTCACCATTTTACATAGTTGTAATATTGCTTAATCTTATAATATTCGAGTATATTATACTGTGTAGAGACAGGTAGTGGGTCTTTGTCACTCCAGTTCAGTGCGAGCCAGATAAGATTATACACTCCTCTCCTCTCTGCTCTGCTTAACCCTAACCTCCCAATTTCTTTTTACATATACAAATTAAACAGTACCATGCAAAGCCATTTTAATTAACTAAGATTTAACCTTTAGATCACTGTAGTCTCCTCACGCTCGGACTGACCTAGAAATGCAATTTATATTAAACTATATAGTTCATTCAAAAAAGAAAAAAAGAAATTAACTTCAAAATGCCCTTAGCACAAATAAAAAATTTGGAAAATTTTCACAAATCATTTCTTATAGCTTGGCTCCTAGCGATCTCTAGGGATCAGCTGATAGCTAGCTCTCAATACTATTCTCCTCTCTATATCTTCAAGCCCTTCTCTTCTCTCTTAAATTTGTCTTTCATTCATACACTGTGTTTGTAACAGCAAGCAGCTAAGGCTAAGCACAATCCTTAATTGGTCTACAAATTTTTGATGGCTGCTCAACATGAAAGTTATAAGCCAACAGTTACTATTACAAAGAGGGTACCTGTATATCCAAAAACTTTGCACCCTCCAAAAATTCTCAATCTATCCAACTTAGACAGGCAGTGTCCTATGCTCATGTACTTGGTTTTCTTTTACAAGCCTTCTCATGCTTACAACAACTTGTCTTTAAACTCAGTTTTTAGTAGCTTGAAATCTGGCTTGGAAGTGACCTTGTCAATCTGGTACCCGGCAGCAGGTAGGTTAAACCTGAATCCAAATGATGGGAAGCTCAATCTCTGGTGCAACAACCAAGGTGCACTTCTAATTGAAGCACTCACTCAAGTCAAGATCTCAGACCTTGGAGACCTCTCTCAGTACAATGATTTCCTTGAAAATTTGGTTTTTAAGCCTGTTTTTGATGGAAACTTCTCTGATATGCCTTTAGTGGTTGCGCAGGTGCTCTTCTTATGTGATATTTCCATGTTTTTGACATGGGTTTTCCTTAGGGTTTCATATATATCTTTTTTTTTTAACTAGGGCTTCATATAATTGTTTACTTTTCTTTCTTAAACTGTCTCAAATTTCATTTACCTGGAAACACCTCCAGTATCCATACACAAAGAAAATAGATCCATCACCATGTCAATTATCAAGAAACTGATTAATATTTTGATAATTTAACCTTAATTTGTTTGATTAACTGAGGATATATGTATATGTTATAACTGCAGGTGACAAAATTTAAGTGTGGAGGGTATTCGGTGGGCATAGGCACGAGCCATTCCTTATTTGACGGACCAGCCACCTTTGATTTTCTGTGTGCATGGGCTTCGAATTCTGCAATAATGAAAGAGAAAGCTAGACACTATCAGTTACAGAAACCAGTCCATGACAGAGGGCCACTTCTCCAAGTGGGCAATTATCATGCCCCAAAACCCAACAGAATAATGAGAGCTGCAGCTATTGATCATCTTTATCAGTTGATACAACAAGCCGTTGCCGATCATCCTCAGATTAATAGTCCAAACCCTAATTACGTTCTGAAGACTTTTCATCTCACTGCTGCAATGATAGAGAATCTCAAGAGGAAACTGTTAGGCAGCTTCTCATGTTCATCCTTTGAAGCAGTCACAGCTCATCTATGGAAGGTAATTAATTAATTTTTTTAATCTCTTGTATAAATCACATATATTAATCATTCTGAAAAATGGAATATATATGCACACACAGAGAGAATAATGAAGATAAAGGGAGATTTTTAACCTGATAAGGAGACAAATATTTGCTTCATGAAGCTGACTCTACACAGATATTCAATCATATGGGAGACAAATTTATAAGCTGAAATTGACTATGCAGAGTTATTGTCTATAGAAACTTTACACCATAAACACAAATAACTGTTCATGTGAGCTGGGCAAGACAAGAAACGAGTACTAAATAAATATCATTTAAAAAAAAAAAAAAACGAGATTGTACCAAATATAATTAAATTCATACGGACATGCATGATATGTAATAGGATTGGAATTATGATTAGAATTTGGAAAACTAAAATAGTAAAATGCCGGCTAGGTTAAATCTTGCTCCGAGGAGTAATTAACAAATTCATTAACAATTAATAATTATATTAGCTTAGTCTAGTAGTTGAGCACACAATATAACCCATGATTGGTGATCGGAGGATCGAGTGGTAGAGCCAAACATCAATTAGGGATTAGTAGTACCAAAAACAAAAAAATAATATTCATATTTATATTCATTTGATAATTGAATTTGTAATGAGTTGAGCTTATTTTTCTCGATATTAGCCGCACTATTATTTTTTAGTAATATGATATTTTGAAATACATTATAAACCTAGGTAATTGATTTTTTAATTCTTCCTTGAATAAAATTATACACACCTAATATATACACATGAAATTTCATATATGATTAATTAAGCATCTCCAAATAGAAGTTATGCCTATAAAAGTCATATCCATTGAAATGTTCAAACTCAGGCCAGGACGAAGGCTTTAGGAGTAAGAAAGGAGAAAATGGTGTGCCTGCAATTTGCTGTGGATACAAGGAACAAGGTGGTCCCGTCACTGCCGAAGGGTTTTAGCGGCAATGCTTATGTTCTGGCATCAATTGCACTAAGAGCCGGGGAATTAGAAGAAGGAAGCCATGAAATGATAATCGGGAAGATAAAAGAAGCAAAGATGTCTGTTAATGCAGAGTATGTGATTGCATATATGGAGGCTCTTGAAGGACCTCAAGGCAATCTCCCACCTCTGAAGGAATTGACAATGGTTTCTGATTGGACAAGAATGCCATTTCACAAGGTTGACTTTCTAAATGGAGATGCATCTTATGCTTCCCCTCTTGTCTCTCCAATTCCTCAGGTTGCATATTTTATGCAGAATCCAATTGACATGAGGGGCATTGATGTCAGGATTGGTTTGCCTCCCCAAGCTCTAGATGCTTTCACCCATTATTTCCTCTCATAAATCTGCTATATAAATTTCAAGCATCCACCTTCATATTAATATTATATATGAGTACTTGACTAGAAATCAACTTCTCTCTTTTTGCCTGAAATGATTACATATTAACACAGTTGTTAATCAAGAGTTAGTTTTTAGATAACTCATAAGGAACTGTCTTTTGTTTAAAAGGCAAGAGTCTTGAACCCATTTTCTTGTTGTAATAATAATAGTGGGAAGCACTTTCTTTAATGTGGGTCCTGTTGTAATCTCAAGATAAGAATAAATTATTTTGCAGAAGAGCTAAATAGTAAAAGGCGAGTCAACATGTAAAAACAAGAAGCAAAATCCTCAAATAATGTACTTCTGGCCCCATTATAAAAAATATGCATTTTCTATAGTTCAAAAGCAAAGATGCTCCTAGAAATTTTCATAGATTATTGTATGGCTAACTGGAAAAATTTGCTCTGCTAAAAATAGGACCACTATTAGTAACATACAACTGTCTATAGAAAATGTAGGGAGTGGAATCCATAGATAAATGATGTATAAATTACATACGAAGGGGGGCAAAAAAAAAAAAAAAAAAAGGGGGGGCAAAAAAAAAAAAAAAAAAGGCACTGGTGCTTTGCTTGCGCAAGGCAGAATCAAATGTCTCTATTTGGGGCATTTCGGGCAGCTGATATCGTGCTTTAGACTGCACGTCCTAAAGAAGAAATATGCACCAAAGGCCAAATGTCCTCCTTCTGCGAAAATGTCGACCTTATCTTGTTCCTGCACCACCGAAATTAATGTTAACAGATGCCTAAAACAGAGCTGAATGTAGGAAAGATCAAAGCACACATAAGGAATGTTCAAAAGATAAGGTAAACTGATATCTTCTTTGAATAAGAAATGAGAAATATACAGCAAAAAAAAAAAAAAAAAAAGGCATGTGCTTGCTTCCAAGGCAGATCATTCTCATTGGGGATTTCGGCAGCTGATATCTGCTTTAGATGCACGTCCTAAGAGAATATGCACCAAAGCCAAATTCTCCTTCTGCAAATGTCACCTTATCTTGTTCCTGCACCACCGAAATTAATGTTAACAGATGCCTAAAACAAGAGCTGATTAGGAAATCAAAGCCACATAAGGAATGTTCAAAATAAGGTAAACTGAGTATGCTTCTTTGATAAAATAAATATAACATAAACAGGTGTTTAGCTCTATCAACAATTTAAGACAATCATATAGCAAAACTGGAAAGAAAACCTAGTGATTGCTTTGAAACTCACAGGGGGTTACTTAGAAAACTAACACTATCCTAGCAGCAGACAGAATACACATATTCACATGAATCCTGCTGCTCCATTAAGTTTGTTCTGTGGTTACATTTTCAAAAAACTTCATTGTTACGTAATCATTTGACAAAAATTAAGAATCATCTGAAGCACATATCAATAATTTCACTATAAAAAGCCTACAAAGGCAATTCAATTCTCCATCTCTCCCTCTCTCTCTCTCTCTCTCTCTCTCTCTCTCTCTAAATTGATTGCCAGGAGGTGATGATACTATAGATGTCTTAGTTTTTAATCCCGAGTGTGCTGTAGTTGCAACGGCTGTACATCTGGCAAGCTTCCTAGACATTATAGGAGGTATCTGATATACCTAAGTAGGCCATTGTTAAGAATTTTTGGCACACCTTCAACAACTGTAAGTGCACTTGTCTACCAAATACTACTCCATGTAGACTCACAGTAAAAATGATACTGTGGTAGCTCTATTTTTGACTCCAGAGAAGTCAAAAAGAGCCAAGCAGACAGTTTGTTCATTAAAGAATAGTATCAAGTCCCTAAACATGAAACAAAATGATGTTTATAGAATATGGACCCTCCCTCTATAACACTCAACAAGATATATTTGCAGCAATTTTAATTCGTAACAAGAGCTACATGGCCAAGGAAAAAAGAAAGCGTAGTGCTTGGCATTTTTTTTTTATGGATACAGGAAAAGAAACTTCATTGAGAAAGCAAGAAATAAGTGTAAACCATAGAGGACGAGTCTTATGTAAGTTTAACATATGAAGTTGGCGCATTCGTCAATAGCTACACTATATTTTTAGAATATGACAAGCAACACAATTCAATACACAATTCAATAGCTAAACTCTCAACAACCTGCAAAAGCAGGTTCTAATGAGGTACCATTTGGAAATTACAAAACATTAAAATATTAAAGTTACATGTTCAAAAGAAAGCAAGACAATCAAAAAAAATTATGCAGCTTACAGCTGAAAAGTTACCATGTGGGCTTTTAATGTAATAAACCATCACAAACATATCATGAATTTCCTTGTTATTTTTTAAATCAATTGAAAATTGGTACCACTTACTAATGCACCTAGAAAATATTTATTTTGACCTTGTTCCTTGAGCATAGGCATATAGCAGATTCTTTCATTGAGCAGTTAAGCTAAGAAATATCATGCAAATATCATTTACAGCCAAGATACAACAGAGAACAAAAAGTCCCAAAAGAAATTCATAGTTGCACATGGATATGAATAACTTACCTGTTTCACCATTACACTCGCCAAATCTTCCAAAGAGCCAAAATTATTAGAAACATAACTGCCTTGTGGCTTCTGTTGGCCTACCCCATACCCTTCATTTGATCTAATTAGCGTCTCCATAGCCAAATTTTCAACCTCATTATGCTTCATCAAAGACGAATCAATAAAATTTGATTGCCTTTCTGAATTGAAGCTTGTGGTTCTGTGGAAAATTGCATTATTTGGGTCAAAATTCTGGCCCATTGGAATTGCAACACCAGGAATAGGAACTCCTGAGTTTACTGAACTACATACAGCATTGGTCTGAAAAGTGGCATCTTGCCTCTGATCATCCCACCCTTGTGGGGCATTATTAATTATTTGTCCAGAATTATTTCTAATTGAAGTTACTTGGCACTGTAAATCCAACTTAGAGTCGTGCAAGTCAATTGGCAGTGTAGAAATGGATGAGACATCAGGATTGTTCGCACTTTGCAAAGCCGTTGTTGACATTCTATCTCTGATGTTGTTAGGGTGCAAAGTAGATTGTTTAAAGCAGTCATTTAAGGAAAAAGAATTTGATTGAACCCCAGTTGACTGAACAGCATTTGACCAGCTGTCATTACAAGTACGATTATCCGGAAAATGAGTAGAAATTCCTGAATCTAAGGAGGTCACAGAAAGAGAAGTTTGTTTTACAAACTTTTGGACATCTTGAGCCCCTTGAGCATTGCCTTCTAACATTAGGGGTTTGTTTGAGACACCAAGGAAAGGATTGTTTGAACTGCCAGCCATTGTTTTTGTATCTGGGAAGCCATTGGAAACAGAGAAAGCACCTGTATTATTAATATCAGTAGGAAGTTCTCTGATATAGGCAACGCCCTTGTTAGCTTGTATTTGATCAAGTTCTAATGCCATTGGCATCCCTTGAAGCACAGTCCCATCATTTCCAGCATGTCCAATTGGCTGGAAGTGACCCTGACTATTATTCAGGTGGCCTGTTGTTTGCAAATGACCTAATTGAATCACTCCAGGAGAAGGAAGACCACGCATACCAAGAGCAGCAGAAGAATTCAACCTACCAAGCATCCCGCTTGGTGGGAGAGATCTGAAAGTTGCATTATGAAATTGCCCAGTTCCAGCCAAATTGTGGAATCCAAGTCCATTCGCAGAACCAATTTGCAAATAGGAAGCATCTGTACTGCCTAAAGCTGCCACCATATTAGCTTGCTGATTTGCCACAGTGCTGATCCTTTTTAGGTATAGCCTATATTTCTGCAACCACGAAATAATTTGATTAACTATATGAATCAATATGCTACTTTATCATGAAATGAGGCAGGAGAGATAAGCATTTACCTGGAGATGGCTTGCAACATTTTCTCTAGTAAGCTTCTCAACATTCATCAAATCAAGAATCTTTTTAGGCACAGCTTCTGCATCGACACCAAGAAAAACTGAAATATACAACTACAACAACGATACCAAAATGAAAGGCTTCACCCATTCATAGATTTACCACGACAAATAAACGATCTAAGAATTAACCATTAATTGGTAAGATTGCTTGGTTTAATTGATTGGTGAATATCAAAAAAATATGCAAATAATTCAAATAGTTGAGTAATGTCCTAGACCAAATATTACACCAATGTGGTTTTAAAACCTCAATATTCATTGGAGTTGCACAAAAAAGAAGAAGAAAAATAAAGCATGTGTGCACATGCTTGCAAGTCCACACGTGCAAGCATGAACATGCCCAAAGCAGTTGAGTATCAAATGCATAATAGGATATCCAATAGCTCAAATACTTATTTTCTGATGAAGAGTTAAAGACATACTGTCAATTCCTAGCTGATTAACAGCTGCAACAAACTTGCGATGCAGCTCCACTGACCAAACGACCCGTGGTTTCTTTTGGGTTGTTGGGTCCTCATTTTCATGCCCATTTTCATCACGATCGTCATCCTCATCTTCATTCTGATCCTTCCTTTTTTTATTGATCTTCTGATCTGTTGTGGCTTCACCATTTCCATACTGAGTCCTGTCTTGGTTATCAAAGTTATTCCGATCTTTGTTATCAAATTTTCTCCTAATTACATGTTGCCAGATGTTCTTTAACTCCTCCATGCGAACAGGCTTCAGCAAATAATCACAGGCCCCATGGCTAATCCCCTTCATAACAAGTTTTGGATCACCATTTGCCGACAGCACTACAAAAATTTCAATATTTTCAAGTAGAATCAAAACTTGGTTGAACACAGCGTCCTGCAAATATGTTTCTATAATCTAATAATGCAAGCATGCTGCATGAGTAATTGTGCTACCCAGATTATAAAACTGAACAGAACATGGCCCCAGTAGTCAGCTTTAGTATCAACTTACAATATGATTCTGCACAAACTAATTCAGAGAACAATAGAAATATACAATACTGCAAATTCAGGAATGCACAAAGTTAAAAATTTTCAATTTTTTTGCTGAAAAGTTTAATAATACATGTAGAATCTGAAACACGTCTTCGATTAACAAAACCAAGCAAAGACCATGTGTAGTGTTTTTGGCTTACTTATGACAGGTAGGTCCATCTCAAGCCCCACAAGCTCCAGCAATTTAAAACCATCCATGTCAGGCATATGGACATCACTGATAACCAGGTCAAACTTGTTCTTGTTTGCTCTTAGCAACTCCAATGCTGAAACCGCTTGATTTGTCACGGTAACTGCAGAATCCACAATCCGCATTGACTAAAATCAACTTGCAAAATCCATCACCATAATCAACTAAACCATATGAAACAATGAATCAAATGTGATCATGTAAAATCAATTGAGTTATATGTGATTATCAGGGTGGGGAAATCCAGAAATGAATCATACGCAATAAATACGAGATATTGGAAACTTAAGCAGAGAACACATCTACATAAAAATCTTTACTTAAAAACGATGGCCAAAAAAGAAGAAAAAGAAAATCTAACCCCAGAGAACTAAGAAACCAACAGTACATGTGCAATAAACTCAGTAGATCCAACAGTTTCAATAAGTATAGACCACGTGAAATGAAATCACGGAAAGCTAGAGAGAGACAGTTAAGATCCAAAAGCGGAGCGCTACTGCAAACTCTATCACAATAATGAAAAATAAAATCTTGTTAAAGTAGCTGCGTATTTGAGGGCCCATCTCCCAAAAGATAGAAATGCAATACAGAAAACACACTTGTAAAAGAAAACAATGCGAATAAAACCAAGAGAGAAATAGAGTTCTAATTAAGCCAATAGTTCGTATAGATTTCATATTATACACACTATTTATACAAATTGCCAAATGAAGAACAAGATCATATTGAACTAAATTACCGAATGGACATCTAAAATGAATTATCCAGTCAGTGAATAAAAATAAAAAATTTTGAATTTCAAATTCGAAAACCCAATTCCGAAAACTCATAAACAATTTAGTTAAATAATGCAAAAAACAGAAACAGAGAACAAAAAAAAAAAAAAAAAAAAAAAAAAATAAAAAATTTTGATTTCAAAAATTCGAAAAAACCCAAATTCCGAAAAAACTCATAAACAATTTAGTTTTAAATAATGCAAAAAACAGAAAAAAAAAAAAAAAAAAAAAAAAACGAACATATAAAAGAACAAACCGTGATATTGGCATCGACGAAGCAGAGTCTCTAGCAGCAAGAGACAAGTTGGGTCATCGTCAACTGCCAAAACCCGCATGCCAATGGGAAACTGGTCTTTGGCTTCTCCAATTCCTTGCTCCACAGTCATTTTCTCTCTTTCCTTCTTGGGTTGAATGAAATTTGACAAAAAAAATGAAAGAGAATAATAAGAGGATATATTCCTGTTCTACTGAGGCTTCAACCTTAGATTCAACAAAACCCAGAAATCATAATAAGAGCAGAGATTAACAAAATGAGAAATTTAAGGGAGAAGGTGATTAAGGAATGTGAATGGTGAAGATGACTACGGAGAAAGAGAAAGAGAAAGAGAAAGAGGACTTAAAAAATAAAACAGTAACTATCATTCTCTTGCCTTAACTGTGAAAAAAAGAAAGAATATGGAAACTACGCTTTGGACGGTGATTCTGCTGAACAACTTCACTGAATTCATTTCTTTTACCAATTTTGGTTGCTTGCGCGTACTTCCCACGCGATGTGGTTTTAGCTATAATTAGGATCATAATCATAATATTAGTAATAATATGGAGATTATGTCGTCTAATTTTATTTATTAACCTAATAAGAAAATGTAAAAGCTTGAAATTGCTGGGCATAATATCCACGAAGAAAATCTAGTTGGAATAATTGAATCGTTATTTCAGGAATTCCATTTTTTTTTTTTTTAAATATAATTCCAAAACGTTTGTTTAACCATAAATTACAATTTAATACCTTAATTTAAGGATTACATTTAAAACTTACCATATACTTTGTTTTTTGAAAAACTTATATTATAATTTTTTTTTTTTAAGAAAAAACTTATTATATTTTTCATATAGCTTAATTGCTTAGAATTCTAGCACTGACTACGAATGAAATTCTTTAATTAAAAAAAGAGACTACCAATGAAATCCAATTATTTTGATAAATAAATTCATATTTTTATTCAATTATTTAAAAATATTAAATGGACTAATCAATATAATTAAAATTTTATTAATTAATTATAATAAAACACAATTTTTATTAATAATGCAGTATTTTTAAAGCATTCATATTGATAAATTAAAATTTTATTATCTTTTTTTTTTTTTACAATTTTATATTATTATCTTTTAGTAATGGTATAAAGAAAATTTAATTCGGTTTTATCAGGTTAAGTTAAAGTCACCGCTCCCTATTTCTTACGCAAAACCAAAAGGCAACCACAAGCTTAAGCGTGGCCAACTATTTATTTTAAAATCTATATTTTTATTTTATTTTAAGGGTTCTTCTTTTTATGAGACCTAAAAAGCCCTTTTAATTTTAGGGCCCTAAAGACAAACCCATTATTATAATATCACACATGAACATGATTCAGTGGGCATCGATGTCTATGACACAACAAAGGTTAAAATTGCAATTATTGCCCATTGAATCAATTCAAGCTTTAGTGAAAATACACTACACAAAACGACTAATCCTTTCAACCTGTTTAATCCATCCTAGTGGGTAGTATAGTGACATCTTTCACTAATACTTTTTTTTTCTTTTTGTTTTATTTTAAATCGTGTCTAGCAGAATTTGTGCCATTTAGCAACGGTCTTAAAAAAAAAAAAAACGGTGTTTGTTATAAATTAACGATATCCAAATAATAATTTATCCCAAAAATAGAAATTCTAGGTAGTATGCAAGCTTTGTAAACAAGGAAGGATGAAATTGGGAAGTGGTCCAATGCATTTTTATTGCTGATTAGAAAGCAACTTTGAGAAGTTGATAAGGACGGTGATTTCTGCAATTGAAATAGACTTGACATTTCACATTTCTATTTGGTTCAATAACAAGTCTTTTTCTTACTTATGGAAACTACACTACAAAGTGGAACAAATTATTCATCCGCCGACCCAAACACTCTCACTCACTTTCAGTATATATATACTCACGTTTTAATTTACTAATTAACATATTTTGTTCATATAGTTAATCATATGTAAATTATTATTTATTAATTTTTGGATCATTATTTTTTATAAGGGAAATTTCAATATTTCCATTCATGCAAGAACACGCAGAGAAAAAGAGGTTAGTCGAGTGAAAGGTAAAAGCTTGAATGAATTAAAGTTACCTTGCAGTTAAAGTACATAATGGACCAATAACGTGGTAGTTGGAGTAGTAAGAAATCTCAATTTCTGTAAGGGTTAAAATACGAGTTTAATATCTGGGAACCGTAATTTGCCAAAAAAATTTTATAAACGACCTCAATACTCATAAGAGTTCGAACATAAATTCGACCCTGAAAAGTGCATTTTGCTGGGAGGGAGAAAGGGAAATTGTAATGAGAAATAAATCATAGAAGAAATTAGTGAAAGAAAAGGCAGCAAATCAGCAGGCAGTTGAATGCCCACTTTTATGTGTGGCATGTTAGTGGAGACGACTATAGAGTAGTAGTAGTAGTAGTAGTAGTATATATGTGGGTTCCATGTAATTAAGCTTAGGATTATATTCACAAATCTTAATCAATCTTTGATGACCATCTATGATAAATATTGCCAAGTGAAAAATTAATTATCTATTATAATTAAAAAGCTTCATTAATTGTTATTGTTGTTGGGAATTGATTCCAAATGGCAGCCACATAATATGGGGTAGACACGCAATGAAATGTGGATACATGCAAGATCCCAATAATTAAATTTATAATATGATTATCCAACGCACCAACATTTGACTGTCCAATAATATTAAGTTTTGCATGACGAACACAACCCTCTCTACATATTATTGCTGCATGCTACATATATAATATGTATACCTTCAAGATTCATGTTGGGTGCCAAATCTTCAGATTCCTTTTCCTTTTTCAAAGTCATGAGTTTTCCTTACCATCATTTTTAAGATGTAAGATATATATATATATATATATATAAAACAAAATAAAACGCAGAATATCTCAAATAAAATCAATAGGGAACCGTAAAAATGGCTGACAATTGAAAAATTTCTCATAAAAAACACAGACAAATCAAATAAATCAAACTCAAAGACTCAATCGAACATTAAATATACGAAAACCTGAAAAGTGCATCTTTGCTGGGGACGGAGAACGAGAGAAAAATCAGATAATCAAAATGAAGAAAATAAAAATAAATAAGATATGAAAATTAAGATTGACAACAAAGAAAAAAAACGGCAGCAAATTCAGAAAAGGAGTTACACTGGACCACTAACTACCTTATCGCCGTGGACAATGTTAGAATGAGAAAAAGGACAAATAAAAACTAGAGGTATAAAAACACAAGATAAAGATAGTAAGTAACGATAGTACAGAACTAATAGTCATGTGGCTTAACCAATAGTAACTATACAGCCCTTAGGGAAATAACTACTAAATTCACAAAATTCATATAATACAATCTTATGAAATGCAACATACTACTGACTAAAAAAATTATTGGCCAAGTCCGACCAAAAAAAAAAAAATTAAAATAATATAATAACTTAAACTATGAAATTACAAAAAAGCCGTCTAACCTTAAATTAGTAATTATACATCTCGCCTATGTTGGAAATTGAATTCCAAATAGAAGCAAGCCAAACATAAATAATGGAATAAGACACAGACAATGAAATAGTGACCGACTACATAGCAAAGATACCAACCACATAATCTAATGAAAAAATTACCGATCATAAAATACTCGATATATCAACAACGCCTCAACCCAACACATTATCTTAGAATCGAATCAAAATAAAATATAATAAGAAAATTTCTGGCATGACGACAAGCAACATCCCTCTCTTGCCAGGTTAACACTCAAGTAATTCTTGTTTTTCTTTGTTATAATCTATACATATTACTTGCTGCATTGTAAACTATTATAATATGTATACCTTCCCAAGATTCATGATTGGGGCCAAGCTTCAGATTCCATTTATCCTTTCTTCAAATATCCATGAGTTTAACGCCTTACCATCATTTATTTAAAGATAGTAAGATATCAAAATATAAACATATATATAATAATACTTACTATTTGTAGAGATGAGAAAGAGAGCGAAGAAAAGAAGAGAGAGAGAGAGAGATATAATCTTAATATATAGTGGATGCATTAACGAACATAAAAAATACTGCCCAATGGTATTTTGAAAATAAAAATAAAATAAAGTAATAAATATATATAACCTAATAATAGTTGTCTCCCACTGTAGGAAATAATATAGTAATATGATAAATGTAACAAACCTAAACGTCAATAACCAAAAACTATACATATAACCAAAAGGTTCCTGTGAATTGAAAATGCGAAATGTACAATTAATTTCTTAAAACAAAACTAACTTAACCAGGTTTTTTTTTTTAAATCATTATACTTTCTTTCATATTTCAGTGTTGCTGGCTAAACCATATAAAGGGAGAGAGAGAGAGAGAGAGAGAGAGTATATCATTAATATATAGTGGATGCTTACGAACATAAGATACTGTGGGTTTTTGAGTATATATATATATATATGACCTAATAATGTTGTCTCCCATGAGGGACATATATGTATATGATATTGTAACCCTAAGTATAAAACCATATACATATACCAAAGGGGTTCCTGTGAATTGAAAATGGAAATGTACAATTAATTTCTTCCTACTTAAAGGTTTTTTTTTTTAAATTATTTTATTTTCTTTATATCATGTGCTGGCTTAATATAGAATGCAAAGTGGAATGAATACGCGGTTGAATTCGTAAAAATGAATTGTAATTTACCTGTAAGATGAATGTTTTGAAATCTGCAATTATTAGTGTTAAAAGAATTTTATTTAAATATCGATTTTGTCCAAATACAAAAAACCCATGTAAAAAAATGAGATTGAGTTGCCTGAGTCTATGACTCCATTTATAAACCAAATCAATGAAAATATAAATTTTTATTGTAATGAAAATATTTCTGATCATACATTGAAAAAAAAAAAGTATAAATAATTTTAATAAATTTCTATTTTCATTGATTTGGTCTGTAGACGAGCTAATAAGTAAGCATTTTTCAAAAAAAAAAAAAGATGGAATTGAAAATTTATTTATTTTCATTCAACTTTTAATAATAAAAGAAGCAAGTGTATTGATTTCTAAAATTTTGTGCCCCTTCGAGTAAAGAATATCATTGCCTACACAACCCTAATTTTATTTTACTTTCTTACATCGTGGAAAAAGAGAAGAAAAATCATTAAAGAAAAATGTTGGAAGTAAAACTCATAACTCTTAAGAATATTCGAAATAATTAAAATTTGCTCTTTTATTAAATTAATTAATGTTTGGAACATTGGTCTTACTCATTGAATAAAAAACAAAAAGTTGTAGTGGTGGCGCAAATCGAACCAAAATAGAATTATTCAATTTAGTTATATAATAACAAGAACCAAAATAGAATTATTCAAAATAGAATTATTCAAATCTAACCAAAATTTTTGTCTTAACTCCTATAAAAAAACAATTTCGTCATTGCTATATCCTGTTATTAATTTCAAGATAAAACTTGCATTCAAGAAATAAATTATATAATAAATACAAATAATGATAATACAGGTTGATAATCAAAAAAAAAAAAAAAATTGAAATTGTTTCATCCTTCGCGTCTCAAATGATTCTCACCAAATTGAATAATGGTCCCATGCTTTTAAAGCTGTTTCAAAATAAAAATAAAAAATAAAAAATAAAAGTTAGCTATTTGCGGAAAAAATACTCATGAAAAAGTATAGTCGTAACTCTTTAGAAAGCAAATTCAATTTTACCTTGTTTTGGAAGAGTCCAGTTCTTGTCTTGGCCCAAAGCCCAAAAGAAATATCCGCCTAAGCCCTGTGACCGAGCAAACCGGATCTTGCGATCCACGGACATAGTATCATCATACCCGATCCAAGAATCTCCAGCAACAGAATAATAAAACACTGCTTCACCATCAAAATGAACTACTCCCTCGTTTTCATTATTAAAATCTATAATCTCACTATAACCTAAAACGCCATCTCCTGGTCCAACACCTACAGCTACTGCTCCAACCCCATTAACGTTTGGATCTCTGAGCTTCCATGTCCGCCCGTACAAAGGCACTCCCATCACAATCTTTTCCCTCAACACGCCGGATCCGATCCATGAACCGATACCGTAACTAGTACTTAGAATACTATTATTATCATATAAAGCTGAATTTGGGCCAGTGAAATTTTCCCATGATCCATGATAATCATAACACATAGGATTAATCCAATCAAGAAAATTATTTATAGCTTGAACAGGGTAAGACCTATTTTCTCCATAGTTAGTAAATTCTGAAGCATAATAAACTGCAGCTGAAAGCAAGAGAGGCAGTTTTCCACTAGTTCTAGCTTCATAATCTATAGCCTCTCTCCATTCTTGAAGTAGAAAAGCAAGATTTACCATTTCCTGATTATTAGCAGGAGATTCCCAGTCAAGATCAAGACCGTCAAATCCATAATTCCTAGCAACTTCAATGGTTGAGTTGATGAAAACTGCTCTCGTTTGATTGTTACTTGACATTATTGAAAAATATTTTGTTTGGTTTTCATCAGCACCTCCAATGGAAAACAGAGTTTTGATATTAGGGTTTTTAGCACGAAGCGTGTTAATGAAGTCAGGTATAGTTTGTTGATCGAGAGGTGTAATATTAACCTTGAAGGTGGAAGAATCAAGTAAAAGAAAAGCATAGTAAATATGAGTGAAATATGACGTGTCAATATTTGATGGTACAAGTCCATTGAATGAAGGCCAGTAGGCTGCTTTGATTCCTTGACCGTAATAAACCACCGAGAACGGCGGCTGTGCTGGTCCTGGCGGGGTATTAGCACTAGGGGTTGGCGGCTTAGCCGGATAAGTAGGGGTTGCAGGGTAAGAAGGAGAAGTTGGAGTAGCTGAAGGAGGATACGAAGGCGGAGACCAGGCTGGCGGAGCTATTGGATCCGCCGGAGAAGCAGGCGTTGCAGGGTAAGTAGGAGAAGCAGGCATTCCAGGGTAAGTAGGAGAAGTAGGTGTAGCAGACGGAGCCGGAGACCAGGCTGACTGAGCTATTGGATCCGACGGAGAAGCAGGCGTTGCAGGGTAAGTAGGCAGGAACGGAAGGCCGGAAAGACCAGGCTGAACTGAAAGCTATTGGATCACGACGAGAGAAAGAGGCGTTGAGCAGGTAAAAAGTAGGAGACAGCAGCAATTCCAGGGTAAGTAGGAAGAAGTAAGGTATAGCAGACGAGCCGGAAGCGCGGAGACACAGGCTGGACAGAGCTGATTGATACGCGGAGAAGGAGGCGTTGGCAGGAGTAGTAAGTCAGGAGAAAGCACGGCAATCCAGAACAGGTAACAGTAGGAGAAAAGTAGGTGAGAGAAGTGGCTATATCTAATTCTTGAGAGAAAGTAGGAAGAGTCAGCAAAACGGCGAATAAAGGTGAAATAAAGACACGAGAAAGGGAGAAGGCAAGATAGGAGAAATGGACTCAGAACATTAGGCAAATTGCAATGTATCAAAAAAAAAACAAAAAAGAGTTAGAGGTAAAGTTAGTGATGATTTTAAGGAACTAGCCATAGGTATAAGAAATTAATGAGGATGGAAAATTAACTAAATATTTGGATGCAATATATATAAAGTCAAAAGAGTATATATCAAAAATATACAGTTTAAAAAAACTATTGCTTAGGATACAGATAAATTAAGCAATTAGAAAGATTTGTGATTAAAAATTAATACCTAATATTACATAAGAACATGTCATAGCATTTAATTAGGCATTCCAGGGTAAGTAGGAGAAGTAGGTGTAGCAGACGGAGCCGGAGACCAGGCTGACTGAGCTATTGGATCCGACGGAGAAGCAGGCGTTGCAGGGTAAGTAGGAGAAGCAGGCATTCCAGGGTAAGTAGGAGAAGTAGGTGTAGCAGACGGAGCCGGAGACCAGGCTGACTGAGCTATTGGATCCGACGGAGAAGCAGGCGTTGCAGGGTAAGTAGGAGAAGCAGGCATTCCAGGGTAAGTAGGAGAAGTAGGTATAGCAGACGGAGCCGGAGCCGGAGACCAGGCTGGCGGAGCTATTGGATACGCCGGAGAAGCAGGCGTTGCAGGGTAAGTAGGAGAAGCAGGCATTCCAGGGTAAGTAGGAGAAGTAGGTGGAGCAGGGGCTATTCTAATTCTTGGAGAGTAGGAAGGAGTAGCACGCGAAGGTGAATAAGACACGGAAGGAGAAGGAGATAGAGAAATGGACTCAGAATTGGCAATTGCAATGTATAAAAACAAAAAGATTAGAGGTGAAAGTATGATGATTTTAGGACTAGCCATGGTTAAGGAATTAATGGGATGGTTTAACTAATTTTGGATGCAAATTTATAAATAAAGAGTTTCATATACAGTTAAAAACTTTGCTTAGGTACATAAATTGCAATTAGGGTTGTGATTAAATTAATTTAATTTACATAGAACATGTCATTAGCATTTAATTAGAGGGAATAAGTAGCAAGCAAGTATGACCAAATAGATACAGCCACTAAGGGAGGGACAAAATTGAGGGCACAAAGAGAAGAGCTTTGATAGTTTCGATATGACCTAACAAAGTTCATAAATAAAACCAAACCAACCACCACGTCCGGCGTCATACTGACTGTGAAAGGTTTGAAGAACAAAGGAATAATGAGCTATTGTTTGTCTATTGTGAATAGACAAAATAAAGACGAGTCACAAATAGGAAGACATGTATAAATTAAGTCAAAATAGCTTCAAAAGGTCCACACCCATCTAGGATCCAAAAATGAGTCCAATTTATACTTGGACATGGGCTTTTGACTCATATTGTATGGGCCCAATTCCATCATTTAGCTATAATTAAATCAAAATTTTATCTGGATTTTCATTCTCAAATTTTGCCCACGTCTATTTGTATATTTGACGAGATCTCATGGGCTTTTACCCTTTCTATAGATCATTCGTTTATTTTCTTAACCCCAGTCCAGTAAATAATTCTAATAATTCCATTAATACTGTCAATCAGGCGGTAATCTAATTGGTCTTTCTCATTTATATGAGGAGTGATAGATTTCAAGTTCGAATCCTCTCGACTATGATTATTTTCATTAATTTAGTGAGTCAAGCCTGTACTTTTATATACTATAAAGATTTACCCTATACACAATATAAATGATTCCTATTAGATAAAACATGTATAAGAAAATGGGTAAATAAATAATAATTGGATTGCACATCAAAGAGGAGTAATTCCAATGAACAATGATGAAATGGAAAGAAGATAAAAAATTCAATGCTTCCAACTTAGCCATGTCATTTCAGACATGATGGAAAAGAGAGGGAGAATGAAAAAACCCAAGTGTGTGATGCGGTTTGAGAAGCATAATATATAGTGATCTTCTGTTGTCCTCTTTCAACTATTTTAATTGATGTCTTCTTCATGGATACTTCTTCTTTTGGGTTCTCAAGTACAAACTTGTTTTAGAAGACAAAGAGATCTCATAAAGAGATTTTTTTTTTTTTCTTTTTACAACAGCAATTAAATATATATATATTTGCATTAATCTTTAACAACAAACTACTAACACTAATAATTATCTAACCACTTAGCTTAATTAAGTATTCTAATTCAACATCCAACTCGTTGGTCTTATACTCTTCTTCTCATTGGTACATTCATATAATAAAGTGAACACAAAAAAATAGGATTTGGTTCAAATCGGTTTAGATATGTAAATAGTTCATGTGGTGGTGGTGTGTTTTTTAATTAAATAACGATTCAAACGAGTTGATAATCAACCGCGGGTATTAATAACGGGTAGCCGATTGAAATTTTTATCATCCAGTATCTCTTTTTTCAATGTGGCTTTGGGATTGGCTGAAACAAGTTGGATAAAATTGGCAAATACTTTTTTCAATATTGACATATTAAATTATATTTATTATTTAGAAAGTGAAAGCCAAAGCCAAGATTATGCATATCTCAAGGGTTAATTTGGAATTTGCTGGTATGTAACGAATAAATAATAATAATAATAGCAATGCAAAAGGTTTGCAATTACCACTAAACAAGTTTATCATTGCCTATATGGCTCCACTTCAGCTTCACCATTATTCTATGTCGGCCATTTAGGACAGGCTACACAGAAAAATCCTTAGGATGATACACTACCCTTCTAAGGAAGCAGTGGAAGTGGGCCCTTCCTACGTGGCAAATTTTTAGTACTAAAGCTCCAATTCCGTTGGCTCTACGGTACTAACTAGCTAGCCATTTTCATTCGTAGCCGAATCTAAATTTTTAGGGTTCAATAATTTCAATCCGTAAATCCCTTCCTTACAAATCATTAAAAATCCTTTTCTTAATATGTTACGAGAAATAAATTAATATTTATTATTAGTTCATAATAAATTTATTCAAGAACTCAAATTTATCCAACCTGATTTACATAATAATACGAAATAAACACAAAATGTATTTTGACTTGGATGAATCTAACTCCAACACATCCTCAAATATTTTTTCATTATTTAAATAAAGATATATACTTTTTCATGTGCATTCCAACTCATTCTTAAATAAATATATTGATATTAATAGCTTTTCCAACAAAGCAATGACATCTATACCCAGTATATGAATCCACTTTACGCATCAAATTAATTTAAAAAATAATTTTTTAAATCAAATGAGAGCATTTTTTACTGTATAAAAGAAAAACATGACAAAATAATAATAATTTTTTAAAAAACTCTCTTAATTGATTTGGTGTAGGGAATAGTCTCATGCAGGGAGTGTAGGCAAAATCTTATCCTCATGCGAAATAATCTTAATTGATTGAACAATGGAGAACTGTTGGATAGTTATGATGACCATCTAAATAATTGGAACGAGTAGTTATAGCATAGAAGATATTACACTGAATAGCAGTGTCAAACTGGTGTCGGAATTGATGTTTCTGTTAGGCAAAGCACATACCTATACAGCGAACACCCATGAAAAGAGATGACCCACGAATATATAAAAGTAAAGAGAAAAATACATTTGAACTAACGATCAGTAAGATAGCACCATGGATGATGGAATTGAAAGTACACACGAAGGAGAGGGTTGTGTGGTCTACACAGCAAGGCCAGTTTGTCTCCCCATAATTGAAGCAAGGCACTTGCATATGTAATAGTGCAAGTCCAAGTTTGTTTCTTTTCTAATTTTTGTTGCTTTTCATGGACAGGCAATAGATTTGTATGTGGGGACACAGACTTCTTATAATCAAATGAAATCCATGTAGTAGGAACATCAAAGTAGTGGGATTCCAATGAAAGAGCGCAAGTGTACATGTGTGTCACTATAACTAAACCTAACATTCCCTAATTTTAAATAGCTCTCGATCTGTATATTTTCTTCTCTGTACAGAACGAACCAAAAAAATTAAAGGACTTTCCTTTCTTTTTCTCCTTTTTGAAACTCAAAAAGTTGTTCTTTCCCATGGAATCAAAAACGAAAGAACAAAGTCTCTCAGAGGCATTAATAAAGGAGGAAGAGCAAGAACTTGTTAAAGAATTAGAAGAAGAAGAAGAACAGCAAGAAGATCAAGGTCAAGAAAAGGCTATTCCTTCATTTATATTGGATCTAAAGCTAACTAGAAGCGATTCCAATCATGGGCTTAATCAAGAACTCAATCTTATAGATTGCATCAATATGGATTCATCATCAGAAAACCCCGATGTTGAGCAGAGAGTATTTTCATGCAACTATTGTCAGAGAAAATTCCATAGCTCACAAGCGCTAGGAGGACACCAAAATGCCCATAAAAGAGAAAGAACACTAGCCAAACGAGGACAAAAGATAGGAGCACATATAGCAGCTTCTCTAGCAGCTTTCGGCCACAATCCTTACCTGCACCACCATTATTATTCAAGCATGGCTTCTCTCCCTCTCCATGGTGCATATGGCAGATCCCTTGGAATTCAAGTTCACTCTAAGATCCATAAGCCTTGTCAAATATCCTCCTCCGACGGGTTTGGAAGTATTTATGGACATGGCAGGTGGTCTAGGCTCCCTATTGGCCAACAACCAGCTGTAAGAAAGCTGTCAACGGACAATCATCATGCGAATGCAACAACAACAACAATAACATCACCACCACCACCTGCACTGTCACGTGCCGGTGTCGGTAGGTTCAACCTAGAAGATAAGAGTAAGATCATGGCTTCTCCAGCCGACCAGGGAATTGATAGTAATTATTGGTTAGCAGGCACCGTTCATTTAAAGACTAATCAAGATGAGTTGCAGAAACTTGACTTAACACTCAAGCTTTAACTGCATTTTCTGTTTCTTAGTATTTTTTTTGTACGTTTCTTTTGGAATCATGTTATGTAAATATGATTATACAAGGAATGCTTAAATATTTTCTGTTTTAGGTCATGTTAAGAACTCCCTCTTAAGTTTTCTATACTTTACTTAAGTCTATAAATAGAACAGAGATAAAGATTCTCCTTTCTCCATTTCTTGTGTACTTCAGATATTTATCGTAAACAGGATGCATTTTCAATCACTCGCAGGCGCTCCAAATGAAAAATTAGAAAATATGAAAGAATTTTTGAAATGGGATTCGTTCAAAAGTGGAACAGGATAGGGTAAATTATACCAACATTACATGGATGCAGTATCATGTCTAAATAAAGTGACAAAATATAGGATATCATGACAATTGAAAATTAGGAAGATCTTTGTATTATTCACAAGAAAGATCATAAAAGCTATTGCTTCTATTATGGACAGCGTGAAGCTGTCAACTAGACATGAATATATTATTGTAGAATTTCAAACCGAACTTGCTAGTGGGATAAACTTCATCAGTAGTGCAATTTAAAATTTATGGAAGAAACTGTTCTTTTGTCTTCACACAAGTCAGGTTAATATTTGGATTAAGACTTGCTCCATTATTTAACTTCATTGAACAGTCAGTTTGTTTGTCCATTTCCAAGTGGCGTGTAAGATGTCTTTTTCAAAAACTGATCAGTAAATCTGGGGAAGATTTCATTGTATTTAATATGCAATTTAATCCCATAGCCTAGTCAGCTTGTACTGAATCACATTTTACACAGTTTCTTTTATGTACTTTATTCTGTTTCAGCTTTCAGGGCTTTACTTTTACAAGTTAAAACCTAACTTGGCCCCGCCGAGGAGGTGTTTTTAGACGGCCACAGCATCCTCTTTTTTAGCTTTAAAAGTGAGATTTCAATAACCAATAATAAAAAACATCAATACAAAGCAAAGTAAGGTATTGGCTGGCTAGCACCTTTCGAAAGCTAAAGCAGAGCATATTATTGTATGGAATAATGGGAGTTGACAAAAAACTGATACTTAACCTTTTATGTTTTTCTGGAGTTCTTTCACCAAGAGGAACACCCAGCATCAAAGACTCCCATTTGCAGAACTGAAATTAAGAACTCAAAAACTCAATTCATCATCATAAAAATTTAATCTTTATATTAAAACTAATTAAGACAAGATAATGTCGAACTCAATGAATGCTATATCAACAGAAAGAACATGGTTAACCGTTTAAGACAATGGTGCAATAATTCAACGCATGCTATTATTCTAAGGAACACAGTGCAATGATAACAACAAAATAATGAAGCATCAAAGGCTAATAAAGTGTTGGAGCCTGTTATACAAATACAATCACTGGATGAGGGGCCCTGACTTACTTTTGCAACTCTTATGTCCCGCAAATTGAAAAGGAATATATAATTGTGTTATTTTAATCTACCCAACTACAGAATATCCCAGAGTCAATAAGCCTCTACCCCAAAACAGAGCAAAAACGACAATTAGGTACACCAACTCCACAAAACTGAGCTCCGAATGACCTTGCTCTGCACTTCGTTTTCAGAGAGATCTAGTAAAGTCCGTTTAGCAAAATTTGATAGATGGTGTTAGTTACACATAAAATCTCTATTCTCCGGAGAAGATAACAAATAACAACACGAAAAAGTACTATAAAAAATAACAGAAAATGGTCAAAATGATGAGTGTTCAGTCGAAATTTTTTAACTTGATCTTGGCAAGAAACGTTATGACAAGAGTCGAATAACTTTACCGCTGCCTACAATCCAATTAAGATCACATCAAATCAGGACATCTTCTACTTGCACCAGATTTAGTTACTAGTGGATCTGAACTATAATACCATCAATATTTTCAACTTTACCACAATTAAATGATTTTATATGATTTCGCCACAGGATTATAACAAGAGAACTACTAAATGCTTTAACGTTCTCTGCAATCTAACAGCAGTAACAGATTCCATTTTCAGTATTTCACAGCAAGAAGTAATCGAGCAATCTTCTTTTATTCAAAAATTTGCAAATAAAAATTAAAAAGACAGTAATCTGATGTTACAGAAGCCAGCCTTTCCAAGATTTACAGATGTACGTGCACTTCACATAAGGAAATAACAGTACCAGTCACCCAAATTTTGGGTTCTAAAATAGTGCTTTTGCCACATCCCGAATCAATTACATATGCACGAATTTGTGTTAGTCTTAATGTGCAAGCATCTAAAAGGAAAAATTCTGCTTGATACACTTTTAACCTATCAGAATTCAGAACCCAGTGAGTTATAGCTAGCTGCGCTTGATGTGACATCCTAAATCAGTTAATCTGCTCGACCTATCCAGCAGTGTGACATCGTTTGAGCACAAACAGCAATCATATTATGATTGCACGGACAATTGGTTGAATGAAGCAGTGTCAACATAACCCTGAATATGGCAGTCAAGCAGTATTAAGACACACGGACACCCTTCCGATGAGCCTATTTAGGTGTCCACAGTCCACAACCAATGTATATGGTGACGGAAGTTGAAGTTTCAAGGATGCTCTAATTAATTGCATATAATTTGCAACATTTTCAAGCGGGACTAGTTTTGGGCTCCCAGAGATTCTGCTCGGTATGACTATGTTGAAGAAAGCAGAGGAATTTTTATGCCAGATTCATCATGCAGAACGGTGGAATATATATAATCATGTAGCTTAGAAGCCTGAAAACTTGAATAGACTAAACAATTATGTATACACTTAAACCTTTCCGCTTTCATTGGAAAAAAAAAAAAAAGAGATTTGATAGTGTGAATGAAAAACAAGATAAGTGATTCAATCATCTATTATTACAAATTTCCTTAATTAATTTGCATATCATTAGCATTTCAAAGAATGCGAATCACGTGGTTTAAGAACAAATTCAATCCATTCTCATTTCACATAGCACAATCATCCGTGAGGATGCACACTAAAATCGGGCACTTTGTCATACTTTTGGGACTCTTGATACGGGTGGGCCAATGCCTCAAGACCAAGTTAGGATAAGAGGTCACAAGCAAAGATACTCCTGTAAAAGGAAGACATATATAAAGGACAAAACCAAAGGCATGTAGGAAAGGGAAGCAAGCGTGTGAGAATTGAGTAAAGCTCATCGTGCTAAAGAGCAAGATGGACATGCAATTAAAGTTCTAGTGGGTCATACATAAACAAAAGAATCTAATTGATCCTAACATAAAATGTAAAACACAAAGTCCAAAAATTCTAGCCAACCATGTGGAAACAACTTTGGCGAGCATATATTTCAACAGATCAACATGATGCCATATCCAATTGTAAATGTCCTCCTCTCCACTATCTAAGATGAGCAAGAGCACTAAGCAATGAGAAAAAGCAATGTTGGAGGGACTGACTTCCTGTCTGTGGTTCCAGTCAACTTATGTCTTTGAAATTCCAACATTCTTTGAACCTCTTTAGGCCATTATGAAAGTAAATATTGCAAGAACTCTCCTAAAGGCATCAATTTGATCTATTGAGCTCTATTCACTTGATCTCAGAACCCTTTAATGCTTCAACCTGCAAAACCAGCTAAACTAAAGTATATGCCAGTTAACCCACATCCAGGAAGAGAATAACAGTAATACACTCTTCATTTATATTCAAGATGATGCTACTTAATTTCCGAGTCTATACAGTAATGTTTTCTCCCCATAACTCAAAATGACAATTAGGATGAATTTAACTTGCCAACTGCTCCAATAAACAATGAATCTCGTGTTTTCAGGTAATTGCTTCTGACTGCAGCCTATTACTTATGGTAATCTCTCGATTTCCATATTTAACCACCAGGGAAAAATAGGAAAAGCAACAAACCACAGATGTGGAAGCTTGGGCGTGAGAAGTACTGAGAATCCTACTCCTGCCATATTATTGCATTATGCAGTAACTCACAAGACTCAAATTTCCACATTTACGGTGGCAAATACAAGACTACCATGCGTCAATTGATGATCCCTTCCATTCCTATCATAGGCCCTCAAATTGTAACATTTTCACCTTTCCATTCATTGATAGAATCTCCACTCTGATTTAGAATATATAACAGAAAATTCTGTCAACAAGTTATTAATGTAGCTTGCCACAAAAATCAAACCAGAAGTAGCACTTCTTTGAGATGTGTTACCAAAAAAGGATCTAAGTTACGATAGGGAACAGGGGAAATTGAACCAGAGAAAAAGAGGACCCAAACAAGGCAGGAAAGGGATTTAACGCACGTCAATGTTGGAAATAAAAGTATTGATAACCAGCAACCCAAGGTTGACTGTCCAGCAGGAAGCCGACGAATTTTGGCTGATGGCAAGTTGGCAACAGCACTTTTAGTACTTCCCAGCGTGCACAAACCAATTTCTGATAGAACAGCAAGTTATCTGTCTACTATTGGTCCCCTTTACAGACAAAAGACCTTACCAATGCCAAAGTGTTCGCTTCTTAGTACTTGCATATGGGAGTCCCGCTTAAAAGAAGTGCTGAGTCCAGTGGCATTGTGCATTATGTACGCCTTTAACAACAATGAAGATTATTAATACTGAAATATTCCTGCAGCTTTATAGCTTTGAGACTCAATCATTAGCTTAAAAAAGAAAAGAAAATCCTCGAGAAGCCAACAATTGGCATATTATATTTCACAATTGAGCTACACACATTGCATAATCCCCAGTCCCATCGAATCAAACTTTAAAGCCAGTCTTACAGAAGGCACTGTAAAAGAAAAACCTCTATTTTTTGACAAAAGACTTGACCTTTCCAAACCATCGGATAAGTTCAGCTCTATCCTTATTCATCATATATTCATGCAAGAAAACAGAAAGTTTATCATTTACCCCCCTTTCCTCCAAGAACTCACGAAATCTATTCTGAAGCTGGCGATTCAAACTCCTGAAAGAAAAAAAAAATCAAGCAAAGCCAATTCAGTAAATGTCAAGTCACAACCAAAAAAAAAAAAAAAAAAAAAAAAATCGAGATCAAACTTTAAAGCCAGTCTTACAGAAAGGCATTGTAAAAGAAAACCTCTTATTTTTTGAACAAACAGCTTGACCTTTCCAAAACCATCGATAAGTGCAGCTCTATCCTTATTCATCATTATATTTCATGCAAGAAACAGGAAGTTTATCATGTTACCCCCTTTCCTCCAACGAACTCACGAAATCTATTCTGGAAGCTGGCGATTCAAACTCCTGAAAGAAAAGAAAAAATCAAGCAAAGCCAATTCAGTAAATGTCCAAGTCACAACCAAAAAAAAAAAAAAAAAAAAAAAAAATCGCAAAAACAGTTTAACAAGAAAAAAAAAAAAAAAAAAAAAAAAAATCGCAAAAACAGTGAAACAAGACAAAGGGGAAAAAAACAAACAAAAACGAAAACCATACCTAAAATTAGGTCCCATATAAGGCCTAGCCGGTGTATTGTCACGGCTGAGCAAGTAAACTTTCCGAATCTCCAAACAATCAGGCCATGCTGAGCACAAAAACTCCAACGCATCGCCACCATCTCCCTTGGAGATATCAACAAGCACACTAATGTGGACGCGCACATCTTCACCTGAGCTATCTTCCCCAGTATTGGGAACAGTTTCATAACCATCAAACATTGTAACTTCAAGTTTAATATCTTCACAATAACTAAATGTTCTTCTCATTGTCATCCACTGCTCTCCCGGTCGATCTTGTACATCAAATGAATCAAATTTGGTTGCAGGCTATATAATTCCAGGATTAGGAGAGAAATTAGAAACGAATGTGAGATTATTAGAAAATTAGGAGAATTAAGACTACGAACCTGGTGAGGAGGAGCATACTCGGACTGGTAATCGATCTCGTTGTGGAGGATTCGGAGAATGTTAGCTTCGAAGGTGGATTTGGTAATTTTGTCAGCTTTGTAGGGTCTGGATTGGAGAAAGAGAGATGAGATGGCGTTTCGACATTGGAGATGAGAAAGAGAAAGAGAAGAAGAAGAGAGAATTGTCCTCCGAACAGTTCGAATTAAGCGAGACATTGAAGTGGTAATCAATTGCCGGTGAGGGATCAATGAGGTTTTTTTTTTCCCTTTTTTTGAAAAGGAAGGTCAGTGAGGGTTTAAGCAACGGGGTTTAGAAGTGACAGCCACCGTGACCGGGAGAGTCGGACAGTTCAATGAGACTTTTATGCGTGTGAGCGCTTTTAGAAGGGAACCTTGACGGAAATCTTTCTGACTGTCTAATAAACCTGTGAACTGTCGATGTCGTTTTGGGTTCAAAGCTTGATATAGGTCCATCTTAAATGCTAGCGTTTGGATTGAAAGCCTTCTGGTCATGTATTAGCATTTGGGTTTGAGACCAAGCCCAAAAACACAGAAGCCAGGGCCCATGGATCTTCATACGGTCAACCGCGTGCTCACATTATTCATTCAACTGGCTCGACTGTAAAAACGCACGTGCTGTGTACCGCATGCGTGAATCTTAAAACTGCATATAATTTGACTGTGCGTGGACCCTACTTATCCGACATCCACTGCCTATAATAATTTATCCTTGTCTCTTGCCGGACTATAATAATGCGCATCATAATACTCTCCATTTTTTTTTTTTCTCTTTTTTTTTCTTTCATACATTTCTTTTTTTTTTTTTTACCTCTAAATGTCATGTCACTTGGATCCGACCCAATCCGAAACAAATATCAATTGGATAACAGATTTTAAGTTTTCTTTTATAATTATTACTATATAATATTTAGAAGTTAGATAGGTAATATAAAATTGTTACTTTCTTAATATTGAATTAAGGACAGAAAATAGCTGATATTTACTAAATACAGTCACATTCTTACATGGACCATTGCCAATTTCCTCCCCTAGTCTTCTAAAAGTCTTAAAAAGAAGCGGCACAACAACGTTAGCAAAATAGTTAAAGACAGCGGTTAGCTTTATAATCTTGTCGTTGGCAAATGTCAGCAAGATTTTGCTACGGTTAAAATGCCAATTATAACATCTGATTATTTAGAATATCCTAATAGTCGAAGTAACGATGCCTAAAACAAATGAATTTGTTACATTTTTTTTATTTTTCACTTAGGTGTCCAATTAACAGACAAAACGCCAAAAATATTTCTATTAGCCTATAAAAATTGCTCTTCTGCTCACTAACTCGCAAAACGATAACGGCTCCTGGATATACTACTGAGAGAACCTATTCGCATAACTATACATTCTCTCTTAGATAAATTATTCTCAGAGGTATAATTCCCATATTACCCTTAATTTCCATCGAGATATGAAAATGGGGTTGAACGCCATTACATGAAGCTGTAATTACAAATTAGTCAAGGTTAGATATATATTTTTGTCTTTTTTCTGTATTATTAATACTATTTGAAAAAAGATTAGATGAATGTGATAAGACAAAAAGAGCATGTGGAGCTTTTTCTTTGCTTCAATGGCAGAAAAGAAAATTTAATGGAATGGCACTTTTGTAATTAAGAAATTCTCTGTGCTAATTAATCACTCCCACTCCTTTTTTTTTCCTTTCCAAATTATTATTATTTATTATTATTATCTTTTATTTTTGCACTTAACATTTCCTCTCCATATAAAAAACGAAAATGGAAGGCCAAGCGAGAATGCGGACGCTTTTGGCCGCCGGTGGAACCTAAGGAGAAGATTCTTCCCCTTCATTAAATTCATATATTCAGAGAGAGAAAGAGAAAGAAAAAAGAAAAAGGAATCTCGATTCCCTCTCTGTCTCCTGAAATTCCTCGAATTTTCTCGAGGAATTTGTCGGTCCGGTGGCGTTTCGCCGAAGCGAAGTTTCTCCTTATCGAATTCCAACGATCATGTAAAGAATTAATATAGTTTTTCAGCTTGATTTTATTCTTTTTTGGAACTTTCTCCCAGATTCAGAAGGCTAAGCGAACAGGTGGCAAAAGAAAAAGAAAATGCTGTGCCGGATGGCATTGCTTCACCGGAAGAAAAAGACCGGTGCTGTACCGGTTTATTTGAATGTCTATGATTTGACTCCTATTAATGGCTATGCTTACTGGCTTGGTCTTGGGATCTACCATTCCGGTGTTCAAGGTTTGTCTTACTAATTTATCTATTTGATATTTTCATTTGATAGACATTAATTTTCATTCATTTCATCGGCTGCTGTTACGATTTTGTTCCGATTATATTGTTGCTTCGTGCATTTTTCTTCTGAATGTTTTGTGATGATATTTAGCTCAGATCTGCGTCTTTTAGTGTTTGGTTTCGGAGAAATTGAACGGAAAAATTAATTATAGTTTTAATAATCATGAATGACTAATTGGTGTTCTTCTATTATTTCGTGGCTGCGTCCACTGGAAACGTAATCCAGTCCTACCTCATATAATATATTAAGGGGAAAAAGAAAAGAAAAATTGCTGTAGTCAAAAGATATTCTGCTTACTTTGTTTAATTATTTTGATCCTTAGCAGTCAAGAGCCGGTATAAACTTGGTTTGGTTGCTGAGATTTGGTGGCTAAAGCACATAATTTTAAGGCAACTGATATTGCTTAATGAAAATTTATGTTTAACAAGTTATTGGATTTGAATTTTTAATCTGGTTCCTCAAACTAAGCAGTCCCAGCAAAGACACGGGTCCTTTTGATTAGTTTTCTTGAGTAATATTGCACTACTTTCATCTAAAGTTATCCAAGTTAGATTTTGACTGAAATGTTTGCTATGATTTTATTCTTTGTAGTTCATAATATTGAATATGGTTTTGGAGCACATGACCATCCAAGCACTGGGATTTTTGAGGTGGAACCAAAGCAATGCCCTGGTTTCACTTTCAGAAAGTCAATATTGATTGGAAGAACTGATCTAGGTCCTAAAGAAGTCCGTACATTCATGGAGAAGCTAGCTCAAGATTATCCTGGGAACAGTTACCATCTTATCACCAAAAACTGCAACCACTTTTGCAATGATGTGTGTCACAAGTTGACTGGGAAAACAATTCCTCGTTGGGTTAATCGTCTTGCTCGTTTAGGTAAGAACATTCTATGATTACTGTGATGATTTGAACCTCATTTCTTCTATGACATTGTCCTGACTGCATGATAACTGATCACCATCAAGTCCAAAGAATTATTAGGAGTGATATGGGTAATAGGGCTTTTGGAACTGGAGAGAATTGCACTTTTTAAGTTTTCAACTTTCACTGCATTCCACTGCCTCTATATTTGGCGAAACGTCTGTTACACCATTGCCCTAAAATATTGATGCATTTGCCAAAATGACCAAATTTCCTTGCTATCTTAATATTCTCTCTAAAGAACTGCTTATAAGAAATGGATTGCCATCTCCTGCTCCTTCAGTTGAAGAGGCTAAATTTTTATATGGTGTCACTCACAATTTAGCAGAGGTTTAGAGCTGCAGAAAGCTTGCTTTGTTATTCCTTTGTCCCTTCTTTTCCTAACTCTTCTTCTCTTACGGGGGCATCTGTCTGGTTTTTGCGTAAACTGAAGTATGATAATTAAAATTGAAAATGAAATGGATAAGTGTGCTGTTGGATTGCATTGCCTGTGTAGTTATGAATTATGATCATAATATAGATCATCATATTAATCTGCATAATACAGCGAATTTTGGCCCCTAAAAACCTGTACTGTAGTTGCTTCTTCCACCCTCTAACAAGTAAACTGGAATTGATTTATTATGTTTTGTGTCTAATAAATTTGCAGGTTTTCTTTGTAACTGTGTCTTGCCAGCGGAATTAAATGAAACCAAAGTTCGCCAAGTTAGATCACAAGATAAAGTGCAAGAGGGAGAGAAGAAGAAATTGAGAAGCCATTCAAGCAGGTTATTAGCTGCAACAAGCGCAGCCTCCCCTTCACTGACTCCTTGTTGCTCTACAGGTGCTGGGAACAGAAGTAATAGACAAAGACACCGTGTTTCTCCACCTACAGTTCATGATACTTCTATCCCAAAACTGAAAGTGAAGGTTTAATGGGATCAGGTTTTTCAAACTTTTTTAGGAATATAGAATTCAAAAAAGAAAGAAATCAACTATAGATCGATCGAAATTGCAAATTTCATTCCTGCCCCCATCTTATTATCTGGTTTTTCCTTATCTTTTTCCCCCCATTTTTCTCCTAAACGGCTGCTGGGAAGTTGACAAGTTGTTACAGCCGTTTCTACTTGTAAAGCTACTTTATTGTTTTCAAGAAGTGTAAGCCTTGTGACATCCAATCCAATACATTGGTTCCTCTCATAGTTTCACTCAAACACATCATCCTCGTATTAGCTTAAATGGAGAGGATTAATTCATAGTCGATGTGAATCATTAAACCTAACGCCTTGTGCTGGAAGTTGGGTTGTTTATAAAGCTCGGGTACCACTTTTAAGGCCTGCTAGTTATGGGTTTTGGGCCTGCATATATTGAGACCTTTCCAATGAAGGGGAGGTCCATTAAAATACTTTGGAAGATTTAATCTCGATAACTAAACTACTAATTTAAAATATCTTCTTTAATTTATACCTCTAAAACTAATACAGAACTATCAGAATTTATAATAATATGAGGATTTTTTTTTTTTTTTTTAATGATACTAGTGTCTTTCTATTAAATTCTGCCATATCCGAATGACAAGAAAATCAGAAAAAAATGTAATTTTCATCATTAATCAAAACTGTTAATCTTATCCAAAACTAGAGATTTGCACTGCCGTACCGTACCACTCTCTTGACCAGTGACCAGACCACCATAAGCCTCTCCCACAAAGTAAGGTTCATTCCCTCTTAATAACTAGGTTCATTGTAGCCATTGGTTTAAGTTTGACATGTCAACCACATTATTTTCACGCGCACAGCCCCCAGAATTGGCCTCTCAATCCAAACTTGAACCAATAATCCATTTTACCTTTTACAATATTTAGATTTTTATTATTCGTGACTTTAGTTGATTTTAGTCGTTACTAAATTGTGGCTCCTGTTGATTTTTTTCTAATTTACACGTGTTTTAATATTTATATTGAAGATATAATATTTGGGTAAAATCCTAAAATCAATTTCTATAATTATTTATTTTGTGGTTAATCGTTCTGGTGATTAAGTGCAAATTAATAAATTTTAAACTTATTAATTTGGCAAATGATTGTTATAATTATTTTAATTAGTGGTTAATAACAAGAATTGGAGATTTTGCTCAAGTGGTTATTAAAAGAAGTCACGTTTGTCGGCTGTAACGAATCCAAAACCGACAACGAACCCACACGAAAAGCCCAAATGAAATGAGCACATGCAATTGCAGTTTAACCCTTGCAATTGCAAGACCCTTTTAGGCTTTACTTATTCAAAGTCACAAAACGGAAAAAATAATAATAATAATAATAAAATTATATATATGTGATTTACGTTGTAATTAACTTCTGATAATTTTGACTTTGTTTAAAGATGCAATGTCTTTCTCCCGTTGTACTACTTTTGACCAAATGCAAGGTTTCTTCCTGTTTTTTAAAATATTAATATTTATATATATATATATGTCTTTCTCCCGTTGTACTACTTTAGTGAGAAATGCAGAGGTTTCTTCCTGTTTTTTAAAATATTAAGTATTTATAATATATATATATGACAATATTTTGAATTTCAGTCTATTTTAATAATTGATGAAACATTGAGAGTGTTTAAAACAAGTTACTGAAATAAATCACACTAATTTAAACTTTTCTTGTAGCAAAAAGTATTTGGGAAGGCCTCCTGCTTGAAAAATAAGCGTAGGAGAATGAAAATTAACCAAGCGCAGATCATATTTCACTCACCGCAACATAGAAGAAACTATTAGCTTACTCTCAAAATATTTATATATATATATATGTAATATTTTAATTTCAGTCTATTTTTAATTAATTGATGAAAACATTCAGTAGTGTTTAACAAGTTACTGAAAATAAATAATAATTAACTTTTCTTTAGCAAAAAGATTTGGAAGCCTCCTGCTTGAAAAATAAGCTAGGAGAAGAAATTAACCAAGCTCAGATTCAATCATACTCCAACATAAGAAAAACTTATTAGCTTAATCTCAAAATTTTCTGTAAGGCAATTGGCTTGCTAGCGGGACAGCCATACTGATATTTTTTTAAGGTAATGTCCAAGTAGAAAGGTGCCACTTGGGTAGGCTTAGGCTTGCAGATGTGCTTCTTGTTCTAACAGTTGTTACAACTAACATTTCAATTTGAGAGGTGGTTATTGGTAGTTCTCTACATTTTCTAACGCTATTTCCTCTATAAAATACTACCTAAATTTGTGGGTTGAGTTTGAGTTTCTTGTTCTTTTTGTGCTAATCTCAATGTCTGTTACTTCCAAGTCTGTCTAATGCTTTCTTGTACTTCTCCTATTGATCCATCATTGAACGGACATAAATGAATTGCATTTCTAAATAAATTTTACTTGTAAAATATCAGAGTTGTAAAACTTAATGTCACTCTATTATTAAAAGCTCTAATATCCACGTAAGCGTATCGGTACACTCGTGATTTCAATCAAAAATTGAAATTATATATATATATTATATTTGGGATAGGATAACCTAATAATTATTATGTTAAAGAGGGCTCAGATTTAAAGCTTAATTGGGTATTAGGGCAGTTAATAGAAAGATAAGATAATTGAGGATTTATATATAAATTGAATTGAATGGTCAAAATGGCATATGCTTTTGATTGCGCGTAAGGAAAGTTATGGGTTTGCCAGTTAATAACCTCCCCACCATTTATGCCTCAATCATGTTACTACTTTCTAAAATAGATTTTTTTTCATACATACGTCACCACTCAGTATGCTAATAATTTTTTTTAGTTTCTTGTACTCAACTGAAGAAGTTTAATGTTGTTCTCGAAAATATAGATTAAGAGCTAAATTCAAGTTTTTGAGAAGGGAAAATTTATAATTATATCGATAAATATCCGTTAATGATATTCAAATTATCTCTAAAACTATATAAAATGAAAGAAAGAAATAAGCCGACAAATAAAAATTACTATGTAAAGAAAAAGAGTAGGAAGAAAAAATGATGAGATTCACGAGAGAGGAAGAAGAAAGAGGAGAGGCTGAGGCTGAGGCTGAGGCTGAGGCTGGTCGGTCCTCCTCCACAAAATAAAACGAGCAGGAGAAGGAGACATAGTCATGTGGTCAAAATGGTCAGTTGAGTCCAAATGCTGGATATTTCTCGCCTCTTTCGGTGCCGTTTTTCATCGGATACTATTACTATTTGTTGTTTTTGATGTTTCAAGTTTGAAGTTTGAACCATGTCATGTTTCTGCTTCCGACTTTTCGCGTGATCCAATAACTTAGACGCTTCCCTCTCTTTGGTGAAAATAATTACATTACATAGATCCTATGCTTACTACCCAACCAAACAAATAAAACAGACCCACCCTCACATGTCTTTTGTCCTCTTCCCACATTTCCATTACAATTTACAACTCAAAAATCAAACAGAAATTATCAGTTAATCTTTCTATTTTCATTCATAAATCTATCATTACACCAAAACGCTTTCTCACTGATAAATTTGATTACAACATTCATATATAGTTCTAATTCTCCTAATTAATGGTTCATTCTATAGAAATATGTTCATCAACAAATGGGTTAGTCACAAGTCATAAAATTTAGCAAAAAGAAAATTGTTGAACTCAATTAATTAACATTGCCAAAAAAAATTTAAAGAACCCATAATTCTTCATTTCCTCCAAGCATAAACTAGCAGAGAGAAGCCATTAGGGGAACTCAGTTCATTCTCCTCCGTACTAGCCCATTCCATTATGGAAGAAGAGCCGCCTGCGGAAGATGCCGACGACATTGAAATCGACGATGAAGATGAACTCCTTGTTGTTCTCATTAAACTCCTCATTTTCCTCCATTCTATTCCACTCATTCCCAAATTACTATGTTGCCAGGGAACGACACCGTTTTTCTCATCTTGACCATTACAAACTTCAGTTCCTCCTCTTCCTTCTTCTTCTTCTTCCCCTGCGTCTTCAATGTCTTGAGTTTCAAACCTGAACATGAATACTGCATGGCCATTATTTACATCTTCAAAAAGCCAGTTGTAAACGTCCCATGAGACTTGGGTAGGCACTCCATCTACTTCAATCTTCTCATTTCCTCTGAATTTCCACTTTAATCGCTTTATCTGCAAAACCTTTTGGTTATCAACGCTAAAACACAATCTCGCGTCATTATTGACCGTACAATCTATTGATATATCTCTGTTTTTGCCTCCAAATCTTGCTTTTGTTGTGTATACTCTGTTGCCATAAACGTGCTCTCTTCTTAAAACAAGAACTTGACTTCTATCTGCCCTTTTAGCTCTAGTCTTTGCACAAGCTTGTTTGGTCAAATCGCCAACAAGAAGAATTATTTCGCGGTCAACAACTACAGCGATGTAGAATCCGGATTGGGGTTCAGGTCCGGATCCGAACTTGGCTCTTGAAAGATCCCAAAAGATTTGGACTCCTGGGACGGAGGCGTTGGGTTCTTGATTGATAACATGGAGCTTCTTGGATCCATGTTTTTTCCAAAAAATGAAAGGCTTAATATGGACATGGAAAGATAAGATAGAAAGAGACGATGGGTTAGAGAAAGAAAAAGGAGAGGCGGTGGCAGTATCGCCGGAGTGGAGTTGGAGGTGGAGAGAGTGGCCGATAAAGGAGCGAGACCATGTAAGAGAGAAAAGACCAAGTTCTGTTTGGTAAAGACAGCTTGTAAGGTTGGGATTGCCTGAAGTTGTTGGTGGCGGAGGCGGCGGTGACGGCGGAGTTCGGTTGTTTTCAGGGACCGTGGTGTTGGAGGAGGGGCGGAAGCAAGAAGGGAAGGGGGAGGAGCGAGGGGACATTTGGGTACTGTGGGTTAGGGATATGCGTTCGTTAAAATGTGAGGTTTTCAAGGGTTTTGAGATGATATATAATTACATACATTATATTTATATATATATGGAGAGGATAGAAAAGACTTGCCCACCTGTAAATTTAGACCAAAAAACACGAAATTTTCAAAAGATAAAAAAAAAAAAAAAAAAAAAAAAAAAAAAAAAAAATTTCAAAAAGATAAAAAAAAAAAAAAAAAAAAACAAAAAAAAAAAAAAACAGCTAAGAAAGACTTTATAACGAAAGGGAGCTTACTTAATTTATGATTGTGATTCTCTTCTTTACATGAGATATTAAATGGAAATTACGAAAAAAAAAAAAAAAAAAAAAAAAAAAAAAAAAAACACTAGAAAGACTTTATAACGAAAGGGAGCTACTTAATTATTTTTGTATTTCTTTTTTTACATATATTTCAATGGATTAGATTTTCTGAAACCAATCGGACCAAATCAATAAAAATAAAAATTTTAGAAATTATTTTTACTTTATTTTATATATTTACCTAATATGTTTAGATTGCAATATGTATTTACTAAAGTTTTTAAATTATATTTATTTGAATTTAACATTTATATTTATATTATTTATTTTGGGTATGAATTTAAATTCATTTCTATTTCAAGTACATTATCAGTATCCTAGTTAGATGTAAATTATATTTATTTGTACATTAAGATCGTAATTCTTTTTCTTTTTTCTTTTTTTTTTTTTTATATATCGTAATTGAGCATTTGTACCACGAAATGCGAAACTGAGTTGTTAAGTTGGTTCCAAAGAGACAATCTTTCCTATCTGTCATAGGAAGTGTCCTTCACGTTATAATTTCAAGTACAACTAACATAAGCTATGCATTTTATTTATTTATTTATTATCATTTATTTTCTCTAATTTATGTTAGCCATATATCAAAATAACGAGTGAATTAATTAATTTATAATTAAATTTACTTTTCATTTTCTTACTAAATTGATTATAAGATCGCCTCCAATTATTATTATTGATATAAGTAAAATGATAAGCAGAAAATTCAAAGAATAAATAACTAAATTTGGTTTTCTGGACCGTTTAGTAGTACATAAATTTTATAGAAAAATAGTAATGATCGTTTTTTTATAAAGTATTAAATAGCCAAGACGAATATTGTAGATTATTAAATGTAGATTTTTGACCGACCGTTATCTATATTTGAATTGATTACGTAACGCTGTTCTGATAGAATTACATATATATTTTCGGAATATTTATTTAATCTATCAATTATTATTTAATTTATAAGTTATAACATAATTATAAAGTTAGGATTTAAAATTTGAAGTTTTCATTTTTGGAAATTTCAAGCACGGAAACACTAATGTAAATAAAAAGAATTACTATTTAATTTTAAACTCCAAAAGATGAATATGCAACTTATAATTACTACAAAAGGAAGATTTGCCGGTCATGTGAGCAATGACTTATTAGTCATCTCCTAAATTAGATTTGCTAGTCAACTAATCTCCATTAAAAGAAAGTGGATTTCCTACTATAAAAAGAAAATTGTATATTAAAAATTTTTTAATCTATAATAAGTAAAGTTCAAAATCATATACCAAAAGTACACGAAAGCATAATTCAGTAGTAATTGCATATGTGATTTGATAATAAATTTAATTTCAAATTCCTTTCCCGATTTAAAAAAAAAAAAAATCATATCCACAAACTAATACATACTCCAAATCATTAATTATGCATCAAATATTTCTGCCAACTATGGTCTATCAGAAAAAAATATTTATCTTTTAAAATATATATAGTAAAAGCATTAAAGATTTGATTCTTTGATTTATCATAATTAGTGAAAAATGTCGAATTTTGATTGGTTGCTCAAAAAAGATTGAGAGCTTGTCCATTCCTGAAAAAAAAAAAAAAAAGTACCAAATAATATTTCTGCTTCATATTGTGGAGATATGCACCCTAAAAGTTCATATGCTTCCAAATCACATTGTGCAAATTTGAACCGTTCAAAAATTTATAGTACTAATTTCCATTTTCTCTCTTTTTTTTTTTTTTTTGTTAAATTCTAGAAAGATTTGTTTATAAGTAAAGAGGGCCACATTGTGCATATTTTTTTTGTTATTATTGATAAAATACTTAAAATTTGACTACTATTTTAGTCTTTCTTGATATTAATAAAATTGGTAAGTACATTAGTAGTCAAATGATAATTATTTAAATATATAAATTAAAACATTTTCCTTAATTAAAAAAACCCTTTTCATTATTAATAATATTGAAATTATATCGTAATACTTATTTAATTATATATAAATACATTCAGACAAAAAAAAAAAAACAGATCTAATTCTCGATTTATAGAACATTTTAAAAAAATCGCGAACATTTTATGTATTATAAGATATAAAAAAAAAATTATTTAACCTACCGGACAGAGAATTGTTTGGTAGTTTGCTTGAAGAAGATGAAGAATCATTGAGCTAAAATTATTAGACATTGATAGTTGATGAAGCATGTGGGTGTGGCACTTTATGTGTAAATTAGAAGAGGGGACCTTCACAAGATCCATATCCAAACCCAAAAAATATTTTGTAGACCCACCAATATGTGATAACAATGAAACATCACATGTGTTAATTATCTGTTTACATAATTTAATTAAAATACAAACCAATTAATCCTTCAAATCCAGACTGCTAATTAATTGATTTACCTTAATTTTTGACAACCCGATTAACAATCTGGTTAGAAAGTAACAGAAAACAATCTAATTGGTTAATATGTAATTAGCGGGCCATTAAAATTAAGGATTAGAAATTAAAGAAGCAAAAGCATGTGAAGCAATTCATTTTCAGACCAACCTTGAGAATGAACTTGTCTGAAAGAAGAAGGCAGGAGCTTTCCTATTGCATTATCAGCCTTAACACACTGTCTCCTTGGCTCTCCAACTGTTTGAATCTGCCAGCTATGATTATGGTGTGGACATGCCTAGGTAGGAACCAGTACATCACTTCAATGTACCTTTTTTTTTTTTTTTTTTATGCATTTATCAGCCTTAACACACTGTCTCCTTTGGCCTCTCCAACTGTTGAATCTGCCACGCTCATGATTATGGGTCTCACCATGCCTAGCGTAGCAACCAGCACACACTTTCACATGCTACCTCTCTCTCCTCTCTTTTTTTTGCCCTTTTGTCCTAATACATTAATGTCACAGTCACACTTTTCATTGTCAACACACTTCCACAATTACTTGTGCATGATTTTCTTAACAATCTTGTTCACTTCTGTTTGTCCGATCCACAACTTAACAAATTTTTCACAATACGCGTAAAATAAACACATTATTGCGATCCTTGAAATCTTATAATTATGCTTAATTGATATCGGTTAATCATTATCGCAGTGCAGACATGTTTTGATGTAAAAAAACATTCTTTACCGAAAATGTACCTTTTTTTTTTTTTTTTTGCTTTGCTTTTGTCCTAATAATTAATTCACATGTACATTTTAATTGTCAAAATTTGAAAAGCTACTTGTGCATGATTTTTAAACAATGCTTTTCATTTGTTTGTGGATCCCAAACTTATAATTTTTTAAATATTGTAATAAAACATTATTGCGATTTGAAATTTATAATTATGCTTAATTGATATTGCGGTTAATATTATCGACAGTGCAGAATGTTTGATGGTAAAAAAATATTTTTACCGAATAAGATGCGCACTAAATAAAAAAATTTTAAACTTTAATATTGCTTGGTCTAAATCCAAATAAGTTAAAATTAACTGAATTTTTTCTGTTTTCAACTCCCATTTTCGAGGAATCTAATTAATAAGCAAAGTCAAAAATTCAAAGTAATAGGACAAGTGGGAGAAGAAGAAAAAAATATAAAGTATGACCAGAAAATTGGACCGAGTCATACATACATAATTTGTTTGATTCAGTTTGAAATAATAGGATCAAACCATATATGTTTTTGTTGGAAAACTATGAAGTAACTTCTTGTTTTTTTATATATGACTATTCAATCCAATTAGGAGAATCACCTTGTCATTTAAAACAAGCTTCAAAGATTCAATTAGGACTATGACTTGTATCAAATTGCTGACTGACCCGTATAAATAAATGTGATCAACAATTAAATATGCATATTAGACTTTGTAATTAAGCATTAATTGTGATATTAAGCTTCATTGACCTTAAACCCAAATGTATTCAAGAACAGATTTATTATTTGGACTCCATCGAAGAAAACAAAACTTTACCGGACGGCAAGGAGTTAGAATTTGGTAGTATTGAAGTCATTAACTGCTTGTTTGACAAACATAATAAACCTAATAAACTAAGTATGTTTGGGCCCAGAGTAAGCCCAATAAATTAGGGCATATTTCAGACTCAATTTTAATAACAGGTCCGCTATAGGTTTATTTGGGCTAACACGAGCCCAATAAAATGAGCCTGAATTTTAATACTGGGTCGATAAAATTGGGCCTGAATTTTCTATCACGGCCCTAATTTCCATTTTTTCCAGTTGCTAACCATATTACCAAACAGAATTCAAACAATGGTCAATGGAGCGGTTAAGCTTTCACTTTTTAATGCGGTGTTCCGCTGCGTTTTCTGTTCTTCGTAACACTGGTAATGCTCATTTTGGGCCCAATTGAAATTTGGGCCTTACCAATTATACAGACTATTTTACATTTCCAATTACTATTTTCCTTTTTTTTTTTTTTTTTTCAAATAGACTTAAAAGATAGATATTACAAATTAAAGAAAGAAAGGCAGCCTCTCCCTTATCCGCTAGGTCAAAGCTTCATTGGCTATTTTTCACTACTTTTTTTTGAAGCCATCTTCCAAAAATATAAATAAAATCTAAAGAGTGTTTTTTAGAAAGTCTAAAATAATTTAATTTAAGAAAAAAGAAAAGAAAAGAAAAATATTTATGATTTGGAAATGTCCAATTGAGAAAGAAGTTGTTAGAAGGTAGGAAGACGTGGATGTTAACATGCACATGTTGGTCCATGTGAATGGGTACAGTAGACATATCATGCACCATTATACCTAATAAAAGAAAAGAAATTAAAATTTGGTAATGTGATTCCAAAAACAGATTGAAAGTATTTTGGCTTTTGAGGGAGTAGGCCACCAAACTTTTCTCTTTCAATCCCAAACAAAGCTTTTCTTTCCCTTTTGGAATTTTGCATGACTCACTTGATCCAACGCATCTAAAATTAATTATTAATTATAAAATCCCATCACAAATAATAATTTTTTTGGGTTTGTTAAAAATAAATAAATAAAATAAAAAAAGAAATTGAGGCCTTATGATTGTCTCTTCCCCAACATTTCCACATGAGATTCTATACACTATGATTGGTTTTGACCACTTTTGTATTTGTTCTTAGGAAGATCTCATCTTTGACTCCATCACTTCTCTCTCTCTCTCATTCTTTTGCACTGAGTGTGCAGTAGAAGCAGTATGGCCTGTGCTTGTACCAGCTAAAAAAAAAATAAATAAAAAAAAAAAAAATAAAATAGCACTAACCTCTGTGTTACGTCGTTTAATAATGTCTTGCTAGCTAGTTCACTCAACATTTTCTCTACCAAAAACTTTGTTTTCTTATGAATCATATGACTTATTGTCGTTAATTTGACCATTGCTACTTTCAGTTAGTTTATCTAATTATAAATAATAAATTTTAAAATATATTTACGCGATGGAATAATCACAGAATTTCGAAATAATATTAATTGCGTGAATTTAAAATTCTGTCAAGAATAATAAATAAATATAAAAAAGAATAGCTATAATCCTTATGCTAATTATTGTGAATAAAAAATAATAGCTATAATCCTTATGCTAATTATTGTGAAGGCATTGCGAAAATTTTTTAAACAAAAGTTGTTAAAATTATACAAAAATAATGATAAATGGAGATCAAAAACCCATCAAGTCCATCGTCTATCATATCAAGTTATCAGTTCTTGCACCAGTAATATTCTTTCACCTCAGTTCTTTAACGGATTAATTTCCTTCTGTTACTCTTTTTTTACCCAAAAAGCAACAGTAATTAACCAAAATCTTAATTGCTTAACATGAAAATTGTTTCTTGATACAAGAAAAAAGAAAAAAAAGAAGTGGTTGGTCAGGTGAAATATGAAGCTAGTGCCCCCCTAAGGCCACAAAGTTTCAAACTTTTAATGATGATAAACTCACTAACATGCTATGATTTTAATTGCCTTTGCTGAATCAAAAGTAAAACAAAATAATGAGAATAAACAACTTTAAATTGTTTGATAGTTGTGGGGAGCAAAATCAATTTCCAAACAGGTAAGCAAATGATGAAGTTTCACTGATAAGGACTGGACACCAACACCCATAAAGGAGACATTTTTTAACCTAATCTTATTCTTGAAATGGTAAAATGTTGATGGTTTGGTTATTTTTGATGAGTAGACTCAAGAAATGAAAACGACACATTTAAAAATGCTGTAAAAAGGTTATAGCTATCACGCAGGAAGAGGAGATAAAAATGGCAAAGGATTATTTTCAAATTGTCACATAATTGACATATTATGCGAACTAAGAGGGAATTTGCTTGTCAATTCTATATCATTACGTGTCAATAATCAAATGGTTTTAATTACCTAATTTGGTACATATCTATCACTAATTTACTTGATCACTTTTTTTCCTCCATTTTGGTTTGAAACCAATAATGGTGGAAAGACTAGAAATTTTACTGAAATGGTCAAATCTTCTTTCATCACAATAAATATTACTCCCATGTTCGAAGATTAAAACCAAGTTTAATTTTATTAAACTATCCTTTATATCAAAATCAACGATAATGGTAAGATTTGAAAAACATCGTTTATTTTTTAAAATACTCAAAATAACTTATATTTTGTAGTAATCAATTTATATTTTGAGATGCAAAGAGTAATCTTGATTTGGTACTTATTTGTTTATGTTTATAACTCACGCTTTATCTTCTCTAATTAGATATATTCTCTAATTAGATATAAAAATGTTCTGCTCTAGCTAGTTACGTTCTAAATATATTTTGTTAGAACTTATAAAGAAAGGGAATATGACAACCATCATTGGAGACTCTAGCTTGGAAAGAAAAGAAAGGCTATTTGCATTTCAGAAATACAAATTGTACTAATATGCTTTGTTCTATGATATTGAAGTCATCTATAGGGCTATGAGATTGTTATGAATTTGCCTAAACTCGAGAAATATATTTCATGATACATTTATAAATGAAAATAAAGGATAACCAGTTCAAATCAAGAACAGAGCATTAGATTAATTTGTAGAACGATCGTCATAAGCACTACTTACAAGCTCTGATTTTATCTTATAAGAAAAAAAATAAAAAGGGGGAAAGGGGGACCTCATTAATAATTAAAACACCCACTCAATCACATTCAGTGTCACTTTTCTTGACGAGCAGCAATCCCAACTAGAAGCCTGTCTCAGCTGAAATGAATCCAAAAAACATTTCAAACCCAACAATTGAACAAAAATTTCAATTTTTTCAACTACCATTGAAAATTGGTCACATATCTTTCTGACAGCCAAAGAAAATTGGCATAACATTTCCACTATTTATGGAAACAACATTGTTAAAGCACTTCGCTTAATACTCTGTTTTATATATAACATTCTGTCATATATAATTAATTTTACAAATCACGGTAATTTTCAAGATTTTTCAAAAATTTTCTAAAACAAACTACTATAATTTATTGTTTCTTGAAATTCCCTTTTGCAGAAAAACGCATAGCCTTTCTTGTCCCTTTTATCTAAGCTTTTAACAAAAGGGGCTTGCAAAAGCTCTCTCTTTCTTTCCACTAAAATTTCATTCTTTTTGCGATCAACTTTCCGAAATAAGTTCCTTTCAACACTACAGTGTTCACATCCTAGGATTTTTGTAGCATCTCTGTTTTGTACTAGAATGCCAGGATTGTTATGTTAGAACACAAAGATAAGAAATATATAACTGGTTTTTCAAGGTTATAACTTGCACTTTCATTTTTATAATGAAGAAAAAGTCATCTTTATATAAGAAGCAGAAAGAATTCCACTGAATTGTTCGGGAACTAAGAAATATATAATGCATAGGGCAACATTATATATATAACTTATGAAATACTCTACTGTACATCAAGCATAATCCAATGAGTCACTTAAGGGGAATACTTCTAGGGAACCAAAGATGGGTCTAAACTCTAAAACCATTAAAACACTTGAAAAGCCATAGAAAAGGCCAATAAAAATTGGGTTAAATTAGCAAATTATGCAAGAATGTGCATTTATTATTGCACATTATCACAGTGGCTGATGTGAGACAGTAGAGCATATCTCAATAGACCCATAATCAATCAATTCTTCAATCATTTGTTCAATGTGGTGATCTTCAAGAGGTTTAAACTGTTGGGTATTGTCAACTTGAAATTGCAATGGACATTTCTCTTGCAGCAGAGTACCCATTTCCTCATTTTTTATGGCAATGCCATTAGTGGGAGTGGTTGTGCTTGTCGTGTTATGAAATGAAGTTGGCGCCTTTTGTTTTTGCTGTTCATAAAGTGATGTTTGTTTGGTCATTTGCAGTGAAGCCATATAGCACCTGTGCAATTTGGCCGTCAAAGTTGCAGAGAGAAGTTTGGATGATGATGATTGTGATGCGTTTGGGTTATAAGGGAAGTTGGTCCTAGCTCTTGGTCCACACATAAGCCTTGCAGCTTCATCATAGGCTCGTGCTGCATCCTCAGCCGTCTCGAATGTGCCTAGCCAAATTCTAGTCTTCCTGCAAAAAGAAAGAAAAAAGAACACGAAACGTTTCGTTCAGAACTCCAAATAGAAAACGTTCATCAGTGTAACGGTTCAATGGGTTTGTATCCTTACAATAGAGGGTGGCGAATTTCAGATACCCAAGAACCCCAATGCCTTTGTCGAACGCCTCGATATCGCTGTTGTGGTCTTGCCATGTTAGTGAAAAAGAGAAACGTTTGTTTTTGGAAAGTGTTTGTGAAAATGCCTGAAAGAAGAGAGAGAGAGAGAATTAATTAGGCAAAAGAGAGAGAGTGATCGATGCCAGAGAAGGGTGGGGGGAAGAGGTGGGTTTTTGTAGTTGGGTTTGTTATGGGACATAAGGGCAACTGGTCTCTTTTTCTTGGCCTGCTCTGGCAACCAATTTAAGCAAGTAGGTCCCACTTGATGAAGCTTTGTGGTATTTCTTTATCTTATGTGTTACCCAGTTGGCTTAGCTTGTTGCAAGGGTGATGATTATTGAAAAATTTTGGTGAACTGAAATTTCAAAAAATGACCAAATTCAATTCACATGACTATCATAAAGACCTTTTCTTTTTTCTCTCTCTCTCTCAATATATATATATATATATATATATATTAAATAAAAGGCAACAAATAAGGTTGAAGCTAGCATTCAACTGCTGCTTTGTTAAGCTTTCTTTCTTCAAGAAAATCTAAGGTCATTGTCTAATAGATTCTTCATGTGAGTGTTTTATAAGAGAAGATTATGACTCCACTACAAGCTCACCTCTTTTTTTTTTTTTTTTTTTTTTTTTATAAGAGAGATTAATGACTCACTAACAAGCTCACTTTTTTTTTATTTTTTTTCTTTTTAAATTGTTTCTTCAACTACAAACATTAATTAATTAAAAACTATACTGCATAAACTTTTTAACTATAAAAGATCTTTTCAACATATCATCAATATTTTTTTTTTTTTTTTTTTTTTTTTAAATTTTTCTTCAAACTACAAACATTAATTAATTAAAAACTTACTGCATAAACTTTTTAACTATAAAAGAAATCTTTCAACATATCATAATATAATTTTTTTTTCTGTTAGCAGAAAAACTAAAAAAAATATTTCCAATTTTTTGTATGTTCAGACATGATTACCATCATTAAATGTCCAAGAATGGAAGTGTATACTGTTCATTGGTAAGATGCACAGTTGTTCATATTTTTATGTAATATATAATGAAATTGGTCCACAAGAAAAAAAAAAAAAAAGGTCCATACAAGAATTTGATAATAAAACATAAATATAATTGAGTCAAATCCCAAGTTGGGACACAAAAGATTGAAGATTCTTGAAAGCATAATAATCAAATCTTATTCAATATGCATGCTTGCAAGTGGTATATACCTTATATGATCAAGATCACATTTGAAGATACAAAAGGAGTATTTCATATTTGCAAGTGATATAATTGTTATAGACTTATAGCTTTTTATTATTATTATTATTATTATTATTATTGCCCTTTTCATGCAATTTCTAGTAGAAGATGATAATGTCATGGAAAAATTATACAATAAAACGGTGATGCCATGTGAAATATCATACATGAAACGACGAATCAATAACAGATAAACACACGTAGTAACTCCTGCGTTGCTTTGGGACCTTTTTTCTTTTTCTTTATTAATATAGGTATTTGAAAATTTATTCACTTATTTTAAAATTTTGGCTCCATTACAAGGAATGATATATTCATATATAGTTGCAGATAACTACAAATCCAAAATCTGCAATCGATATTTCTGACTGTTTGCCCTCCCTAATTTCAAGAGTTGTCCATACGAGAAAGAGACATGCAAGAAATATTTGGTTTGCTTCATTCGTTGAATGGATTTGTCCTCTCTCACGTGCCACAGTTTTATAGTTGAGGGGTTTGCTTTCCACAAGCAACTGCAAGGCCTAATTTTGCATATGCACTTCAGATGTGTGGGGTCTAGCTAGGATTCTGCTTGCCAATTTTAATCCCCTCTTAATCCTGGATTTGACGTAATTAAAAGCTAATTAAAGAGAATATTTGCCTTTAACTTATCAATTGGTTTGACAAGTTAACATATTTTTCGTGTTATTTATCGAGATTTCTAATTTATTTATGGAAAATATTTAATTTCTTTTTATCGTGTAATTAATATATAGATGAGTGTCGTTTAAAAGAAAATTATTATTTATTATTATTATTATTATTTGAACTAATTGACAGGTTGTAAATATATTTATTATCGTTAGTGTGGGAAAATTGGAGATGAGATAGAAATAGAAAGATGTTTTAAGAAAAAGCATTGGATCTTGGATTACAGCTATAAACATAAGACAAGTATCAATAAAGATAAGTAGTTTTACGTAAGCTAAGGCCTAAAACTAAGAGATGGACCCTACAAAAATTAACGCGTAAGATGGGACCCAAACAACATGGGTGATGGGGTGATGATAGCTAAATAAATGGGTGTTAGTCTTAAAACCCAAATCCTCCCACGGTTTCATGGCCCTTATGTCATTTTGGCTTGTTATCTTATGCAACAATCACATGCATTTTCTAAGAATTCATTGAACAAACTATGAAATTTTGTTTTTGGTATAATATTGGAAAACGACATATGGGTTTTATATTTCTCTATCAATCACGACCATTATGCTTACACCACAAACATTTTCTGCGTCATCTCATTTTCTATGCTGCTCCTCAGCTTGCATCTACTCATGTACATATCATTTCTTTATCATTTCCTTTTTGTTTCCCTTTAAATTATTTCAATTAGTATTTTTTTTATTAGTTTATATAGTTTTATAAACTATTCAAGAATGGAATTTTTAATAGTTAATAATTCTTGATAATGAAGTAAAAACTTTACTTATAAGTTTAGATATTCTAGAATCGTGCATAATACTCCATTTTTCGTTTTCTTTTCCTCTCATCTTCCATTGAAGAATTTTTTTTTTTTGTGATTAGTCAAAGAAATAAAATTAATTCAGCAAATTAGTAATAAACAACTTAAGTTTTATTAGTCTTGACGCGGTGTTGTTATTAAGGTAGCTACAGAAAAGAAAGACGAAGTGATAGAAACAGAAACTGTAAGAAAACAATTTGTCTCCCGCAGTCTATGGGATTTGCACAGCCTGTTCCTTTGAATTTTGTTGGCAGACCATTTACTCTACCTCTCATCATTAGCTTTATCATGAAAATGAAGTATCCTCTCTCTCGCTCTCTCTCTCTCTCTCTCTCTCTCAAATTCTGAAATTATATATATATATATTGAAACTGCCCTAATATATCAGTTATAACTGTATTAGTACGCGCAAAATTGGGTGATGCACAAGCAAAGCACATGCTTGACCAAAGAGGGAGAATTTTAGAAAGTCAAGTGCTTCAATAGTTCAATACATTAATATAACAATTTTGTGATCATGACATCCTTTTGGAATGTGAAACTATTCTTTACAAGGAAACTACTGGAGTCATTTTCAGGCCTGGATATGTATAGAATTTTTTTTAAAAAAATTTTCAAGTCAAATCCGCGTCGTTTGTTGTATTCTTCTGGTAGTTGGTATATGTTGCTCTTACATTGTCAGTTTTCAGCTTTGTCAAGAATATATTTTGTTCCCTCTTTTGGAATTTTCTGCATATGGAGAAACGTTGTTGGATCAATTGGGCTGATGGAAGATGGACCCAGCAACTAATATCCTTTTCGGGGAAATGCAGGATAGGCCTGCCATCAAAGCCCAATCCAATTATGTAATTTGGTTTTGGTTTTCAATTACTTTTCTGTAAATGTAAAGCGGGAAGAGTCAGACTAGTTACGCGGAAGAAAGTCTTCAACTAACGTTACAAATGAAGAGAGAAAAAGGCCAAATTGGAAAGCAAAAAAGTTCTGTAACTTCCAGGTTGGTCATTAGTGAGATTCCTCTTGCCAAGCGTAGGACATGCAAAAATACATATTTAAATTTATTTTGATAAATTTATAGATTATTAAACAGGTGTCCGTTGGACCGTTGAGCAGTAAACAATCTCAATTCTATGAGCATAAAAATATAAATTCAATTTTCAGAATGCGCATTTTGTTGACAGGAAAATTTTTATTTCACTGTCGTAAATTTTATTTATAAGGTGAGAGTCCTTATTAAAATGAATTATAAGGTTTTTTTTTTTCACTTTATAATATGTGTATGCGTGGACTATAAAGGTTTTTCCAATTTAAGCCTTGTGCGTGCCAAATATAATCCTACCAATTTTAGCATTTATCAATTTACAAATTAATTTCTGACCTAGACAGTATGCTTCGTTTTTATCCACATCCATGCTTCAATACTCCTCCAAATTGCCATCTCCTTCAACAAGGTACGTATATATAAGATATAAATTAATTTTTTTAATCCTCTAAACAATATGTTGAAATGTTGAATTAGCAGAGAAAAAGGTAATCAATCATATCCTACGAGGAAGGAAGTGGCAGAGTCCGATAATTTGTTCCTTCAGATCATTTTCTTGGGTAAAAAGCAGCAGCAAGAAAGTAAGAAACGACAATGGAACTGTTGCTGCCACTTCAAAGAATGATTATCCATCAAATCCTAAGGATGGTGATATTTGGTCAAGTTTCAAATGGAGTTCAATACATCACCACTTCAATCCCTTATATCAATTTTCACGTCCTCACACTGTAATTGGCACTGTGAGTTTATTTTAACTTCTCAATTCACCTTTTTTTTTTTTTTTGATACATTTTCTTGGCGTAAAAAGACTAGCAGGAGAGAGGTAGGAGAACGACAATGGAACTGGTTGCCTGCCACTTCAAAGATGACTTATCCATCAAAATTCCGAAGGATGGTGAATATATTGGTCAAGTTATCCAAATGGGAGTTCAAATACATCACCACTTCAATCCCTTATATCAATTTTCACGTCTCACACTGTAATTGGCACTGTGAGTTTATTTTTAACTTCTTCCACATTACCTTTTTTTTTTTTTCCTGTCTGGAAAGTATTCCTTTTTTTTTTTTTTTGTTCTGGAGTATTTGGGGAAGAGATGGTCTAATGTAATTTGCTGTTACGGTCAGATTATAGGAATAACATCGGTATCGCTTCTTCCGGTAGAAACAATTACCGAACTGTCTCCTACATTTTTTATGGGACTTCTCAAAGTAAGCTTTTATGAATTAATTTATTATATACCAAAATTGCATTAATTTAGTGCTTGAGAAGATGTTTAATTAATTTTGTGAATCAGGCACTGGTGCCATCAGTGTTAATGAACATTTACGTGGTGGGATTGAATCAATTGTTCGATATAGAAATAGACAAGGTAATTTTAACTAATTTGTAAATAGTAGTTTCCTCTAAAAAAAAAAATTGTAAATAGGTTATTTTTCATTTACAAAAGGATATTGTCCTCTCCTCTGCAGGTAAATAAACCCTATCTCCCACTTGCTTCTGGAAATTTTTCAAAAGAAATAGGCATCACAATAGTTTCTATATCCTTATTTATGGTAAGTATTAAGAATCTAAATTAGATATGTTTATCCCTAAATCATATTAACATCATAACTTCTTGCCATTACGAGATAATTAATTGTTTAAACTTTTATTAGAGTCTTGGAATGGGAATCATGTTTGAGTCTCCACCAGTTGTTGCTGCCCTCCTCATAAGTTTTGTGCTTGGAAGTGTATATTCTGTTGAGGTAATTATCAATTCTTTTAGAAGCAACTTCAGGTTCGCACTGTGAACTTGTAGGTAAAGTTCACCTGAGGCATTTTACTTCCAAGTAACTTTTGCTAATGGGAAAATTTTAAAACACAAGCTCATGATAATAAAACTGTGAATGTGATATAGCTTCCGTTTATGAGATGGAAGAAACAAGCTTTTCTTGCTGCAACTTGTATCCTTATCGTTAGGGCTATTGTTGTTCAACTCGCTTTCTTTGCACATATGCAGGTATAATTTCAAACTTTACTAGGATTTCTATTACTCATATTTAATTTGTTGATTGATATTTGGAATAATAATAATAAATGCAGAAATTTGTTCTTGGCAAACCAATTGTTATCACCAAATCGTTAGTGTTTGCAGTTGCTTTCATGTGTTTCTTCTCCGCTGTTATTGCATTATTCAAGGTAAGTAATTAACCATGCAACCCTAAATCCCAAATACCCATGCGAGATTGATTTTTTTTTCGTCGTCTCAACAGGACATTCCTGATGTGGATGGGGACAGAGATTTTGGGATTCGATCATTCAGTGTCAGCCTTGGCCAAGAAAGAGTAAGTTATTTTATCTATATTTGATTGAGAAAATAGAAGAAGTGGGAAATTTATTAACTCATTTCTCTGATTAATTTTAATTTGCAATAAAGGTGTTTTGGCTTTGCGTTAACATGCTGTTATTGGCGTATGGGGCTGCTGTGGCGGTAGGAGCTTCTTGTTCACTAGGCCCAAGCAAGCTTATAACAGTATGTATTACTAAATTTCCTGAAAGTAAAGTTCGTGATATGAATAATGTACTTAAATTTTGGTTTTAGCATTAGGGTTTGTCATTTTTCCATTCGGTTGAGTACCCATTTGGATCCGATCCAATATAGGGTGGATAAAACTGGACCCGAATCGTGATCCGATTCACCTCTACGCAGTGGATATAAGTATTAGAAAACTCATCAAATACCTTCACAATGACAATCCACATTCAGTATGAATTATTGTTTTTCTTTTTTATTTTTCCCATTTTTAATAAAGATAAAGATTTGTTGGGCATGCAGATGTTAGGACATTGTACACTAGCTTTGGTTTTGTGGATGCAAGCACAATCTGTCGATCTCTCCTCCAATAATTCTATAACTTGTTTTTACATGTTCATTTGGAAGGTAAGTGATTCAATTCTCTTCTTTAATTAATTAACTATTAGAGAGTAATTACTAATTAGTGCTAATGATTTCCTTTTACAACAGTTATTCTACGCAGAGTATTTTCTCATTCCTTTTGTGCGCTGACGACAAGTAGTATTAATATTTAAAGGGGGAATTCGAAGAAGAAAATGCGTTCTTCCACCTGGAACAACATTGAAACTTATCATCAGACAAATATGATATTTTGGATCAAAGATACCATCTGCTACAATCATATAGTCTAGCTGTGATATTTATATTAAATTGTTACATTTTAATTTTCTAAACTGAATTCAACTTGTGTAAAAGACGGCAAGCTTATGATATGAATTAATTGAAGTGGTGGTCAAACGACAAGGCGTTTGTTTGATGCTCGGAGGAAAGGCCAGAGTCTGAAGCACGAGATGAATGGTTCTCAATCTCATCCGAATTCTTTTTGTTCCTCCAGGGACAGGTTGTGGATTTGCTGCTAGTTTTTTAAAGGATCGATTACCATAAGGCTTATTTGGGCTTTCAGATGGGCCTCTCGGACAAAGTAATCTAAGATCCATCATTTTCCTCACTTGAGTTCTAATAGAAAAATAAAAAATTTCCACCGTTAAAGCCTAAAAAATAATTAAAGAAAGCTTTATTAAAAAAATATATATATAGTACTTTTTGTTGTCTATTAAGTTAAACTTAATGGTTTGATAGACTAAAATGTTTTAGCCATGGACATACACTATATTGTATAAAATTCCTATTTTCTATTTTACAAATGCGGAACTCCAAAAATTATTTATGTTTATAATTGTTAAAACTTTAAAATTATTATTTAGATTGTTGAAAATGTTTTTGTTTTATGAAATATATTTAAATATTAAAATTTTCGAATAATAATTTAATGAAAAAAAAATCAAACAACAGTCTAGTTCGTATTTATGTTAATGCATGCCATTGCAAAAATAAAATACTATTAAGACAGGTGGAGATGGGGAAACTAAGATTTTTGTACAGATTGGGCCAAGAGGTTGTTTTTGGGCTTTGGGCTGTCCAATAATTGGTAAAAAAAAATTGAGAAAAGATGAACAAGCCACCAAGGTTAGACGCGGTTGTTCGACGACCGGTTGCCTACTTTTAGGTTTATACCACGTGTACTTAATATAACAGAGGATGTAGAGACACGTCACCTTAATCCAGCGCGTCGGTCGTTCAAATTTTTGTTGCGTTGTCGTTCGGCGACAGAAACGACGTATAGTTAACAGTAATAGAAATTCACCCCCTCTGATTCAACAGTGATTCAATTTTACCGATGGCCATGCTCATAGAGTGACTACATAGTTATTTACCCAAATTTGCCCTCCGTACCAAGACGTCTCAGGTGCTTCGTGTAGCTAAACCCCTCACATAACGAACTATCAACTAGCAGTACAGGCCCGTTGGAGCCATCGCCCACAGCAAACTTTCCTCTTTCTCGATCTGACCGTGAGCAGGCCAATCAAATCCAACGGTTTTAAGGTTAATTAATTCTTGCCATTAGATCATTCTCCAATTTTTTTGTTTTTTATTTTCATCACAGTTTTTGTTTTTTAAACTAGCTGACGCTGTTTGATTTTATATCCAAAATCTAATCACTCAACTGTATTCATTTTTGGTTTAGATATGGCTTCTTCAATGCTTTCTTTAGCTTCCACATCTCCTTCTGCTTCGCTTTCCGTGCATGAGACTCTCAAGGTATAATTGGTTTCCCTCTCCAATTCTTCTTCTAGCTCTTTTTCGAGTATGGATTTTTAAGAAAATGGTGGAAAATGTAATTTTTTAGTGCATTTGACTGTGACGGTTGGTTATTGAGACTTGAAGTTCATGTTAGAGCCAAAATGTTTTCTTTTCGATGGATGTTTATGGTGTGGATCACGAGTAGTTATTGTGCTCTCCTAGGGAAAGGTGAGGCATGGAACTGGCAGTTTGACTACATGGTTTAACAAGGAGAAAGCAAATCGCTTTAGGAACACTAAGGTATAAGTTAATCTAAAAATCTTAAATTTATTTTTATTTTTGATCTGGATCATTAAATTATGTTCTTTTTCTTCTTCTTTTCTTTCTTTCTCGATGGGATTTTCATTAGAAAAATATGGCCTGTAATTCATCATTGGCTCTGATCTTATAAATATAGCCTGTAAGATTCGAAATTTATTTGCCTTAGTATCAGGATCTGAACTTTTCGTTTCTCACATGAAGTCTCCAGGAAGGATATCTATGGCTATTGCAGTCAATGTATCTCGTTTCGAAGGTATAACAATGGCTCCCCCTGATCCAATTCTTGGTGTATCAGAAGCTTTTCGAGCAGACACAAATGATTTGAAACTCAACCTTGGAGTTGGGGCCTACCGAACTGAAGAGCTACATCCTTATGTTCTCAATGTTGTTAAGAAGGTTAGCTTACCTTTCTCGGTCAATTTAGTAGATAGTAATGTTTGTTGAATAACAATCTGGTTTTGCCTTTGTTTTAGACGGAACCAAGTATAGGTTTCTTTTGCCATATATAAGTTAGATTAATTTTACTGAAACATTTTCAATTCTGTAGGCAGAGAATCTTATGCTGGAGAGGGGTGAATATAAAGAGGTATCCTAATGTATTCAAATGTTTGCACGATCTTAATTCATACTCACTTGAATTTAACTTGTCTTGTGTTGATTATATCATTTAGTATCTGCCGATCGAAGGTTTGGCTGCATTCAACAAGGTGACTGCAGAGTTATTATTTGGAGCTGACAACCCAGTGATAGAGCAACAAAGGGTATGTGAAGACATTGGACTCTTTTGTAAGACATTTACTTGTGTTGGTCATTTCTAACTTCTGTAAAAGAAAATTCCAGGTTGCAACAGTCCAAGGTCTTTCAGGTACTGGTTCTCTTCGGTTAGCTGCAGCTCTCATCGAGCGATATTTTCCTGGGGCTAAAGTCCTGATATCATCTCCAACTTGGGGTGTGTAATGTTACTTTCTATGCAATTTCTATACTATTTGCATTAGGAGCACCAAGTCTTATGGCTAATAACATCATTTTGCAGGTAATCACAAGAATATTTTCAATGACGCTAGAGTGGCATGGTCTGAGTACAGATACTATGATCCCAAGACAGTTGGTTTGGATTTTGAGGGAATGATATCAGACATAAAGGTTAGATCTTGACCGTTAATGCTAAACCTGAATATTGCTGACTGGTACTGCATTGATTGATTGGTATTGCTATGTATTCATTATATTTTAAGAAATGTTTTACTGCCTCTCTTTCACACTGGGGGAAGCGGTCTTGAGGGATGCACCTGAATATTGCTTTCTTCTAGTTGTTTGTTAATGATTAAATTTAGATAAGATAATTTCTCTAATTTATGCATTGTTTTTTGCATTTCAGGCAGCTCCTGAAGGATCGTTTATTTTGCTACATGGCTGTGCTCACAACCCAACTGGAATTGATCCTACTCCTGAACAGTGGGAAATGATTGCTGATGTAATTCAAGAGAAGAACCACATTCCATTTTTTGATGTTGCATATCAGGTACAAATTGCATAATTTTGGCTACAACTTTGGTTTTTTCCTGGTGAATGGGAAATGTGTGATATGCAATTATGCATGTGTGTGCACATGTAGTGGTTTGATTTTTAAGATGTGAAAATTTTCAAAAACTATCTAGGATTCGTATTTAGTTCCCTCTTCAATGTTCTTCAGGGATTTGCTAGTGGAAGCCTTGATGCGGATGCAGCATCAGTGAGGTTATTTGCTGCACGTGGAATGGAGCTTCTAGTTGCTCAGTCTTATAGCAAAAATTTGGGTCTATATGCAGAAAGAATTGGGGCAATCAATGTTGTATGCTCATCAGCAGATGCCGCAGCAAGGTGCCATTGATCAATTTGCTTTGTTATTCTTGTTCACTTCTAGGTGAATCTGATGTAATGTTCTTTGTAATCATGTTACCTGCTTAAAACTCTTTTATGGTTCCCTTAAACTTCAGGGTTAAGAGCCAACTGAAAAGACTTGCACGGCCAATGTACTCAAATCCTCCTGTACACGGTGCTAGGATTGTTGCCAATGTTGTTGGGGATCCAACTCTCTTCAATGAATGGAAAGCAGAGATGGAGATGATGGCTGGAAGGATAAAAGGTGTGAGACAGAAATTGTTTGATAGTCTTTCTGCAAAAGATAAGAGTGGGAAGGATTGGTCTTTCATACTGAAGCAGATAGGCATGTTCTCATTCACCGGGTTGAGCAAAACTCAGGTAAATTTTATCTCAACTTAATATTGCATGCTCATGTAAAAATGGATAATTCTATCGAGAGAAATTCCACATATTGTTCATTATTTGAATCTAACCAAGTTGGGAAGAAAGGTAATAATATGCTCAAACAGAAAGGATGAACATTGGGATCCTCCATGAGTTGAGGTCAAGGAGCTTCCTTCCTATAATTGTTTTCCCTTCCTTCCACTTTTCCACTGCAACAAATATAGCATACTTCTTCCATCATTCAACATAGAATTGGTTATCAAAGATAAATCTAATTCCTATTTTTGTGTTTGCATATCAACTTCCACGATTATATAAGTTCTGTATCTGCGACGGGTCTGCACATGTCTGGAATCATTTCAAATGTTTGCTGATGAAACGATTTGGACTTTCTTCCTAGACTACTAATATCTTTGTATTACCTTTTTTTTTTTTTTTTTTTTTTTAAATATCTTTGTATTGACCTTTTTTTTTTTTTTTTTTTTGTTCTGATACTTTTTTTTTTTTTTTTTTTTGTCTGATCAGAGCGAAAATATGACCAATAAGTGGCATGTATACATGACAAAGGATGGAAGGATATCCTTGGCTGGATTGTCTTTGGCCAAATGTGAATATCTTGCAGATGCAATTATTGATTCATACCATAATGTTAGTTGAAATGATAGAGCATAACATACTCGTAATAGAAGCAAAGCTTGAAAAATTTTGGGCCAGTTCAATGTTTACATCTTGTAATAAATTTAAGTTCAGTCAGAAATATCTGTAATAATAGTTCTTACTTAGACAGTTTTATAGACTCTGCAGTGGAAAGGACTTTGATGTATTTGCATATATTGCTCAAATAAAATTGTTCTTTTAATTCGTTTTTTGTCTCCCTAAACATTTTTTTGCTATTATCTATTGATGTTTGTGACCTTGCATTGAACAAGAAAAGTTGACTTTTGCCAACCGGCCCCCCTGACCCTGTTTCTTCTTGCTACACAACACGAGTACTTAGCAAATTATGCTGAGATCTTGATGCTCGAGATTCATAAGCCACATGATGGGCGGAGGGTTACAAAAGATTTTTGAGAATACTTTAAGTTTATATAAAATTAATTATCTAACAACGCTTCAATTTACAAACGTGGACAAAATTCAAAATAATCTTGTGTCCATCATCTAGACAACCCAAATTCCCAGCAAGAACGATATGCACATAAGCAAGTCCGGTGGTATGGATCTATGGATTTATATAAAAAGAAAAAAGAAGGAAAAAACAAAAGGAAAGGTGCATCATTATCACAAAACAGTCTACTTGTTTAGTCACTCTGGTTTCCTCGAGGCGTTGCAGCTTGTGTTGCAACTCTTAGTGTTCCTCCAAGCTCAACAGGAATAAGTGGAACTAGAGAGTGCACAACATCTGTTATGAGCGGACGATATGTTGGTTCCGGTTGCACACACAGCACAGCCACTGCAGCAACCTGCACAGATTATAATCCTCTTAGAGATTACTTAATATTCTAATAATTCAATGTCTATCTCATAATACAAACGGATTAATAGTCTAAAGGAGCAAACTACTGTGGTTTCAATTACCCCATGCCTAGTAAAGTTAATGACTTGCAGATAACAAACCTGGAATAAATACTTCTCATCCACAGTATCTTTTATCACAGGATCCACGATGTTGGGAAGGGAGGCTCTATTAGTGAGCTGAGGCATGGCCTGCATTTAAAGTAGGCTATGGCATTAAATATTGGATCACTCCCAATCCCAAAGGAACTCCCTGGTAGATCATAATAAGACTTACCCATGTTACAATAGATTGGCAATGAGCTGGTGCCAGTTTTTCTACAGGTCTTCTTCCCAGTAGAAGCTCCAAAAGCACAACCCCAAAAGCATAGACATCACTCTTCTCTGTTAGCTCACCTAAAGTTTTTGGGAAATAAAAATTCATCTTTGAGCTTAAGCCAATTTTTCAGAATTTATAAATTAAAAGGAAGGGGAAATTTAGTTTAATCATGGCTGTTAGCCCAGTAGAAGCTCCAAAAGCACAACCCCAAAAGCATACACATCACTCTTCTCTGTTAGCTCACCTAAAGTTTTTGGAAAAAAAAAAATTCATCTTTGAAATTGAGCCAATTTTTCAGAATTTATAAATTAAAAGGAAGGGGAAAATTAGTTTAATCATGGCTGTTAGCCCAGTAGAAGCTCCAAAAGCACAATCCCAAAAGCATACACATCACTATTCTCTGTTAGCTCACCTAAAGTTTTTGGAAAAAAAAAAAAATCATCTTTGAAATTAAGCCAATTTTTCAGAATTTATAAATTAAAAGGAAGGGGAAAATTAGTTTAATCATGGCTGTTAGGATTAAAGAATATAATTAGTGCAGATGCTAGGAAGTGGCACTACATGTGGATTGAGACAACTTGGTCTGTTGGAGTACTGATTATATAATTATGAATATCAACAGTATCATATTAAATATTGCAAGTGAGCAGGGGTCCCAATGAACAATCTAGTTCAGTTAAGAGAGATTTTTTTTTTTTTTTTTTTTTTTTAAAATCTAGTTAGTATAAGAGAGATTTTTTTTTTTTTTTTTTTTTTTTTTTTTTTAATCTGTGATAGTTAAGTAGTATCTTAGAAACTGAGAATGATAATATTAACAACTGACTTATCAAATTAATGCAAAACATCCCTCAAAGCCAAAATTAAGGATATAACAAGTTTAATTACCATACCATCCAACATATACTCTGGAGCTACATAACCTACAGTGCCTGAAAGCTTGAGCTTGTTCTTGTTTTGTGAGCTATCTGCTACAGCAAGACCAAAATCTGATAGCTGAAACCATACAAATCAGAGAGAAAGAGAGCAGGTTAGTGAACCTTATGGAAAAAGATTAATAAATAATATCATTTGTTTAATATGATGAATGTTATAGATAGATAAGCTTAGAAGAGAATATAATTTTCTTGTTCTTTTTTATATACCTTGGCATTGAATTTAGAATCCAAAAGTATATTAGATGATTTCAGATCTCTATGGATCACTGCTGGCTTGCAGAACTCATGTAGATATTCTAATCCTCTGGTCAACAATTGATCATAAAGAAATACTATGAGATACAAAAATAACTATCCGAAGAAGTTAATATATTGGTAAATAAACATACCTTGCTATAATATTAGATGATTTCAGATCTCTATGGATCACTGCTGGCTTGCAGAACTCATGTAGATATTCTAATCCTCTGGTCAACAATTGATCATAAAGAAATACTATGAGATACAAAAATAACTATCCGAAGAAGTTAATATATTGGTAAATAAACATACCTTGCTATATCTAGAGCAACTTTCAATCGCATATGCCAACTTAATGAAGATCCTCGAGAAGGTCCTATAATCAAACACGGGGAAATAGATATCATACTGTTCCTCGGCACAAATTCTCAATCGAAAAAGAGATGAAGAAATATGTATTACCATGCAATAGATCTTCAAGGGATCCATTTTGCATCAGTTCATAAACAATGAAGCCCATCTCCTCATGAACACTATATCCCATAAGAGAAATGATATTTGGGTGATGAATTTTGCTTAACAAGTCCACTTCATTCTGCAATTCCAAGTGATGAATCAACAAAAATGCAGAATAACTTGAAAATAAAAAAGATGTAATCCAACAAAAACAAAGGATACCTCAAATTCTCTTTGTGCATCTTCACCTGCACAGTCTAGTTTCTTGACGGCAACATGCTTGTTCTCTTCCAATATAGCTTTATAAACACGTCCAAATCCACCCTTACCCAATAAATTGTCGTCTTCAAAATTGTTCGTGCCCTTCTCTAGTATCTTATAATCAATCAATGAAACAGATCCCCTGTTACTAACCATCCTCAGTGAGTTAAATTTATCAAAGAATGGTGTCACGGATACCCCTATCTCAACATCTTCATATTTAGAACCATAAAACAGAAAGAAACAAAACAAAGGAATATTAGGCAATATAATTAACATAAAGATTAATAATAACCTTAAAACAAAGACGAGTACTAATGCAAAAGAAGGTACCTGAGCACCGAGCCTTTTTCTTTCTTTGAGAGAATTTCCAATAGTAAATGCAACAACCAAACAATGAGGCTAGGACTATTAGAGCAAGAATGCCACAAGCAACAATAAGCAATATGGCTACTTTCCTATCTAACTTCATTTTTTGGTGGTCTTCTTTCATTCCTAGCTGCAATTGAATTCCTGGTAGCAAGGGACATATAGGAGCACGTTTAAGCTCAAGCTTTGAGAAAATGGAAAGAATCATAAAAATAAAATCTTGAGATTTTTTTTAAAAAGAAGAAAACGTTAACATTTTGATATCAAATCATGTCATTAACCAATAATTTATACTCCAACTAACTACCAATTATGTCAGTAATAGTGTTTATTGCACCGGATTTGAAACTACTTTTTGGAAATTTGAATTTTCGAATAGAGTCTAACTCTAACCAACCCAGAAAAAGTACATCTTTAAAAGAAAAAAGGGATTAATTGCTAAAAGCAGCAATAGACAGCACAGAGAGTGTGTGGGCGTGCGCAGTACCTGGAGAGAAAGCAGCCATGGAAGTGGAGATTGGGGAAATGGGAGAGGAAGCCGGTGAAGAAACAAAAGGGTCCTGTAAAGCATATACAAGACGGAAGCTTAAAATACAAGTGGGTATATAGAGAAGAAGGAGAAGAAGAAGCAAAAGCTTCATTTTTTGTTCGTTAGCAAGTTCAAAAAACACATGGAGATAGAGATATGTTAGGCCCCTGGTTGCCTGCCTTGTGGGTTCAAAAAGGACACAAGGAGAGATCTCAAAAACTTGGAAAACCCATGAAAATTTATGGATTTTGGATCTTCTATTCTGGAATGGCTTGTATTTGTATGAATATATTGAAAGAAAAAAAAAAAAAAAGGAAATTACACTACTTTTACTGTGTTTTTTATGCCTGCAAAAGGTAAAAGGACAGAAAGTGGCAGCGGCAAAAGCTTAGTTACGTTGGAGTGGGGCAAATGTACACTGCACAGTCAACACACCAATCATGTGTGTTAGTTTTAGTTTTTTGATAAACAAATAAGAAACTGTTTATTTATTTAAAAAAAAAAAAAAAAAGCTGTGAATCGTGAAAGCCAGCTGGTTGTAGACTCACAGTCCACATAAAGGAGTATTAATGGAAGACAAAAGGACCAATTTCTTTTTATTTTCTTTACTAAAGTGAAAAAAAAATATTTGATTAAAGTTGTTGACGAGAGAATTTTCGATAAATAATAAAAAAATTAAATAATAATACATAAAAAATGTAAAATATTTGTAATTTCAAGTTGCTTTCAATTATTAATTCATTCAATGCGTTGTAATTAGATATATGTACATTTTAAAGTTTTAAGGTTGTACTAAAAAAAAATTATGTTTTCTGATTAAGAAAAAATTATGTTTTCTATAAAGTAAATTTTACTCTACAAGCATTATTCAGAAATTTCCTATATTATGTCTTTGTTATCTTGATGAAGTGAACTTGGAAACAGCTTTTCAATTATGGCGGCTAACAAACAAAATGTTGCTGGGTCAGGTATATCCATTAGTATATAAATAACATTAATAATCTAATATTTTCTAGTACATGCCAATTAGGTGTAATTTAATTCGTGTCTCAACTTTTATAAAAAGCGATAAATTTTAAATTTTAATTATTTTTACAATATAATTTTCACTTATTTAATAATTTAATTTAAAACTTTTGATTTTGGAAATAGTGATACAATATTAAATATAATAATAATAATAATGTGATGCAGATGCATCCATCAAGGAGAATAAAAGCTTGATGCTCTTTTATGACACCGACAACTGCCAAAAAAAAAAAATTGAAACAAAAGTATTTTGCACTCAAAATTCAGAGCTTGTCATTTTCACAATTATCCTCTTAAATCATATATACCAATAATTAGGCCAATCAAATAATAAAGTTAATTGCAAAAAATAAAATACACTTCTCACGTGTTAGGTAAATAGTGTGTTTGAGAATTAGCAATACAAAACAGGTCACAGCCGGTGGATTAGTGGCCCCATGTGGGTCCCTTTTCCAATATTCATTACTGTTAATACTATTATTTAATTTATTTATTTATTATTACTATTATTCCTTCCTTCTTCAGTTCTTGTTCTTCCCCTCAATCTGAGGCCCTTCGTCATCATCAAAGAAATATCACCACCAATCAATTGGAGTAGATCATCCGGGCCCCGTTGAACTAACCAGTAAAATACAATCAAAAGATCCAAAGGTTAGTACAGTGTCCGGATCAGGACAATGAAGGTTTTACATGCTAAAGTTTCTTTTGAAAATTTGTAATAATATATAAAATTTTTAAAAATCATGCTATTCTATTTTTTTTAATTAATACATAAAAAATGCAGTTAGATAATTAAAATTAAAATAAAAAATAAAAAGAGGACAATCTTTAATAAATTGAGAAATTAAGTTGCATTATTTAATGTGAAATAAATTTTATAATTTTTTCTTCTCTAATATTTTTTTTTATGCTATTTCGAAATGATTGATTCTTGTTTCTTATGATAGCCCCTCTTTCATATTTTTAGTTTTGTTACAAATTTTTATGTCTTTTTATTAAATAAATTACAGATCTATGTCTATTATGTTATAGATTCGTGTTATATATGTTTTTGTGTTTATCTTCATCTTATGTAGAGTTTATGGTCTCTCCATTTTATGTGAAGTTTTTTTTTTTGTTATTGTTTGCATTTGTTTTGTTTATTTGAACGGATTGCAATTTGCGATGAATTTTTCAATCATACGATGATCTTCGTCTTTTAAAGTTTGATAATACTGTCTGTTTCTCCATTGGATTTAGTAGTTCAAATTCTCTGTATTTATTCATAAGCAACTAATTCATAAATAATTAGCTATGTACAGAAGATTTCAGGAATTCATCTAATTAACAACTTTTGAAGATCTATCTATTTTTTTTCAAATTTACCTTCTATTTTTTATTAAGATTTTTTATTAGATTATCGAAAAATAATTATTTTATAATTTTTGTTCTATATCTGGTTTTCAAGAGATAGGTCATATTCTCTATGTAATATTTATATTGATTTGAAGTTTTTTAATGAAATTCTAATATTACATTAAAAAAAAAAAAAGTTGATAGAAGCTCCAAATGCTAAAAGCCATGAGGCTTTAGACATTTAAGATTGTTTGGTTTTGGACAATAATTCGTATGATACCTTTTAAAGGACAAATTCAGCTAACATGGCTGAGAAACAGCTTATGCATTTTTTGCTTTAATTTGATTTTTTATTTTTTTATTTTGTGAAAGTTTTATATGATTAAGTGTATGAATAATTGTCATCGATATTTTTAAAATATTATATTTATCTTAAATAATTATTAATCCATATTACAAATTTAAAAATGTTACTTTCCACTTAGATAATCGATTATGATTCATGAAAATTTTCTTTAAATTTGTGGATTAGCATTAAAGTATTATCATTATCGAAAGAAATCAAAAGTTGAAACCTTAGCAAGAGTTGTCAAAAGAAATAACCAAATGGACCAAAGTGTCTTTATTGGTTTCTTTATTGCTATTTTCATAGGCTAGAATCTAGATTCCATGGAATCTGCTTTCAGTCTCGAGCTGAGGACCATTACTAGGTGAACAAATCCCACTGTGCCCAAAGACAAAGCTATCTATTATGTCGAATAAAAGAAAGCAAATTTCTTAAGCTTATTGGAAAGATTCCAACTTTTCTTGAAATGGCCCACTTGTTTAGGCCCAATATAGATAATGGGCCTAAGCAACCTCATTCATTTTTGTTACAATTTGGTTGGGGCCTATGATTGTGGCTAGTTCATTTCGTCTAGAACATAGAGCGCGGTTCAAGCGAAGTCGGTTGACCTGACAGAGTCGGTTTCGTTTAGTCTTTTTTGACGTCTACATCATTCCGCTGGATGCAAGACACTTGTCCGTTCCTCTTTGTCCAGCTGTCATGGGAAAACCAGGACCTACGTTCTTTTCTCAGCTGTAATATGCCCCTCGCTTTCTCTTTAAAATTTCTAAAATATCCAAACCAACTATTCACGTGCATGCCATTTTTGATTGGTTCAGTTACTTCCTTCAGCGGTTTCATTGACGATTGAGTTTCCAGTACGTGTCGGCCTTTTCATTCCTAAAATAACCTTATTCAAACTTGTTTGACTTTTCTGCCTCTGGTCCCTGCAAGTAATTCACACATTCCTTTAACTTTTCAGTTTGCAATTACTAATTCAGACAGATTTGCTTTAAATTGAACTGGAAAAACCTTCAAAAACTATAGCGTTTAGAATATTAAGAAATAAAAAATAAAAAAATATATAAATATAAAAGTGGGTTTGGTCCAACGGTTGGATGACATGTAAGAAAGGGCAACTTGGTGCTATCCGATCATGTAATACGGATAGGCTATGGCATTTTTGTAATTACGGTAATATAGAAGGAGCATTATTAAGGTCCTGGATAATTATGCTGCCTGTCGCATCGCACCCACGTCAGAGACAACCCAGTCTCCATAACCGAGGGTTTGGTGGGGTCTTTCCACACCAACTCCGTTCTCACGCGCCCTAATAACTTTCTCAACGCAAAATTATTCAAAAATAAACTTTTACAGTTTACACTATATGTTTGCAAAAGGGGAAAAGAAATATAAGAGAGAAAAAGAATTAAGGAGAATTGTATTTTTCTTTCATTAATTAATCTTCGCTTTATATTTGTGTTAAATAAAATAAAAAGAAGAAAAAATAGAGTATATTTTCTTTTATTTTGAAAGGAAGAATTGTAGAAAAAAAAAACAAAATGATATTAGAAAAATTATAATGTTATTCTCTATAGCCAACATCTATTTGCTAAAGGAAAAATATTGAACTTAAGGTAATTTTATAATTATCTAGTTAATAGTGAAAATTTTCTTTTATAGCCATTATTTTTTCTCATAATTGAATAGGCTCAAATGTTTAGAATTACGAGAGAAAAATAAGAAACATTTCCTTTATAATTTTCGTCATTTTTTTAAAATTCATCTTTCAGATATAGTGTTAATTAGGAAATAAGTTATTCCGAAGGATGAGATGAGATAGCTAGAATTTTTGAATTCAGAATATAAGTATGAAGTTCCTTAACTTAGAAGCAAAATTACTATCTTATTTGAATTTTTCATTATTTGGTTACCACTTATGACCTGAATTACTAAAAAACCAAATCCTTTACAGTATGAAATAAATATATTTTCTTATTTGGGCTTGTTTCTCTTTTCCAATTTAATATTTATATTGTGTTTCTTGTGACATATATAATATATATCTCATATCATAATTTAATATTTTATCCTTGTTACATCATTATTAATGGGTCAAATCTTCAATTATACTTTTTTTTATTGAACCAAAACATAATATATATTTGGTTATTAAAAAATTAGATATAAAAAAGAAGAAAAGTTTATTAATTAGATATATTAGTCTTTTGGAGGCATTTGATTGCTAGAATCCCACAGAAAAGTAAAATTATAATATTTAAATATTAAAATGATTCAAAGAAAAGAAATGTCCAATATTTGATGTATTTTCCCTTCTCAAAAATTGAAAAATTGAATTTTCATAAACACTAACATAATTTTAAAAAATAAGATGATATTAATACCTTAGCTTTGGAATTTTTTTTCATTGAAAATATATATTAGATTTTAAGAGTAGAGTTTTACTCTAAAATGTGATTTTAACATTACATTATAAATACTATACCATAAGAATAACAATAATTCTTTTTATTTTTCATTGATTATAGTAATAAAAATATTTTTACATTTTAATTTAAAAAAAATATAGAGTTTTTTTTTTTGCAATAGATGTATTTACTAAAATTATATTGAGTAGATTAGTACTGTAGATTTTTTTTTTTAACAGAATGAAATATAGAAAATAAAAACCTTCCCACAAAAAAAATAAATATTACGTATTAGTCACGGATGGCATATGAGAGTGGTTTTAACCTGCCAACCGCCTCATTTGCCATACGCACCCTAATCAAATCACTTTCCTTCCGCTATAAAAGGCCGTTGCTCCTCCACGTCCAGCCCATGACCCATCACAACTTGATCATTTTCTTTCTTACTCTTTCTATTTTTTTTTTCCTCTTTTGAAGATTTCATATTCGCTCTCTTAAATTATACTTAGCTTTGCCCTAAATCTGAAAGTTCTGAGATTTTAATCTGTAAATATTGTCTAAGAAAATGGGAGTTGCTGTCCTGAACCCGCAAGATTGCCTCCGGAATCCTTTATCTTATCGACAATCGTTAATAACACCTCCTCCTCGCATGAAATCTCCAAGAAATCCTAACCCTAACCAAAATCAAAACCAAAACCGACCTAATCGGTCTCAGCCCAACCGTAGAAAACGAATCTCCAACGCTTCTCCTACCTCACGCGCTGCCATTGTTGCTCCGCAGGCCCATCCCAGAAAACTTCTTATGGGCCAGGTCAAAATTCTCAAGCGTGGAGAACAACTGGCAGAAGTAACTCCAGAAAAGGTCTTGCCTTTGCCGGCTAAAGTAGAGAAAAACGAAGATGTAGATCTGGGATCGACTCACCGGCTTGGACCCGATCCAGAGCTGGTTCCTACTCAGATCCGACTCGCTGAGTCTAGCAAAGCAAATGGTTTTTACGCCGGATCGGCGTTTATTACTTCACCTCCTCCTAGTTCTCTTCCTTTGCCTGCTTTTTTTATGAAAAAGACCGTGGGTCTTCTCGATGTGAAGAACACCGACACCGATGCTACTAGTGATTTGATCCGGATTTTGGGCCTCAGCTTACAGTGATTGGTCCATGGACGTTTGATGGGTGGATTGTACTTGGATCTGGAGTTGAAGAAGTTTTCTTTTGTGTTTTCCATCGCTCTTCTCTTATTTTTTCAAGGGGAAGATCGAGTCGGTTAACCCAAGCTACGCGTTGCGCGATTAAGCGCTCTAGCGGTACTTTTTATTAATGTATAGCTTTCACTAGGAATAGCTAATTTATGTCAGCTTAGAATCAAAATGGGTTGTTTAGTGTTGTTATGGTGGGTTTCGAGTCGTGATTTAATTATAGTTGCTCTTTATCCTTCTGTGTTGAAAGTAGATTGTGTTGTCTAAATCTGTATTCAGCTGCTAGCCTTCTTCTCCTCCGTTTTTAAATTAATGAAATCCCTATCTTTCTAAGGTAATTTGTAATGCCTCATTCCTGTCATTTGTATTGGAATCGTTGTATATTCCAGTAAATGGTTATTTATCTTCCATCTGAAGTGTCAAATTAAGTTGCTGTAATTTTGACTTGTGCTACCCATGTGGTCAACCGCTTATTAGTGGATGCTCTACTCCTCTGAAGCTGTTCTATGGTTGAGCAGAAGGTGAATTGAGGTTGTGGGATAACTAGAAGTTGTGATTCTTGTGAAGGGGTGTGAATTTGCCTACAATAAAAAAGTTTTTGCATATTGGCATGTCTAATTGCATTTTACCTCAAACAAATATAATATTTTGTTGTTTGTGATTGGAGTTTCGACAATTTGATGTTTGTAAGCGTAAAATTTGCCTTGAAAGACTATTAACCGATATGCTGTCTGTGTTTTCATTGGAGGTTTTTGTTGTTATGTATGCCTGTTTGTTCCTGAAGTGGTTTTATTCAATAGAGATAATTTTTTTGTTTGTTAAAGCTTTTGATGGGTTGAGAGATCTCAGATGTCTGGATTCGAGTCACCCTTCCAGTTTCTCTAAATTTTATGCAGTACAGACTTCAGCCCTTCAAGTCCTCCATCTATAGAGTGGCTGTTTGTTTCGACCTTCGATCATGTAAGTCCTACATGGGTGTTTCTTTTTGCTGTTCTACTTTTGATTAGAATCTCATATTTCAGAAGCTAATCATCTTCATGCGACATTAGTTCGTCTCGAGATATATTTACAAGGCAAACCCTCTTTAGCATGTATTATTGTACCCACCTTCCTTTGGTGTTGCGTCAGGCCAGAGTGGTTGAGGGGAGGTAATGAGGTCTGCTCACGGATTGAATGGATTACAAATGTGTTAAAATGGAATTGAATTTTCCCTTGATGAGAAGAGATCTGCGTTGCGTAACTTGCTTATACTTTTGCCAAAGCCAGGACATGGCTATCAAGGAATGTGAAGGAATATGATTGCTTGTTTGCTTCTCTCTTTGTTTTTCTCCGACTTAAAATTCAAATTAACAATTGCAAATTTTGTTGGTCTTTATTGTTAACGTTGGATGTAATTCGTGACTCCTAAACATGTCTGTCAAACATACTTGCATACAAACCCTACTGTTGCTGCTTACCACACATGGCATAACAACTATTAGCCATTGTCAGTCTCTCGTAGCCATAGGATAGGATGTGGCCATCCTTTTTAATCCTCACATTTTTCATTCGTTGTTAGCATATTTGGGCCTGTGAGAAAACATAAAACAGAGCCTTAGTTTACAGCAAGCTTATCCTACAAAACGAAGATGCTTCTATTTTAAAATGGCAAGGAGATCTTATTCCATACGTTCTGAAGGAGAGGCGGCGAAGCGAGGACAAAAAATTTGTAATGGGCTTGAAGGCCTAAAGTTTTTTAAAATGTAAAATAGCCTTGAATGGATTAGATCATGGAAAGCCCAATGCGCGTATCATTTTTTGTTCTTGGAATAATATTACACGCAAAATAAATGTTAGTTTGGTCTGAACTCTAAACTCCTTTGTCGTGTTAAATTGTAGAGAGAGAGAGAGAGAGAGAGAGAGAGAATTATGCAATGAAAAATGAAAATTGCCACATAAATTTAGCTGACTGTTATTGAAAGAACAAATAACAATAAAATAAAATGAAGGGCCCTGCTTCTAAAACTTGTGCTGGCCGAAAGACAGTCTTGGCATGCACGCCAGAAACCAGAACCTCTCTTCTTCTAGTTGTATGACAGTAATCACGTTGCTTTGCTAGTTGATGCCTTCTGCTCTTGTCAAATGGAACCAAGGATCCATCACGCCTTGCACGTGCATTGCCAAATACTTATTGGTTCTGTAAATTTTTCAACTTCGTAAGTGGGGCAAAAATTGATTACATTAATCAAACCTGTATGATATTTGCACTAATTTTTTTTTTTTTTTATATTCAAATGTCACATGTACTTCTAATCGTTGATGCATTTTATAGATGTTTGATTGAATGTGTTCAAATAATATTAGTTATCCAAGGACTAAATTACAGAAATCTATAGAATTCAACATAAAAGGTGGAGTTTTACCTAAACTTAAACATGATTTAGAGTTCTACCAGAAAGGTGACGTGAAAATCTTCTGTGTCTGCCATTTTCGCAATTGTAAACATAACAATTTTAATTTTAATTTTAATTTCAATTTTGATATGGGCCATACATGAATTATAGACATGGACAAATTGAAATCGTGGAAACAAAGAAAAAGGTTTGAATTAAAAAAAAATATTAATTTTATTATCTCTAAAGTCACTTTACTAGCCAGAAGAAGTTGAGATGGTAATTGATAGGTTCTACTTGTACAAGTCAAAGAAAGAAGTACCATGTTATGCGGTGAGGTGAGGTGGCAAAATCAGAATGGAGAAGAAAAAATTGTAGGATTAGAACCGCATCCAAGTTAGGTCCAGAAGATAGAATCTGAAAGAGAGAGAGCGGAGGGTCATGCACTTTTGCCCAATACACGTAAGACAGACATAAAGAAAGCGCCCAGGCTCTGGATCGGTGTTCGGTAATCGGTTTACACAGCTCTAGATACAAAGAAAGAAAAGAAAAGAATTTTCATTTTCAAAATTAAAGATTACTAAAATTTTGTCAGTGCCACATGTCACCATGGGTCCCATTTTATACAAAGGATGAACAGAGAGAAAATGGTCAGAACCCCGCACCCCACACCCAACCCTAACAAGAAAGTGCAATTTGCACAATATATATCTATGTATATATTTTTTCATGTTCAAATATTAAAAAAAAAAAAAAACTGAATAACTGGAATCTACTCCATCACTACCATACATTAAACCACAAACCAACTCTCATATATATATACTCCCACCTTCTCTTCAATCTCTCTCCTCTCATTTCATTTCTCTCGTCGCCACCACTGCTCTCTCTCTCTCTCTCTCTCTCTCTCTAATTATCTACAGTCACTGTTTCTGCACACAGAAATCTAGCGTGTCTCTTTCCAGCAACGATAACTTGGCGGGGACGACGATGATGGTGAAGGACGAGTGGGTAAGAGCGGCGATGACGGATGATACAGTGGTTGTGGAGCTGCTTGTACGGCTTAAGCAAGCACAAGCGGCGGTACCGGCAAAGCCTCAGGCGGTGATTCCGTTTAGATGGGGGTTACGACTCCCAAGGTCGAGACCTGCCACCTCTACTTCCGCACGATGTGACGTCATTTCCAGGAGGAAAGAAGGAGATTCTTCTACCAGATGTAGTCCTACCACGCCGCTTTCCTGGAGCGGTGGTGGCGGCGCCGCCTCACCTTCCGCTACCGCTGATGGCTTTGAAGAAACCAGCCCACACGTCAGCCGTTCCCTTCCTGGCGTCAGATCCAAGGTTCTTTCTCCACCTTCTTTCTCTCTCTGTTTGTGTGCTTTGCGTGACTTGACTGTTAAGACTCTAATTGCGATTGATGAGTCTTGGAGTTGAAGGGTGAGATAACTGGAGCGTGTGCGCCCATCTAATAGACATTCTTTGTAATCCGGTGGATTTGTGTCTTGTGGCCAATTTGTCCCTCATTTCATGTCGTATTTACTTTTACTGCTCCTGCGTTCTCAAATCTTAGCCGGTGTTTTTTCTTTTGCATATATTTCCGTTGAAGGAATATTCCTATCTTCTTCTTCTTTTTATAAATTTTCTGTTGACAAAACTAACTCTTGTCTTGTCATCTGATGACGAAGACAAATCTGTCAGTCTATTGCGTTTTATCTCTCAATTGATGTTCAGGGTGGATCTCCCCGATCAAGGTTGAGGAGCCGTCGGCACGTACAATTTCACAGTTAATTTAAAATTTTCCGGTCCTAAAGGCGCCCGTGCACTTTAAGATTTTACTTCCGCACGAGGTCATGAGACTTTGAAACTGGCTCGCGTTTTCTTCTCGCCTCTTGCGGGTGCTTTGTCATTCTGGTTCTCACTTGTTAATAGACCAAATCACCCTTCCGAGTCTCCATTAGATTCTACGACTGTACGCTTTCTAGAGAGGACAATTTTGACAGATGTAATATATAAATCCATTGGACATTCACCACGCACATAGGCCACAGCCTGAGAATAAGAAACCACGAAGCTTCCCACACAGGAACACGATTTTTAATTTTCTTGTGACCAAAAAACCCATTGCCTTGAGTCAAATATTAGGTTGCTTTTACCCCTGATGTGAGAGTACGGCGTGGTTGGTGGATCCCACTGGCCATGGGGGGTTGGGCCCAGTAAAGATGCCAAGGGGAGGTTTTGCTAGCGATGGGTCTGCCTTCGGTGTATTGTTGTTGTGTTGCGGATGGAGGATGGCTTTTTTCTGTTTTTTTTTTTTTTTTTTTTTTTTTTTTTTTTCGTAAGATGCCAAGGGGAAGGTTGCTGCGATGGGTCCTGCTCGGTGTATTGGTTGTTGTGTTGCGGATGGAGGCATGGCTTTTTTCTGTTTTTTTTTTTTTTTTTTTTTTTTTTTTTTTTTTTTTTGAATAAGAGGTTGGCCTTTTTGCTTTTGTTGAGGAGTTGCTTAAACGTGAGAAACTAACGGGTGTAATTTGCGTTTTTATTGGCTGATCCGCAATCATTACGAGCGTGGTCTTCTGTTTTAATATTTGTCAAGTTTCAAATATCCCATTGTTAATTTGAGGCTAGACGTGGAAGGATTGTTTATGCGCCGGAACCTTTCCTTTTGGAAACAGCAGAAACTGAAAATCATTCGGTGTTCGAGTACGACAATTGGGGCACTATATACACACTTTTAACATAATTTCATAGACTATGAGTTTTGACGCATACATATTTGATCTGAGGATGTGTTTATAACGAGGAGGTGAGGGAGGTGATGGGGTTGGTATGCCATTTAAAGAACGTGAGAACACGTGAACGACGCAAGTAGTAGAACACACTCTCAGAGCACGGCACAAATATCTATTCGTTATCGTGGTCAGATCGGGTCAAGACTAGAAGCAACAAACTCATTAAAGAAAAAGGACGAAGTTGTAGTGAGGGCGCTATCTCTTTGTGATACAGGGTGCTGAGATACGCCCCTGCGGAGACCTGTGATATCGAGGGAGGGTGAGGACTGCCAGTGGACACGAAGTACATAAAAGTCATCTGCGCTCTCAGGTTATATTAGAGGTATGGGGTAAACACGTGGAGCCAATACGGACACTGAAAAACGAACTGCAGGTGACGAAACTTGATTTTTTGGCAAAGATAATGTTCAGTGAGTGCACTTTCTCCAGCTACGTTTGAGTCCCACTTCTAATGAAAATTATGTCCCACTGCTACGTCATAATTAATAGTGTCTTCCGACTCATTCACAAGCTATCTTTAGGTAAGAAGAAGCAATTCACAATTCGCCAGTTAATTAATTGGAACTTGGAGGACTAGCCAGACAGCCTATATGAGATCTACGCAAACAGTAAGATAGCAATGATAGTTAATGCAATATCGAGAGAGTCTGGTCTATGCTTCAATTACTGACCTGCTCTGTTATTCTTGCCGAGCCTTGTCCTAGACCAGTCGAGAAGTTCCTTGCACCATACAGCACTCCCTGTAACGTCTGTGGTTCTATTAGCAGGACTTCAGCTGGGGATTGTAATAGGGAGCGTATAATGTAATAGTTTGTTCATCATTGCTGAATCCGCTGCTTGGGCGACTGTAGAAAAGGTTCTACAATCTAGCATATAAATATCGGATTTTGCAGATGTCCACTCTCACACTGTATTTATTTCGTGGTTTATGATTTATTATTAGTCATAGACATAATCTATACTCTTGCAGGCTATAGTTGGCTCAAATCATCGGGGAAGAAGACATGAGGCAAGTTTTTTTTTTTTTTTTTTTTTTTTTTTTTTTGAATAAGAGGTTGGCCTTTTTGCTTGTTGAGGAGTTGTTAACGTGAGAAACTATCGGGTGTAATTTGCGTTTTTATGGCTGTCGCATCATTACGAGCGTGTCTTCTGTTTAATATTTGTCAGTTTCAATATCTTGTAATTATCTAGCGGTTGTTATGACCTTTCCTTTTGGAAAATGAATGAATCTTCGGTGCGGTCACTCAACTTTACACCGTTTGAGATCTTGTTTTTTCGGGGGTGACCGGTGAGGGTGGTGCATAAAACATGGCAGTGAGCCAATGTTTGCCGGCCATGTCAGGAAGGTCATGTGAGCAATAAAAAACAGAGGGGCGCTATCACGTGCTGTGCGCGGCCTTACATGGGTGATGTGGCCCGCGGTCATTGGTTTAGGGTATGGGTACGTGGATCCTGAAGACGATCAAGATTCAAGATGAGTTTGGGCCTTTCTCGTTGCCCACTTTAAAATGGCCAGCTGTCAATAATCCATTTTTGTAAAGCTTTCCAATTGATTATCTCGCAGCCGAAAATCACGCAAGAGATCCTAGAACATCGCTGGTTGTTATTACACCTCTTAGTTATTTTGGCCACTTCCATCCTTTGACATAGTGCCACGCGTTGCTTCATGTGTTTAATAGAGGATAAGAAAGTTTTTTTTTTTTGGCCTTTTCTAAACAATAATTGGTTTGCAGATGTTATTATCATTTGTTTATTTCGTGGTTTATGATTATATTGTCTGATATTTGCAGGCTAGTGCTAATGTGGAAACTGCAAGCACCACTACCAAGAGGTCAAGAAGGAAAAAGGTACATGTTAATCTGTTTTGGCAAATTCAAGTCTCTCTCTCTCTCTCTCTCTGTTAAGTGGGTGCTGCTTCTGTGCTTTCTAATTCAAGAAGAAGCACAATTCCATATTTTGCAGTTAACTTAAGTTCAATGTTCCTCTGAATTGCAGTATTTGATGCCTTTAATATTGCCTTTAAGTTGTTATCTGCTGACTTATTTCTGTTTTTCCAGACATTTTTTGAACTTAAACAAGAAGAAAGTGCGTTGTTGTTAGAAAAGTTGGATCTGAAAGAGGTACTGCCATTGAACTTGTTGCTACAATTGAAATTTCCCCTCCAGCTTATTTTGCATTACTAAATCTCTTATGTATATTGAACAGGAATTAGCTGCTTTAAATGTCACTTTAAAGGAACAAAAAGCAAGAAATGAGAATTTGAAGAGAATAAAGGTATCTTTGTCTTTGATTCTCTGTGTGTCTTGCGCTGTTTTGGTTTGCTTTTTACGCATTGCTGTAAACTAAAAATTTTGCTATATTACAGGTCGATTTAAATTTTCAATGTGCAAAGAACTCGAATTTAGCGTCTTCTGAAATAGAGAAAGCAAGTTGCAGCCAGACCCATCAAGGGGAACCTTCTTCAGCAAACTACATTAGTTCAGTGTTGCCAGCGCTTGCTAAAGTTGATTGTAATACACAGTCAGATTCTTGTGAAATGCAAGATGCAGAATCTAATCACGATAGATCCTTCCTGATACCTGATTTAAATATGATGCCATCTGAGGAGGATCATAACACTGGAATGATATGACTAAAATGTATGAACACCCCATCTTTGCTCCATACTAAGGATGTGGATGCCAGGTAGCAGAAGAGCTGCAGAGGTAGCCTTGTCCTTAGCCAAGGAGTTGTTCAATTTATGCGCATTCATTGTTGGCATCTCAGAATTGAGCAATCGGCCAATGCTGCCCCATAAATTTCTCTTCATCTACCTCGTGGAAGGCAAAAGAGGTCAATCAGTCAACGGAGGAGGTTTCACGAGTACTGTAGAGATTGTGACTAATAGATGTAGAGATTCTTGTTCTATTTGAGGTATCTGGATTCCTCTGAAATTCTGCAGGGTAAACCCTCATTACTTCTGAATCAGAATTATGTAGAAATAATTTGCCATTTTTTGTAGGTAAACAGTTGACTCCTTTATGAAAAGGCTCCCTTGCAACTAATTTTACCACTTTGATTCTCTAGGTTCTAGTTTCTTTTTTGACAGATTCTTTAATTGATCATTTTTTTTTAAGCAGGACTATCTTGCTGTACTATTGTTAGAACGATACACTTACCTGCAGGAATTTTGATGATATTTGATTCATTTTGTAAACAGAAATTGTTTTTGCTTTGAGAGACTGGACTGAAAAGCAATCTTAGATGATGCTTGCTGCTGTGAATTTCCTATTAACAGACAGGACCCGTTTTGAAGACGAGAGAAACGCCGACAGAAAAATGATATGGCCAAATCTAGCACTTTTTAAGTTTTTGCTTAAACAATGATTTTGCTATGTATGTGGGATTTGCATCATACTGAAATGCAGTAGCAGCAAAATTATTTCCTGCAACAAATTAGTATTTTCATAGAGAGGAATGAACTTTTTGGAAACAAGTGTTCTCTCGCGCATTTCATGTCTGATTTGTTTACATATAAGCAATAATATTACAGAGTACACGATTATAAAATGAGCATTTTGGTAACAACCATCATAGTACAAATATATGCAATAACTCCAAAACCAAACGCATATATGCTGGAGTTACTTCACATGAATTCAGAAGGCGAATTGGTATCAGGCTTCCCATTATCACCCAAGCCTCCAGGGTGCTGCAAATTCTGCAAAACTTGAGGTGGCAGACCTCCCAACCCACCACCCAATCCATCATTTGCACCAAAAAACTGGCAAACAAGCCTTGCCACAAGTCCGAGAATCTGCATTTGGTTCTGGCATGCATCTGCATGTATTTGCATCATTGCCTTCTCATGCTCAATCTGCATCGCTACCATCCTTTCCCTCCATTCCATTTCCTCCTCCTCCCTCTTCTCTTCCATTATCCTCCTCTTTTTTCTTTCCTCCTCCAATTCTCTCTCTATCCTTGCCTTTCTCTCAAACTCCCTACGTGTCCATATAAAATCTCTCTCTTCCAATTCTATTTCCCAATTTTCCATCCTCTCTTCCCTTTCATTTTGTCTTGTTTCTCTCATAAGCTCTAATTCTCTCCTCTTTTCTTCACTCTCTAGCATATATTTCTCTTTACTAAATTCCCTCTCTCTTCTTTTGTCCTCCCTCCTCAACACCACATCCCTTAGATCCACCGCTTGTGCTCCAAGCAACCCTAATCTCCTATTTCCTCCAAAACCTTTCTTGGTTTTCAACTTTCGTGCAATACCCATATCTCCATTTCCTTTATCTCCCCCAGATTCACCATCTTCTTCACCATCACCGTTAACGTTATCATCATCACCATTGTCTCCTTCTTCTTCTCCATCCTCCTCCTCCTCTTCTTCTAAATCCTCACTGTCAATCCCAAAACCCAAATCCCCACAATCCTTGAATAAATCACTGCCACAACTATCACTGGACTTCTTGGTCTTCACTTCAAGCTCCACATCCCCAAAAACTTCTTTGTACTTCAAAAAATTCTCCCAGTGGTTCTCCCCATCTTTCCAATTGAACTCATCTTTGGATATTCTGATCTTCTGCTTCACACCCAGATATTGATGCCTCATGTTCTGCACTTTAATAGACACATCTCGCCATGACCACTTGAACGGGAAGCTAACAGGGTCTTGCAGATGGTGCACCGAGTTGACATGGTCGGCTATGGGGCGGAACTTTTTTTCTCTTGTTTTGAGCTTAGATAGCGTGCCTGAAGTGAGCAGATCGGAGTACTTGGTCAAAAGGGTTTGTTCTTCAAGTTCAGACCATTTCTTTCTCTTCATTTTGGTGGTTTTGGGCTTTTGGGTTTCTTCGTGAATTTTTGGAGATAAAGCAAATCGACTAAGGTTAGTTCTTACTCGCCATTTTCCTCCGTTTTCTCAGGGACCAGACACAGTCAATTCATCACACATTCAATTGAATCAAACCGTAGCTGAAAACAGTCCACTCACACTCAAAAACCTTCAATTAATAAATCAAAAGCAATCACTAAACAAAAATCATACAACAAAGCTGCAGAAAACCCCAATTCAGGAAACCAAAATCCGGAATAACTTTGTACTTTCCATTTTTCTAACACAAAAAGATATATAACAACTTTTAGATATTTCTGCAGTTTAATAATCAGGGACTGTAGAAACGATCATGGAAAGAATCGATGCTTGTTATCTTATTGGAATTCGAGCTTTGAGGAAATGAGGACTTACAAAATAGAGCCGAGAAGCAGCAGAATCTCTGAGCAAGAAAAGAGAGAGATCGAAGGAGACCTCTGGACATAAATTGTAAGAATTATTCAAGGAATGTAATAACACCGAAGAGCCAATAAGCATAAACTAGCAGACGGTAACCACGTCGTGGGCCTTTAAAGTTGGGCTAGGACCGCTTGGCTTACTGAGCCCAGGCCGATTCTCTTCTTGGGCCGAGAAAGCTTAAGATTTTTGGAACCTGGCCGCTTGTGTTTTATAGGAGGCTTTATATTTAAATTTTGTTGGGTCGTGTTCTAACAAAAATATGGTAAGACTATTTAGAATAAATCAAGATTAAAATGCCATTAATAACCTTTTTTTTTTTTCCCCAGAAAAGAGCTACCAAAATACTTATAACGAGGAAAACAAATTGTAATAAATAATTATATTAATGGTGAGATTTTATCAAGGCACGGGTGTTTGTTACTGTTGTATCAAAGTTGCTAGGGACGCCATGCTTGCTCCCTACACACTCAAGCCAAAAGCAACCTTCAGTCTCGCTCTGTGCACAACCACTGACCAAACATCATCTAAGCGATCTCACTGACTTTACTTCTATCTTCTCTTCCCTCTAACGACTGTTCTCGTCGTTTTTTATGTTCCCGATCTCACTGGCACTCCATTTCCATTGTTAGAGTTTAAATCCCTACACTGCACCTCTGACCGTTAGATCCCTAAATGGAGCCAGACGTGAGCATCGAAACATCCTGCATGATCCGCATCGCAGTCCTCCCAATCGGGCCTGTACCTCCCAACGTCTTGCGCGACTACTACTCCATGTTCCTCCGTCACCACATCATCCCTCTCTCTGCCATCAGTTCCTTCTACACTGAGCACCAGAAATCCCCCTTCGCCAACCAGCCATGGGACACCGGCTCTCTGCGCTTCAGGTTTGTACTCGGTGGCTCTCCTCCTAACCCCTGGGAGGACTTCCAGTCCAATCGTAAGATCCTCGCCGTTATCGGTGTCTGTCACTGTCCGTCCTCGCCTGATCTCGGTTCTGTCGTCGACCAATTCAACGTCGCTTGTAAGAATTACGCTTCTGCGCTTGTGATGCGGTGTTTTGCTTTTTGCCCTTGTGACTCTCAGGTCGGTGCTTCGTTGTTTTAACGGTTTAATTTATAAACCATTACCTTAGGCATTGAGTATAATTTTTGTTGTTTTTGTTGCAGCTGGAGAATAGCAGTAAGAAGGGGGAGAATTTGAGATTGTTTCCTCCGGCGGATCGGGAAACGCTTGAGGTTCACTTGCAAACGATGATGCAAGATATAGCTGCTTCATTGTTAATGGAATTCGAAAAGTGGGTGCTACAGGCGGAATCTGCAGGAACTATTCTCAAGACGCCTTTAGATTCTCAAGCCAGTCTAAGCTCAGAGGAGGTTTATGTCTAGGTGTCCTAAGGATTTGAATCTGCAATTTTCCACTTATAGCCTTTATCTTGAATCTGCACCTTTACTAATTTGTGTTTATGGTAAAACTGCAGGTCATCAAGGCCAAAAAAAGAAGACTCGCACGTGCACAGAAGACAATAGGGGATTACTGTTTGTTGGCGGGATCACCTGTTGATGCCAATGCCCACTATTCCACTGCCTTAGAATTAGCAAGATTGACTGCGGATTTCTTTTGGTATGCTGGAGCGTTGGAGGGTAGTATTTGTGCCTTACTGGTATGTTCACTTTAGACGATCTGTGTCATATATGACATACGTCTAAGCTTTCTGAATTTGAATATGTTTCCTGTAGCTGTCTTGATAAAATAATTCCTCCATTGTATTTCAGTGCATAATTTCGTTTATCATATATATTACATAACTATATAGATTTCTGAAATACAGTTGCTGCAAGAGTGAATGACTAAATTCTCTATTGATATGGAGTTTGCATCTGCTTATCTGTTCATTTGGCTCTATCAGATTGACCAAATCGGCCAAAAGGATGCAGTTTTTGAGGAAGAGGTGAGATATCGGTACAATAGTGTGATATCACATTATAAAAAGTCATTCACACCAGACAATGCTCAAAGGTACTTCTTGGTGCTTCATTTTAGTTATTCTCAATGGAGTACTCTTTTTTTTATTTTTTTTGAAAGACTTGATGGAATAATATCTAGGTTAGTGCGACTCCATCTTTTTTCCATTTTTTTTTAAATTAATATATATCAGCACATGGATTGAGGTCACTGGAACGAGAACTACATGGAGGGAAGTTGTCTTGAAAAATCTATTACTTCTTGACATTAGTGCGGAGTTAGCTATGAATAGAGCAAAATAGAAATAAAGGATTCATATAGTTGATCTGACTAATTTGGGATTAAAGCTTAGTTATTGTTGTTGTATCTCAATGCACTTGGGACAAATTGTATTCAGGGTTTGGTTTTTTTACCCTTGCATGTGATATCGGTTGAATGCATGGTCATATAGTTCCTGTTTCCTAACTTGATGGAAACAGTTCTTAACAAAATAGTTGATTTAATTTGCTTATACTTCCTAGGGAAATTGCTAGGTTTTGATCCATCTCTTTATCTTTCTGACATTCTGATCTTAATGGAAAATAAACCTTTTCAATGCTTTCTTTTCTTGCTCAACATATCTCTCTTATGCACTTTGATTTTGTTATGTACCAATATCTTTAGGTCTTTTAGGTATTTGTATCCTTTTTATATCGATTGTATTGACCAATTTTTTTTTGGTGTTTGGTATGCAGGGTTTCACCTTTGGGCTTTGAACTTGAAGCTACTCTGAAATTTGCAAGATTTCTTTGTAGGTAAATATATATATATATTTTTGTACATTTGTGTATGTATATGTGAGAGAGAGAGAGAGAGAGAGAGAGAGAGAGAGAGAGGCATTGGCTGTTCCCATAAATGAAATAGCTACATCCATGTACAATCTGCTCACTTGATTGCTTGCCAAAAAATTGTAGTTGCATGGATGCAGCCCCTATAGGCATGGAAATAGTTTTTCTCTTCTTCTTTTAAGAATTCAGTATTCTTATGTAATCCCATTTGAATAACTTATTAGATTGATAATGGATAAAATTATAGTCAAATAATGGAAAATGTTTTATCGTTTGTAGTACCTTCTTTTTTTCAGAAGAGGAGTCACTAAGGATGTGGTGGAGTTGCTAACCAATGCTGCTGATGGTGCAAAGTCTTTGATTGATGCTAGTGATAGACTGATATTATATGTTGAAATAGCTCGCTTATTCGGGTCTCTTGGTTATCAGAGGAAAGCTGCCTTTTTCTCAAGGCAGGTAGCCCAGTTGTATATGCAGCAAGATAATAGATTGGCAGCGATTAGTGCCATGCAGGTTTTGGCAATGACCACAAAAGCATATCGTGTTCAGAGTAGAGCATCCTTCTCTAGTCATCTTCATTCCAATGTAAGTTAGCTAATGTGGGAAAAATACTAATAGTAGAAATAAAATATGGTCAATGTTGGGGTATGATATTTGGAACTTTTGGCATTCATGAATAACAGTGGCAATCAGTCTCTGGTAAATTAGAAATGGACTCAAACTGATTAATTTTCTTATTTCACTATTCCTTTCATCACATGTGCTGGCTGTACTTGTATTTATTGCTCCTTACATGAACTCAGGAAACATTTGTTTTTGTCCTATCATTGTGCTAAACTGACCATCAAGAGACGACCTTGGTAATTATTTTCTATTTGTTTGGTGTTAATTCTATTTGATGTATTAGTTTTCAATTTGAGCTTTTCTCATCACTCGTATTTGAGAATTTTTATCTATGCCTTGCTATGTGAATGGAGCTCTATCAAAGTTTTTCCTATGAGACAATGAAGTTCCTAATTAATATTAGAGATACTTTTAACTCGTTTCAGCATGTTGTGATATGCACTTTTGTCTTTCTCCAATTTACTAATTTTTTTGCTACATTATTTTTTACAAGGAGATTGGATCAAGCCATGCTGATAGTGGGAAAATGCAACACCATTGTGTAGTTTCTTTATTTGAGTCTCAATGGAGCACACTGCAGATGGTTGTGTTAAGGGAGATACTGCTTTCTGCTGTTCGTGCAGGAGATCCTCTTGCTGCATGGAGTGCTGCTGCACGGTTACTAAGATCATATTATCCTCTAATCACACCTGCTGGACAGAATGGTCTTGCAAGCGCACTTAATAGTTCAGCTGAGAGGCTGCCCTCTGGAACTCGCTGTGCTGATCCTGCCTTGCCTTTTGTAAGGTATTTGGTTTTATGCGTGAAATATTGTCTAAATACCATCTTTTATTGGCTTGTATAATTTACATCTTTCTGTCTATTAATTTATCTTTTGGGGTACAAGACATAATAAATTATTTGTAGTGGAGACTTCTTTCAGTCCTATATTTCCTCCTTTTTTTTTTTTTTTTTTTTTTGGGTACAAAGACATATAATATAACATAATTGTAGTGGAAGACTCTTTTCAGTCTAATAATTTCCTCGCTTTTTTTTTTTTTTTTTTTTCGAATTTGTAGTCAATTTTCATTAATTTGATTGACTCTTAGGTTTATAATTCCTTTCACACCATTCTCCCAATGGATATTTTTTTTTTTTTTTTTTTTTCGAATTTGTAGTCAATTTTCATTAATTTGATTGACTCTTTTAGGTTATATTCCTTTCCACACCATTCCTCCCAAATGGATATTGTAAAACGCAATCCAGCAAGAGAAGATTGGTGGGCTGGATCTGCTCCTTCAGGGCCTTTTATATATACGCCGTTCAGCAAAGGAGAGCCAAGTGACAGTAGCAAGCAAGAGCTCACATGGATTGTTGGAGAACCAGTTCAGGTCTTGGTGGAGTTGGCCAATCCCTGTGGTTTCGATTTAAGGGTTGATAGTATATACCTATCTGTTCATTCAGGAGATTTTGATGCTTTTCCTGTTAGTGTAAATCTTCCAACTAATTCATCAAAAGTGATCACCTTATCTGGAATCCCAACTTCTGTGGGGACAGTGGCAATTCCGGGGTGTACTGTTCACTGTTTTGGTGTTATTACCGAACACCTATTCAGGGATGTTGATAACCTGCTTCTTGGTGCTGCACAAGGGCTTGTGCTTTCTGACCCTTTCAGATGTTGTGGGTCTCCAAAGCTGAGAAATGCATCAGTTCCAAATATTTCTGTAGTACCTCCACTTCCACTATTAGTTTCTCATGTTGTGGGTGGCGATGGTTCAATAGTTTTATATGAAGGTGAAATACGTGATGTCTGGATTAGTCTGTCTAATGCAGGCACGGTTCCAGTTGAACAAGCACACATCTCACTCTCCGGTAAAAACCAAGATTCTGTTGTTTCAATACCATATGAAACTTTAAAATCTGCACTTCCTTTGAAGCCTGGCGCAGAAGTGATCCTACCTGTAACCTTGAAGGCCTGGCAGCTTGGACCAATAGACCCTGATATGACTGGTGGTAAGCTTGCCTCTGGAAGCATGGGGAGGCAGTTAAAGGATGGTAGCAGTCCTACATTGTTGATCCATTATGCTGGTATTTATCATAACTTTGGTTAGAGTCATGTTCTCTCTCATATTACTTAGTAATATATACTGTGATAAAAAGAAAAGCCCCTAATGGATTATCTGCCATATTATCTTCTTCTTAGAGTAGTTTATAAGTTTGTATTATTCTTAATCTAGAGTTCTATGTGTATCATCCTGTTTTTAGACAGGATTATAACTTGAACTTCCCTGAACTTAGAATGAGCTATTAAATGATTGCAACTTTGTTCATTTTGGTTCACAGGGCCATTGACAAATGCTGGAGATCCTTCAACAAAAGGATCTGCTGTTCCTCCTGGTAGACGCCTGGTTGTTCCCTTGCACATTTGTGTTCTGCAAGGTTTGTCTTTTGTCAAGGGTCGCTTGCTTTCAATGGAAATTCCTGCACATGTTGGTGAGAATCTTCCAGAACCAGTTTTTGCTGAAAGTACCCTTAATAAAGGAGCTATTAGTTTGAAAAGTAAAATGGACGGATTGGTAAAAATTGATCCATTCAGAGGAAGTTGGGGGCTTCGTTTTCTGGAATTGGAATTGTCGAATCCAACTGATGTTGTGTTTGAAATTAGTGTTTCTGTCAAGCTTGACAGCCATGAGGATAACCTTTCTGCTGATCAAGATGCTACCGAATATAGTTATCCAAAAACAAGAATCGATAGGGATTATTCTGCTAGGGTATTAATACCACTGGAGCATTTTAAATTACCTATTCTTGATGGTTCATTTTTCATGAAGGATTTTCAGCCTGATGGGGTTAATGACAGCAGAAATTCAAGCTTCTCAGAAAAGAATGCCAAGGCTGAACTAAACGCTTCTATTAAGAACCTTATTTCCAGAATAAAGGTGAGGTGGCAGTCAGGACGAAACAGCTTTGGAGAATTGAATATCAAGGATGCCATACAGGCAGCTCTTCAGACATCTGTTATGGATGTACTGCTACCGGATCCATTGACATTCAATTTCAGGCTTACCAGAAATAATTTCACACAAGAACCTGACAGGGCTGACGACTTCTCTGAGCCAAAAGGTTCTGTGAGGGCTCATGATATGACTCCTATGGAAGTCATAGTTCGCAATAACACCAAGGAAACCATTACGATGAGTCTGAGCATTACATGCAGGGATGTTGCTGGAGAGAATTGCGTCGAGGGTACCAAGGCCACTGTCTTATGGGCTGGTAGGATTTTTTTGTCATATCCTTTCGACTTTTATGCCTTTCTTTTGATGCTTGCTAATTGTTCTTCTGCGGTTAACATTTTGCTCATGTTCATGCACTTCTTCTTTTTTTTTTTTTTTTTTTTTTTTTTGTCATGCACTTCTCTTTTTTTTTTTTTTTTTTTTTTTTTTTTTTTTTTTTTAATTTTTACGCCGTCACTAGGTCTTTGCATGTCCATACCATTGGAAATTGTTGCACGTGACTCAGTGGCATGCTCTATTTCTTTATAGGTGTTTTGCATGGGATATCAATGGAGGTTCCGCCGCTTCAAGAATCTAGGCATTCTTTTTCATTGCATTTTCTTGTTCCTGGCGAGTACACTCTGGTAGCTGCTGCAGTGATTGAAGATGCTAATGATATCCTCAGAACCCGTGCAAGAACAGAGTCAGCTGATGAGCCAATATTCTGTCGAGGTCCCCCATTCCATATTAGTGTCATTGGGACTGTTTGACCATTCAGTTGAATTGTCTTATATCAGATTATATACTTTGGTTTCAGGGATTGCTGCTCGACTTCAGGAAAGCTGTATGTTTTTGGGTGCTTTGTTATGGATCGCATTCCTCTTTCCTGATTGCGCCAGCGATTCCTATCTTGTACTATTCTACTCGATCCTCAAATGATTTTTAATTAATGGTCTCTGTAGATGCATTATTCATCAAATATCTTCTCCCTGTCCTGTGAATAGGGTTTTAGTGATTCCATATTCTTCCCCCACAAACTGCGTGGGTTTGCCCAATTAAATAATTTAGTGTTCCCGTAACAGGAACGGACAAGAATTTAACTCCAACTTTTGTTTGGGCTCAAGGTTTTGGGCTTCTGATTTGGATCTCTTTTGGGTTAGATTTTGCACTCTGGACATTTAGACTCAAGACATGCATAGTGTGAAACTATAAATTATAGTAATGTGGATTTCTTTGGTCCATGAGAGATATATGACTGTCACTTTGTCTCTTCCACAAATTGAAGGGAATGGCAAGCTTACCCTTTTTGACAGTCACTTTGTTTGTAATTGAAGTGCTCGTGTTTGTTGTTTTGGTGCGTTATTGGCAATAATGAGAAAGCCAAAATGGATTCGAAATCGTGGGATTTGGATGTGAAAGCAGAAGGTTAGAAGGATACCTGCTGCTGGAATTGGATTTGTTGGGAGGAGAGCTAATTGAAAGTCGGCAGCTTTCTCTGCCGACAAATTTTTTTTCACATTGTTTTCTTTTTCAGCCATAACCGACAATTTTAATTTTCTTAGGCTTTATGTATCTCTAGATATTTAAAAACTTTTGCTAATGTCAATGACAGCGGCTGATTTGATTGCTTCCACGGTTGGTCTTCATCATTCTTAATCTTGAAGCTATTTCTATATGATAAGTAATGCTTGCTTAAGGGAGAAAAAAAAAAAAAAAAAGTAAAAAAAAAAAAGTACTATAATTTTCCGATAAGTAAGCAAAAAAAAAAAAAAAAAAGTACTATAATTTTCCGATTAGAAGCCAAGAGAAAAAAGAAAAAGAAAAGAAAGTCTACTTCAAGATTCTTTGTTTTATAAACTGTTTCCCCTAGTTACTGCAGTCTTATCTTTGACACAGAAATTTCACATTTTCTGGTCTAATTTTCAAACATTTTTACATTTCAACCTAATTCAAAGTTTCACTTATTTGGATTATCTGTCCATTGTATATGGCATATTTTTCTATCATGAATGAAACATGTGTCTCTTGACCCATTCCGGCTGTCCACCTTTGGAAATTTTCCAAACCAACCAATAATAATCAAAAGCCTCATGTGTCTTCACTGTTCAATACCCACAAATTTGAGAAACAAATTTTCTCTCAACTCCTCAGTACTCTATACCAAAATAGTTATCCTTCAGTATTGATCATGTCAATGTTCTTTCACTCCCTACCGGACAAACCTGTCCTCCACAATAATGTTAATAAATAAAAAAAAGAGGTAGAATTGAAATTATTAGAAAGAACTTTTTATATTAAAAGGAAACATGATTGTTCAGAAGGAAATTTTATATAAAATTGTTTATGTGAAGCATCAACATCAGGTAAACAGGAAAATGTTCTCTTATCCACAGTATGTGTCTGTGAGAGTTCTTAGCTTCAAGCAAGCAAAACGGTATCACATCACATGACAAGAGAGAGTTAAAAAAAAAAAAAAAACAAAAACATAGCACATCATTAAAACCATGCCCAAATTAAATTATATGTCCTTTGAATTGAATTGATGCTCTTTTTCCTCATCTATCATGTCACCTACATTGGCTTTTCTACTCCTTTTACCTATTTTTGCGTTTTGCTTGTTTCACAACATCTCTTTACATTTTTAAACTGGACAAAATACTGCTACTATGTCTCATACACATCCTATGAAAAGACCCTCTTACTTTAACTATTTAAACCAAACCCCATAGTTCCCAAAACTCCAAACTTTGTTTTCAAGTGTCGTTTTGTCCCTTCCTTCCCATTCTGTAAAAGGTTAAAAAAGATTTACAAAATTTTAATTGCAAAATGTTATTGATTTAGTAATTCAATTGTTGAAATTAATACTATCTATCCTATATTTATATATTGAAATTTGAAATTAAATTTACTATTGGAGCAGTTGAAGAAAATTCTATGATTGTCACAAAAGATATAAAATGGAGTGATGAGGAGCAAGTGGCTATGTGGTCCAAGCCTTGAAGTGCTTTAGTGGTCCATAGACAAAGCCTAATTTTTTGGGTCATGAGTTAAGGATAGAGGAACAATGAAGTGGGAAAATGCCGATTGGGTGTGGGCTACCATTTAAGCCACCATCGAAGTGGGACAAACTCATCCAAATTCTATACCACATTCTCATCCTTTCAAGACCTTTCAATAGCTCTAAAGTTACCTTCTCTAATTTGACACTTGTGTTCAAAGAATTGGGTAGGGGAACTAATTCTTACTAACAATAATTATGTCATAAAGAAGATGTATAATTACTATTTTTTTGGATGATTTAACTTTAAGTGGATAGCATCTTAAAAGTCTATTCGATAAAATTAGTTGTTTTAGCAGCCGTTAATTGTTTGAATAACTTTTTATAAAACGCTAAAAAAGTTAACCATTACATAAGTTAACTTTTTATAAAACGCTACATTAACCTCTAAAAACTAGTTCAAATGCTATGTTACCGAACACTGTAAAAAATAACGTTGTTAAAACGCTAAATATGTAAAATTGATTTATAAACATCACGTCAATATGAAAGAAAAAGAAAAAGAAAAGTATCTTTGAGTTCTAATTTAACTTAAGAGTTTGATCAAAATAAATCACTTGGTGGTGCTACTGTACATTCTAAGAATTTTTCTTTTTTGGAGTTTCTTTTACCAAAATTCCCCTCTTTAATTGTTCCAAAACTTATACCAAAAAATCAATTTCTCCGACAAAGTGCGCCTTGAAAAGCATAGATCAATTACAGAGTACAAAATAGAAATCTTGAACAAGGAATATGTATACGACAAACAAAACATGAGTTTCATTATAAGTATATGGATATCGCAATCACATCAAATGTCTTTAAATTACATGCCATTAGAGATGTTAGTTACGAATTTAAAATAATTAATAAGGTGTCAGTTAGGATAATTATAAGCTACATCCATTTTCATAAATATGAAAATACAAATTTGATTCCTGAAAAATATATTTTATTAGAAAAATTAAAAATCTTTACAATTCATAGTCCAGACAGTTATTTGAAATCTTGGTTATACCAAAAACAAATTATGAACTCAAAAGAATAATTAGAGGGTTGGAGTCCGAAATGGAAAGGCAACAAACAACAGATAACTTGCCACAATAAAAGTTTGTGAATGCTACTATTTGTCTATTGCTTACACTACATGTGTAAAGTTATGAAAAGGGCATGCCTAATTTAATTTGTTTGGTGCATTTTGGCCCCTCCCTTCTGATTATCATGCATGAAAGAAATATCATAGTATCCGATTTTACACTCAACCTGTCAATTTCCAAAGTCTAGGTTCCACTTAAACCAAATTAAATAAGATGCCTTATCTCATTTTTCATTTCAGTCTTTATAACCCTTTTTTTTTTTTTTTGGGACCACTTTTAGGTTGCCATTATTTTGCTTCATACCGAGAAAAATTTATATGTATGTGTGTTGAGAATAGTAAGTGTAGTGTAGGTTAGTGATTGTCTACAGGGATAATTTCATTCTAATGGCTTCCAACTATATAGGTACTTCCATTTTCACACAGTAGTCAAACTCTCCAATCATGTACTGTACCAATCTCACAAGTGTTTTCTCTTTGTCAATCTCTTGACATTGTAATTCAATTTCTTTTTTTTTTTTTTTCACTTTTAAAAGTTTCAAACACAGTAAAAAGTATACACTGGATAATTTTTTTTTTTTTTACTTTTTATTTTACCTATTATGCGTGATGATCAAGTTGAGATGACAAATTTAGCATTATTTCAATATCTAGGAATTTTATTTCCATATATATATACACAATTAAGGTTGGATTTCGAGCTCTTTTTTTTTTTTTTTTTTTTAATATATACACAAATTAAGGTTGGAGTTTCGGAGCTCTTTTTTTTTTTTTTTTTTTCTTCGAAAAAATACTCTCAATCAAATATAGGCTAAAGAAAATAAAAAAAATATAGAAAGTTTTTTTTTTTTTTTTTTTCTCGAAAAAATACTCTCAATCAAATATAGGCTAAAGAAAATAAAAAAAATATAGAAAGTTATTGAAAATGACACAATAGATTAACAGAGTAAAAATATAGAATTTATAATAAACAAATTGAAGCCCAATAATCAAAGCAGAGGTCTTTCTCAATCATCGTGCTTATCTACAGATAAGGAAGAAAACGCCAAATAACATATATTTTTGGATTATGTAAGTATTTACTTGAATTTTAAAAACAAAATTTTCGACCGAAATTATTTTTATATTATAGGTTATTCTGAGAAGAAAATTGCTATCAATATATGTATTATACTGAGTTTACTTTTCAAACATTTTTAACTAAATTTATTTTTATTTTTATTTATTATTACTTAAAGAAGAAAAATAATATTGTGGCATTATAATAATCAAACCTATCGTATCGACCTAATTGCAATCACTTCCTTCGTTTCATTGGTCAAATGATTATTACTAATGGAGTAATATTAAGACACCACGCACGGAGGTTGTTCTTGTTGTATCGTGTAAAACGCGTGGGCCCAAAAAAGAGGAGCGCGTGGCAAAGTGTGATTGGTTAGCTGATGGTGACCGCCCCACGAAAAACTTAGACCCGGTCTCATTAGATTCTTTCTATTAGTATTATTTTAAGGCTTTCTATGGGACACGTTTCGATTAGCTACCCATTCACAAACTGTACTCAGGATATTTTACTGATAGCGGGAGTTTCTTTACCGCCTTACGAGTCGCGTGCGAGACACTCTCTAGAGTCAACAAGTTAATGTGCGGTCTCTATGTGTGTAAACTACATCAATGAAATATTTTAGTTTTAAGTAACTTTGATTTATTTTTTATTATCAATGAAAAAAGTAAAAGAAAATTGAATTTTGAAAGATGCAGTGAGAGCACGTGAATAGCATTTCTCTTTTGAAACAAAGAAAAGAAAAGAACGAAATGGGAGATAACACGCGTGGCCATAAATAGCGATTCGCAGACACTTTTAACTTCCGATCCCAATGTTTTACACATCACAAGGATCCTGTCTTAAAACGCTACTGCAATTTGTTTCTCATGTTTATTTTTAGCCGCTTGGTCTATAAAAATGATTTAAAAAGCAATTAATATTTTTAAATTATAAAAAATTGAAATAAATTCATTAACATTATCAAAATGATTTATATTTGTAAATAAAAAATATTATTCAAAATTAAATATGTGGATAAATTGGATTGCATCAAAATGGAAAAGTCATATATTATAATTTTATAGGTAAATTTATAGAAATAAGCTTTATTTTTTTACTGATCAACCATTAATTGATCCATTCAAATATTAATTTAAAACTAGTAAAATCATATATATTATGAAAAATGAAACTGTGTTATTGAAAGTGCAAGAAGCTTCCAATTTTCTAATAATACTTAAATAAAAAGACCTGGGTATAAATTAATTAAAGAAAAGGCCTGATGATTTGTAGGACTAGAGAGGTATATACCTCTCGTTTGTGTTGTTGTATTGCGTGTGAGGACAATGGATATGGAAGATCCTTCACGATAGTATATAGCATTTATAATTCTCAAATACTATATATAATAGTGAATCCTGTTGGACAGGTCCTTAATTATTTATTTAAATTAATCTTTATTATATAATTTTCTCAGGAAACAAACGAGAGATTGTGTTCCAACTTCCACAGAGAACATTATAATTTTTTGGCATTTTATTTGTCTTAAATTAATAATTGCCACGTACATATATTTTCTTTATTTAGTTATTTTTATTACTCCCTCATATTATACAAGCTTGGATTCACTTTCACGTATCCTTATATTAATTATCGGTGAATTAATGAAAAATTTAATTTTCAGAACCGATAATCCAGGTTTAAGGTTACTTATGTGTAATAATTTATTGAATTAGGTTATATTTTAGCAGGTAGAGTACATATATTTCTTCATCAACTGGTAAAATGGAGAAAATGTCAAGTCATAATATAATATAATTCAACCAAATTGACGAGATTAAACTATCTTGGTTGCCTCTATCCAAGGATTGAACTCAGGATCTACAGAGCATTTACTCAATCTTTAACTATTCATCATCCATGCAATTTTCAAATTACAAGTAAGTATTTGAGTTGCAGAACAAATAATTGAAAATGGGAAATGAAACATGGGAATGAATACACAGGTTTCATTGTCTTCTGAACAATCTGAAAATTTTCTTGGAAAGTGAAAGAAAAAGACAAACACTGAGAAGACATTTTCCTAAGAAATAACGTTAGCCCAAAAGAGCCCCACGTCCACTCTCTCCCTCTCAAGTCTGAACCTTGTCCAGCCTTCTCCTTCCTCGGTCGTCTCTGCCGTTCGCCTGATGGCACCTTTCTTTGTCATTGGCAGAGACTACCTGAGACAAAACCCGCTAAAACATTAAATGAAATATAAAAATTACGAACAACGTAAGTAGGGGACCATCGCTCTTACATATTAATAGGTGGACAGTTTGCCGTCAACACTATACTAATGGCTGGACCCATTGGAGGCCCTACACCAATTTCCTCCCTTTACACTGTGGACCCCATGCCTTCTACACGGGGACCACACAATAGTCCCCATTGATTAAGCCGGCGGCTGTCAGAGAAGTCAAAATTCTCAGTGGTCCCACCTATCTAATCGATCCACGTGTACGGATATGATACGCTTATCCTAGGCGCGTGCTTCAAATTGGGGACCACTTGTGGTCCAAGCGACCATTGCACGACGCGTGTCCAAGGGTCGTTTTCCCGCGAGGGGCGGAGAAAGGAGCGACGTAATTCATGGTCCCCGCTCTCTCTTTCTCCTTCGCGCCACGTTTCTCTCTCTTATCTTCGTCACCGGCTATTACCGGTCACGTTGTGAACAACCCGACCAAACCAGTCGATGCTTGCAGAGGTAGAGAAAGAAGTGCAATTATCACTATTCTGTGGTTGGATATTTTTATTTTTTTAAAAGAAAAATAAAAATTAACACGCCAAATAAACTGACGTGGAAAGCACGCTCCCAGTTTTAAGGGATGATGTTCTAATTGACGACTACGCTTTCCAGATACAATCATGTACCTTTCTTTCTTTCTTCAGCACTGCGGCCAAGCCAAGTACTATTTTACGTGTGCATGTTACCTGGTATTGTTGCTTTACCTGTAAACAATAACTATCTCCTTTTTACCTTCTCCCATATCACTGTCTAATATTTTTATTTAACAAAAACAAATTATAAATAATATTTATTTATAAAACAACTTTATAATATAATAAATATATTTTATTTTTGGTGTTTGAAACAAAATCCTCCAGGCAAATATACGCTTGTTGCCACTGTTTAAGATAACCGCTGTTTCACTCGTACGGCAACCTGATACACCAACTCATGTACATGGCCCGACGTGCATCTTCCGCGTGTGTTGACGCGCTTCTCCTCCCGGTCCCAACTAAAACCGGCATCATTTAAACCTAACAGCACCTTTATTGTTCACCGTCCGATCATAATACAACAGCAAAAGTCTCCGAAAATAAACAAAGGGGACACCCTTTTATTTTGGTTTTACAAAAAGCAAACATGATTAGTAATTTTTTATTGTATTTTGTGGAATGATTAACATCCGATTAAGGAATGCTCCGATCCAACTGCAAACAAAGTAGTAATTAATAAATTAATTACATTCTTAATCAAGCCACGTGTACATATAAACTTAGTCAATTTATCTTTTTAGTTTGACAATTGGAACATGGTAGAAACACACTATGAATAATTAATAGTAAACACTAGAAAAATGTATTACCTAATTCATACATCATGTACACATGATTTTTCATGTCATTATTAAACTAATGCCATAAGAATCCTTCAATAAATATTTTTTTTTAACATTATTCTTTGAATTTTTTCTATTTTATTTTATTTTTTGGTTTGAGCCAATTATTCTATACGTATAAAATTAAGTATATTTTTATGATTTAAAAAAAAACCTAAAAAAACCAATTATGAGCCAATTATTCTATACGTATAAAATTAAGTATATTTTTATGATTTAAAAAAAAACCTAAAAAAACCAATTATTCTATACGTATATTTTTTGGTTTGAGCCAATTATTCTATACGTATAAAATTAAGTATATTTTTATGATTTAAAAAAAAACCTAAAAAAACCAATTATTCTATACGTATATTTTTTGGTTTGAGCCAATTATTCTATACGTATAAAATTAATTATATTTTTATGATTTCAAAAAAAACCTATGAAAATTTCAAATTTAACATTCTCATTTTCTTTATACTAATTAAAATGTTATATTGTATTATTATTATTATTATTATTTACCAAAAAAAGTGTCCCAACGATATTAATATCAAAGAATTTAATTATAAAAAAACTTTAGTTGTAACTTATAAGATTTAAGATTCAAAATATAAAATTATCGCTCTTGAGAGAATTTTATCTAAAATGCTCAAGTATCAAGAATACAATATATGATGCAAGCAATATTATTTTTAATGTATCTTATCGCCGGAGTTACTTCTCATGGGTTATAAATATTGTAATTTTAATATAATAGGGCTAAATTTTTAAATAATAATAAAATAAAAAATAATAATTTTTATTTTAAGTTGGGGTTAGATAGCGAAAAAAAAAAAAAAATTAGGGGCTAATTGTAGGTAAAAATGTAAGAAGTTGATAGTGTCATATAAAATCCCATCATTTTCATGAGGAGCAGTTTTCTTCACCTGAAAACCACTATCCTAAAACCACTCTTTCTTCTATCTCCAACTCGTCTTCTCCAAAGGTCCCCACTTTCTCTCTCTTTCTCTCTAAATCCAAGCACCCTTCCCGTTCTTTACACGTTAATCGCCACCCATATATATACCATCATCTCTCTCTGCAGTTACATATACACTGAATAATAATCTTGTGTTAGAAAGGACGATCATCTTCTTCATCGTCTTTGCGTTTCTCAATTTGACTCTCTCTACAGCCTATATTTTCACTGCTTCTACTGCATCAATTACTTGTTTCTCGTTCTCTCTCTATATATATATTAGCAACTGTAAAGAACCGAACTTTCTCTCTCTATCATTTTCTTCCTTTCAACACAGTACACACCTCGCTTTCTTGGCTTCCTTCTAAGTGTTATATGTATATATATATATAAACATCTCTCTCTTTCCATCTATATCTATATCTATATCCATGTTTTTATAATCGTTTTTTCTTTTCTTTCAGATACAAATAAAATTAAAAACATGGCGTTTCACCATAATTTGTCTCAAGACATTCCTCTTCACCATTTCTCTGACCAAACTCAACCACCACAACAAGCCCAACAGCAACAAAATTTATCCGAAAGCACCACCGCACCAAATTGGCTTAACACTGCCCTTCTCCGCACCCAACAACCGCAACATCCGCCTCACTCTCACTTCACCGATACTAATTTTTTAAATCTTCATACAACTTCAACTACCAACTCTGATTCAACTGCTTCTCAAAATCCTACTCAATGGCTTTCTCGTTCTTCTTCTATCCTTAATCGTAACCACAGCGACGTTATTGATGACGTCACTGCCGCAACTGCCACCGACTCTATCATCGCAGGCACTATTTCTCGCGAATCAGCCGATTTGAAAACCAACACAAATAACAACAGCGAGAACATGACGAATAAGAGCGAAGGAGGGGTAGTTGAGAGTGGTGGTGGAGGCGGCGGAGGAGATGGAGTGGTAAACTGGCAGAATGCAAGATACAAGGCGGATATACTGGCGCACCCGTTGTATGAGCAGTTGTTGTCGGCACATGTGGCGTGTTTACGGATCGCTACGCCGGTGGATCAGTTGCCGAGAATCGACGCCCAGCTAGCCCAGTCACAGCATGTAGTGGCCAAATACTCCGCCCTTGGAGCCGGGGCTCAGGGCTTGGTCGGTGATGATAAGGAGCTTGATCAATTCATGGTATGTTAGTTACCCTGCTTTTTATTAATATGTCAAGCCTTTTTTATTGCAAATTTTTATATTTTTATCAATATATCACTCTTCCTTCCAAAATTTTGTCAATTTAGTGTCTTAGTTCAAATTCATTATTTGGGTTATCAATTGGAGCGGATTTAAAGCTGAATTGGTTCATGAATTTAGGATTTGTCATATCACTTGAACTGGATTTTGTTTTCATCAGATAGAAGTTGGAGCATTTTTTATTTAGTTTGTTTGTAGGTTGAGTGGAGTTGAATGCACCGACAAAGGGTTTTGGGAAAACTTAAGTGGGCAAGTCTGAATGTGGCTGTTTGGTTCGCCATTTGGCACTAATGGATATTACTTCGATAATTTAACATATTGTCTTATTCGTGAATAAAAAGACAGCATCTTTGCTACAAAATTTCTGTTCCTATCAAAATTGGAAGTGTTTTCTGGCTCAGAGCTGGACTTTAAATGGATTTTACTGGTGAATATATCTGTGACCACATGCTAATGCTGTGGAATTTATTGGTTTTCCTTCAATTTTGGTTATTTTAGAGATGAAATTGGGGAAATTTGTGGATTATAGCTACTGTTGATACATCTTTAATATTGATTTCTTGATTCTTTGGTTGGAAATTCTGCATTGAGGGTTTCGTTTAAGGAAATAATCTTTTATTTTTTTGGTACATCGAGCAGAAAAGAAAAAATATAACTCGTGTCATCAATTTTTGTGCTTGAAGTTTGCTCTGCTTCCCACAAATTGGAAATTGTTGCGTATGATCATATATATATAGCTGGGAAATATAAATTACCATCGCAGTTCAGAATTTTCCAACTCATGATTGGTGTTTCTTAAGATTACCAAAAAGGGTTTGAGTTATTGGTTTGATGTTATGCTCATCCTGCCCTAGTAGAACGTTTTGAAATTGGAATATGCAATCTAGCACAGATATGATGGTCACCGATTTAACCAAATTAGTGGAACTATCTGATAGACAGAAAGACAAATAAATGAATAGATAAAGAAAGAACGAACGAAGAACTAATATATGCACCAATTGTATGATTTTTCCTAGTAATTCTCTGTTTTATATGTGATATAGCAATGGTGATTTTTATTAAAAGGCCAACGACTTAAAGATAGGGTAGCAGTATCTACAATGGGACCTTGCTTGTATGCTTCAAAAATTAATGATTTTTTATTGATCAGTGATTAAGATATGTTCCTGGCCTGGGAGATGGGTTATGGTGAAAGGTTGAGTGAGTCTTTACTAATATGTTTCTAAAGGACTCTAGAACAAAAAACTTTTTAGTGATAGGGGTAAGTCATAGGTTTTCTTTTTCTTTTTCTTTTTTTTAGGGCAGCTATTTTTTCTATAGCTAATAAGGTATCCTTCCATCCCCGTCTAGCATCGTTTAATGCTTGCTGCTCTATTGGTTGCACCTACTTTTGTAGGAACTTAAGATGCTTAATTATGTCAGTTCGTTTTCAGTGACAATAACCTCTGATAACCCAAGAAGCGTGTATATGAGACCTTGGAATTTTTCTAAGGTACATATAGAATGCACGCATCTCTGGTATTATTTGGTAGTGGGTGTTGAAAATTGAGTCTTTATTTTATTCTCTCCTCTATTGGGAGGATCATCAGATTAATTCCAAGTGCTTGAAGTGTCCATTTAATTTCTATATATAAAATATTTTTTTCTTAAATTGTTTGTATCTTATTAATTATAATGACCTTACAAATTTGATATCGTGGAATAATCAATTCTTTTTGTATTGTAGTAAACTATTTGTTGCCAACTTGATGATTTGCATCTTATCTCACAAGATTGCAATTATGCTCACACTGCTTCAAGTTTCATCTCATATTTCCTAATCCCTATGTTGTTGGATCCAATGTTTCTTGTTTTTTGCTTTTTTTTTTTTTATCTAAAAGAAGAAAATTAATGGCATTACTGTCTGGAACCGAACATATCATAAATAGAAATTTAAACTGTTAGGCAGAATACTAAAAGTTTCCATTTTTCCATTTCTCACTATTGTAGACGCATTATTTTCTGTTGCTTTGTTCTTTTAAAGAACAACTGCAACAACATGTTCGAGTCCATGCAATGGAAGCAGTAATGGCTTGCTGGGAGATAGAGCAATCCTTACAAAGCTTAACAGGTGATGTTTCATTACATTTTCCTGTTTAAAAATTGATGGTTGAATAAAATTTTGGAGATGGAGGCTAATTTTCTTCTTCTTTTTCCTCGTGTCATTCCCTAATGACTATTAATTTTGAGTTGCAACAAAAAACTATAATCTTTTCACACCTTGCCATGAACAGGAGTTTCTCCTGGTGAAGGTACAGGAGCAACAATGTCAGATGATGACGAGGACCAAGTAGATAGTGATGCCAATTTGTTTGATCCAAGTTTGGATGGTGCTGATACCATGGGATTTGGTCCCCTCATCCCAACAGAGAGTGAGAGGTCTTTAATGGAGCGAGTGAGGCAAGAATTGAAGCATGAATTAAAACAGGTAATGAATGGAATTATTAATTGCATCAACTACGAAGTAATTTAAAGAAAAAAAATTCAAAAGTTTCAACTTTTCTCTCTTTTTTAGGGCTACAAAGAGAAAATTGCTGATATTAGAGAGGAAATTTTACGTAAGAGAAGAGCAGGAAAGCTTCCTGGGGATACAACCTCTGTCCTAAAAGCATGGTGGCAATCACATTCTAAATGGCCATACCCTACGGTAAATGTTCTTGGATACATGGCTTTATCTTGTTAATTAGGTTTTGAATAGATCCCACACTCATAATTTAAAAACTCTACACATGATCTTGATACCTAAAATATACCAAGTCATTTCAATTGAAAGGTTTTAGCTTGATATCTATTGCTTGAGAGATGCTCTTTTGCCTCTAGCAATACGGGAGCCCCACAAGGCACCATTGTTGTGGTGTGTCGGGAGACAAGTGAAACTATATGTGCTTATAATTTAGTTGAGCATTTGCTAATATTAGTTTCAAAAACGCTAGAAGTGAGGAAATTTCCTTCATCAAAGTACTTTGGAAAGATTGCTGATAAGCTAAATGCGCACATGTGCTATCCAGACAAACAAACGGAGTTACGAAATTGCTTCTGATAAGACATTAGTGGGTAGTTAAGCTAAATACGTGGGTAAGAAATGGAATTATTAATTATAATCTTTGGATTCAGGAGGAAGATAAGGCAAGATTGGTACAAGAAACAGGCTTACAATTAAAGCAGATAAATAATTGGTTCATCAATCAGAGGAAGAGGAATTGGCATAGTAATCCTTCAACTTCAACAGTATTGAAAAGCAAACGCAAAAGGTATATATTTTTATTAAAGCACATCTTTGTTAATGCTATTTATATAAGAACTCTGCACCAACCTTAATTTTAAAAGAAGTAATGCAGGTGATAACAGTGGCGATCGTTTCATGTAAATTCAACAACACATATTCCCTTATCATCATCGTTGATTCCGCTCTGGCCACTGACGATATTGTCCAACATTATATTATATATGACAGTAAAGGGCTTAAGCAGCAGCAGTAGTACACTGAATTGAAGGGAAGGAACCTTTTAGTATTTTGCTTCTAACATAGAGAGGGAGATGTCAGGATAAGGAAGAGGCACAAAAGATGTGATCTTGCAATGTTTACTCGGAATTTGGAAATTTTAAGAGATTATATTACTGAAACTGAATTAGATGGTAGCAGCTTGTTCATTATTTGGCAGGTTTTTTATGATTTTTGTTTATATCTGTGAATAAAGAATAGCAATTCTGAGAGTTGGTTATTTTTGGGGTTGTACAGTGTAATAATCTTCGCATGCTTGATTTCTTATACGGGTCATCATTAATGTCATAATATAAGATTATAGCTCCTTATTCCTTATATAGGAGTTTTCATTTTTCTTTACCTTTAAATTTTTTTATTGCCCTGTGCTGGATAATTCTTGAATTTATTCGAAATTTGAATGAATGTGGAATTTGCCCAAATAATTAAATTGGACTTTCGAAAAAGAATGCCAAGTGACAGATCAAAGAAAGCCATATGGGAGCTTTATGATCAAGAATTAAGAGCATGAATCTACAACTACTAATAACTAATTTAAGAACAATTGTCTTGAGCCATCTGCTAGATAGCTAGCACTGCTAGTTAATGCAGCTTAAGAGGATCTAAATGGAAACAATTGAAGGAACATAATGAGCAAAATTGCCTGAGAACTCATTATTCTTACCATTTTGGTTGTTCAAGAAAATACACATGATTACAAAAAAAATTAGGCAAAAGAATATACATGGTTTAGAGCAACGAAAGAAAAAAATAGCAATTAAGTTGATCTCAAAGCAGAATGATCAAGTCCTCCCAAGCGGAGTTGCATATCTAGCAGAAAAACCAGGAAATGAGTCCTCTAATTCCTTATCAATACCATCATCAAAATTAAGTGCATAACTTTGAGGATCATATTGATATTGCATCTTTGATGTTTTCTTGCTGCAGAATCCATACCCATGCACACTACTACACCTGCGAATGAAATTCTTCCATTTAGGCCCTGCCAATACCTCTGATATCTCCTTGACTTTCTTCGCTTTTTCCACTACCCAACTTTCTTTGTTATCTATCTCCTCCTGTTTTCTCCCCAACAGATATCTCCGAGACCCATTGCTGTTTCTTTTCAGATAAAAACAGCAGCAACAAGAAGAAGAAAAGTAAGCGGCAGCCTGTTCTTCACAATCTTCAAAGCAATAGCCGGTTTCTGCTAGCGGCGATGAACTTTCACCAATGGCCACTGGTTTTCCTAGTGGGTTGGCCATCAGAGAGAAGCGAAAGGATTACAAAGAAAGTGAGAGACTTCTGCAATGTATATAAAGTTGAAGAAATACTCGACATTTGGTTGGCATTTATGTGTGTTTGACAGCTTAGTGAGTTTATCATTAGTTAGTTGCAAGCTCGTTAGGTGTTGTGATTTTGCTTAGGCTGCGTTTGCCGGCCCAATAAAAGTAAGCAGCTGTGGCTTATGTGTAGCCTATTCATTGACAGTTTTTTGAAATGTTAAATAGCCAAACAAACAGCTAAGTCGTCCTTTATTTTTTAGATTGTTTAATTTGTCGCTTAGCAATTAAATTAAATTAAATTAATATATAATCGATACCTTAATACTAATTATTATTGTCGCATTATGTTCATGCAATAACAACTACTGAAAGCTAAGCTTAATTAGAAGGGTCTTTAAATTAATTTTTTATATATAAATTGTACAATCCAAACAAGCCAGATCACTTCTTAACTTTTTTTTTTTTTTTTAAATATTGTATATATGCGATGTTGCCATGTGGGCTCACGCCAACAAATTCTCATGCATTAAACTTTCAAAATTATTGATAAAGTATATAAGTATTAATAGCAAAAGTACTGTCTTAGATTATAATTGGCTTATGATAAAGCTTTTTAAATTTATTAAAATAAAAAAATTAGTATAAAAAAAAACATTTTTATGGCTGATTTTAAAATTAAAATTTGGTAACAAATACAAAATTTGCGGATTAAGCAATTTTGATTAATACACACGTCTTCCAATTGTCATTACTTATTAGCCAACTAGCTAGAGAGCTAATTCGTGGATGCAACTAATTGTCCTTTGATTGAAGCCACCCCACATAATAAATAAGAAATAATTATTATTGATTAATCAGAAAGAAAATATACATATACTTCAAAAAGACTACCTTACAGAAAATAAAATAGCAAAGGAAAAAAAAATTAATAGAATTTAAGAAGAGGAAGAAAAAGAAAAATTAGAAAAAGTTATAACAATGTACCAGTAAAAGGAAATCAATTTTATTTTCGTTATATCTAAACACAAGGAAGGAATATATATATTTTGTTCATAAATTTTATTTTCTCTTTATTTTAATTTTTTTTTCCTCAACAAAATGTATAAGGAAATATTTTCCAGAGATTTCGCAAATGGGCCGCGTTTTTCTCCTGAAAATAACGCAGCCCATTTTATAATGTTTACTAATGGGCCAAGCCATCGTTGAACGACCCGGATGAAAAGTGACTACGCTGCGTTTAAGCAGATCGTCCCTATAGTTTCAGCGACAGTAGTTTTAGTTTTAGCTAACTTTGAGTAAAGTGCTGCTAACGTCATTTCCACGACAATCAACATGTGCCTCGTCGAATTCATAATATGCTCCATCTTTGTCAATGGACAATTGGTCCTACTTGACACCTTCTCAGAATATGAGCTGCATCCTGCTACAGTGCTACGTCCTTATCCTCTCTTTCTTTCGCTAACTAGACATCACTATTCTCAGTCCAAAACCAGTCTCCAAGAGGGGAAGAAGAAAAAGTGCAGGTGAAAGTTCAGTTATTCAATAAATTAAAAGAAACTCTATACAGAGAGTACTAAATTTAGAGCTCTCTTTCTAATAATTTACAATAATTTAGATGATGGAGAAAGCATGAAATAGACGGCAAGGATTGTTATTATTATTATTTGTTTCTTTGGAGGATTACAGATCTATCAGCTTAAATATTAAGCACTCATTCTATATGTACATATCACACCCAAAAATCAATTTTTAGTCTCAGTTATTCGGCTTAGCTGCTACCGCCGGCGACCAACTGGAGAAGGAGGCAGTCTTGCAGTGAAATTACTCAGTGGCAGCTCATCCTCTCTGTTATTCTCATCCTCGAAATTGAGCGAGTAACTCGTAGGATCGTACCTGAAATCGCTGGAATTGTAACGTCTTCGGTTCTTGCCTCTTGTCCCTATCAAGCCCCAACATTTGTCTCTAATCTCGAGATCTTGCGCCGTTGATTTCAACCAAGCGTATGTCGATCTCGGCGTGTGTAGCCTTCTGCCGTCGTCGGAATCAAGTGTTTCGGAGGGATTATTATAACTAGTAGCGAAGCAGCAAATGGAGAACTTGAGCCTGTCTTTGAGAGAGGGAGCGTGGCACTCATTAATCATGGGCATCTCCATTTTTGAACCTGGATATATCACTGAAGAAGCAACTGTAGAGTGTAGAGAAAGAGAAGATGTAAAACACAGAAAGAGAGCGATGGTGACGAAGAAGATAAGAGGAGCGTGTATATATAAATTGGGTAGAAATAGAGGAATAAAAAAAAAAAAAAAAAAAAATGAATGCTCTAGTACCCTAATTAATGGTGATTTGTAGTATCGGTGTTCTTATGAATATTAAGTTTTTGGTAGAAATAGTGAGGAATGCAAAAAAAAAAGAAAAAGGGAAGAAGTGAGAGAATTCAGAAAGCGGATAAGGAACGCAAGCTTTCAGTGTACAAGTGGGGAAAAATGTACCAGGAAAGACCGTGGGCGGAGCGCGGGACTGGTTTTGCCGGTTAAATCTTCCGCGCTTCCAACTGTGTTTAAGTTGCTCGCCTTTCTTGGCTACTTTTGTGATTTTATTTAATTTATTTATTTATTATTATGGACTTTCATGCTTTTCCTTTAATTAGATTAAAACTTAAGTTTTGTGATATGAAGACAGTTAACACTGTCCTAAATGCGTAATTCAAACCAAAACTACAAATTTTTTTTTTTTAAAAAAAAAAATCTCTGTTCAGTAAAAATTAAAAATATTTTTCATAATCTCAAAAAAAAAAAAAATTTTTTCTAATCGTGACTACTCTTTCTTTTATGTTTTGCAAATAATCTTGCAGTCATAAGCTGCCTGTTTCTTAATAATTAAACATTGTCCCTTTCTTTTACTATTGAATGGATTGAAAATGCTAATAAAAAAAAAAAAAAAAAAAAGGAAGAAGAGAGAATCGAAAGCGGATAAGGACGCAAGTTTCAGTGTACAAGCTGGAAAAATGTACCAGAAAGAAACCGTGGGCCGAGCGCGGGACTGGTTTGCCGTTAAATCTCCGCGTCCAACTGTTGAAGTGTCCCTTTCTATGGCTACTTTTGTGATTTTATTTTATTTATTATTTATTATTATGGCTTCATGCTTTTTCCTTAATTAATTAAACTTAAGTTTGTGATATGAAGACAGTTAACTGTCCTAAATGCGTAATTCAACCAACTACAAATTTTTTTTTTTTAAAAAAAAAACTTGTTCAGTAAAAATTAAAAATATTTTTCTTAATTCTCAAAAAAAAAAAAAATTTTTTTTTTCTTAACGTGATATCTTTCTTTATGTTGCAATAATCTTGAGTCATAAGCTGCCTGTTTCTTAATAATTAAACATTGTCCCTTTCTTTTACTATTGAATGGATTGAAAATTATAAATGTGGTTGGATTTGTAATGATAATAATAGACTTCAAATTAGTAACGGATGTGGCCTAAATAGTTGGAACGTGCTAAAAAATAATTTTATTAATTATATGGAGTAAAAAGTAAAATATTTTTTTCAGAAAATTTTCACACTTAAAATTTTAAAATTTTTTAATTTAAGAGGGCGATAGCCCCTCTAAAACCTCCTAAATTTATTGCTATTTTAAATCTAAATAAATTTTATTTATATGGTCAGAAAATTAAATTATTATTCTTTTTAATATATTATATACTTGATTGAAAATTTATATTGAATTGATGTATGTTAATATATAATTTTTGAATTTAAAGTTAACTTAGAGACAATTTAGTAAAAGAAAATCTTACTATCTTGTTTAGAATTTTAATAGGGGTAGTTGTTTCGGCTTTTGGGCCAAGAGATGAGGACTGTTCTACTTCATGGGCTATGCCTATTGTTTGGCACAAAGGCCCATATATCTATTTTAAGGATAATTTTCATTTAAGTTGTAAATTAATGGGCTGAGACTGAGAGATCTGTGATCTGTCTGTTAATTTTAAAGGCTATGTTGCTCTAGAAAACGACAGATCGACTTTCTTAATGTCGTCCCCGAAAGTTACTCTTACTATGCAAAGGTGTTCAGTACTCTGACTGTTACATTAATTAAAGGGCAAATGGATTTATCCGTCTTTCAATGATTTACCCATTAACCCTCACTTCATAAATTACAGGTTGATTTTATTTCAGTCGTCTACATGCAAAGGCAAGCTTCCTGTTCCGTGAAGAAGTCGTCCCCTTCAAACAACTTTTTGTCGTCCGCAGAGAAATCCAGCGACTGGTCGTTTATAATCATTTTAAATCGATGTCGGGGTTTTTCATTTGCAGGAAGGACTCCAGAATCCTGCTTCTCGTAGCCTCCAAAAGCATCGTTTGAAAAACTCACTGGTGCTGCAAAAACCAAAAACTGCTCATCTTCATTACACTGAGTCATGGTTTGTTGCTCTCTCTTTCTATCCTACTTCTCTTTTTTTTCCATTTCTCTAAACAATGTTATTGACTCCCTGTTTATATTTGCAGGAGTCGCAACAGGAGCAAGAACAGTCTCCAGCTCTCGACGATTGCTTGAAGCTATTGAAGGGCGAGAGAGACGAGCAACGCCTTGCTGGCCTGCTTCTAGTTACCAAATTTTGCAAAGGACACGACACCGCTTCACTCCGCAGGGTTTATGAAGCAGTCGGCGTTCACTTTCTCGATAGGCTCTTGAGGACTGGTACTCTCTCTCATTGCTATATGCTTGGTTGCTAGTAAAATGGAAAAAAAGAAACTGATTTGAAAAGACAAGTTGCAATTAGGATGCTTAAGGTTCTTGTGACTTCAGCGAGTGAGAATGGAATTACTAAATTAGCTCTGAGTTTAGCCAACATTTAATATTTAAATTTCTTCTTTCTTTCTTTTCCTTTTGTTTGAAATTCTGATTAGTTTTCATTTTCTTATAGCCAACCTCAACTATTTTGGGACTAAGGTTTAGTTGTTGTTAAATGTTTACAATTTACACTTATATATGTATTTTTTGAGTGGCTAGGAATGGGTAAAGGAACTGGTAGTGGCGATGGAGCTAATAATCGCGATGCATATTTGCAGCTATCTGTTACTCTTCTTGCTGCATTTTGTCGAATTCCTGAAATCGCTTCATCGGAAGTTATGATCTTGAAGATTCCAGCTATACTGGAAATAATTTCGAAGTAAGTTTTTTTTAATACTTAATTATTCTTGAAGTAGTTGATGAATTCAGAAGAATAATACGTCCTTATTTTCTCCTAATTGATTATTGTGTAGATTTTTATAATTGTGGGAATTGAAGGAAATATGTAGCTAGTATTGGGACTGGTACCTACTTTTGTGAATTACAAGGAGATGTGGTGGCTTGTTAACAATTTATGATGTTCGTTTATGGGTTTGCGGTTAATTATCATTTCGTCTGCACATCCCTTTTGCTTTTAGTGAGAGATTTGGACCTTTCTGAATGGGTAATCTTCCAGGGGAGAGGCAGGATGAGAGAAATTCAATCTAGATGGTTTTTATTCTGAACATGTGTGATGAAAGCAATCGTTTTGGCGGTAGGGAGGACTGGATGATAGAATGGAGTTGTATGGACTTGCACAGTCAAACAAATAAAAGGAAAAAGTGGTCTTTGCCCTAGGGGTAGCAGACTAGCAGTAGGCTTCATGATTTTGCATAGCCACTGTGGATGAGGATTGTCAAAATGTAGCAAATATGATGTTTTAGGGGATTTGTTATTCTATTATTCATGATCTAGGACCAATATTTTATCTCGCAACTCTCTTATCTCTAATGGTGTATCTGATTTATTTTTGGGTGCCTAATTATTCACCCAATTAGGCTGTTCATCAACTAACCATGTCCTCCACAAAACCACAGATTAAATTCACCTGTTCTGGAAGAATGCTATGAATTCTTATACCTGGTAACGTCTTCTGAGGACGGGGCCGCAACATTTTATGAATCTGGAGGCATGAAAGTGTTATCTTCTCAAATGTGTTCTCTGCCAGATGGTAATCAATCTCATTGTTTCCTGGATTTTGATTTCAGGCTTTCAAAACATGCTAATTAGTATTACTGCAAACTAAAATTACATGCTTCTTGTTTTCCTGCAATCTAATCATGTGGATAACAGTAATTGCATGTTTGCTAAACATTAGTGTGTTAATTTGCTAGGTAGCTTTTGCAGGTCTTCACATTTATTGTTTGCAATAAGATGTATTTGTTCATGCTGTTGGGTATTTATGGACCACATTCAATATCCTAAAGAAGCCATTTAATACTTGCAGGTTCTCATATGATGGAGCTTGCTATGAGAATTATACAGTCTATGCTTAAGCTCTCTCTGGACTTCACCGAGAATAACTACCTAGCAGAGCTGTCAATGGTGGTAAGTCCAAATTTTATGTGATTTGAATATTTAGTTTATTGTTTCAGATTATTTGCTGCTAGTTTGTTCCCTGTCAATGGTACGTAGTGGCTCAGGAAGATGGGATCTTCATGAACTTCAACTTATGTTTTTTCTTCCTTAAAGTGGTTAAGATATTTTAGGATTTAAGTTTCTTGTGTAGGTGGTGTCATTAGCAAGGCAGTTTGCTGTGTTGCACAATCAACTGAAATTTGAAGCGCTTCACTTGCTTTCCGAGATATTCTCATCAAATTACTCGGTATGCTATTATTTTTCATGATGATGAATTAGAAAGAATGAGATGACAATATTGTGAAATGGATGTAGTACAAGTTGGGGTTTATCCTGCTTTTGGTTTATGCTTATTGATTTAGTACCTCTGAGACTAACTTTGATATTTTCTTGCTCTCTTCAGCAATTGCTGCATGATGCACTGCGTGCAATGATAGGGAACAAGTGGCCAGATTATATGCATGTTGGTATTGTTGCTATTTTGCAGAACCGAGTAGGTAAATGGGTTGTCTCATCGTCCTCTTTTCTATTTTCTGTTTCAAATTAGGATGGCAAAGATATTGGACGTGTCTAGTATATTTTGAGTTTGACAACATAGAATATTCTTAAGTTTAGATGCCTTAGGAAGTTCTGAAGGTGGACTCTATTGGTAGGGTTATGCAAAGTTTGAAGGTAAATAATAAATGACCTGAAATCAAAAAATTAATTTTTGATCGAAGTTGAACTTTGAGGTTGAGGAGCATATTACCGACATAAGAAATGCTTATTGTTTACATCTAATTGTCTGCATTTAAGATGTGAACTGTATTTATATTCGATTTCAGGAAATTGGGCAAGGGGCTAAAATGGAATTTGAAGATGCTGATTGGATTTCTGTTTTTGTAATATAACCCTTTTATCAGTTCTGATAAGGATATCTTGACCAAAATGCTGTTAGTTTCTTGAATAGTTGCAAATGAGTGGATAGGTTTGATTTATATGATATACCTTTCTTTCTTGGTTTTATGAAATTTTGTGTACGAAAAATGAAAATGGGCGATTGAATTAGCACTTTCTGTTCAAGTTAGATGGTTTTTCCTTTTTTCCCCTCTCAATACTGTTTGTTTCTTCATAATGCGTAATTTTGTAATTTGGATGGAACTTTAATTTTGCCATTCAACCACAGCACCTGCGGAAAAGCTTCACGCCCTTATTTTGGCTGAATCTATGGTGTCTATATTGGGGGAGAGCTGGCTGATTGGTCAGCCAAATTTACCTGATTTACAAGACCCCACACCAGCTGACAGGTAAGTTATGCATGCTAGTTTCGCTTGCTTTTTGAGGCATTTAGATTGGTGAATTCTGTTATCTGTTTCTCACATTTCTATTTTCAGGTGTCTTTTTCTTGTCTTTGAATCATCAAGGGTTGAAGTTGCTGTTTTGCTCAATGAGCTGGCCTATTTGAAGTATGAAGCTTCCAAGAATACTTCAACTACTGCTGAAACTATTCAGTTTAAGCAACGAAATTTGGCAGTTGCCTTTTCCTTGGTAGAGAGGATAATAAAATTAATATCAACAATGGCTGGACATGAAGGTGCAAAATTATTATTTAGCTAGGAAGAACATGATTAACTTCCCTATTTGGCAAAAAAAGTTACATAATATCCTTAATTTTGTTGAAATGTTTGTTCATGTATATCATATTTGAAATTCATACTTCTTGCTAAGCAATCTTCATGAATATGCAGTAGATTTGTATATCTTTGCATTGAGGACCTCATTTATGTACCATATATATATGAGCCTCTTAATGTTTGGAGTGGATGACACGAACATTTTTTTTTTTTTGTGAGAACACAAACCTCAAATTTAATTCTAGAGGTTGTAGGAATTCCCATATTGACATGTTATGTGGAATGTCCTCGAGCACATAGTTCATTGCTTGGGATTCCTTTTGGGGTTTGGACCTTTGACCAAAGAGGTAACTGTGGTGAGTGATAACCATGTCTTATTGTCAAGATCTTTAGAAGTTTATTCCCTTCCAGTGTCATAAAACCTCTTTTGAAGAATGTCCTCATTTGTGGATTTGGTCATTTCTTGCCTTACATCTCTCATCGTATTTAGTTTCAAGCAAGTCCTATATTTTCAGTTTCACTTTGTGCTTTTACTCTTTTCTTTTTACTCGACTTTATAGAAATTTCATGTTCTTGGTTAAATTGTGTGCAGAGGAACTCATTGCTGAAAGCACCCTTCTGAAGGTTATCAATGGGCTTAATGAGACAGTAAATGTAGTACTGGAGTATCTACAAGATGCAAAGGTAATGGTTTTCATGCTCTTCAAACTAATTGCGCTTCAGCTGCTGTGTTAACTTCTTTGGCTGCAGGAACATGGACATAAGAAAGGAAATGATCTTCTTGCTTCAGTTCGGGTTGTTGGGAGGTATGTTGTTGAGTGCATTATTTATCATGTATGCCTATGCTTACAGTGCATGCCTCTTTGTGTGGCTTCTCAGAGCAGATTGTAAACTGGAAGGCAACAATTATGATTTCCCCCTTTGATGTGTCTTCTTTCTATTTTTCCTCCTTTTAATGGGATGCTGATGTTTGTGATTAAATTTTCTTTAATATCTATTGTCTCATTCTGACGTGCTAAGGATATCTTTCTGCCAGTCTATATAATAAGTTTTCTGATCCTGGCATTTTGAATCTGATCTCGTAGATTGATAGTTGTACTTGTTACAGTTATCTTGCAGAAACACCCAACGCATGCAAAGATAAGGTCAGAGAACTTTTGAGGTATATGTTGTCAATTGAAGGTGAAGATGAATCAAGGTTTGGTAATTGCACCATAATTTTGCAACAATCTGATGCTTCATATGCTTTTTACAGATATATTACTTGAGAATGAATTCATGCGAACTTTTTTTTTTTTTTTAATTAACTGGCAGCCCTTTTTACTCTATATGCTTTCTACTTCCCATGCTGTGTCAAATTACAATGGAGGTTGAAGGATGTAAAGCTGTTGTTTCTTGTGGAGGTTATAAAGCTGTAAGTTAGTATGATTTTTCTGCTGATTTGTCTCTTTACTGGATTTTCAATTTTAGTGTATCCTCATGATTCTGATTTTAAGTAGCTTTTCTTGATATTCATTTTAGCCATTAATATCACACCTCAAGGCCACCCAAGTGCACGTTCTGGGTGAAAATCTGTCAATGACTTCTCATAACACATTGCAATTGTTACCCTTCTTAACCTGAGTAAATTTAAGGCCAAAATTCTTTATGCGCAAATTTCTGTTAACAGGTGGTTGAATGCCTTATAAAAGTGATTGGACCAAGTCACTATACAGTTGAAGATAATAGTTGCATCTTCTTGGCTTGTGATACAATTTTGAATTTGCTTTTGAAGGTAGTGTTGTCTTTATAGTTAATAGCAATCTGGTACTCAAAGCAAGATATTGATAGCCTTTTTTTTTTCTCTATATATATTTTCCATCAACAGAAAGAGCAAGTGCGACTTTCAATGGATGAATCAAATATTATCGATCTTTTGATGGCCTTGGGCTATTGGGCAGGTACCTCAGTAGTAGCCTAATTTTCATTGCCTGCTCTAATTAATTAATGAAGATTAGAAATCATTCTTCATAAATGTGTCTGTCGTTACGTGCCTGCTCATGGGTGGTTATCTTTCCAATTTAATCAGTTATGGATGTTATTCTAGAATTTTCAGTTGCAGACAATATAATCAGACTGTTGGGTGTCCAATTCAGCTTCCCTAGTTTGATAGCAAGATTTTATAATCTATATGAATCCTTAGCTCATCTTTTGAACTTTTATCTTTCATACTCAACTGTTATTGATAATTTGATATTATTCGGTTCTCCGTTACCTGGAAATGAATTATTTTGAGCTCGTAAATCATTAATTAGGTTCCTAACCTTTTTTTTTTTTTTCTCTCTCTCAGAGGATGCTACTGACACATCTGTGCTTATGATGGCTTCAAGTATTTCTGCACTTCTGCTTGGTTACACATCGGAGGAGGCTCTTCTTAGTCATTCTAAATTCAACAGCAGCTCACTCAGTAGTCTATCTCGGCTATTTGCAAGAAGTCTGGCTTTTCCTAAGCAGGTAAAAATAAATGATTTTTAATGGTGTTGCTTACATTTTTGTGCTTGTAACATATCACTAATTGATATCTTGATGATGAGATTAACTTACAAGCTCCTTGCCTGAATCAATTGCAGGACATGTCTGATGCTGTCAGAGCAGAAATGGATCTTCTTGAGATTGTTAGCTCAGGTTGGTCTTTAAATTTTATTCAATTTTGAAGATGGTTATTTCTATTTGCTCTCTTTTTTTGTTTTTGTTGATTTAACTTCTCAAGCTTTTTATCAGAAGAAATTCACAATACATTCTGAATTGTGCAGGTTTTTCACAGTGGGCTCACCGGTTTCCAAGCATATGTAAAGCAGTTGAGAGAATTTCATAGCCATTGTTGCACAATACTGAAGCTTTTCTAAGAATGTATTCTTATGGGAATATATTTTCCTTTTAAAAAAAGATTGTCAGGCAGTTGCCTGTATTTTGATCTATATATAGTAATTACAGGTGTTGTATAGTAATGTTGGTTAAAACCATATTTTATACATGGTTAGAATTTCTCACCTAGAAAATGTAGAATGTTTAAAGTTAATTTGTTCTCTTTTAAAAAAAACAAATTAGATTCATAAGTTGGGCCTTGATTTTATTATGGGCTTTTTCAACCTTGTCATCCAATTGCAAAAGATTCAGTGGGCTATCGTGGGTTTGGGTTTGCACTAATCTGATGGGTAGGCTATGAACAAACTCAGGACTCACTGTGCCACATTAAATCCATTTACCCGAACGACGCAATGACAGGGAAATATGTTGTTGGGTTTGCTTTGCTGTGTATTGTGTCGTTTGGAACTACAATTTCAGAAACGGGATTTAAAAAGCGCAGTGAAGGGTATTTTTGTCAGTGAGGCGATTAGGGCAACACGACACGACGACGACTCCTCTGCGTGTATTTGATCACACTGTCTCTGACGGTCTGACCTGCTGGGACTAGGGTTTTCATCTGCTGAGCATCATTATTTGCGACTTTGCTTCTCTCCGATTTTCCACAAACCCTAGTCATGGCCGAACAGGTTTGGATCGTTCACTGTTTTTATTTATATTCTCTCTCCTTCCATGTCTATTTCTTAATCAATCAGCAGATACAGATCGATTGTGATTTCCCTCCTTTTTATGTGGTTGGCAATTTGTCAGTGGCAATGACAAGAATTATTCTTATTTGTTTTAATTGCAGACCGAGAAAGCATTTTTGAAACAGCCCAAGGTGTTCCTGAGGTGAAATTTTTTGCCTTTTATTACTTTGATATATATGGGATTATGTTTCGTTTAGCTATGTTGTTAAACGTGGGACATTGCAATTCCTTATTGTGATTTGTAGCTCAAAGAAGTTAGGGAAAGGAAAGAGGCCTGGAAAGGGAGGCAATCGGTTTTGGAAGAGCATTGGCTTAGGTTTCAAGACACCCAGAGAGGCAATTGAAGGTTAGGTGATTTCTTTATATTTAATCATTTGATTGTTGAAGTTAATGATGTTAATTCATTTGAAGTTTGCATACAAAGCAATAAAGTTGCTTACTTTTATGTTCCAAGGATTTTGATTTGTTGCCCTTGTTGGGTAAATTTTTGTTTTTTCTATGCATGTTTTTGGTTGAAGTGGAATAAGATAACTGCAACTATTTCCAAATGTTCTTTAGAATGTTTTAGGTCCTTTACTAACGTACTCCCAATATGTTATTTTTACCTATCATAAGGTTGACTTTGGTCTTGCAGAATGTACATATGGATCATGCTGAATTTATTTCTATTAAGTTCCACATGCAAAGAAATTTTGATGTATATATGCAACTCTTGGAGAAATTATAGATTAATCACTTATCCTCTTTGGTTTTGCTTTTGTCGAATATAAGTACTTCAGCATGTGATGGTTTTGTGTATCTCTGGACTTTGGGAGAAACAGGTTGTACACAGTAAAGATAGATGGTTGTGAAGCTGATTATATAGTATGCTTGTCAGTTGTATGCCATTATGTTGTAACATATCCAGATTATACTGAAGCTGCAAATTTGAAGTTAAAAAACTTTACGATAGGATGGTTAGTTCAAATTCATAGATTGTGCTGGATGATGTTTGTTAATGAGGAGTACCTTTCTTTTTGGTGGTCACAGGAACTTATATTGATAAGAAGTGCCCATTTACTGGTACTGTTTCTGTCAGAGGACGAATACTTGCTGGAACTTGCCACAGCGCAAAGATGATGCGGACCATTATTGTCCGACGCAATTATCTTCATTTTATCAAAAAATATCAGAGGCAAGAGATGCAGTTTGAGCATTGACGTTTCTATGTTGATTTTTTTTAATCATGATTGTTCTGACTTATTTGGTTGCTTTTAGATATGAGAAGCGGCACTCTAATATTCCAGCACACATTTCTCCATGCTTCCGTGTGAAAGAAGGGGACCATGTTATTATTGGTCAATGCAGGTTCATATCTATTTTGGTTAATTAGCTGGATTATTTTAAGTTCAGCTTTGTTCTAACCATATGTGCTTCTACTATCTTGCAGACCTCTGTCTAAGACAGTGAGGTTCAATGTTCTAAAATTGATTCCAGCTGGTTCATCTGGTGGTGGAAAGAAGGCATTCACAGGGTTGTGAGTTTCTTAGGGCTTAGAGTTCTTTTGATTAGTTTCTGTGAGGGAGAATGACTTGAGATTTGAGTTGTCTTACCTAATTAGCAATTGTTTCAATTTTGGCCTTGGTGTTTAAATCTCTGTATGACCATATAATTCCTGGAAAATGTTTGTTCTAAATGTGCTCTCAATCGGTGTATTATTTATATGCTGTGGCTATTGTTTTCCATGTTACCTTGCAAGTTCCACTGGTAAATTTGAATTCTTGACTAATATGTCAGTGGTGTCATCTCTTCATTGAGAAGAAAAATTGGTCCATGATATCACTAATCTCAATATTTGGACTATTAAATGATCTGATTGGGGATGGTTATCCAACCATTTTTCTTACGCAAGTGGTGATTATAATTGATGTGAGGTTCTCGCGTGCATAGTTGTCCTTGTATAATGAGTAATTATCATATGGAGACATCATATTGTTGAAATTTGAGTTTTTAACTTTTGGATTTTTATAAAAAACCCATTAAAACAGTTAAACGTTATTAAAATAATAAATTTACGGAAGACTATCCTTTCTTTACGTGGTTGCTTGCTCCGAGCAAAGTTGTATTGCAAACCTGGTTGCTTGCTCCGAGCATACGGTGATTCCGAGCAGAATAATCACTAAAATCAAACAAAATACGAAGAAAACTATGAAATGATTATTCCATTTCAAGTTGCGAATTGCAATAAATAGTTGGTAGATACAAATTAGATTTCTTTTTTCTACTAATTCATTTTTCGACACATCGAAATTGTCCTGTAATTGCGTAGAGTCACGCCGTATATAAGAATACAAAAAAAGTCAACGTTAAAAACTAATGGCCAGCATGAAATGTGTAATTCTGATGAAATATCTACCAATATGCCCATATATTCTTTCCCCACTAACATTACACTGATATATACTCACCACTTCACAGAAATATATCTGCTTAATATTTGAGATAGAAACTTAAAACTATGTATAGAGTAGCAAGCCCCTCGGAGTATCTGGTGATCACCGGAGTCGGTATCTCAGACCTTAAGCTTGCAAAGAAAGCATGGGTCCTCCCAGGTCAGTCTTGTACCGTCTTCGATGTTTCACCGGTCAATTACACTTTCGAAGTCCAAGCCATGAGTGCAGAGAAGCTCCCTTTCATCCTCCCTGCTGTCTTTACTATCGGTCCTCGTGTGGACGATGATCAAAGCCTCTTGAAATATGCAAAGCTCATCTCTCCACACGACAAGCTCTCTCACCATGTCAAAGAGCTTGTTCAGGGCATCATTGAAGGTGAAACCCGAGTCCTTGCGGCTTCCATGACCATGGAAGAGATTTTTAAAGGAACTAAAGAGTTTAAACAAGAAGTTTTTGAGAAAGTCCAGCTCGAACTTAACCAGTTTGGCTTATTAATATACAACGCTAATGTTAAACAACTTGTTGATGTTCCGGGGCACGAGTACTTCTCTTATTTGGGTCAAAAGACTCAAATGGAGGCTGCAAATCAAGCTAAAGTTGATGTATCAGAGGCCAAAATGAAAGGAGAGATAGGATCAAAGCTGAGGGAAGGACAAACGTTGCAAAATGCAGCGAAAATTGATGCAGAGACGAAGATAATATCAACACAGAGGCAAGGAGAAGGGAAAAAGGAGGAGATAAAGGTGAAGACTCAAGTGAAGATTTATGAAAACCAAAGAGAGGCTGAGGTGGCAGAGGCGAATGCTGAGTTAGCCAAGAAGAAGGCTGGGTGGACGAAAGAGGCACAGGTGGCAGAAGTGGAAGCAGCAAAGGCGGTTTCCCTGAGGGAGGCTGAGCTGCAGAGGGAGGTGGAAAGGATGAATGCTTTGACTAGAACTGAGAAACTAAAAGCTGAGTTTTTGAGCAAAGCTAGTGTGGAGTATGAGACTAAGGTAATTAAATTGTTGATTATTCTTTTATACGGAAATTATATACACGTACAAGAATAAATATCAGTTTCTGATTCCTAATACAATCTGTTTGATATAAAAGGTGCAAGAAGCGAACTGGGAGCTCTATAAAAAGCAAAAAGCAGCAGAAGCAGTCCTATATGAAAAGAAGAAAGAAGCGGAGGCTCAAAAAGCAATTGCAGAAGCAGCGTTTTATGCTCGCCAGCAAGTTGCAGACGGAGAATTATACGCTAAGCAGAAAGAGGCTGAGGGAATGATAGCTTTAGCAAAAGCACAAGGCATATATCTACGCACCCTTCTTGACGCATTGGACGGCAACTATGCAGCTTTACGAGATTTCTTGATGGTCAATGGCGGAATGTTTCAAGAAATCGCTAGAGTTAATGCTGAGGCTGTTCGAGGCCTGCAACCCAAAATCAGCATTTGGAGTAATGGAAACGGTGGAGAGATAATAAGTGATGGAGCTATGAAGGAAGTTGCTGGGGTTTATAAGATGTTGCCTCCTTTGCTTAAAACTGTTCAGGAGCAAACTGGAATGCTTCCACCGCCATGGTTAGGCACCTTAGCTGATGCTTCTACTGATCACTCTACTATCAACTGAGAAAACAGACATACATGCTTTGCCTCCATTTTGACTTTAATGTTCATGTCTGTGTGTGTAGTATTCTTATTCTTCTTCTTCTTCTTCTTTTATTTATTTGTTTTTTCTTTTCCCAAAAGGAGTGCAAGAGCTCAAAGAAAAATAATTATTCTAGACAAGAATGGCTGAAAGAATCACTGTAATAAAAGTAATAAAAGTAAATGGCAGTCTTTCTTTTCTATTATTCCACTACCCGATGCTTATGCTTATGCCCAGCATCAGTTATCTACTAAGATTGGAAGATGGAAATGGATTCTTCGAAAACGGAGCACATAATTTTTAATTCCATTGCCACTCCACCACTTTTATTACATCAATCTTTTTCATTCAAATTGGTATATATTCCATTAACTAAGAAATAATTATCTATTTTCCAATTAAATTTTAATTTGTCCCATTTTTAGAAAAATAGCTTTTTTTTTTTTTTTTTTTTTTTGTGTCTTTGGGTTAGTAATGCCCAGTAATTATCTCAATTATGGAGACATTCGTATATTTAGTTGAAATTGACGTTTTAACTCTTCTTTGGTGATTTATTATTATAGAAAAAACCCCATTCTTTAAAAACAGGTTTCTTTAAACGTTATTAGATGGAATAAATTAAATTTAACGGAAGACTATCCTTTCTTTTACGTGATGGTTTGCTTTGCTCCGAGCAAACACGTTGTATCTTGCAAACCTGTGATCTGCTGTCCGAGCATTACTGGTGATCCGACCCGTGGGCCAGGTAGCAGAACAATAATCACTTAAAATCACAACTCAAAATCACGAGAATGGGAAACTATTGAAATGTATTTTAATTCCATTTCAACCTGTAGTATGACGAATTGAGTGATCAATAAATTAGGTTTGTAGCAGATAAAATATTTAGATTGGTCTTTTTTCTTACTGAATTCGATTTTTTCGAACACATGTTCCTCGAAATTTCCTGTACTATTGCGTAGTATGTTCACGCGTCGTATATAAAGAATCATGCAATAACTAAAAGGGTTCTCGATATATCTGTAAATAGCGTACTACGGTATGGCAGCATGGACACGATGTTTGCATCTCGCTGTTTAGATTCTGCCGAATGACTGACATGTACTCGCTCACCGCAATATGCCGACACGGTCTATATTATTTTTCTTTTTGCGTCCCCTACATAGCAGTTCGTTTACACTGGTGATACATATGACTCACGCACTTCTCAAGTAAGATAAATATTATCGCTGCATTAATATTTGAGGATAGACGAACTTAAAAACTTATGTCATTTCATTGGTATAGTAGTAGCAAGCCCCGTCGAGATCTGGGAGCTGATCATCCGGAGTCACGGTGGGACTCAGCTCATCTTCAGGACCTTTAATAACAAAGTAAAATGCGACGTTGACCCGTAGATTCTTTCGTGGTTGATTTCAGCACACTCACTAGCATGTATGCCTATAAGAGTCCTATCTCAAAACAATGAACAGACGTGTCAACTCCCTTTTCATCCTGCGTGTCCGTGGTCTTGGTTGTTGGGGAAATTATATCGGTCCTCGTGTGGACGGAATGATCTAAAGCCTCTTGAAATATGCAATAGTCTCTCACCTCTCTCCACCACGACAAGCTCACTCTAACCAGTTCAAAGAGACCTCTTTCAGCCGCATCACTCTGAAGGTGAATACCCGAGTCCTTGCGGTCTTCCATAGACCTACTGGAAAGAGATTTTTAAACAGTGAACTAAAGAAGTTTAAACAAGGAAGTATTTTCTTTGAGAAAGTTCCCAGCTTCGAAGCTTAAACCAGTGGCTTATTTAATAATACAACGCTAATGTTAAACAACTTGTGATGTCTTCCGCGGGCAACGAGTAACTTTCTCTTATGTCAACACGTCTTAAGCAGGGCTCCTGGACATGCACACGCCGCCCAAGCTCAGGAGACCTTTTCAAAAAGAACCGCAAATCGTAGAGGCTGCAAAAATCAAAGCTAAAGTTGATGTATCCAAGAGGGCCTAAAATGATAAGACACCGATGGAGATTACGGATCAAAGTCTGAGGAAGGACAAACACGTTTGGCAAAAGAAATGCATTGTGTCGCAAGACACGGAAAACCATAAATCTGCATGAGACGAATGAGATCAATATCCTCTGAATACATCCAGAGGCTTAAGGAGAAGGTGGAATAAAAAGGGAGGAGATTAACAAGGTGAAAAAGACTCAAGTTGAAGTAGATTTATTGAAAACCAAAGAGAGGCTGAGGTGCACGACGGCTGAATCGTCTGAAATGTTAGCCAAGAAAGAAGCTGGAGTTGGACGAAAGAGACAGGTGCAGAAGTGAAGCAGCAAAAGGTCGGGCTTTCCCTGAGGTGAGGCTGAGCTGCAGAGGGAGAGTGGTGAAAAGGCTAATGCAATGCCTTTGACTAGGAACTCTGAGAAAACTAAAAAAGCCGAGTTTTTGAGCACAAGTTAGTGAGTATGGAGAACTAATGCGGGTAATTAAATTGTTTGATATTCTTTTTATACGGGAATCCATTACTATACACGTTACAAGAAGTAAACTATCAGTTTCTGATTCCTAATACAATCTTGTTTGAAGTATAAAATGCAAGAAGCGAATGGGTAGCCTCTATAAAAAGCAAAGCACAGAAGCTAGTCCTACTATTGAAAAGAAAGAAAGAAGCGGAGGGCTCAGAAGCAATTTGCCAGAAGCAGCGTTTTATGCTCGACAGCAAGTTGCAGACGGAAGAATTAACGCTAAGCAGAAAAAGAGGCTTGAGGGTGAAATGATAGCTTTAGCAATACTAAGCACCACACGGCAATATCTACGCACCCTTCTTGACGCATTGGACGGCAACTATGGCAGCTTTACGAGATTTCTTTGATGGTCATATTGGCGAAGTGTTTCAAGAATCGCTAGAGTTAATTGCTGAGGCTGTTCGAGGCCTGCGCAACCCAAAATCTGAAGCATTTGGAAGTAATGGGAAACGGTGGAGAGATAGAAGTGATGGAGCTATGAAGGAAATGTTGCTGGGTTTATAAGTGTTGCCTCCTTTGCTTTAAAACTGTTTCAGGAGCAACTGGAATGCTATATCCACGCCATGCGTTTAGGCACCTTAGCTGATGCTCTCTTTTACTGATCACTTCTGACTATCAACTGGAGAAAATCAGAGCATACATTGCTTTGCCTCATTTTGACTTTAATGTTCATGTTCTGGTGATGACGTATCTTTATTCTTCTTCTCTTCTTCTTTTATTTTATTTGTTTCTTTCCAATAAGGAGTGCAAAGCTCAAAAAAAAAATAATTATTCTAGACAAGAAGGCTGAAAAGAATTCACATGTAATAAAGTAATAAAAGTTAAATGGCAGCTCTTTTCTTTTTATTATATTCCACTACCCGAATGTCTGTAGTGCTTCGATGTACTAGGAGCATCAGTTATCACTAAGATGGTAAGATGGAAATGGATTCTTCGAAAACGGAGCACATAATTTTTAAACTTCCATTGCCACATCCACCACTTTTCATGTAACATCAATCTTTTTCATTCCAAAATTGGGTATATATTCCATTAAACTAAGACACAAGTAATTATCTATATTTCAATTAAATTTTAATTGTCCCATTTTTTACGTAAAAAATTAGCTTTTTTTTTTTTTTTTTTTGGAAGAAAATTAGCTTGTTGTATTTGTTCCAGCGATTTTTTTTTTTTTTTTTTTTTTTTTTTGGAGAAAATTAGCTTGTGATTTGTTCTTTTCATTTTTTATTATTTGTTTTTTTTAAAAAAAGGTTTTTCTTTTATTGCATTAATAATTTAAGATTTGAACATGGACTGTAAAGAGCTTGTTGGGCTGTTCATTGGGCTTGTAGGGAAGTTAAATGGTGGCCCATTAGCAAGCACTGGACATCCACATTACGTGCTAGTCCAAGGCTCCTTTTCCAGAGCGAACTACATAGTGAAGGAAAAACGACGAGTTCCAAACGACAAGGAAAACTATAATACCACGCCACCGTTAAGAGACCGCAAAGCACAACGCCTTCTCAAAAGCGAAGCTAATAATCACTATCCGGGACAAGGATCTCCTCCTCAAAGGTTGGGATGAAAGTGACTGTACTTGGTATAGGATTATGCTTCCCATTATCCAAACATATCCTTTTGGTGGAACCCACCCATTTTCCACCAATAACTACCCCCACTAATAAGCTCATTCCACGCAAGCAGGCCCCACACCAGGTTTTTCGCGCGTGACCAACAATTTCTTGCGCCTTGTCAAGTTTTGATGCTACAGTTACTTAATTACACTTGCACAGTCTAATGTTGTCAGAGAAAGCAACCAGCTTTATTCACAATCGACGCTCTACAATCATCCATTTCTCTATCCATCACCGAATCTTTAAATCCAACGGTTCATTTTTTCCGATCCATCACACGCGTCAACATGCTAGTGTTGGGTCAACCCGGCCTCGAAACAATACAATTTCAGATGCTTTCATCACTTTTCTTCTCTATCTGTAAAGCCTCAGTATCATTTGTCAGTGGCTTTTCACACTCACTCTCCCTCAAATGGCTTGAGACTTGTCCGCTTCGCGAGGATATTTTGGTCATTCAACTCCGGCTGAGAGCTGTTTGGTTGCTCTATTATTACCGGATTCTCCAGTGCGTTTATCGGTTCTGATGGCGGAGGGCTAGGGTTTAGAGAGGTTTCAGAGATGGATAGTTCATGGAAGGTCAAATTTGGCTCAACATTGCAGTCGTCGATGCCAGCCCTGGCTTCTTCGACATCTCGTGAAGCTCGAGATCAGGTAATGATGCCGTAGTGTGTGTGTTATTGCTGTTTTTGGGATGCACTTGGCCTTTGCTTGTTTATGGTTGAGATTCTCAGTTTCTCTGCGAGCTCGATGCTTCTATTGCCTCAACCTTTAGTTAATGTTTCAAAATGTCTCATCTAACTGTTGTATACGGGGGACTATCTGAACCATTTGTAGTGGCATCAAACGATGTTCACAATGTTCTTTGGCGTTTGTGATTTTGGTGACATGACAAGTAAATGGTATAGCATTAGACCGTTCTTATATAACGCTGGAAGCCTCTGTTATCTTACATTGGTATATTAGGGTTTGTTACACTTTCTTTTCAGGCGGAAGAAATTTGCAGGGAGTGCAACACTATTTCGTTAGTTGCTGCTTTTAAGTAATGGGTGGAAATCGCATTGTATTTCAGTCATTACTATCCATTGCATGTGCAGAATGAAGCCTGCATGGCTGATGCATGAAAATTTTAATAATGCTAGTGAGGAAGGAGAACGCAAGTTTTGATGCTTGTAGCATTTCTGGATTTTAATATTTTATTTAATTTGCAATATTAAAAACTTATGCTTGCATTTATATTTATATGTTTCTTTTATGAATGAGCTTGCGATATGATTGTGTCGGTTTGGTGCTGAAAGAGAGTCTTTGGCAGGGGTTTATAGCAAATTAGCAGAGGGAAGGGGGGGGGGGGGATGGAAGCGATAACGTCAAGTTTTTTGATTGCTTGTTACGCATTTCTGGATTTTTAATTTATTTTTTATTATATTCTGCAATATTAAAAAACTTATGCTCTGCAGTTATATTTATATTTTCTTTTGTATGGAATGAGCTTGCGATATGATTGTAGTCGGTTGGTGCTGAAAGGGATGAGAGTCCTGGCGGGAGTTCTCGTATTAGCATAAAATTCAAGTGCAGAGGGAAGATGGGGTAGTTTGGGCTGTTGGGGTTTGAGGAGTGATAAGGGATGGAACTCTTGCTGCGGCCGTTTCTCCAAGGCACGTTGAGTTACCGGGGGGGGGGGGGGTTGGGTGTTGGGGTTTGAGATGGGATGACTCTTGCTGGGCCGTTTCTCCAAGGATTGAGTAGGGAACAATATTTGATTGAGTAGTGAACCGCATTTGACCCGTCACTAGCTTTCCATCTGGGTAAGGAATGATTGGAGTTAATGCATTGGCTCTATAGATGGGATAAGTTTTGCATTTTGTTAATTTTCAAGGTGAAAGATTACCTTTGTTATTGAAAAATTTGCGGAAACTAGAAGGAAACCTTGACTATAACAGTGAAAACTTCAATTTTCATGTTTATATGCCTATTAGTTGGTGTGTGATTTCTTTCTTAGGCCTAAAGATTTCTATTTGTGATTCAAAATTTTAAAATGCGTCATGATCTCTCTTTCTTTACTGTTTCATTCATCTTACTATATGCTAACCATCAGGGTTTTGAATTTTTTCCCCTGTTTTTTCTTGTGGCTAAATATAGATGGAGATTATTTCAAGTCAGTATGTTTATTCACATGCTGGACAAGACTTGAGATCGCAAATGCATGCAAAGATGCCCAATCCATCATTTCCCAACATTGCTAATTTAAGTTCCTGCAGCTCAAGTCATACCGACTTAGGCAGTTCATTTGTAGCTCTCCTATCTGGGCCTGCTTCTTTTTTGCATTTTGATTTCCAGGGATTATCAAATCCAAAACCATTCAGTAGCTCTAGTAAACTGCCTATTGAAATTGGCAATATAACTGTTAGTCCTACTGGAAGTCAGGTTCCTGTGACATCTAGTGGACTACTATCAGAAAATGGAAGCTATCAAAACCTGCGAAGTGGAGCTGATCTTTGTTCAATTGTTTCATCACGGACAATGGCTAGTTCCAATTCTGTGTTTCAACATGGTCTTCTGCCTGCAAACATTTCTCTTAAGGGTTCAGGCCTTACTAAAACTGTCAGTCATCAAGCTGTTCTCGGTAATGAGAAAATAAAAGATTTTGCTTCTCTGAGAGGGGAATGGCATGGCATGCCCCTTGCAGATGCTGTAAAACTCCAGAATGTGAATAATCTAATACCACAAAGATTTCCAGTAGAAGCAGAGTCCTCTGCTTTAAGCGTTTCTTCTACTTCTACAAGTGGTTGCCCTCGCGTGTTTTGCTTGGATAGAAGTAAGTGCTTTGTACATGTTAAGTGACTTTTATCAAGTCTAGTGTGAGTGCCTGATATTTGTGTTTGATTAATATGAAAGGTGGAGATCTACTGCTTAGCAATACAGGACTTCTAGGCATTCTTTGCTCATGCCATTGCTTCCACATGTCTGTCGCTAAGTTCTGTGAGGTGACTTCTGCTAATATCAAATGAATTTGGTGTTTTTTTTATGTTGATTTTCAGGTTGAACACATTTACATGGTATTTTAGCATGTCTTCATGCTTCGAAATTGATTTAACTGCTTTTCTCTTACAGCACTCTGGAGTACTCAATGTTAACCCTGGGGATGCTGTTCGTATGGACAGTGGAGAGACAATTGCTCAGTGGCGTAAGCTGTATTTCCAGAAATTTGGGGTAAGATATTTCCAATGCACTCACTCGCACTTGAGCAGAATTCAGTTTTGTACTTCTTGTACACGTGGCATGTACCTTTTTATCCCCGTGCACAACTTATCCACTAAGTATGTGTTTACATGCTGAAAAACTGTGTGTAGAGAAGTTATCCACTAAGTTCCTCTATAATTTCATAATGGTGTACTTGCTTTGTAGCTTAAAATCATATTTCATATTTAAATGTGGTATTTTAAACTAATTCAGTGTGTCTCAACAAATGGCTGATATGATAATCTTCTATGATGAGTGTAGGGATGAAGTCAACTTTATTTGCTTTGTAGCTTAAAATCATATTTAAATGTGGTATTTTAAACTAATTCAGTGTGTCTCAACAAATGGCTGATATGATAATCTTCTATGATGAGTGTAGGGATGAAGTCAACTTTATTTGCTTTGTAGCTTAAAATCATATTTAAATGTGGTATTTTAAACTAATTCAGTGTGTCTCAACAAATGGCTGATATGATAATCTTCTATGATGAGTGTAGGGATGAAGTCAACTTTATTTGCTTTGTAGCTTAAAATCATATTTAAATGTGGTATTTTAAACTAATCCAGTGTGTCTCAACAAATGGCAGATATGATAATCTTCTATGATGAATGTAGGAATGAAGTCAACTTTGTTTAGTAAAATTTCACCTAATGTCTTTTTCTATGCATGCTGTCGAAGCCTAGTAGGATTTGCATCATGCTTAGTATGAGTAATGTGTTTCAATGACTACTAGAAACTTGCTGCAACACTAGTGGTTGTAGTAACTTAGGTGTTTTCCGTAATATTTTTTTGGTGCTTGATTGCCATAACCTAAAACATCTCAAGGAAGCCCAAGTGCATATCATGGACCGAATTCTGTTAATGTGGCGTGTTGCTTCTCTGGTAGATAAAATACCATTTAGGAGTTAGCAAGTACAATGTGTTCTCTTGAAAAGGAAAAAGGGAAAAAGAAAACTATTTTACTTCTAAAAGTTAATATTCTCAAAGAGATATAGAGATTTCTGTCATTTAAAGCCCTTGAGAGGACATGTAAACATTTTTTGGCTTTGGCTTTAGCATGACCTTGTGCTGCAGATTGAGATAATTCGATGTGTGTAACTTTCCTACTCCATGCTTGAGTTTTCATGCACAATGTTCATGTGCAGCCTTATATTCATATGTCTATATATTCACATAGACATTCAAATAAGTTTTGCTTCTCATTATATAGATGCCATTGAATCTTGATTTTTATTCTAAATAGTAGTTTGTCGTAGACTGGATGGTGATGTTTCTTATTGGCATGTGCTTGAAGCAACGAGAACACTGGATGGTGATGTTTTTATGATGCTTTAGATTAGGGTTCCAGAAGATCAGAGTGGGTGGGACTGGCCGGAAGGATTACCATTGACTGCTAGTTTAGTGAAATCTGGTGTGACTATGTCCAACATTGTGAAGAATTCTGATTGCAGTAATCTGGTTGGTGCATCTGGAGGGTCTGTAAGATCTGGGCAGTCTTTGGGTGATGTTTTTCCAGCGAACTTTCTCGCAGACCATAATTCCGTCATTGATGCTTTACATGATAAACAACAGAGAAATGGTCAGGACAGTAACAAATTTTATCTCAAAGGTTTAGTGGCCAGCTCACAGAGCAATTCGTGCAGCGTGGGTGATAACCATATGACTGATTGCTCCATCTCTAGGTGCATGACGATGCCAGAGTTAGCTGGCAGAGGACCGGAAAATATATCTCAGTCCATATATATTGATGCTGTTCTGAAGAGTAGAAGTTTGGCTGCTATGAACCAGACCCTGCAAAATCACAGAATCACTGTTAATGATTCAGATGTTAGCAGAAGTAGAGATGCAAGGGGTGGCACTAATATGGACAAAGATGCTTCTTCCTCTGGCATAGAGTTGAAGCTTGGACAACCATATCAGCAGAGTCAGGCTCCAAGAACTCCAGTTTCACCAGTAGTAGGACAATTCTGCAACACGCTTGTCAATTCACAGAGGCCATTTTGCCAAGAGCAGATGATTCATAATGGTGCGATTTAACTTTCTTTCTCCTTACCTCTTAACTATATGATAATAAGTAGTCTATTATTACTATAGACCATTGTCAATGGAGCTATCAGTTAACTCTTATTCCTTGAATGGTACAGTAACCAGTTGTAGAGGAGAGGAGGAATCTGGAATATTTCTTCCCTGTCCGGTTGGCCTGTCCAATTTCACCTCAAGAAGGGAACAAGAGCAGTTGAATTATGGGAACTGTGTGAACAACAATATGATGAATGCTGCTAAATCAGAACTACTTGGGGGCAATGTGGCTAAGCCTTCAGTTGTTTCACTATTTAAACATTGCAATTTGCCTGAGGGGAGTTCTCATTCTATGACAACTAGTAATTTGTTCAATGTTGGCGAGCATGTGAGACTTGGCACAAAGCAGTGTGAATCTCATGCTGTCAAAGCCTGGAACAGTGGCAATGGGATAGATAGGCAAAATATGGTACCTCAGTCAGGTTTTCTCAAACCTGCAGACAAGGGTAAAGGGGTGGAAGGCCTTGGTAAGTCTTATACTGAAACAACTTTGGGTTCTAAAATGCATAACCACGCAGAAAACCCTAGCTCCTCTACTGGAGTTGTAGCTGGAAACAGCTATTCTGTCTTTCCACACGCTCATGACAAAAACCGCTATTCACATTACTCTCCTAATGTGCTACCAGATGCATCAGATGCTGGAAACTTTTCCAACTACCTTGAGAATGTTCCTTGTTTTGGAAGCAGTGGACCTGCAGATCATGTTTTCCTTAGGTCTATGGGGTCAACCATGGCTTCTAGGCAACTTCTATCATCATCGGCAGTTCCATTAGACTCTAACTTGTCCAGTTCAACTGCCATTCCAGGGCTGACTCCAGCGATGCCAAATCAAGAAAGTATTGGTATTCCTCACTTGCTTGATGATAATTTAAGATGGCTTGCATTGGGGCAGATATTGGAGTTATCCAAGCAACAACATGCATTGGCTTCCCTTGGAAAGAACCTAGAACAGGGAAAATGTAGTAATTCTTCTGATGTCAAAGTACAGCATTCTTTTGTGGAACCATCAATGGCTAAAGAGCAAATGCCAGCACATAACTTAAACTGGAAGCAGGGCATCTCTGAAGTTGCCCTGAAATCAGACCAATCTGGTCCTACTAGTAAGATGGTAAATGATAATGAATTCTCATCTGTGACAGGCAAGTGCTCTTGAATTTTATAACTGCTTGCTTGCATAATTTGTTTGTTAAAACCTGCTCATAATTCTTCAATCCCAATTCAGTATGGAATTCTCTTGTTGTGGTGCGGACAGTGGATTCTTCAATGACATTCTGTGTTCTTCCAGGTTTGAACAGGTGGTGCAAGTTCTCAACATTTACACAAGGAATGTCATTACACTGTAAAGAAATTGGCATGCATTGCCAATCTTCTCACTCTCCTCTTCAAAATGAGCAGCCGTTGTTGAGGTTAGTTTAGAGATTGCAATATTGAACTGGATCATTTTATTTTGCAATTCATTTTCTTGAAAATTGGCATTGGTTCTAATAATGTGAACCTTTTTCTTATGTCTTCTGATATCTTCATAATCTAAGTCATATTAGTTAATGTTTTTCCAAAAAACTTTGCTGTTAGCATCTCTATAAATTTCAATGCTGTTGGTTTAGCCAATATTTGGAGGTGAATAGGTGAATACAAGCTATGTTTTCACAAATTCTTAATGTGATATCTGAAGTAATAGATTCTCCCAGGTAAATTTCATTTTGTCAACTGGCCTGATATATTTTGTATTCTAATGTTACAGGCTTGGTAGATGTCAAAACAATACCCCTCATTCAAATGAACATGAAAGCTGCTGCCCGAGAACACTCTATTTTCAGTACAACTGCAGCTGTCCAGCCCATAATTGTATAGGAGGGCAATGCAATTTTGGAGTTGGAAATCCTCCTAATTCCGTAAGAGAAGAAACTGGAAGTGTCAGTTGCAAAACCCCAATGATAATTGCTTCACAGTTTGCTAAAGATCATGTTAATCCAAAAGAAAATGCAGTGTCTGATCAATATGGAAACTTAAGGGGGCAACTATCTAGGAAAATTAGTTTTTGTGCTTCTCAGTGGAAAGATGTGCCAAGCAAGGTAAAAAGGGTTCCTGAGGTGGCATGTGTAAAAGCATCCCCAGATGCTTTGTATGAAAGAGGACATGAATTAAGACAACTTGAAGATAATGCTGCTAAGTGTTCAAATGGAGCAGTTCATAGAGCAGACTCCTTGAAAAAGCAAGACATATCAAATATATCTTCTGGTTGCTCAACTCCTGCTGTTACTCAGGCATCAATTGAGGTTACCGATGTTGATTCTTCAACTGTTGGGAATAATGAATATGCAAACAATCTTGTAATTGATGAAGGATCAGGTATTGATAAATGCTGGTCATCTGATGATGCCTTTGAAAGTGACAGAACTGCCGACTTTTGTGGTGCTAGTTATAAGACCAACCTGAGAAAAGAGGGATCTCATAAAGTTTTTGGCACTAAATCATCCCGTAGTCTTCTTGATGAGGTTAAGCTCATGGATTCCCTCACATGGAAGAGAGGACGAAATCAAAAACAGTGCGGGACCACTGATTGTGGTAAAACCAATCAGTCACAAGAGTCTGAGAAGGGCATGAAAACTGGGAAGAGAAAGAGAGAAATAGAATTGAAGATGTTGGATGCACCATTATGTACTAAAGTTCCTGTAGTGCATTGCAAAAGTCTTGAGTGTGATGTGACTGTTGACAGGCCTTTTTTATCCAATAATGTGCAATTGGTTTCATCTGGCCTAGACTCATCTTGGACATCTGGTGCTTCTTTCAAAACCGATCTCAAGCATGGGAACTCTGCATTATCTGTCACCAAAACACTCTCTTGTAAAAGAGATCTTTGCAGATTTTACAATGCAGGGGATGGGCATGATCATGGCACAGAAAGCAATCATAATGACAACTCTTGTAATATGATTGGGATCTCAGGCAGAAAGAAATTCAGAAGGACTCGGACTGCTGACATTTGTATGCCGTTTCAGATGCAAGAATTAACTCAGGCAGTAGGTGAAAAAATTTTGAAGAATGATACAGTGAGTTGGATCAAGCCATCTTCAAGTCGGCAGGTGAATCTTTGTTATAGGAAGGCAAAGCCTGTTGTATGTGGGAAGTATGGTGAAATATCCAATGGACATGTGACTGGAGAAGTGACAAAACCAGTTAAAATATTTCCTCTTGATAAGATTCTTAAAACTGCCAGAAGATGTTCTCTCCCTAAAAATTGTAAACCTGGACTAACCTCCTCAAGGGGGTGGAAGAGAACAAATTTCAGATGGAATAATGTTTGCTCCGATAAGTTCTTCAATTTGGCAAAAGAGAAAGAAAATAACAGAAATGATGGGTTGATATGTGAAGAGATGAATGTTGACCCTTCCTTGAAAGAAGCATTTTTGAGTGGGGATGAGCAATCTGCTGATGAATTTTCAATACTGGAGAAGAGAGAAGATAAAAATGAGAAAGGTGATGACCCACTGGACAGTAGTTCTCATGTTCAGACAAAACCCAAGTATAAAGAAACTCGCAAGCGCAGCCTTTATGAGTTAACATTAAAAGGTAATATACATGTTCTTTTATTCAAAAGGAAAATATCATTTGAGTAATTCATATTTCCATCCACTCAGATGAAGGAATATTATGAGCAGAGCTGCAAGTTCTAGCTTACTTGATTGATGAGGCACTCAGCCTTAAAGCAGCAACTGTGATTGCTAAGTGCCAGTTGAAGGAATGAACTTTCTGAAGATCGATTCATATTAGATATGGACTATAGCAACCCATTAGGAATGCTGAGAGGCATTACATGCATTTATTCATGATATGAGGTGTTACGAAGAGGTCCTGTAGTTAGAGCAAAATGCGAGCATGCGTATTGAATAATAATATGTGCTTATTTATTCTGCATGTAGTAACCCATGCAAAGAAGCCAAATTTGTATAAAACAATCAATCGGAATGAAGTTGAAGATTTTCAGTTTGCTGTCTGCATGTGGGTTTTTATGTGTGTTGTCAAGATACTTCAGCTCTTTTATTTAAAAAATTTTATATTTGCTCATTTTGTCTGACATGCTTAATTTTCACTCGGTTTATAAACATTTTTTTTTTCTCATCTCCTTTTATCTTTTACTTAAAAATGTTCCCTAGCTTCTCATTGGCTCTACTTTTACATCATTTGATCTTTATTTTTTTTCAGGAAAGAGTCCTAGTCCTAAAATGATTTCCCAAAGGAAAATTTTCAAATGTGAGCCGAAAATGAAATTGCAAAAGAACCTAAAGAATTCTAATAGAAGTCAAGTTCGTGGATCATGGAAAGTTGATGCCAAAAGGTGAGCTAGCGAATCCATAATGATAGATTGGTTGCTTTTATTTTGATTTATGTATTAGTTTAGATATTATTCTGGCCTTCTCTTATGAATTCTGATGCTTTAGTTTTGAACACTTTGATGTTGTTGTGTCAGACATGTTAGAAAGCAGAAACACCCATCTGTTACAGACATGGATTCATTCTGCTGTGTTTGTGGAAGCTCAAACAAAGATGAAGTTAATGATTTATTGGAGTGTGGGCAATGCTCAATCAGAGTATGTAGCAGCTGGAAATTTTGCATTCAAGTATCTTCCCTATGTTTCCGTTAATGATTTTACACACTGATGAGCGTCTCAATAAATAGGTTCACCAAGCTTGTTATGGCGTTTCCAAAGTGCCTAAAGGCCTCTGGTACTGCAGACCTTGCAAGACAAATTCTAAAAATATTGTAAGAAATTTTATTAGCAGTTCAATGCATAAAAGTATATTTGTCCATTTCTCAATGAACTGAATTAATTTTTCTTTTCTTCATTTGGTCTTTTAATTGATATGCAACTTGCTATTTCTGAAAATATCATGACTTGGATATTAAAGTTTAGATAGCTAATATGCTGTTCAGGATGCAGGTATTTGTTTGTTCTGCAGTTCTTGAAAAGAATTAGAAGTGATTTGTTGCAGAAAAGAAGGCCTAATAAAAGTTTTATCTTCTGATTCGTGTGTTATGTGTTGTAAGCACAATGAGTCCCAATCTTACCTTTGTATTCTCTGTGAGGTGGAGTGGGCAATCTAGAATTGCTCCTTTGGTAGTTTGAAGGAGAACGAGGTATGCCTACTTTGGAGACTTCTTGTGGTCCCAAATCAAGAGGGTTTGGTGAAATGAAAGATGTGAAATTTGTTGGAGCTTATGGATTGGGAGGAATGCTCATATTTTTAAAAACCAATTATTGTCTGTCAATCTATTGTGCGATAAAGTGCTTTTCCGTGACATCTTTGTTTGCATCTGCTTCTTGTGTCATTGATAAGAGTTGCTTTGTGTTCTACATCCTGAATGTAGTGCATGTTTGTTACTTTTTTTTGTGTGTTTTTATGTGATGCTTTCAGTAAGAGGATACGAAAATCACTCTGTTATTGACCTTAGGGCATAAATCTCTAGATACTGTGGTTTAATCATATTTGTAATCTGTTTTCTAGGAAATGTATTAGACTTTACGAAAATTAGGTTTCCTCTGGAGGTTTTATTGATCCTTCTCAACTATATTGGCTGACTTTATTGCCAGACGTTTGTTTATTGGCTTTCTTCTTCCATTTTATCTTGTGATTCTAATGCCTCTCTTGTTCTAACTTGTCTAGGTTTGTGTTCTTTGTGGTTATGGTGGTGGGGCTATGACTCAAGCACTTAGGAGCCGTACAATTGTGAAAACCCTTTTAAAAGCTTGGAACCTTGAAACAGAATGCAGGCAATTGAATTCAATTCCTTCTGCTGAAATTGTGCAGGAAGAATTCAACATTTTGCATTCCTCAGGATCTATACCAGAAAATAGTCCATATGCTGTTGTAAGACCCACAAATATTGAGCCATCAACTTCAACCATTTGCAATATGGATGTGCAGAACCAATCTGATATATTACAAAGTTCATTGTGCCGTGTTAGTAATCTAAAAGTGCATACTAGTATTACAGCAGGAGTACTTGATTCAAATGTTAAGCAGTGGGTTCACATGGTTTGTGGCCTGTGGACTCCTGGAACACGATGTCCAAATGTGGATACCATGAGTGCTTTTGATGTCTCAGGCATTTCACGTCCTAAAACAAATGCGGTAAGCATTGAAATTAATGATAATTGAACTAATAAAATATATATTCAGGAGTATATGTTTGCCTGAATCCATGATGTTATGATTATTTTGGTCAGTTGTGGTGCTTCACGTATGCACTTTTTGTTTTTGGTGTTTATCACCCAACTGTGATTAAGCTAAATAATGGTTGAACTGATAAATTAAGGATAATTGCTCTTTGACCACTTGAGCCAAAGCCCAAGATACGCAATACCATACAATATTGTTGTGGTAAGAGGTAACAGTTCATGCATGGATGGTGAACCGACCTTTTTGAGTTGTCCAAATCTTGTGATATGCTATCAATCCACATTGCATACTTTAAGACGCTGATCACTAATTGCAGTTTTTCATTATTGCATCTTGTTATTATGATATTTGACATGAGTGTTCTTTCTGTGTTTCTTATCTAAATTGCAAATTCAGTAAACAAAAGCAAGGGATGAGTGTACTATAGTAATTTTGTCATGCAATGACAGTACCTGATCTAGGTTCTCTGGTATTATGTACAATTTGGCATTTTTAACTCCTTTTATGGCAATGCAAAGATTCAAATTTACTTCAATTTGTTCACATGAGATATGGGAATCTCTACTGTATAGGGTATATGGATTATGAAATATTATACTTACACTCCTTTTTTGCAATATCTATATTACCTCAACAACAACAACAATAATAATAACAATATTCAAGTAGGAATTTACACTTTCATTTTTTCTTTTCCAGGTATGCTCTGTGTGTAATCGACCAGGTGGTTCATGTATACAGTGTAGGGTTGAAAATTGCTCTGTTCAGTTTCATCCTTGGTGCGCTCATCAGAAGGTGTATTTTCTATTTGAATATTTTGGGTGCCTAGTTACATGCATTTTTCATATTGTTTTTCTGCCTTGATTTGTTGTTCAAGTAGGAATATATCCTTGGAAGATTTGGCCTTTCTTGCTGTTTATGATTTTGTTAATTTCTAGTAGGAACTGGGTTGTGACGAGAAATTGTTTTTTAGTGATATAGACACTTCTTTATTAGACTACCTTCAAGTTATTTTGCTTTATCTGGTATGCAAACAAAAGTAGTGTCCATCCTATTTTAACAGCATAATTGGATTGGAATACAACCAAATGTGTTGTGTTCTATTTTACATTAACAGCCAAAATTGCCTTGAATTTTGAAAATCCCATTTTGAAATAATTAATTCTATTCTTCACTATCAGCATTCTGTTTATCCCTTCAACTTTCTTTAGCGTATTGGTTTCAGGGTCTGCTGCAAAGCGAGGCTGAAGGCGTCGATAATGAAAATGTTGGCTTTTATGGAAGATGTGAACTTCATGCAACATACACAGCAAGTCAATTGACATGTGATGTTGATGACATTGAAGCAGGTTGTACAGGAGAAAGCTGTGCCAGGACTGAGGTATTCCTTTCATGAGTGCTGGGTTGCAGAGGAGGTTTGCATGTTAGCATAGTTAAAAGAGTTAATACTATTGAATATACTAATGATGCTGTGTGTGTGTCTCTCTCTCTCTCTCTCTCCTTTTAAATTTTATTTTGTACAAGGGATATAAGGGTCGCAAACGTGATGGCTTCTGGCATAGTATTAATTGGCAATCAAAAGGAAAGGGTGGATGCCTTGTTCCTCAGGAGCAGTTAAATGCTTGGATTCACATTAATGGACAGAAATCTTGTTCACAAGGCCTTTTGAAGCTGCCAATTTCAGAAAAGGAATATGACTGCCGGGTATGAGTTACTTCAGATTTTTTATTTATGGTTGATTCAGTTAATTGCCTTTCAGATAAGAACCCTTTCTTTATCCATTTTAGTTTTCCTTGGTTTCTCACTGAAACTGCATCATTTGGAGTTCTCATGCTTTCTATCTTATTGATTTCCTCTTATTGCAGAAAGAATATGCCCGCTACAAACAATTGAAGGGTTGGAAACATTTGGTTGTTTACAAGTCTGGCATACATGCCCTTGGCCTTTACACATCTCGGTTTATTTGTCGTGGTGAAATGGTTTGACCTTTTCTCCCTCAAGTCATTGATGCACTTCTCTGATTGTGATTGGACAATGTGATGAGCTTTCTAGATTTTTCAGGTGGTTGAGTATGTTGGTGAGATAGTTGGGCAACGTGTGGCTGATAAAAGAGAGAACGAGTATCAGTGTGGAAGGAAACTGCAGTACAAGAGCGCCTGCTATTTCTTCAGGATAGATAAAGAACATATTATTGATGCGACCCAAAAGGGGGGAATTGCTCGTTTTGTCAATCATTCTTGTCTGGTAATTATCTGTCTCCATGAGCGTTTTTATGCCATCATGCAGCATCAAATTAATTTTCTTACTTTGCTGTCCATTTGCTTGACCAGCCAAACTGCGTAGCTAAAGTTATTTCAGTTAGGACAGAAAAGAAGGTAACTCGAAATCCCTCTTTTATGTGTCTGGCTATGGTTTTCCTTGGTTGCTTATTTTTGTTTGAATAACCTGTTTGAAGTGATTCCTAAAATGTGCGCATTAAAAATTTGGCCTTGCTACTTCTTTTGAATTGTATTTTGCGTTTTGGGGGATAATTAGAGGACTTTGTTTTGCATTTACAGGTAGTCTTTTTCGCTGAGAGAGACATATATCCTGGGGAAGAGATAACGTACGACTACCATTTTAACCATGAAGATGAAGGAAAGAAGATCCCTTGTTTTTGCAATTCAAAAAATTGCAGGCGCTATTTGAATTAATAGGCATTTTCGACTCCCTTGTAAATACATCATTTTTGTAACACCAACGATTCAATTCGGTTGTTAATTTTAGGCCTCTGTCAATACGAAATATCTCCGGAGTCGGGACCTTGTTCTAAAATTTTGTTTCTGTGTATTATATGTAAGTTCAAGCAATTATGAGTCGGATCTATTCCTGTCACATTATGGTAGGTTGCAGGTTAATATTTACGAGACAATCATAAGCACTTCATATTTTTTAAAGTTACAAGAAAAGTACATAAAATAATACATGCATTATAATTATCTATAATTGGTGGATCGATGTGTTTATTATTATCATCATTACTATTATTATTATTATTATTATTATTATAACAAGTTCATTAAAGCTCAAACGATGTTCTAGAAAAATGCTCTTTGGCTAATCTTTTTGAGTATTTCAAATTTTTTAAAAAAAAATAAGAAAAATATTATTTAGAAACAGACCCTAAAAGATAATAACAAATGATCTGGGATTCAGCATTTTGGCTATGAGATCAGTTTTATTCACTCTAACAGCCTCTGAGACAACCTTGTTTTCGATGTTCGCCGAACGAAAAAAAAAAAAAGGTCTGTATTGCCATTTGCCAAACGTCAAATTCACAGGAAAGGTCACTGCTGATCTTGTGTATATTCGTCGATATGCGCTAAAATAAAAATAGCAGAATAAAACTGAAACAAAACACTGCTTTAAACTAAAACAAAAGGTTAGCCACCTGTGATGTATAATAATAATCTTTAGAAGCACAAAAATTCTAATTTACAACACTTGTTTATTCGTTTGAATTACAAATTTTGATATTCTATTTTTCTCAAAAACAATATATTTCTTGTAACCATGGATGATCAATCTAACAAGTTGCAGATTCTTTTTAATTTCATCATCTGATAAACGAAACACGCAGATTGTGCAAATGCTGCCCTCCACCGACACAACTAAACACAAAAGTATACGTCTTGGTAGCTTTTACCTAAATGTCTTCCATGATTCCCAGTTAGGAATGTTTTCTGTGGCTTCATTCACCATTTTCACCAGAGTCACCTGCCACGTAATATTTGCTTATAATCATAAACATCAACTAGGCAAAGAATTGATTTCATCATTCTTTTTCTTCCCTTCAAGCTAAGAGACTTTAAAACTTGCACAAAAGAAAATTCACATAACGACTACAATATTAAGAAAATTTATATCACTTCTAATAAGCAAAGCACGTTTGCTTCCCTATTAGAGAATGCCTACAACGGAGTCTACTCCTAAGCCTCTGGGTAATATAGGCTGGTGCCATCCACAGGTAAGCCCCTATCCCACCTAAAGCTCCATTCTTAATGTAGCTATCAGATTATGACTGCTTTTAACACTATTCAAATGGAATTATCTAACGCAATAACTTTGAGAATGCTTTAAAAAACAGGTCATGGTATTTTATTTTTGTACCACCAATACCAATGAGATAATGGGCCTGATTTTGATTCTCTACGAAGATGCTCAAAGCTGGTAGTTATCTGTACCTAAATGCCAATTATACCCATACTTCATGGTGAAAAGTAGAAAATTTTCACAATTACCGGTAGGTCAGATCATGAAGGCCAAATCTTTCCCATTAAATAGCTCTCTAGAAGTAAGAGACGTGACACCTAAAGATCTTTTAATTTTTTAATGTTAAAATCCTTCACGTGTACAGCTTGCAACAAACTATTATTATCATCAAGAGACATGAAGCATACCACACTTTCTGGAACACCAGGTGGAGGCAGGGGAAGGTTCCTAGGGGGTGGAAATTTATCAAAAGATCTTTTGTCAAATCTCCATTCTCCAATCTTTCCATAGGTTAGCTTACCCTGAAATAGAGCAGGAAAAAAAAAAGAGAAAAAAAAAGCAATTAGCCAATCTGGTAACTAGCAAACCTATATATTGGACCTAAGAAATTTGTTTCTCTTTTCCATTTTTCCTTTTCATTATACATGAACATTGAACATAACAAATTTTCCATTTTAACCGATAGAGTATTACCTTCATGTCATAGTCACATCCATAAGTGTAATGAATTATGAACTTTCGACCAACTTCTGTATCCCAAGGGGGCTGATAATGGAAAAAAGGATAAATACTAGTAAGAATAACACAGAAAAAACTAAAATGTAGTAAGCTTAGGCATCATCGATGGAGTTAAGAAAATGTTTTGCAAGAAAGAATCATCGAATGATATATTCTGCTGGACCCATGCACAGCACAGAAAGGACTGGATTTAGTTAGCACCTGAATCATGAAGTCCTTATACAATATATTGCTAACACCATGAAGAGCAGATGAAACGGCATAAGCATACCTATATTAATGAAAGAAAATGGTGAAAAAAAAGTCAATAGTCTACTCAAAGATGAGTGCAGAATAAATTGCAAAAATCTCACATTTCAAGCACCCAGCCAAAAGCTTTATCTGTTTCAGGGTCCTTCTTCATTGCCAAGGAAACATTCATCCAAGTGGGAGCAATCTTCTTAAGAGATTCCTAACAGTATTTTTAACAGACAATCAAGAAAAGGCCAAGAACCAAAAGAAAAATTCATCATTGACAAGGGCATAATACAACACAGACCTTCCCAATAATGACAGGAGAGTTTCCTATGGGATCAATATTTGTTACCGGTCCCTTGTCCTCAGAGAAGTACTTCCGGAGGACTGACTCATACTTCTTAGGCTCAATGTAAAAGAAAGGAAACGCAGCTCCAAGCCCATCTTTAGATAAGTTTGGTATGGGTTTAACAATAATATGATCCGGCTCTGCCATTAGTATATAACTGCAAAAATGGTAAGAATAGCATACATAAAGTCAAATCTACTGAAATATAGATGGACCTATCACAGAAGCTAGAGTTTAGTGCTTCATACTCTTCTTTTATGTCTGCTTGTTGAAGCCACTGCACAAATGCCCAGGGTCTGTTGAGGACTATGTAACCCTGTCATCAAGAGCTAGCAGGTCATTTCTGGTTACACCCAAAAAAAAGACTTCAATTCTAGTTCCTAGTTTGTATATTTTTCAATTTCCATATTCATAATTGCAAAAGTTAAAACATTTACATAAAAGTAAAACCTAACGAATGGGAGTTGCATTCCCCCCTGTTTTTCAACATTTCTTTAGCAAAGCACATGTGAGATTCAACTTTTTATGGAGTTTAACAATAACAAAAGGGTAAAAGTTGGAAACGGAAACATCGAAAAATCTTCCCCAACATATTTCATCCCTATTCTCAAAATCAATCCAAAACAAGTATCAAACTCTCAATTTAGGTAAACAAGTCCCAAACTCTAACTGATGCTCAAAGTAAAATACACAAACTAAGAAAGAAAAAAAAAAATCCAAGTGGATACCTGATCCATGCCAGACGGAAGAGGCTGGGCTATGAAGGTTGGAATCTCATCCATGAACTCATCAGGTTTTCCGGAATGCAAGATCCTGGTGAAACCACCCATCTCAGAATTGGGTTCATCCTTGAATTTCTTGAACCAGTAGTACATTACTCTACACTGCCACGTGTTATACACGGAATCAGAGGCTGTAACTGCAGTGTGGAACAGCCTTTTCTTAGCGGCTCCGTATCTTTTCGACCTCTCCAAAGGCATTTTGATTATGGGGTCAACAGAAATATAAGAGGAAGAAGTAGTAGATGGACCAGGAAGATCTTGCTTGAGAGGAGCACTGGCTGAGATCAGAATATTGTATGTAATTAGCGCTACTGAAAACGTTATAAGTACAGTGAAGAATAGATTTCCCCAACCCATTTTTATCTTTCTCTCTAATACAGTCTTCTTTAGGAGCGCAGAAATCAGAAATTTAGGAGGAAGAAGAAGAAGGCTGCTTCATACAATTAAAAAAAAAGTCGTCGCAGAGTTGTTGAAGAAAGTGGCTGTTATATTCTTGTTGTATTATTAGGTAAGGATTATTTATTTTATTACACAACAAAGGGAAATATTTCCTACACGGAAAGTTTTCTATCGTCTATAAACAGAGGTAAACTTTTCGCTCCATAAGTAAACGACACGTAGCAAATTGGGCTGATGGCGGTGTCTTTTTCTTTTTTCTTTTTTTTTTCCTCTCCTTCAACAGCATGCTCCTAAATGTGCAACTGCTTTATGGCATACGAAAGGGAGTGGATAACCCATTAAAAAGGATAAACGATTATTTTTTATTTTTATTGATTTTTGATTTAATTTAAAATTACTTTTCCAGACTTCCAATTTGAGTTGGATCAATTTAATCCGAATAATATAATATATGTATAATAAATGTCAAGAAAAATCAAAATGTGAATCTTGGATTGTATCTCCCGATTTAGAAAAAGAAATGAAGCAGCAAATATTTGTTACGGTCTGTTAAGGACTGGATCTCAAGAATTGTATATCAACGACAAGAGTAATTTCCCATCTCCCAAAATTATATTTCTTTAAAATACAAAGACGATTATTTCGGCTTTATCAAAATGAAACGAGTAAAAATTAAACTGTGTTGGTCTAAAATTCGCTAAATTCTTTGCGCTAATTCAATGTGGCTGTCAAAGTTTCTGCGCGCACGCCAAGGCTGCACTCCTATACAGGACTTCAAGGTAAATTATTCCCTCTGCATTCACAGGTGTAGAGTTCCATTTCATTTGGTCAATACCAAAACCCTGAGCTTCAAAAATTATTGCCAACAGAAAAAACTGCATTACCTTTTGTCGCTTGCTAGGACGAGGCGATGAAGGATCAATTCGTGCTCTTGAGGAAGCCCCAACATCCGATTCTGAAGCCTGCAAATAAAATATAATGGTTACTTGAAATGGATATCGACCAATCTCTTCCCTTCCCTTCCCTTCCCTTCCCTTCCCCCCTTCCCATGTCCATGTACCAAAAATAATTCCAAATTTCTATAATAGGAGTATGCATTAGACAAAAGAAATCATAGAATCAAGCAACAAAGCATGCTTGCCTGTGTCAAAGCTTCCATATTACCAGAATCAATCCTGGAAGAACCCAAGGCTGCATCTTGATCTATAAAGGGCATAATTTGTTGAAGCACATTAGACAAGAATGCTCCTTCATTATCTACTGTTGCCTCTTGTGTGTTAGCAGCAGCCTCAGGTGGCTGGGAATTTGAAGCTGTACCCTGAAAGTTAATACCACCGCCAACATGGATAGGTACATTATGGTTATGGTCACTAGATGGATGAGAGTTACTAGTGGTATCCGTAGCTTCAGAATTCAATTGTTGAACTGGAGCTAAGACTGGATAGGATAATCCCATTGAACTATGTGATAAATCAGGATTTTGCCTAACTGGAGCAGTAACTGCAGTGATCACAGCCCTAATTGGCACTACCTGCACGTCAGAAACCCTAATGGAGGGCGGATTCCCTGAGGGTACAGCAGTAGCTTGATGAAGAGAGTTTGAACCACCAGAAAGTGGTGGGTTGGTTTCTCCAGTAGATGGCTCCCTTTCATTTGCATTAACTGATGGCATCAATGAACCTATGTTATTTTCAGATCAAGATAACCTTTTAGATAAAATCACATAAAATAAATGGAGATGGATACAGAAAAGACAATGCTGGCAACAAAGGCAGCACATTGTTTTAATTTTGACAACCAATATGAGATTCTCACTAGAAGACATTTAACACAACCAACATTGTCAAAAATCCAACAAATTCACATAAAACTACACGGTAAAATCAGATGCCAAACTTCTCAAAGATACTTTTTTTTACTATAATAACAGACAAGTGAAACATCCCATCACATTTTTCAGAGCTCGTTAAACTTAAATATTCTGAATGGATAGGCACCTGCTTGTATTCTTACGTTGCGATTCCGCAGGACCTCAGCAGTTCCAATGGGAGTTGTCCCATAACTTGCTCCAGGTTGGAAGGAAAGTGGCTGTTAATGATTTGTTTCAGGGAAAACAGTAACAAAGAGGAAATCAATTTAAGATAGTCTGAATTCACATAAAAAGACAATTGATAAGATTGTGCATACTGCCTGAACCATCATCGGATTTGGACCAAAAGCGGATATAAATACAGGAGGTCCAGCATTTACCACAGCATCAGCCTGAGTAGGAAAAGTCAGCTCCTTGTCATCATTTGAGAAGATGTGTGAACAACACTCTTCATGCAGTCAGTAACAAGTGGAAAGAGGGGGTGGAGAGGGAAAGAAAAGAAAGAGCTAATGCATGTAAAGCTCATGAGAACTCAAAAATTGAATCCCACAATGAAAACAGGACAAATAACAAACCGGTGTTTCGCCCAGTCTCAGTGTCATAGTTATACGACCAAGTTCAAGCAGCAAAGCACCCAAATTCTGCAGAAGCACTCCTGATCTAAGACTGTTTGTCTGAACACTAGCCCAGGCTAATAAATCCATAACATTTTCTTGATCCTCTAGTAGTTGTGCAAGTTGCTGCAGATTAAAACGTAGTCCATAGCAATGTATGAGGACAAAATTCACATTTCTGCAAGAGTTACAACTTCATTCCATCTATAAGTTGCTGCAAGCTCCCTATAGCTATTCCCAACAGAAGAAAGACCCAAATATGCTGTAGTCATATTCTAGCTTCTCAGGACCTACACTGAGGTCCTGAAGTAAGCTTAGAAAAAATTCGCCAAATCAAGTCAACTCAGTTGTTGGCGGTTGCTTAATCTCAAACAACTTAATGCTGTAATAACCTGAAACTATCACTACCAAATGGAAATAGTGGTATCACATGGCTTATCTTAAACCAGACAATTATGATGCATGGAAAACTTTCTGAACCATAAAAACATACAGATAGGCAATCAGCAACTTGTTCAATCAACAATTGCCTGGTTGACAACAACACTTCTGCCAAGGAAGCTGGCCTTGCAAGCGCTTCTTGCCCAGCAGTTGAAGGGAGGACGGTTTCAGAGTTCTGTACATTTCTCCCATGAGTTGCAGCAAAGTTTGAATTGTTTTCATCATCCACTGAAAACAATCAAAAATTTTCAAGAACATAAGCAACAGAAATACCATGTATGAGATTAGGAAGAACTAAAAAAGCATTGAGTTTACTAACCATTCGGCCCAAATTCATGTCTCAAATGATTGAGATATTGGGACAAAGTTGTCAACGACTCAAGAATCACCTGCAGAAATCATGAAAATTATCTCATGTTCTTCAATCGTGTCAAGGGAAGTACTTTGTGTGTGAAGAAAATATGCCGCTATCCAACAAAATCTCAATGCGGAACTAGTTGGAGCTGCCTATACAGGTACTTTTTCACTCATTTTCATCAATCTGATCACACACAGACACAAACATATCTTAATATTCTCACTGTTAACTGCACTAACTGTATGGAGTGTTAACTGCGGATACTCAGCACCATAGAATATAATAATTGAATGGTGTCTTAATCTTAATTTGGGTCCAGCATAACTGATCCATGCTTACATCTAAAATAAGGTTGAAATACATTGGGAGCCAGCATAAACAGAATCACAACTCTGCTATCAGAAATGCAAGCTATGTCTAGTACAGTAAGAGGAAATTGCAGCTCCATGGATGAAGAAAACAAAGAGTTGAAACATACAGGTGGCTGCAAAGTTGCTTGGTGGTGTTGTCCACTAGAACCTACCAAGCCATTATTAGAAGGTTCCTGCCAAAAAAAAAAAAAAAAAAAGTTGATTGGTGGTGTTTGTAGTCCACTAGAAACCTACCAAAGCCATATTAGAAGTTCCTGCCAAAAAAAAAAAAAAAAAACATTCAGGTACTTGAAGCATGGTACTGGGGCAACTAACTTCGAAGTCCTCAAAGTAGCAATGGGACTTCAAGGATGAAAAAAAAAAAAAAAAAAACATCAGTACTTGAACATGTACTTGGGCACTAACTTCAAGTCCTCAAGTAGCATTGAGGCTTCAAGGGATGATATAGCATAGCATCAACCTGAATCTATACCAAACATCTCAACAGAAGATGGAAACAGATACATGCAGCAATGTAAGTTACTCTGTCCTCGCTTTTATTAATAAATCATTTAATAACTAACTTGAGCTACACTGGTCGACAAATCAATCAATTCACAAGCTCTATTCCGAAATGCAATACAAATATCTTATAGGAAAATGAGAAAAGTGCTTTCCACTAAAGTATCTGCACAAGTGTGGTTGAATAAGACTTCACACAAATAAATTACACTACTACAAGGAGCTAAACAGGAAATGCATCAGCCATTCTAGAATTGGTTTGTTCTGTATAAATTAAATATACCCTGAGATTAAACCCTTCGCTGCCACTTCCAACAACAATGGAACTGAGAATAGCTGAGAAAATCTGTTGACAAAGATATGAAAGAAATAGAAAACCACAAAAATCATATCGACATGTTTTTCAATGTATGTGCAAGAAATGAGAATTCATTTTGCAACTCCAGCACTTACCTGATTAAATGAGGAAAAGACTCCATCACCTTCTTCAGAAAAGGCTCCAACTAATACACTGGGACCTACACAAATATCTAGACTGTGTGAAGCACTTGAGGAACTATCAGTTGCTGCAAGTGACACCAAGTACTTTAAGTTTTTGGTGTCTCTTACAAATTCAATTGGCAAGAATATTAATCAGGACGCACTTATGTGAAAGAAGAAAATAATCCATTTATAAATTGTGGAACAAATGACCAAATAAGAGGAATTAATGTTTTTCTTATTTTTGCTTTAGGCATTCTGCTATGTCATTATGTAGGACAGACATATAATTCTTCTCTTACAATTATGTAAGCAAAATCCAGTTTGTGTACATGCAAGCTTCAATGGAATTTCATATGGGATGATCAGAAGTCCAATCCAAATATATAATGTTGAAAATATATTTAATCAAATAATATTATGCTATAAAATCAACTTGATAAACGTCCTTAAAGCACAACTAACCAAGCACAACCAACCTGGATCATTATTAGGCAAGCTATCTGATGATGGCAGAAATGGTTGTCTAACAACCAAATGCAAAGTGTGACCATCTTCCACATCTGATGTAACGTAGCAAGAAAGCTTTCCAAACAAGCTGATCCATAGCAGAAGAAAGAACAAGTGCAAATCAATGAATCATGAAATTATCAAATTCAAAAAGGATACGATATGCCGAGAGCAGCTGATCATCCTTTAAAACTCTTCCACGACAAATAAGGCGCTGTTGTTCAGATAGCACACCAGTAACAGTAGCAATTTGTTCCTTCAGCTCAGGTACGGGGACCTGTACAACATAAAGAGAATTAGAAGATAAGAAATACATCCATATGCACACCCCTAAGATGTTTTATATAGCATAAAAGCATAAGAAACGAACAATCACAGAGAAAAAAGCATGTGATACTTACACATTTATCCACACGCAAGGTATATGTTTGTGAATCTAAAGTTTTTATCTTTATCTCAACTGTTGCCTCAGAACAGTTAGACCCGTGATTCCCAGAAGCCATAGCTTGATCACCACCAGTCTCCCTTTTTCTTCAAAACCTGAAGAATAACCCAAATAGCCTCAACACGGTTATTGTGAACAAAATTGAGTTTCTAAAACCTAGAATCAAACATAATTAATACGCAATAAAAGAAACTGCAACCATGTTAGGTGCTGTGCAATCCCGAATGCCTTTATTATTTAACATGCAGATAAATGTTCACATAAAGTTCAGATAAAAAAATGTAGCTTAATTGAAAAGCATTTCCGAACCAGAAATAGATAATGGCGAGAGGAACAATATCCATGTCTCCCTCTGATGAACCAGTCCTTTACTAATCATGAGTCATCCATTCATTCGGAAAGTCAAGCACATCATTGAGATGTTTTATTGGCTGTGAACGAAAAGAAAAATACAATAAAACTAAAAAGTTCGGAATTTTAAAGAGAAACCTCTAGCACCTGACAACATACAAGAATTCCCCTCCCAAAACAGAAATAACCCATAAAAATTTTAAATGTGAAATGAAATTAAGTCCATTCTTTCTCTGTTATCAGCTGCCAGCGAGCAATTAATCATCCTGGTTGACTAAAACTGGTATGAGAAAGGGTTCTTACTTTAGTGTTGAGAGGAACGGCGAATGAAAATAATAAGAAGAAAAGAACTGAAATGAAACCCGTGAAACTCAAATGACAAAACAGTTATGATCAGAGAACAGAACCTCGCAATTAAATGCTGTTAATTTTAATGCATGCAACTATTAAAAAGCCTCAACTTTAGAACTTGTATTTGTCCAAGTTCGATTAACAGTAACAGAAGCAATCCATTTAGCATACAATAACTAAAAAACCGAAGGACCATCAAATTCTAGGGTTTCATGAATCAGAAAAAATAACAAAAACCAAAAACTGAAGACAAAATTGCTTCCAAAAAGTTGTATCGCCATGGATGCACTGATAGACACGTATATCCATAATATGATCATGCGAACGAGTAGATAGAAAGAGTAGCATTAGACTGAGATATTCACCTGAAAAAGCTTCAAGAAGGGAATGACTTGCGGTGATTGAGATTTTGAGAGCGAGGGGTTTAATGCTAGCTTGAAATTAGGAAAATTTTCTTATAGAAAATTGTTACCTGCCGGTATGTCTCCCCCCTGTGGGTGCTATTTAAACGTTTCAGTGGTGTTTTCCATCAGCCGTCGGATGAAATTACTTTCCTTATAAGTCCGTCAGGGCCGTCCGATTGAAATTTTTTAATCCTTAAATAGTAATAAATAATAATAATAAATGTCATACCACCTGAACCAGAATCTCAAAAACGCCGTCATGCAATTAAGAAATTTTTAATGCAGCAAATTTCATAGTTCAGTGCCAACCAATAATGAAGATAGAAAGATCTCAATTGGGCTAATTCCGATCATAAATAAGTGTATTATCTATACACGTATTATTTTTACATTATAAAATTTAGAAATAATATATTTTTTTAATTTTTCATTTTTACAAATGACTAATATTAACTGTAATAATTTTAAAAAAAATCTCCCACTTTATTGAAAATAAAATCAGTGCAATTAATTTACTTAATAATTTATTATTAATTAGATAAAATTAAATATTTTTTTAAGAAATGAAAAAAAAGTAGATATGTTACACTTATTTATGAATAAAAAGAGTATAAAATTTTATTAATTTAATGGATTAACAAATGTTAGACTTACAATAATGTTTACTAATTTAATAAGTCGCTTTTTCTATTAGGCAGACCATGACGTTATTTGGACATTGGCCTCCAATAAATGAGAAAGAAAAAAACAATTTCATAATTCCATTCTGTTAACGACATGTCGTCTATATTAAAAGCAGCTGACAACGGACTACCACGCAGTGACGTGTCACTAGATTCTCCCTTAGCATTAAGTGCACGTCGTTTATTAATCCTGGTTAAGAAAGAGTTCGGGCCTGAGAAGTTTCATTTCAGACCTATCATAAAATTTCACCCTCTCTTTGTCTACAATTACTTCAATGGGTTTGCAAACAAGGATTAGAAACACCCATTCACGAAACGGGACAGCCCAAAGCCCAATAACAATGGATCTTTGGCCCTTCTTTTTCCTTTTATTATTATTATTATTATTATTATATAATTTTTTTAAAAAAAATTTCCTATTTTACCAAAACAAAGGGAAATATTTTTTTTTTCTAAATAATTCATTATTTTGGAGAAGGATATACTTGAGCCAGTTCAATTGTAAGAGTGTGTATGCATGACTGAACTGACAGATAGCTTTTTGACTTTAGAGGCCAATCATTTTTTACTTTTGAACTTTTACGGAGTGAAAATAAAAAATATCCACTTTGCACTTGCAGTAAAAAGTAAGTATTAAAAATTGAAAAACGGATTTTCTAAGTGTTTTACATGATTAATTAGTGATCATGAGATAATTAAATTATGTGAACAAAGCAACAGTTATCATTAAACAATTATCAAAATGAAAAATTTATCTCTAATTAAACAAAATGCACAAAAAAAAAAGTTAAAAGCCCCACTGAAAGGGAAGCGGAAATTATGGTCTCGAGAAGGAATATACAAACGGTGTAATGTATATATTGTTTTCCAATTAGCATTTGCAATTAGAGTCAAAGAAATTGCGATACCGAAGATTTTTATTGGGGAGGGTGCTCTTTTTAGGTTATAGTGGGGCCTACCCAGTTGTTATCCACCTTCCCGCCAGTCCCATTTTCATCATTTATATTTATTGAAATTGAATTATTTCACTCTCCTTTTCATGTCTAAATGTGATATGACCCTATTATCCTCGTCATTCTGCACCTCCACCAATCGTATTATTTGCATTCTTTATTAGAATTATAGTTTTTTTAATACTAAACGGGTATTTTGGTCACAAAAGTTTCAGTAGGGCATAGAGTTACTGTGTTACTGGGTTACTGTCTGCCATTAGGAAAAATATCCGGCAGTTCTTTCACTTCCAAAATATAATTATCATACAAACTCTTGCTTTTCTCTCTTTCTTTCCCCTCTCAAAGCTTAAATCAAAGAAAAAAGAACAACCCAGTAAAGAAACAAGCAAAGCTAGCTTGGTTTGTTTCTTTTTCTTTCTGTGTCTGTTTTATGATGTTATGTCACAGATTACTCTCATTTTCTCTTCTTATCACCTTTCTTTTCTTCTTTTCTTCAACACTACTTCCCTTCTCACTTGGTGTTTCACACTTCCCTGCTCTACCCCCTGCAGGTACACTATCCTTGTGCTGGGTTTAATGCTTCTTTACGTTTTGTTTGGTTTCCAAGAAAATGTGGGGAAAGGAAAATGATATTTTCTTTTCTTGGGTTCATAAAGGACATATTTTTACACGTCTAGTGCTTACAATTTTCTGTCTATGGGCCCCCAGTCTATTGTACTAGCTGTTAGAAAATGTTGCTTTAGTTAATGTGAATTTTTCATGTTTCTTGGAGTCGTAAAAAATGTTAATGAAAATTTGCAAATTAATTTCCCTTCAATGTGCAGCACCTAGCAAAAATATAGAAACTTTGTTGTTACATGGCAGCTAATTCTGACTAATTTTTGCTGATTTTCTAACAGAAAGGGAAAATGAGGCAACGTATGGTGTGGCATTCCCATGGGAGAGTCGAAGGTCTGTTGTGGAAGCACCTATCAGTGAACCTGTTGAAAGCTCAGCCTCAACACTTGTGTTAGCTCCAAGGAGGACTTACAGAAAAGACCCTCTTAATGGGTTCAAAAGATACACGGGAGGATGGAATATCAGCGACCGCCATTACTGGGCTGTAAGTACTTCATGAATCCCATCACACACTTTCTTTTTTTCTTTTTCTCTGTTAGTGTAATTAATGGGCTTTAATTTATTTTTAATAACCTGTAAGTGATGTTAAGACATCCAATATGTTTATTAAATGTTTGTGACAAGGATAATAACCAAAAGAAATGTTTATGAGAAGAAGAGTAATAATTATTTCATATCCAGAGAGCTCAATGTTGCTTATGATGTGTGCTATGCAATAATGTCTAGAACTAGAAAGAGATGGTCTTTTCAGGTATATGATGCAGCCATGCAGGTTACTGAAAATATATCATCACGATACTGAATAGTTGTAGAATTTTGAGTTGAGTAAAAGCTACATAATCAGTTTCTTGTTTACTTTTAGAGTAATCCTGTAAAGGGAAGCATGAAAGGTAAATTATTCTATCGTTTTCCTGTTTATTGCTGACATTGGTTTTATAGAGTCTTGGTCTCACTTGGTTACATGACGTAATTTGTAAACAATTCTTCTCAATTGGGCTTCCTTTTTTTCAAATTAACTACTTCTCAATTTGATTTTCAGATGGTTACTAAAATTCTGTTTCAATGCAGTCTGTAGGATTTACCGCAATTCCCCTATTTGCCATTGCCGCAGTATGGTTTTTGGGCTTCGGGTTGTGCTTGCTGCTTTTCTGCGTCTGTTATTTCTGTTGTGGAAGAAAGTCCTATGGATACTCTCAATCAGCTTATGTTCTCTCTCTTTTTTTTCTCATTGTGTTCAGTATTGGTGCAATGTAGATACTTCTCTCTCTTTATCACTCTATTGGACTAATTTAGATTTGCAAAAAGGCATACTAATCTCTCATTCTGTGTTTACAGCATTGGATGTGTAATTCTGTATACTGGTCAGGGAAAATTTCATAAAAGCACAACAGAAACTTTGGACTATGTTGTCAGTCAGGCAGATGCTACAGTCCAAAAACTGAAGGATGTGTCAAATTATCTTGCTTCAGCCAAGCTAACTGCAGTTGATAAAGTTTACCTACCTTCTAATGTCCAAACTGATATTGACCAAATTGGAACAAGAATCAATTCTTCTGCTAGCACCCTTGCTGATCGAACATTGGAGAATTCAGATGATATACGTGATCTCTTGGACTCCGTGTAAGTGACGGATACTAATACTCTGTCCATTTGCTCCAGTAGTTCAGTTCAGTACAAAGATGCTTCAATCACAAAATGAATGTGTTAATACTCATGCAGGAGACTGGCGCTTATTGTTGTCGCTGCTATTATGCTTCTCTTGACATTCCTTGGATTCTGTAAGTCTTCTCAATTTGCTCAATGCACGTTCCACTTTCCAAGATACTATGTAGTTCCCATTTGTTAATATTTGTCTTTTTCTTCTTCAGTGTTCTCAATTTTCGGCATCCAAGTGCTAGTGTACATGTAAGTAATGAAAAATGATATTTCAGACTTCAACATATTTGATCCTTCCTGTGGTAATCTCAAATTCTCCGCATTTAGCTGTACTATTCTCTGAACACTATTCCTCGTAAAATCATTGCAGCTTGGTCATAGTTGGATGGATAGTTGTCGCTGGAACCTTTATTTTATGTGGAACTTTTCTTCTTCTCCATAAGTAAGTGACCTGCGGTATAACAAGAAGCATAATTATCCAGATTTGTTGCTTCTTTTTGTGCAAGATTATTGGCTAATTCTGTTATAATCCTATGACTAACTAGCTCGTAACTGATCTTCCTTTGACATGCTAGTGTGGCTGGAGATACTTGTGTTGCAATGAATCACTGGGTACAAAATCCTACTTCTCATACAGCTTTAGATGACATACTGCCCTGTGTAGACAGTGCAACTGCCCAAGAAACCTTATCGCGAAGCAAGGAAGTTACTCTCCAATACGTCGATTTGATCAACTCAGTCATCACCAATGTGTCTAATCTTAACTTTTCCCCTAATTTTCCACAAATGTACTTCAATCAATCTGGTCCATTGGTTCCGATTCTCTGCAATCCGTTTAACCATGACTTAACAGATCGTCCTTGTAGCGATGGTGAGGTGGACTTGAACAATGCAACACAGGTAACTAATAAAAGATACAAACTTTAGACTTTTCGAAATAACTTTTTGATAATTTAGTGTGGCAACTAGTAAACAAGCTCTTTTTCTCTATGCAGGTATGGGGGAGCTATGTCTGTCAGGTTTCAGCAACCGGAATATGTATCACAACGGGGCGTTTGACCCCTGACATATATAATCAAATGACAGCTGCAGTTAGTGTATGCAATGGGCTTGGAAATTATGCTCCTTTCCTGGTTGAGCTGGAAGATTGTACATTTGTAAGGGAAACATTCGGTGAGATATATAGGAACCATTGTCCTAGTCTGAACCAGTACAGCAGATGGGTTTATGTTGGACTAGTAATGGTCTCTACTGCTGTTATGCTTTCTGTTATTTTCTGGGTTATTTATGGTAGAGAAAGGCGACACCGTGCATATAACAAAAAGCTGCAAGCTGAATCAACCCAGAGTTTGGAAGAGGACAAGCATTCCCAATCCTAATAAAGAGAAAGTCATTGTATTTGTATCTTCTGATGGCATAGGTTAGAGAGTTTATTCTTGGTTTTGTTTGCATTTATGTAAATGCACATTTCAGATTTTTTTTTTTTTTTTTTTTTTTTTTGGTTTTGTTGCAATTTATGTAATGCACATTGTCAGATTCTTTTTTTTTTTTTGTTTTTTTTAAATTTTCTTTTCTTGTATTTACCATAGTGGGAATTATCATTCCGTGTAATTTGTAGCACCATCGTTTGCCAAGCTTGTAACACCAATTCTGGCTGTATGAAGAAGATGAAGGGGAAAGAGGCAAAGGGGAAAAAAAATGAATCAGATGCCAGAAAATGACTAAAGGTTTATTCAATTTTTTTTTTTTTTTTTTTTTTTAAATATTTTCTTTTCTGTATTTTACCATAGTGGGGAATTATCATCCTGTGTAATTTGTAGCACCATGTTTGCCAAGCTTGTAACACCAATTCTGGCTTTATGAGAAGAATGAAGGGGAAAGAGGCAAAGGGAAAAAAAATGAATAGATGCAGAAAATGACTAAAGTTTATTCATTGGAAAAAGAATTTTTGAATGTGCAATTGAAATAAAAATAAATTATATTAAGTAACATATTTAATTATCAGTTTGATCTGGAAATTAAAAACTTAATTGATACACAGTCAACAAAAAATTCACTACAAGCTAACTGTGAATTGACTTGGTAAATGCAAACATAGGACGAGTGAAGCCATCAATTTATACCTGGTGGATGAATTAAAATCAGCATCCAAATATGGCTTTTGCATTAAGTGAGGAGACGGGGTTAAAGAAGGGAAGAACAAAATCTCATTGAGTATATTGTTGAAATAGTTTATTCAAATATTTATTTAGTTCTAGAAATTTTGGAGCAATTGATAGCTTTGACCGTTGTTTTCAAAGATATAACATAATTAGAGGTTTTTCTCAATTTAATTAGTAATTAACATGATTTAATCAACTATGTCAAGAGATTTTAAATTATAGTTCTATTTGCCCTTTGGTGGGCTTGTAAAGCTGTTCCATTATTTTGCCAACATTGTGACTGAGTTTGGGCCCACAGTTGTTTAGACCAGTTGGGCTTTCATATAATTTCTTGACGTCAATAATTTATTTATTAGCCAGTCGTATTCATCATTTTCTTGTTCTTTAAATTTGAAACACAACGCAGACACTAATCTCACTCTTCAGATGCAACCTCTTAAGGCTTATAAGTTACACTCAAGAATTTTATATATTTTAGGTTAATCCTTCATTGGCATATGGATTACTCTAATAAGGCTATACGAAAAGTGTTCCACCCTCTTACAAATAAAATATCGTGAGTTATACAATATGAATAGTCTCGTTTCCTCACCAAATTAGTGAAATTTTTTGTTGTCCAGAGATATTCTAAACTTGAAATCTCTAATTTTCATTTATATAAATTAAAAGACCAATTAGATTATGTTTGATTGACGAAATTTAAAATCTTTAATGTTTAATAATTCGCTATTCCGAAAAGACCCAATACGATGGTGGAATCAAATCCATATATGTTCTTCCATGAAGCTTAGTTTGTGAGTTAAAACCAATGAGGTGGCATAATAATAATAGCAATGTGCCTTAATCATGTAAGGACAGCTAAGATTATTCCTTAATCATTGTATTAAAATTGGCCGAACCATACAATAATTGGAAAACTAATGTAAATAGAACAAATAGAAAGTCCTGGTTAAAATTGGGGAAGGCCGGAGGATTCTTATCCTTACAGAGCTTTGGAAGTAGACTGAATACAAATTAAACAAACAGAAATCTTCAGTCACACCTTGCTTACAATAAAATAAAGGTCAATGATCAGTCATTTTCAATCATTATCACCTTATTACAAGTATAAAAATATAATGAGTGAGTATATTATACGTGTCATTAAATAATTATAGTAAGTATCATTAATTCATTATCACAGCTGTCATATTTCCCTCACATAATTATTGGTAACTTACCTCGAATTTTCCGACACCTGGAATATCTTATTCCTTTTATTTCAAAATATAATTAATTTTCATAAATTATAATAAAATTTAATTAAATAATTAAGTAGAATATATTAGATTAATATATATCGTGAAGTACAATCAGCTGGTTGAGTCAGAATCCTTTGTAGGGAGCAGGAAGGTTAAAGTACAATAGGGTAGGATTGTTTAACATTTACGCAGATAAAATAGCTCAAACCAGGAAAACTGATGACAAAATTGACAATTTAAAAAATTATTGTAGGTTGTACCTTGAAGATTATTTATCTAATTTTTTACTTACCTATAGGTTATATTTCCAATATTAATTAATAAATTTATTTTACAACTTTAGGTCTCACATTGCTAGTGAACTCTGGGTTTAAATAAGATATATAAATTAACATGATTTTGTCAAAATTAATCTCGTTTTAATAAAATATGTGTTCCGTCCTTATTTTATACATTTAATCTTTAAAAAAATATATATAAATTTAACACGAAGATTGAGTTTTAGTGATTTCACATAACTTATTAAATATATATAAACTAAATGTCTCGTCCTGTCTTGTAGATTAAAGTATTAAATTATTTTTACACCCTTTTATTTATATTTATTATATTTTTATCGTCTTCGTTTAACTCAAATCGGATCGAATTAGATAAAATGAGTCTTTATAGGCTGACCTAATGTTTGGTGAGCCCCCTAACGAGTATTAATTTGACTGGCACCATTCCGGATTAAGCGCTAAAATAGTAGTTGACATAATAAAGTCAGGAACTGATCAATTGCTTCAATGCCAAAACCAGTGTGCTATGTACGGCTTGAACTAGTCTCTAATAAATCAGCCAGCTCAACGCAATTAAATTGTTTGCCACAAACGCAACCACATATATATATAAATTAATTGTCGTTTTATGTATAATGTCAAAAATGTTTTATGTATAATAAATTAAGTTGCATGAGGAGAAAATAAACTGGTTATAGAAAAGTCGTGAAAGCTCATTTGGATGCTTTCTGGTTTTTTCGGCCATTGACAAAATAGAACATGTAATTCTGTAGACTTTACCTACTACATAGTCTAATAAAACGTTTGCTTTCATACTATATTTTGGATGCATAAATGGAAATTTTGATTTAAGAAATTAACTTGCTTAAGTTTGGTCTGGTGTATGTAAAGGCTACACGTGGATTGAGAAAAAACACATCCCCTTATATTTAATAAAAAAAAATCCAAATATTATTTTTATAAATATAATTGTTTAAAATATTTTTTTCTTTTTGAAAACTGAACAGTCCATTTAACAACTTATATATATGTTATTTGTTTTTGTTTTTTCAAATAAATTCTGGCCCGTCATATTCAATATTCAACCTCTTGTATATAGTCGTTTAAATCTAACAAATTAATACAATTTGGTTTGAGTTGATTTTTATAAAGTAAAAAAAGTCATATATAACTAAATCCAATTAAATGTATGAAATACTAATATGCTTAGAAAAAAAAATGAAATTACACTTTAATACCTAGGCGTGCATTATATTATACTTTGGCTATTTTAATTATTTCATTTGATTATTTATTTTCTCCCCATTTTGGTTAATAGATTTCACCTTTAAAATATTTCAATTATTTTAGTTTTTCTAATTTTCCACATAAGAACCAAACCAAAACCTACTTACAATTCACCTTTTCCCTACCGTCTTCGCAAAATCAGGTTGCTTCACGCAAAACGGCAGCCCATGATGGAAACCGGGATTTTCATTCTGTCTGGTGGTTGGCACTTGGCATACGTAATAAATATATTCTTTAAGTGACGTTTGATCTAGTAAATTTGAAAAATATAAATTTGCGAAAAGTGTATAAAATATTCGTGTTTAGTTTAATTTATATTATAAATAGAAATTTTTATTCCTTTCTAAAAGTATTTTGATTTAATATTTGATTTAATAATGTAGAGTTTTACGTGGTGCCCAAAATATTTGTTAAGAGATTTGATACTTTTCTTTTATTTTTTATAATATTGTCAAATACAACACCGTTGTTCTTAATAAAAAGAAAATCAAAAAATACAACAGGCTCTAGAAACGGGGACATGTTAGTGATAATTTGGGAAGTCGAAGGATATTTAGGTCATACGAAAGCAAAAGCTAATGGCAGTTTGTAATTACCTGTATGGAAATGGTATGCCTTGGTACTTTCAGTAGCGACCGTTTACAAGAAACTTTACACGTGGTAGCCATCCGAGTTGCTTAAAAAAGCTGTCTCACAAACGGCTTTTCCTTTCGTCAACTTTGAAGATCCACATTAACCACAGTAGCCGTTGGATCAGAATCCTGATGCCTTAACCCTAACCCGTAGTTGAACAGATCCCAGACTAACTATGGTTAACTTAACCAACAAAACAACCCCCACGCTAGAACCCCTATAGCATCCTGTTATTTACAAACCTATCCTTTATTTCAAATCTATAAATCCACCCTTTGAGACTCGATAGGTTTGCCAAACCAACTAGCCTAGGGGGCCTTTAGAGGAAATTCCCCGAAAAGCCCCTCTTCTTCTCCTACTCTTCTACCATCATTTTTTCCTGTAAAAAATGGCTACAAGTTCGCAGTCAAGAAGATCTAGCGGCCCAGTCCTACGTTCTCTTTCTCCTCATGGAAGATTTGGATCGTCTCAAACCGATTCTTATTTGTCATCGTCGTCATCTTCCTCAGCCTTCGCATCTTCAACTAGCTCCAGTTTCTATTCTCCACCCACAGCTTTCTTTCACAGTAGCCACAATAGATCAGCTTCACCTACTCGCGTTAATATATACACAACGTCATCATCTCCTTCTCCTTCCTTTCGCTTCTCCATTGATCGATCTATTTCTCCAAACCGGTCAATATCGGTGAGCAAGAAGAATAATCCGATCTCTCTGTCGAAGAAGACTTGCATGTGTTCTCCGACTACGCATCCAGGATCATTTCGCTGTAGTTTACACAAGAATATCGGCAGTCAGAGTCATGGAAGTAGTTCGGCGCCGTATACGCCCAACCGGTTGAACATGATGAGATCGGCAATGAAGAATTCACTCGTTAGAATCGGTGGCGTTGAGGGAGAGTGGGTCAAGAGAGCGCTGACGGCGCTGATTCGGCCGTCCTCACATCATCAAAGGCGTAGGGCTGATTTTCAGCCCAGGCCAAGCCGGCTCTCGATTATGTCGAAAGCGGATGATATCTGATTCTGTTTGGAGTTACAGGTTGGTTATTGTTTACCCGTTTTATATCATCAGGTTCCGGCAACACATGCTAGGATCCGGCAGAGTGCTTAGCTGAGTCAGAGGCCGAGTCAAATCGGACGACTTTCTATTGATATGCGTGCTGTACTTTCCAAATCGGACGAGTGGAGTTTGATCCGAGGCGGGGCTGATTCAACGTCGACGAGTTTTTGTATTTCGAGACTGAGCCTAGATTATTTTGGGACATAGATCGTTTGTACATATCAATTGCTATGGAAGGAGATTTTGGGACATTAAAATCTATTCTAAATTAAAGATAAAATTTAAATTTAAATCTAAAACTAAAGACTAATGCTATACACTTTCATTTCAACCAAATTTCTCAATCAATCGTAAAATCGTTTGGCCTGACTTCAACCGTCTGTTATGCTTGCAGTGTAGTGGTACGGGATGTCCGTTAAGTTTGTCGTTAACATCCCCGTTTTGCATAGACGGATCCGTTCTCCGTTACGATTACTCGTCATACGCTGCTTTGGCCGTTGCAGTTGCCGTTGCCGTTACGCGTTATTTTGCGTGCAAGGTATATTTAATATTCTTTGTATTTTTTCTGTTTATTGTTTATTATACTATTATTATTGTTGTTGATGTATCGATTTCTGTTTACTCTTTTTTTTTTTTTTTTTTTTTTATTCTTTGTATTTCTTTTCTGTATATGTGTATTTATACTATTATTATTGTTGTTGAGTGTATCGATTTCTGTTTACTCTTTTTTTATTTTTTTTTTTTTTTGGTATAGGTTTTTTTTTTTTTTTTTTTTTTTGGTATAGGGACTTTATTGCGGAGATAAAGCTGATGAAGGTGGAAAGCTCGAAATTCCAAAACATGACGTCGGACTATAATTTGGCCTGTTAATTTGAAAATAATTTAAATAATCTGAACTTGAATTGAAAATAAAAGGAAATAGAGAAGTGGGCCATTTCAAATATTGGAGACAGCTGGCACATTATGTTCCCAACAGATAACAAATGAACAATCTAGAGAAGTGAAATAACTAAAAGTATTTGCCATGATTAAATAAAAGAAGAGTGAAAAAAGGACTATGTTTCACGAATGGAGAAGTTTGAGGTGGTAAATTAAGAAATAAATATTTATAAGAAATACAAAGGAGGGAAGGAGGAAGCTAAATAAACAAAGCATTTGCATAATGCATAATGCACAATGCATTGCTTGTCAACGGTTGGAAGGTCCATTGAAAATTATTACGTGTCCGAAACTCAAAGCATAAGACATTGCTAGCGTAGCGTGATCACATGGTGCGCGAAGATACCGTATCACAAGACCGGTATGAAATTGAGTGCGAGCCATTCTGAATCTGAAGCCTCTCTCAGCCACAGAGAAAATAGCGGCACAACTCTACGGTTCCATCTCACCTTCCAATTGTTTGTTTCTGCTTTCTTATGCGTGGTACTATTTCACCCAACAAAGATAAGGTGATCCGCTTTAACGGCCTTTTCCTACTTCAATTCCTGGTCCTGGCCCCTTGTCTTTGTCTGGTGGTGGGTGAAGCAGTTTCGACTTTCGACTTCCTCAACACAGACAATAGTGGCCTTGTCTCAGCAGATTGGGAAAAATCAGGAGATAAGGTTGTACTGGATGATCTAATATCACCTAAGATCATGTTATTTCTTACCAGCTCCCTCCCTATATGGAAAGAAGTAAATAGTCACTATTCACATGGCATTTTAAATATGAACCGCAACTTGTTAGTATTGTTTAAACAATGAAACTTCTAGTGGTTTATATTAAAATTATTACTAAGAATGAATATAAAACATTAATTAGCTGACCCGCTCGCCACTTCTAAGGGGAAAAATATAAAAAATAAAATATTAATTTTGAAAAGATATTTAAAATTACTGGAAAAGAAAGAAAAACACTATATTTTTATTAAGATAAAAATATGAAATTTACTAACAATGATTTTGTCTATTATACTTGTCAACTAAATAAGGAAATAAAATTATATTTCAAAAGTTGCATCCAATACATATATCTGAATGCTAGCTGGATTTTATCTGTCCATACCACAGCATGTTTCAATTGTTAGGCCCCAGTACATGTTATATTTTGGGCTTACCTTATGGGCTAAAATACCGTGTCTGAAGGCCCAATTTACACATTTCCGGATTCCTGTTAGGACGTGTCTCATAACCAACAGCTGTAAATGCAATGATTTATTGCTTTCAGTTACAGTGTCCACTGTGGACCCATTTTAGACTCTGGGGAGTAATACAAAGTTAAAAATGTCAAACGATATGTCGTTATAGTTTCAGTTAGATATGTGTAATATTTGCCATATTGTCCTGTCGGAATTCCAAAATCAGAAATTTATCCCCTTTTCTTCTCATTTCTCCTCTATTTTTCTGTTGATCTGTGTACCTTTTACAGTCTTTCAAAATCATCGCCATGCCTACCTTACCATCTCTCAGAAGATCTCGATCATCCATCTACCAACTCTATCTAAAGCAACGGCTCCAATCTCGCCAATATTCTAATATAGCACCATCGTCCACTTCTTCGTTGTCTCTGACCTGCGCCTCCTCACTCAAGGCTAACAACGAAAATGAAAATCACACTTACGGATCCTTTATGAGATGGTTTTCCGGGATCGCTTTGGGCTCCAGCTTAGGATTGTTTTGCTGGTATACTAATTCTAGCTCTGATGCTGAATCTGCATTCTTAAACAGATCGCTATTGTCTTTCGCCGACTGGCCAATGGCCACCGCTGTTAAATCGGCGGTCAAGGATCTGAATTCCACTTCCACATTTGGAAAACTGTCGTTGCCTGACTATAGTTCGAAGTATCTCTTTGGAGGTGAATATTTGTTAGTGTTATTATTAATTCGTAATTAATCAATAATTTATTTATTTTTATATATTTTTAATTCATTGAGTTGGTCATTGCAGATGCTTATAGGAGAAAGGTTTTCTTTAACTATGAGAAGAGAATAAGGCTGCGAAGTCCTCCTGAGAAGGTATTTACTTTTCCAGTTACTTTCTTTTTCTCTGGTAATTAAATGATGCCATGATGGCCTATTCTTGTAAAGGAAACCGGAATTTCTTTGTTATGTGTTTTATTTTTGAAAATTTTGTTGGAAGGTGTTTGAGTACTTTGCATCTTATCAAGCACCAAATGGAGAGTTATTCATGAGACCGGCAGATTTGATGCGGGCAGTGGTTCCTGTTTTCCCTCCATCTGAATCCAACCATGTTAGAGAAGGATATTTATGTGGGGAACGAAGGCCTGGCGAGCTAAGATGTCCTCCGTCCAAATTCTTCATGCTTTTTGATGTGAATAACGATGGCCTCGTATCATTCAAGGAGTGAGTTCCCAATAAATATGACAGAAATTGTAGATTATGTTTTATTACCCCACTTTCACTTTATTTAATTTGAGCATTCTTTTCTTTTCTTTTTTTTTTTTTTCCTCTTTGGGGAATGAATTTGCTTTACATTCATTGTAACAGGTATATCTTTTTCGTAACACTACTAAGTATACCAGAATCAAGCTTTTCTGTGGCTTTTAAAATGTTTGACATCAACAACAATGGGTGAGTTTATATGAAAAACCTTGGAGAAAAGGGATACAGCTTTATCTAGTTTACATGCACGCATTTTCCTTTTTATGTCATATGGAAATAGATTATTTATTCGCTGTGTTCTGTTGTCTTTTAATCACCCACTTTTAACAGATGTGGTTACTTATCTGGATAGCTTTTGCTGGATACCAAACATAGACTTTAGGCTTGTCCATAGTATCCTTTTCTTGACTGTTTGTCTCTGTATGTAGGGAGATAGATAGGAAAGAGTTTAAGAAAGTGATGGCTTTAATGCGAGCTCATAACAGACAAGGGGCTGTTCATAGGGATGGACTTAGAACTGGGTTGAAAGTTAGCGGCTCTGTGGAAAATGGAGGTTTGGTGGAGTACTTCTTTGGCAAAGATGGGAAGGGATGCCTCCATCATGATAAATTTGTCCAGTTTTTGAGGGAATTGCATGATGAGGTAACCTTTACCTGGCTTTTGTCCTCCCTAAATTGATAGGGTGGCACATACCTGTACATGCACATACCTATATGCACACATATATTTTTGTCATTGTGCTCTTTAATAACACATTGGTGCATCCTATATTCCCATATGAGCTACCCAGATAGAGAGATTAAGTATAAGGTTAAACGAGAATTTATTAGAAAAAAGAAAACCTTTCAGTTTTGAATTTGAAATTTATACAAATTTGAGTTATCTAGGCTTGCTTTTGCCTTGATCTATGGTCAAATAGTTGCAACGAATATAATAATGGTTAGTCAAGTGATGAGGAAATTGGAATTGGTCTAATTATGAAATTGCCTCAGAACTTAGGGTTTTATCCCTGTGGCACTCCAAAGTTCTCAAGAGATCTATATGCCCCCTGTAGTTGCAATTTTTAATAATGACTTTGCACCTTGGGGTTGATGGTGCAATTCTTACTAACAATATCTAGAGCCCAACATTCCCTTGAAGGTGCTTATTCATAAAAAAAACTGCAGCTTCAGGAGCATGATGCATCTCAAAAAATTTAGGGTGCCACAAGGATAAAACCTTAAAGTTCAGGGGCAATTTTATGCATTAAGGCATTCATAACAAAAACTGCAGCTTCAGGAGCATGATGCATCTCAAAAAATTTAGGGTGCCACAAGGATAAAACCTTAAAGTTCAGGGGCAATTTTATGCATTAAGGCAGTCAAGTGAATGAGGAAATTGGAATTGGTTTTTCTAATTTTATTGAATTTGCCTCAGAAAACATTTAGGGTTTATCCTTGTGCACTCTCAAAGTTCTCAAGAGATCTATATGCCCCTGTAGTTGCAATTTTAAAAACTGCAGCTTCAGGAGCATGATGCATCTCAAAAAATTTAGGGTGCCACAAGGATAAAACCTTAAAGTTCAGGGGCAATTTTATGCATTAAGGCATTCATAACAAAAACTGCAGCTTCAGGAGCATGATGCATCTCAAAAAATTTAGGGTGCCACAAGGATAAAACCTTAAAGTTCAGGGGCAATTTTATGCATTAAGGCATTCATAACAAAAACTGCAGCTTCAGGAGCATGATGCATCTCAAAAAATTTAGGGTGCCACAAGGATAAAACCTTAAAGTTCAGGGGCAATTTTATGCATTAAGGCATTCATAACAAAAACTGCAGCTTCAGGAGCATGATGCATCTCAAAAAATTTAGGGTGCCACAAGGATAAAACCTTAAAGTTCAGGGGCAATTTTATGCATTAAGGCAACTGGAATTAGAGAACCCTTAGCTTCTTTGGCTATCAAGCAAAATTCATTCACATGCTGTTTCTCTTTGTATTTTCCTTTCTTTCTTTCTTTTTTTTTTTTTTTAGGACTGTTTGGCAACTTGGGGAAGTTCGGTTGTATGAAGACTATGTTGCAACTTGCATCACATTCATGATATTCTTGTTCATGTTTAGTTTTGACTCAGCAGGAAAATAGCCTTCTTGCCAAGCCCTCAAGGTGCCAATAACTCCTGCAGGGTTGGGTAGGCTTGTTTGTGACAGTTTGATGTCATGTTCAGTCAAGCTGAAATGCTTGCTTTCCCTTATGTTATGGTTAGGCAAGTTATCCATCCATCTGAATTCCCTAAATCCCCCTTTGTGTTGTCAACAGTTCAGGCTTTTGCAGTTTTTTATGGATTATGTGTTATTACTAATTCCTAAATGATTGTCTTTAATGGTTTTTGTAGATGCTCAGATTGGAATTTGCACATTATGACTATAAATCACAAGAATCCATTTTGGCAAAGGATTTTGCATTGTCAATGGTTGCTTCTGCTGACTTGAGTCACTTGGATAAATTGCTTTGTCGGGTTGATGAATTAAATAACGATGCACGTCTTAAGGATGTGCAAATAACATTTGACGAATTCAAAAGTTTTGCAGACTTGCGGAAAAAGTTGGTGCCGTTTTCTTTGGCCGTTTTCAGTTATGGGAAAGTAAATGGCCTGTTAACAAGGGAGGACTTCCAAAGAGCCGCATCCTATGTAAGATACTCGTCCTTGCTTTATGTCGTAGCAACTTGTTTGCATTTACATTTGGGCATGGATGCTCATGTGGAAAATTATTTAAATGGCTAGCAAATGCAGGAGCTGCACACGTTTTTATACAGGTTCCATCTGACTGGGAGAAGCTCAAATTAGTTTATTTAGTTATTTTAACTTTTAACTGGAAATAAAGGGGTGTAGAGGCTTGTGTTGATTAGATGATATTGCAAGTTATAATTGATTTTACAGTTTCCATTTGTTCTTATAATTATTATGACTATTCCTAAATCATCTGATTAATTCTTTCTTCACATGATGTGTATGAAATTACCAGATTTGCGGCATCTCACTCACTCAAAATGTGGTTGATATAATTTTCCATGTTTTTGACTCGAATCAAGATGGACATTTAAGCCCAGATGAGTTTGTAAGGGTTCTATACAAACGGGAAAGAGACATTGCTGAACCTGTGGAATCGGGAATCTTTGGATTTTTGTCTTGCTGCTATAACTGTGCAAATGACCGAGCGATTGGCCGGTTGCTTTTTTAATCTGCATATTGATTCGCGGATGTCCCCAGAAAGAAATCAAGAAATTTTTCATGGATCGCAAACACTTGAATCTGTTGCAAAATGGACCTGTTGACTTAAGAATGAGGTTGCAGCGGAAGAATGTCTGTCTCTAACAGTGTCAGATGGTTGAGGATTTTGCCAAGTTTAGCAGAATGGGAAGGAGTTGCTCGGAAGAATGTCTTTCTCTAACAGTGTTGGATGGTTGAGGATTTTGCCAAGTTTTGCAGAATGGGAAGGAGTTGCTACCCTAATATGTAGAGATGTTGTCCTGTTGCTACACTTGAATCTTTTGAGTTCTAACCTTCAATCTTCTGGAGGTGTTGTCCTGTTACTAATCTACAAGTTGTATATCTTATATGAAATTTATTGCCATTTTTATATGTTATTATGTAGTTTAACCGCATTTTTGTTTTGTTTAAGCAGTGTCCAAAATTATAGGGATACCCCTGTCCAGTATGATCCTAACATTTTGTAATTTATGCATTAAATTGAAATCTGGTCGAATCTTCCACGAGCAACGGATATTCCTCTTTGTTGAAGGTGGTCCACCTGGGCATATTTTTGTTTTTTCATCACCGCTTAGTGCAAACGTCTAGACACGGTTTAATTAACGTATTTTGATTAGTTTAATACAGGCAAGAATTAGAGGTTTTCAGGGCGGCTAAACGCTGGCTACTACCCTAATTGTCGCCAGCACGTCGCTTAGAGGGCGCGTGACTGTTGGTGCCCTTACTTTTTCGAGAATCGTCTTCGAGTCAACCCCACAAGTTCTTCGGAGAAACAAACAGAAACAAATCCGCACAGGTAAACTGCTGAGAATAAATTATTTTGTTAACTAACTTAACGCTCCAATTTTCATATCCCAGTAACTAACTTAAGTTTTCTATTGAATCGTAAGAAATGTTTTGACGGTAAAATTAAAGGTAAATTCTTTATTAGAATTTTTGATAGTGAAAAAATTAAATCTTATTTAGAGGTTAAAATAATTTTTTATAAAAGATTGAACCCATATAATTTATAGTTGTTAGTATTTTATGAAAATCTATTTAATCAGTTACTAAACTACTAATTTTATAGGAGTATTTAAAATTTGAGATAAATAATTATTAAAATAATTAATTTTATCCAGATCTCTTAAATACAACGTAAACAATCGACAATAATCTCGAAGTGAAAAATTTACCTTATATAATCATTGAGAAAAAAAAAAAAAAAAAAATTTTTTTTTTATATATTTTTTTTTTGAATTTATATTAATATATATATTATAGCAAAGAAGAAAAGAATTGACATGGAAATCATGATTTTATATTTAATAGTTAATAAGACCGTGCCCAGATGAGGGCTGCTACATATCTTCGACCGATATGTAATTTCTTTTTTTATTCGATAGATGCACTCAGGTCTAATGTAGTTTCATTTATACACGTTATGCAATTGCTTATAACAAATAGCAACGAGTAATACTCTTTAAAGCTGTATCTAAATTACATGGATTTGTGCAATCTTCTTGAAACCATCCCTAAGAGGTTCAGGTTAAGAATGACGGCTGCCGGAACGGAGCAATACTTTCTTAGCACAGTAGGGGACGCAAGACTCAATGATCCGGGGGCCGGAGCCTACGGCAACATTGGACTGAAAGCTTCCACGTGTATCTGTTAATTTGGTCCTGCCTAATTTTGCCTTACAGAACCAAACCAGCCTCTCATCTTCTGACGTCTTTTCAGGTGTCTTTGGACCTTATTATTTAAAATGCCGTGCCATTCTTTCTTTGGTAGACTTAGGGTTTGGTGGATATGCATTTCCAAACCGCTTTTCAATCCATACCCAAAAGTTGGCAAAATCGATAATTCTTCACCAATCTGCTTCGCCCTGATCTGAACTTTCTGAGGATTAACCCACTTGCATGAACACTTGAGGAACTTCAGTAGACCTCAATAACGGGCAAGTGTAATCTATGACTTACGCATACAGCCAGTATAACATCTGATCGGAGTGGCATCCCATGGTGTGAGTGTGTCTAATTATAAGAATAGTCCATGTATCCCTCAACATAACGAGCAAGGTGCTGTTGGAGATATATGGCTGGTTGACGTGACATATGACATTTGTGCGGCTTTTATAGCCGTCTTCTGAACAGAGTATTGAACTTTTATGGCCCATTTACTTCGCGGGCTTCTACAGCTCCATTTGTTGTGTGGACGACAAACGGTACTGGGCGGCGTACTACGAACCTCTATGTTTATGTTGAAATGTTCTCGCTCTTCTTTGCAACCAAATTAGAAACAATGGCCACGTCTGAACGTGCCTGGTAAGAAATCGCCTATTAATCTGGTGGCATGATCTCGAAGAGGGCGGTTGTGTGATCCCTGTTGCTCGTGCCCTACTCCTGAGCAATCGTCTCGCACTCAACCCCACAAAGTCTTCGTAGACAACGACAACAGAGAAGCTGATAATAAGTACTCGCACGCAACAGGGCGTTAAACTGACTGCTGAGATGCTAGTTCAAACTTTCTGGTGCAACCTAAATTCTTAGATAGAAGGCCCTCGCAGAATTAAGTGATGGTTGCCTCGATCCACTTATGAAAGTGGTGATGCGAACAGCCCAAGTAACAAACCCAGAGATTCTTGAACTATATGCATGCCGTTGGATAGTCTTTTCGAACGTGAAGAAAAGTGTGGATTTTTCCGATTGCACGGTCTATTGACCCCAAGTGCGAAAGGCCCGCTAAAACATGGTGATAGCAAAAGTAGGATTTCAAAATTAGAACCAGTGTGCAGAGTAGTGAATAATGCAAGCTAGTAAAACAACAACATTAAGCAAATAAATAAATTGACATTCGCTGACTAACTTCTGCGCCGTAGTGCCTCAACGCGAATTCTTGAACCTACATAAAATATTGGATAAAAAGATGACAACCAAAACTTATAGTGAGAAGGATTAAAACAAAACAGACATATAGGAGCTAACTCGAGCAATAAGTATAAACCTAGGATATCATGATCGATGCTCTCAAAAGGAGCAATAATATATACTACCGTTCATATTGTGAGAATGATAGTGCCAGATTTCCCCGTAATGTAAGAGAACTCATAATTGATGTGTTTGAGAGCTTCATCGCCCTCATCTCTGTTACGCACAATGTAGAGTGCAAGCCGCTCCAAGTTCTCTATAGTTTACAAGAACCACACTCCATAAAATCACGCCATAACAACAGGAAATAATAAAATATCCTCCAGAACGGAGAAAAACAACTGTTCTCACATATAAATAAGTTCACGTGGCTGTATCAAGTCGTTAGGTGGAATCACTTAACAGAGAGGAATAGGTATACAATTCTGAAATAAAAAAAACGGTATTCCTGATCCCTCCACTCGCCAACACACTTTCTAATACAGACAATACAGAATAGTTAATACTAGCCCATAATGGCATCCTCCGCTCATCTCAAGATCAGAACCCATATGAATCGCATGTTAATAAGTGTACAGCTAAGACTAGACCTAGACTTTTTCCCAAATAATTCAGTTGTACTTTCGTCATATCCATCCCCAAACATGACAGTTATCTACAAGGTGGATAAGCCGCACTGGTCAGATCTCGGTCTAGGTATGCCGTTATGACTCACAGGTCTCCAATCCATTTAGTCTACTCGAACATGGGCCATAGCCCAGAGATCGTGACAGAACGATCCAGGCCACGACAGCCACTCACGTCTTGAGCCGCATTTCACACTGTATATTTGTAGAGTACCATAGCGCGGTGGCACAGCCGCAACAGCTGAGTGGAACTTCTCACGCAGTGTACGAATCTTCCTGTGACAGAGCGAAATTGTCCCCATAGTAATTCCACCATATCTACGAAGCGTTGGTCAACGTTGTGTAAAGGCCATAGTCCTCCAGATCTACGCTCTCTGGCCTCTTTAGATTTAGTGCGCCAGGATTTTCCTGGCTTGATAAGCTGGTAGAGGAAACGACGCGCCTTTATAAAGATTAAGAACATTAAAGTACTGACCCGAAAAACCCACCGCGCAGCTTTTGAATTTGGTGGCATCTCCTCCTTCATACCTACTTCTTCACTCTCGCAACCAGAAGTGCGCCACCTAGTCTAATATTGGGGATATATATCCTTAACCCCTTTATGCAAGCTCTATACTCGGGCTTCCATCTGTTTGTGCAGTGCGAATATTCTAATAACTCTCTCGTGATCTCATGCCTTACATCCGGATTTCAATGATACTTCTCGTTCAATCTCGATTAGTGAAATAGAATTGGAATACACGAAGCTGCATCAAAAAAAAAAAAAAAAAAAGACTATTCACAACTTTAATTAAGAAATGACAGAATTAGTTACGTGATTTGTGTATCCTCCTCTATTAAGAAAAATGACGCTTAAACAACTAACAACTTTCCCAAATAATCAGGTTTTTGTACTTTGGCCGTCGGTTTTTAATGCCATTCTCCAAACAGCTAATAGTGCATTATGAGTGTAATAAACATGTTGCCAATGCCAGCCCATGACAACGGCACCCGCACTCTGACATCACATTATTGAATCACATAGCGCGTGATCACACGCTCCCCAGTACTGGAAGGGAGTTTGCCATTTCTCCTGGCAACGTTGACCTTGTCCTTGTTCTGCTTTGGAGGATTGGATTTGAAGAAACCCTAAACTAAGGAGAGACAAACCCACCCGCAGTAATTTTGTCTTTCTTCACATTTCACTCTGCAACCAAATCCACTATTAATGGATATATATTTTCCTTATACAGTTCATTCCTTTCTTGATTCTTACTTTATCTGAATTTTTAATTAGATACGCTGAGAGGTTGGAGATTAACCGCTAATCTCTCTCTGGTTCAGCTATATTAATAAAGAAAATAAGATTCTCTTGTTTGGGATTCGTTCTCAGTCTTATAGCTATAAGTATTTTGTAAAGTTGTTTGATGATTAAAAAGAAGAGGCTTTGATTGAAATCAAAATCCAAGTTTTCATTTAAAGCTTTGATTTTGAAGGTTTTTCGATTGTTTCTCTGTCAATTTGTGAGATGGGAAAGCCGACCGGAAAGAAGAAGACCTCCGCATCAACGATAACCGGTGACGCCAACGGTAAGCCAAGCAAGGCGGATCGAACGTCAAAGACATTCGATGAAGACACAGCAATCTTTATTAACATGTCTCAAGAGCTTAAAGAAGAAGGGAACAAGCTCTTTCAGAAGCATGACCATGAAGGCGCCATGTTAAAGTACGAGAAAGCTGTCAAGCTACTTCCCAAAAATCACATCGATGTCGCCTATCTTCGAACCAATATGGCCGCTTGCTACATGCAAATGGGTTTAGGTGAGTATCCTCGAGCTATCAATGAGTGTAATTTAGCTTTAGAGGTTTCGCCCAAGTATAGCAAAGCCTTGTTGAAAAGGGCAAAGTGTTATGAGTCTTTGAATAGATTGGATTTAGCTCTGAGAGACGTGAATAATGTTTTGAGCATGGAACCCAATAACTTGACGGGATTGGAGATATTGGAGAGTATTAAAAAGGCTATGATTGAGAAGGGTATTAATTTTGATGAGAAATTAGTTGAGTTGGCTAATGTAGAGGAGGGTGATGCCTCCCGTTTGCGGAGGGTGGTGAAGGAGAAGCTAAAGAAAAAGAAGAAGAATGATAAAGTAGTAGGAAAAAGTGTGGAGGATAATGATAAGGTGGTTGTGGAGGAGAAGAAGGTGAGTGCTGTTATTAAGGATAAACAGGTGGTCATGAAGACCATTGAGGCAGAGAAAGTGGTTACAAAGGAAGTTAAGGAGGAGAAAGTGGTTACAAAGGAAGTTAAGGAGGAGAAAGTGGTTACAAAGGATGTCAAGGAGGAGAAAGTGGTTGTGAAGGATATTAAGGAGGAGAAAGCGATTACCAAGACAGTGAAGTTAGTGTTTGGTGAGGATATCAGGTGGGCGCAATTTCCTGTGAATTGTGGTATTGGACTTCTCAGGGATATAGTTAGAGATAGATATCCTGGCTTGAAGGGTGTTCTTGTGAAATATAGGGACCCCGAAGGTGATTTAATTACAATTACTACTACGGAGGAGCTAAGATTGGCTGAATCATCAGGCGATTCTCAAGGTTCACTTAGGTTCTATGTCGTTGAAGTCAGTCCTGATCAAGAACCAGCTTACGGGGGGATGAAAATTGAAGAGGAGGTGCACAAGATTGATGTAAAATCAAGTGGTGCTGTTGAGAATGGGAATTTAGGGAAGGGTCAAGAAATAGACAAGGAACCAATTTCCATTGATGATTGGATTGTCCAGTTTGCACGATTGTTCAAGAACCATGTTGGCTTTGATTCTGATTCATACTTGGATCTTCATGAACTAGGCATGAAATTATACTCAGAGGCAATGGAAGACACTGTAACTAGTGAAGAAGCACAGGAACTTTTTGACATTGCTGCAGATAAGTTCCAAGAGATGGCTGCTTTGGCTTTGTTTAATTGGGGTAATGTCCATATGTCCAGGGCAAGGAAACGGGTGTTCTTTTCTGAAGATGGTTCCAGGGAGTCTATACTTGCACAGGTTAAGAACGCATATGATTGGGCAAGGAAAGAATATGTGAAGGCAGGAGAAAAATACCAAGAAGCTTTAAAAATTAAACCAGATTTCTATGAAGGTCTTCTTGCACTTGGGCAACAGCAGTTTGAGCAAGCAAAGCTTTGTTGGCATCATGCTATTGGAAGCAAGCTGGATCTAGACAATGGGCCTTCTGAGGAGGTCCTTGATCTTTATAACAAGGCTGAGGACAGCATGGAGAAGGGAATGCAGATGTGGGAAGAAATGGCAGAGCAGCGTCTAAACGGGCTTTCTAAATTTGACAAATATAAAGAGCAGTTGCAGAAATTGGGGTTAGATGGGCTATTAAAAGATATACCTGCTGAAGAAGCAGTGGAGCAGGCAGGAAATATGAGTGCACAGATATATCTCTTGTGGGGCACCATGCTTTATGAGCGTTCTGTTGTGGAATATAAGCTTGAGCTACCAACATGGGAAGAATGTTTAGAGGTTGCAGTTGAGAAGTTTGAACTTGCTGGTGCTTCTCCAACAGATATAGCTGTAATGATAAAGAACCATTGTTCCAATGAAACTGCACTTGAAGGTATTCAAACTATTAATGCTAGTGCATGCATGATATTTATGTTAAATTGTAACTTTATATATTTATTATGGACAAAATTTGAAATGTTAAGATGATAAGTGTACCACTTTGCAATTGCCACAGGTTTGGGGTTCAAAATTGATGAGATTGTGCAAGCATGGAATGAAATGTATGATGTCAAGAGATGGGAGACCGGTATTCCATCCTTCAGGCTGGAGCCATTGTTCCGTCGCCGGGTTCCAAAACTTCATCATTTATTGGAGAACGTTTGATTTTTAGTTGCTGCTAGTTGATTATTCTTTGTGAGCATTGGCAATGCTTCAGTTATCAATTTTTCATTTTCCAGATGTTACATTGCTATCAATTAAGATAGGTAAGATTATGTTGCTCAGCCTTTCGAATTAGGGAACTCCATTACTGCATAATCTTCTATTGTTTGGCATAAATGGTCTCATTGATACTGCATGATTTAGTTATATTGATGCAGTATAATTTAATTATATCAAACTAAGATGTACTGGACTGCGTCTTACAATTGCTCACAGGATAATAAACTTGATTTCAGATTTCAAATTATATGAGAATTTGTGGAGAAATGACAAATTTAGTAAGCTTATTCTTTATCAGGACAAGATTTTTAGTTGAGATTTACTGATTAACATATATGTGGGGAATGGAAATTCTGGTGTACAGAGAC